AATTAGACTTTAAATTTAGTCCAATGGTAAAAAAAACGTTTTAGAAGAAATTATTATTTATTGCTGTAACTAATTGCAAGACAAATAAATGTTAAAATCGTTAATCCATATCTGAAATTTTCTTCTTTCCGGCCGCATATGTATGTACTTTGACGAGGCATTGGAGAGGGTTTGTGAAGCGACGATCGCAGAAAACTTCATGAAAAGTTTACGAGATATTAAGCCAAGAGTGAACGGCACGCCCACTTTCGAAATTAATTCGCTTTATATTTGAGTCAGCTCACAAATCACGCTCATCGTTCGCAATGGCTTGCAAAAATGACATCGTAGCTGTCGTGAATATGGACGGATTTCGAGTAGGAAGAGAACTCCGCTGCAAGGAGCTCCGCAATCCTTCTTTTTTTAATATTGGGCTTCGTTGGTCGGATTTAAGTGAAAAAGACCAAAAGGCGTGCAAATTCGTACAGAAGAAAATCCACAAACTACCGTCTGGGGTGCCGCAGGGCGTCAAAGCATTCCATATTTCGCAGTTGGAGGCAATCGTGGATAATTTCTACAGGAAAAAAAAAGAACCCAAACTCTACGATTGCCTACAAAGGCGGAATTATTGAAAGGGATTTTCTAAAAAAACTAAGCATCCCTTCAGTTAATTTGGAATGCTTTGGCTGCCCCAAAGCAGAATAACTGTTTGATCAGCTGGGCTGGTTAGAGACCTGTGGCAGACACTTGGATGCCTGGGCGTACCAACACTGTGCCAAAGTCGAAGTTGAGGCCTTCTCGATGTAGCTGGAGAAGATTTAAAGCAAGGAAAAGAAGAAGAAAAAGAAAAAAACCCGGTTCTTTTTAAGAACCCCCAAATTTTCGAAAGAACGTAAACGAAATCTCTATGATATTAATAATTTCATATTAATCATACACACATTATTCTCATCATCAATGAACTAAATCGTTACTATTCCTCACACGTACTTTCGTTTGTTTTCACAATGTCACTGTGAAAGAGTCACTTCAGTCAAATTATGCATTAAGGCAAATAGTTTGAAAATTGAGTAAACTTATTTCCCCTGAATCATCTTTTAGCGTGTAATATTTATGAGTAAACTAACCAGGGGATACGTTTCAATGCAACGCTTCTGGCGTAATTAATTATATATTCACATTAATCCCTCTGTATCTGATCAATTCATTATCATCCCAGTGTCGCTAATATTAAAATAGCCACCTCACTAATAGGGTTAGTAAATTGAGTAAAAAATTTTTACCCCGAATCCTTTAGTGTATAATATTTGTTAGCAAACTAACCAGGGGAAACGTTTCATTGCAATGCTTTTAGCGTAATTAATTATATTCACATTAATCCCTCTATTGTCTGATCAATTCATTACTATCGCAGTATCGCCAACATTAAAAGGGCTATTAGGTTTGAGTTTCGTTAACAATAGGCGGATCTGGTAACCGAAGATGCTTCATTTACTGTGAAAACGCTACAGCATATTACTTATCATTCGACATTATGACAGCCAACATCAGATTTTTATGGAAGGACGAACTTATACAACGTATCGACATGTGTTTTTCCAATCTTGAAAATAAAATTCTAAATGAACTGACGGAAAAGGCAAAAGAAAAATGGATACCTATCTGGGATGAAAGTCAAACATTTACAAACCAACGTTTTATTCGAATGATTTGGCGCGCTTGCGTTCGTCATGGATATATTGACAAACGTTATGAAATCTTGGATGCTCTTGTCGATAACATGACAATTGGTGTATGGAAATAATATGGCGCTCGTGCATTCGTTATGGGCATATTGACGCATGTTACGAACAAATAAAAATTAAAGTATGAACTATCAGAGGGGAAGCATCGCAAAGCATACATAGAAAACGAACTTTTAAAATAAACTGTGCTAAAGTTATGAAAATACTATTATTGTACTAAATACTAAATGTGTACCCTGACAAATAAAATATTTTCTACTCGGTAATAAAAAACTCATTAACATGTCATTATCTAATCCGTTCCACTGTAAGCTATCGTTTTGAATATCAGTCTTGTTCAAATGTTCAAAGAGTACACACAGAACGTATGTCGTCCACAGCGTTAAAACAACCTTCTCAAAATTGTTAAAACATGGCCGTCTCTAAATATATTCTTCAAAAATATAACTTCACCTAAACCGAAAAGTACAATCCAGGTAAAATTGCACGGATTTTGACTTCGAATTGTTATCAAAGGTAAAATATTTCTACCATGATAACATAAACCCGTTCTCAACCTGATATTTCGATTTGCAACGTATGCAATTAATATTCATACTTTCTCAACCCGTCATTTCCCATTAGTGACGTATTTCAATTAACATGCGCACGCATATCCCTCACACGACCGGACTGGAAACTAATTGACACGGTTCAGAGCTCCCGCTACTTCCGGGAACATACCCACAGGTTAACTACTAACGCTTTGTAAATGCGTATGCATTGTAGCCTCGTTCTCGTAACACGCTTTAGCGAAAGCGTTTATTACCGTTAGATACCTAAAAGCGTGTTGATAAGCGAGGCAACAGCCGAGTTTTTTGGCACACTTCATTTGAAGTTTATTATCTAATGGTAATAAGCAGCTTTTGAGTTTATTATATTACTTCTCAAACGACCTTATATTTAAAGAGAAATTTAACGTGAAAATTGAGACCGTTTATTACCGTGTATCAAGACAACGAAGCGTTGCTGATTTTCTTTGTGTTTTTCTTATGAGTTATGAATTAGCAGTCTTTAATTAAAACGAAGGCGCACTAAAAATATAGTCATTACTTTCATGATTGTATATTAACGGAAATACATTATATTTGCAGTGATGACAATTTTAAACGAGTCTCCGCAAAAATGTAATATTAAACGAAGTTGAAGTAAAAACATCATTGCATCATTTGCGTGCTAGAACAATAATACTACAAGATTTCGTTGGTATGCATCAGACAAAGAGCGTTGCGGCATTAGCGAAGGTGAGCTGAACTGACCAAGATATGGGCTTACCGAGAGTCGGTAGCCTGAGTCACAGTAACGCTTAGTTTGTAACTTGTTAGACAAATATATCAGTTTAACATCGCACGAGTATAACAAAATCATTTTCTACTTAGAACTTGAGTCTTGAACAATGGCGCGATGTTTAGCCATGAGTTCGGCTATCATCCTGTTGTTAATGTGACATTTCCGATTCTCAGTTTTAAGGCTAAAACACAGCAAGCATTCATGCGGCACTGCGCACTGCTTTAAGGTTTATAATTTCGGCCTTTAAACTTTATCATATAATGGAAGAGGATTCTTTATAGTTATATGCTGTAAAATATTTTACGCCAGCTAATTTTGCGAAATGTAACATTAAACCTTAAACACACCATATATAGTAAGACGTTGTAAAGCCACGATTTCAGCCATGTGAACAAGAAACAAAAAGCAGGATTAAATTTCGACTTTCAGAGATCATTACCATATATATTACGGTATAGACATAACTGTCTACACCGGTGTAAAGATCTTTAGTATATCATTTCCTAATCCCTCAGCGGGTGAAGTAGAAATATCGCATTTTTGCTGTCCTTTGAAAAAAGCGCAACTCAAGTTAACAAATATTTTATTGCTTATATTAAATAACAATAACTGTTCTCCCAATCAGTAAAATTTTTCTCCGACCGTAAGCACATTTGTCCGATAGATCCGATCGATAAATCTGACATTTCCACTTTCAAAGAGGCATAGCCTCCTTTCCAGGCTCTTTATTTTCCAACCGTTTGCTCTTCAAATGACCTCATTTTGCCATCGGTAAAATTTTTGTCCGACCGTAAGCACATTTGTCCGATGGATCCGATCGATCGATCGGACTGTCTGACATTTCCACTAGCTTCCACTGAGGCATAGCCAATCTCTCTACCCATACTCTTTATTTTTCGCCGTTCACTTTTCAAATGACCTCATTTTGCCATCGGTAAAATTTTTGTCCGACCGTAAGCACATTTGTTCGATGGATCCGATCGATCGATCCGATCGTACCCGCCTGTCTTTGAAAAATGGACACTTAGAAAAAAAAGTGCTTTAAAATATATTGGTCCAGCTTTTCATGCTGGACTGTTGTAATAGTCTGGATGTCATAAATGACGTTATGCTGTATTTGTTTACGTGTATACATGCATCGTACAAACGTTTTCCGACGGTAAGCAAGTTTGTTCATCGGATCGATCGGTATTACATGTATGATAGATTTCTCCATCGGACACCGATCGCGGGTATTGGACATCAATCGTTTTGGGATCAATTCTTTCATTGCATCAGTACTTATACACCCATGTCAATCAAGTTAATTTCAAATTAAATGACGATCTAACCTGAATGTACGGACTTTATTCTTTTAACGCTAAAAGGGGGAAATCGGGAAAATCGGGCGGAACTAGGTTAAGCTAAACAGCCTTCGTTCGTACAGGACCCTTCGTAGAGAATTTCCGTGGGAACGAGATTGGAAACCCGAATATGCACTGAATTAGGCTTTCAGGCAGCATTTCTACCCATGGGTAACCTAGTTAAGAATATAACTCACAGCATCTTGCAGTTGGAGACATTTTGTTGATGAGAGATGATCAACCAGTCACTCGCACAAAGTGGAGAACATGTAAATAGTCTTCATGGACAAATCCGAGGGGCAAAACTGAGTGTAACTGTCCCTGCTCGCGCCAGGCTTCGCGCAAAATGTGTAAATACTTTTTCGTTTTGTTTTGTCGAATACTAGCTGTCGAGCATTAGTTTGTGCTAAATTGAATACTCATTAAACTTACGTACGTCAATAATGATATTGTGAAGATGATTGTATGTGTGGACCGGACAGCGTGTAAAGGCGCGAATGTTGCGTTATAATACGTTACAATGCGATATGTAGCTGTATGTTAAAAGCGGAATTATACGGCTTTTTACAAATAAAAGATTGCATCTGGTGCTTAATTAACCAACCTTTATTGCGGCATTTTTTCTAAATTGCTTCACAATTTGAGATCCCCGACTACAGAAGCCTCCTGATCCTGAACAGGTGTAGCCATTGGGACAACAATGTAGATGATCTGGACAACAAACGGCGTTCGGTAGAGGACAACATCCCCACTGGCCACTTTCCAGTTTACAGCATGTGTTACCACTTGGGCACTGGACTTCGCCACCAGGACAAACTACGTTCACCTATAAATGTTATAAGAAGACAAGAACTAGCAACGAAATCTTATTTCTTTATAGAAAAACTCTGGGGACTCTTACACTCTCTTTTGAAATTGTAAAGCTGCAGATTTTCACTATATAATTTTAGAAAAAATTTTCACCTCCCTCTTTTTTTGTTTAATTTGGACAAGTAAGGAATCTGATTCCCCAGATTATCAGGGGATCGACGATGCTCCTCCCCCCCCCCTAAATGTTGTTAATCGGATGCGCGGTAAACCGAAAACATTATCTTGCGGCTTGCAAATCTAAGAGTTTGAAAAAAAGTGCGACCTCTTCTATTAGACGCTGCAAATGTTTTCTCAAGCTACGCCAAGATAATATCTAAGAAGATGATGTACGCGCATATACGCGTGATATTTCACTGACGACATAGCAGTGTGGGCTACAAGAAAATTTCTTAAATTACCAAATTTCACGGAAATTGGCTAAGAACTTGCTTAATAGAAATTGGCCTAAAAACCTTCCAAATCCATCATTTAGAAATTGGCTAAAAACCGTTCAAATCATCCTGCAAATTTGCATCTGGGTTGCATCTTGCTCTATACCTCATTTAAAAACATTTCCTGCAAACAAATTTTACGTGGTTTGTCAAAGACTTAAATTGACAAAGGTTTAATCCTAGCATAGGCGAGTAGGGGATCGTACAAATTGGTCCTCCTGATTTTGCAGTAAATGGGGCAGCTACAAATTAACGTAGGAGCAAATAAGACATATTCAAGCAGGGATGACTTCTCTGAAGACATTTCCTCATTTGGTTGCTTCAGTGAGACCCGCTTTGAGATTTGTTTGCGATCTGGATTGTGAGTGGTACGCTGTTGGCTTCTTCTCAGTTACATACTTTTACTATCGTGGTTATAAACTACTAATTGGATGAAACAAGAGTATTCTCGAGAGTACACTACTACTCATCGATAAATTAATGCCTCTTTCATCACAAATTGCAATTCCATGTTTCTTACTTAAAACACGAAGGCATGCTTAAATATTGTTGGTGATCTTTTCTTGTTAATAGCAAAAACCATATCATGCAGGATTTTGTTTGCAAAAGAATAAACGTTCCCATGCAACATCGAAAAATCTATTGTATCTTTTTTCGTATTGTGAGATGGTAAGAATAAGCAGACAGACACGCTTGTAGGCTCAGAATCCAAGAGCATCGTTCGTTTGTAAAGGTGTCGTGCCGACATTTGAGTCTTTTTGTTAGTCTTCTTCCACTAATTTCTTCTCGAGCAGGGACAAAGCCAAGAGTGGCTTGCCGTAATTATCACTTAGCGTAGGTCAGCAGTTAGCCAATAGTGGCATGCACTTCTTATCACTTGGAAATGCAAAAATAAATTATGAAGTGTCTTCTTGTCCTTTCTTATTATACAAATTAAGTGAGAACAGTACAAGAATTAGAATGGTTACCAACGGTTGTCTTTAATGCAACCTATATACGTACTAGTTCAAACAGCAGCGAATTTTCGACATAAAAATGCATGTTCATCCCTATCTCTATTCTTATGAATAAAAAAACTATTCTTATGAATAAAAGCTATAAGAGATAAATTTCTATTCTAAAAACATTCTGAATAATTGTGATTTGCATTCAAAATTTGCATTGCATGCAAAAAAACTAAAGTAATTTGCATTCAAATATTTAATTAATGAGCAACATTTCTGGCAATGTGCTTATTGCCGTGTCGAGTTTACATTGTCATTGGTCGCTTTCCTTTATGCAGAAAAAACGGTCAGACCAGACCATTTATATTTCAGAACAGACTGATTGCTTGTTTTTAGAGCGATTCCAGAAATCTGCATTGACATATATCGTCATTCACATCTGCCCGCTTAAAGGAAAGCGTTCTTTGTTGTGCCTGAAACTCGTGAAATCGGAAAAACTCTACCTGAATTGCAGGTGATTTTTTAAATTTTTGAGTAATGCCAGATCCTCTCCTACAAGATGATCCTTCACAATTGTAGCCATTGGGAGGCAACAATGTATATCATCTGGGTAACATTCAGCTTCTGGCATGCACGCGAGATTTAACCACGCAAGCGTGAAATGTTTTGAGGTATTGAAATAAGTTACATAAAAAAATGTTCTAATTTCTCTTGTTTTGGGATCAATTCTTTCATTGCATCAGTACTTATACACCCATGTCAATCAAGTTAATTTCAAATTAAATGACGATCTAACCTGAATGTCAGGACTTTATTTTCTTAACGCTAAAGGGGGGAAATCGGGAAAATCGGGCGGAGAGACGCGCTTTCCTTCTGAGTTCTGCCGTATTGAAGATCTTGTTTGTTTTAGAATATAAAAATAATCCTACTATTTTTAAAGTTTTGTTTCAGTATTAAACCGAAACCTGCCCAAAATACGCCTTTCCATTTAAATGCTTATTTCAAATGTAGCCTCCTCCGCAGGCATCTCTTATGCATTTATATTAGGCATTTATATTTGGCCTGGGTTAGCTGGGTCGCGCAATTTTTTTTTCTCACTCCCCGACACAGCTAACCCAGGCCAAATATAAATAGTAGGCTATTTCAAATGTAGCTATACTAACCTTTTCGTTAACAGTTGTTGGAGTAATCTCACTCATTGCTTCCATCAGTTTATTTGTCTCAACTTCTATTGCCACTGCTTGGTGTAACACCAAAATCGAAACCAGGAGAAAATACATTTTCATTGCTAAAAAATATTCTTCTCTTTAAAAAGGTTGAAATATACATGATAACGCATGCTCATGCCAAGGTTATATATATCAACGTTTGGAAAATCACCAACTTTTTTGACAAATTGCCCCCTATTGCCTCTGTTCCGCGTCCGCTTAAAAGTAAACTTTGGAATTAAATATTATTCAATTAATCTGTTCAAATGATATAGCTATATGTACTGTATAATATATGTGGCATTATTGCTGGGATTCAAACGATGAGATGGAAAATCATGATGTTAATAATAGTCAATCCTATAGCTACCTGTACAATCTATACTGATTTTAATGAATAAGAGTATACGCACGGTGATGAAACAAATATATACAATTAATAAATCGTAAATGCTGCATCGGTTTAAACATTTCCCGAAGGGAAAAAGCTTGGAAACGAGGAAGATGCGTTACCGCATTCACTTTCATTTTCAGGCATTTCGATTTCCTGCGTCCAATCATGCATGCATGCATATAGCCTGACATTATCACAATCTATTGTGAATCCATTTATTTTCTATATTGCACAAGATATTCATTGTCATATGACTGTTAATTTACAGTGGACCAAGGTTATACGCTGGATTTTGGTCGCGTCGAGGGCAATTCAATCAGTAAATGATGAGATCTAGTCATCTAGATGATAACCTCATCTATTGTTCGAATTCGATCGACGCGATCAAAATGCGACGTATAAGCGTGGCTTAAGAGATTTAATTTTATAAATGACAGCTCTGACGGAGATGATTGGAAAGAAAAATAACTGGATTACGCGTTCACTTGACGCTTGGTTTTGGCTTAGAAACTCTGAAATTGATATATTATGTCGACAACGATTTAACTTTTTACTTCAATAGCATCTAACGCCATCCACTACACTTGAAATGAACCGCAGCTGCATGGGTAAGAATAATAATAAAAATAGCAATAAGCTAGGATAATAATATCCTGCATGAATACATGCGTAGTCCGATATCACAGTTATCTGGCTTATACGCAAACTTGGCGCTCATTTTGGCCTAGAAACATCGAGTCATCGATGTATTGTGTCAACAACAAATTAATTTTTTTACTTCAACAACACTTAGAGTAGCCAGTGTCCTACGTCACTTGAAGAGAACCGCAGGTAAGCAGTGACTATTTTGGAAATTTGGAGAAAGATTTGTATATATATGATAGAGATATATATATATATATATAAGATATGTATAGAGATATATATATATATATATATATATAATATATATATTAATATATATATAATAAATATGACAAATTTTTTATTGCGCGTTCGGTTAATCCATTATATTCCTCATGGTTTCATTTTACAAGGTCAAGATTTTATTTAACATTCAATAATATATTGACGTCATTTAAAGATAAATCCTGTATTCCCACCATCTTAAGAAACATTGTATCTATATAAGTTTATATAAGTTTACTTTTCGCCTGATGCTGGCCTAATCTCAAACATCAATGATTATTAATTGATTATCACACGAAATGTGAATTCCGCAAAAGTCGCAGGCAAACCTGCCTCAGAAATTTAATATTCGCTTGGGTCAGCATATAGCCTACAAGCAAGGAGTCGATGAACAAAGTGAAACAAACAAGCATGCAGGAAGCTCAATTAAATATCGCGCAAATACAAAACCTGTTAAGACATGTATATATAGTAATCCGCCCCGCTTTTACCAGGTCATATAAGATAAATATATGCATGGTTATATTGCGAAAGTGCTATCTTGCATTTCTATTTTGGAAATAGTTTCATCGCGAAAGTAATATGTTATACTGTCGATATCCTGCCACTTATTCGCAAAACCAAATTTGAAAGACGATGAACTAAACGAGGAGACGTGAATTTTGCCCGCTTTTCAATGAATCTCAGTGTTATTTCAAAAGATACCTCACAAACCTAGCGCGGACCTAAAGATCTCGTTCAAACCAAGTTGGTAAGAAATAGGAAGAGCGAGCTTTTCTTCGTTCAATGTTACTTCTATTTATTCTGATTTCGTTTCATCCCGTGATACTGTAGGACAAGCAACATGCAACTTGATAGGACATCTCAAATTGAAAGTCATGAAACGTGAGCTTGCGAAGTAAACACGAATTTCGGTAGAACCTTGCACAACGGCACCAGCACCCGCGCTGCTTTACCCAAATGCTGTAAAACGCAAGTGATATAAAAACATTTCGACTTACCCGCTACGTAATATTCGAATGATTCACCGCCAAGGTCAAACAAAGAATGAGAACCGACCTGCTGACACGAACAGTTTTCACAATGTGTGTTGCACAATTGGTAATGCACGTGACAGACGCCTGACGTTTATGCTAAAAGCAATGGGTTTTATACACGTCACGCCGAACGATAGGTTCCTCCGGTTTTTTTCTGATTTTCAATCAAATTGGTATTCTCATTATCTTTTATTAATCTTGTTAGGATCATTTTGAGAGTAGGATTTGGTTAATTCTAGAAAATTAAGTTAAGAATGATTAGGCGAGAGCTGAATCATGCGCTGAATGAACTGTAGGAGCGACGTTGGAGCAACATCAGAAATGCGTACGCATATTATAAATATCAGGTAATAAAATGACAGAGTTGCAAAGAGTTTAACCTTCCCCCGGTAGGATTTCAAGTTTTGAAAACCTTCCTCAAGATGACGTTACGTCACTGAGTCAAATGGCGACCAGAATAAGGAGATATTTGTTTTTTGGTACATGCATGTGATCAATTAGAGTGTTCAACTTTGAACCTTCCACACAAACCTCATTTAAAGCAAACCTTCCTCACGGGTGGTACCCGCGTACCCACAGCTTTTTTGCAAATATGTGGAATGATAATATATTTAGAAAAATATGGGCGATGCCGTCTTACAATATATCATTTATGGGCCCTCTGCAAGCTTAAGGGGGACTCAGCAAAGTGTTCATAGATTGATAATCCATCGAGATATTGGGAAGGGGGGTGCAATGTATACTAAAAATTTCCGAATGAAAGCAAAATTTTCGGAAACCAAGTTTTCATAGGAAAACAACGTGCTGTAAGTAAGCTAGCTATGGTAAACCATCGTTAAGATCGGCATGGTTCAGCACTATATGATTATGTAGCTATAATAGATGTATCGAAATATATATCGAAATATGAGGTGATGTGACTATTTCAGTACCCAACCCTAAATCCACCACTTCCAGTAAGCCTCCCCCCCCCCGGAACGGCCCTGATGATGGAAAAAGACAATTATTAATATTATCCAAATTAATGAGATAAAAACGAATGAATTAATGAGATAAATGGTATAATTTCATAAATCAACAATACTTATTGCAACATTACCTGAAAAAATCAAACTGTCATTTAATGTTTTGTAATGCAATTGGGCAATATTCTCTGGAGTTCTCTCAGGATATAGCTCCTGATTAGTAAATTTGAATTCGATGCACGTTTCAAATTTCAATGTCGTAAGGTCCTACATTGTTGTTTTGTTGAAATCAGTATTTTGTTTCTAAACGTTGAAATATACCTTCAAGTCTTCGACAGTAAAAAATATTGAAGAATATAAGTGTGTGATGAAGAATTGATTCAGTTAGACGTTCCAGGGTTTTAGACGTTCCAGGGTTCATTCTCCAACCCCCCCCCCTCTTTAAGGTTTAGCTACCTCCCTGCGACATTATCAATCAAATTAAAACTCTAGTATTTTATGAAGTTCAGCACATTTTGTGTACGACAATGGAAAAATTGCATTCGAATAACAAAACAATCCCTTCCGGGAGCAAACTGTAAAATTTGTAGAGTAAATATAATTAGAGCTCGTGATGATTATGATGAAAAAACTCTCTTAATATCTGGAGATATGCAAACAAAAGCCTAGCTTCTCAAATGCCCATTTTTTATGCACACCAACGACCAAAATTAGTAATTATATTAATTCATTGTCATCGAGGAAACTTTTTCAAAAAGGACCTCAGATGGAGTTAATATGAGTTGGCTATATATGAGTCGTCTATACGTTTAGTTTCTTGAGTGAATTCAGTAAACTTTCATGTACCAAATAATAGTTCTTTAAAATCAATCTTTCCACCGTATCATATTTTGCTGTATCCTCTACAAAAATTCCCGTGTTGAAGAGAATATTGCGGCTCACTCGTATACCATATAATATTTTCTATATATTTAGCTTAAAACACGACTTCACGTCTGTCAATCTTCAAAGGAAAGCCTTTCATTTGTAGTCTTCTCAGATTATATAATTTTATGATGACGTTACGAAATCTATGACGTCGAGCAAATTCAGCGCAGCCCCCCCCCCAAAAAAAAAGGAAATTAGCCCGTACGCCTATTATAGTGGTCTCAGCTTGTAGCTTTCTGTAATTCTATCCCTCTCCCGTTCTAGTTCACTTTCCAATTTCATTTTATCTCTCTGCCACTTTCTCTGCCACTGCTTCCTTTGGCATTATCTATATCTTTCTCTACATTATCAAGTTCGTTACTTTCGTAATCATTGCTTATCTCAACTACACTATTTGTTGGTGTAATTTGATACTTTTCTAATGCAGAAACTTGAAAAGCTGATTCATCACTCACACTTAAACTCATTGAGCAGATCTTAATTCTCCCATAACGTTTCTATGTCGCGGTGTTTCCTCTCTCGAATACGAGCTTGACTTTCAGTTTCTTAGCTTAAATAATCTTTCCTTTAATGAACGGAAACAACTTTCTCATTGATCAGTAATTCATTGTGTGTTAGGCATAAATCTACACAGGCGTAAATTTTAATTTTACTTATAAGTCCTTCGAGTTTCTCGTTTTCTTATCAGTCAAATTTTAAATGTTTTCCTAAAAGGATCATGCTATCCTTAAATCTCAAATCGACGAATTTTGTTTGGTTTGTTAGACCACAAAACCTTCAGCGTTGAATGCAGATATGTTAAAATAACTATAGTTTCTCACTACACCGTGTGTTGTTGTGAAAGTTTGTGAAAGCTAAATCTCATCATCGATCTATTGTCCGAATTGCATTCGACGCGACCAAAGGGGGACGCATAAACAGTCACATGCAGTGGTGGATCTAGGGGTAGTCAGAATAAACCTACATCTTAAAATCGCAATCGCGTTGGTTGATTTTTATTTAAAAATACTTCTTTCCAAATGGATAACCAATATTTAAAATTAAAATGTATAATATATATAATAATATATATATATATATATATATATAATAATTTTATTCTGACTACCCCACTACATAAACTATGCTTAAGGCAAGTTTTCATATGACATAATTCGTCATGATAATTCGCCGTAATTTGCATAATTATGATAACATGATAACGAATTACAACGAATCATGACATCAGAGTTATGACGAACTATGTCAGACGAATTATGCAACTGTTAAGGCGGATTTCCACTTACAGCGAAATCGTTCGCTAGCGAAATATTTGCATATTTTCTTTTGAATTGAGAACGGTCAAGTCGCACTAATTTATTTATGCTGTTAAAATTCAAAAGAAAATACGCAAATATTTCGCTAGCGAACGATTTCGCTGTAAGTGGAAATCCGCCTTAAAGCTAGTTATATATTTAGTTTAAAGAGGAGTGGTCCATTACCTGTCGTCCTTCGCCAGAACCATGCATTGATTTGCATTTATTTCATGTCAAATGACTCTCAACTGACGCTCGCATGCAATGTGAAACGTCGACGTCACTGACTACAGAACCTTGAAAGACTTTAGTCTTTAGAATCTTCATTCATCTTTTTCACGTTAATACTAAGTCGATACATGCCGAAATGGTCACCGACTCATCGGAATCAGCGAGTGCTCCATATAATTACGCATGCAGTCTGCAATGTGAAGCTTCGCTAATTATTCATTTCAATGTCATTAAATGTCTACATATTAAGAGCCATGTGCCTGCCGGTAATGGTCATCGGCTAAAGCTCGTGATATTCATCGTCAGGAGTTTCACGAATTTAACGATCTGCAATTGAAGAAAAAAATAACTTTTGCCACGAGAAATTTAATGTTTAAAACCTCACTAAAGGAAATTAGGACAAAAATATAAAACGAAAACAAAAAAGAAGACACATGCATTTATAGATATACAGGGTGTCCCAAAAAAACGCAACCACTTAAATATGCAAGAATATTAATATTGTTCGGGTTTGCACCATAGTTCAGCTAAAATGACTTTTAGCATTGTAAATGAAGGATTAAGAGCCATTTTCAATTCCCAGAGGTGCTTAACTATTGCGCTTTAGAGCTGTATTAATGTTCTGCATATTTAAGTGGTTGCTTTTTTTTTTGGGACACCCTGTACAGGGTGAGTCAAAAAAAACTGACACCTTTGAAATTCAAATTAGCTGCGAACTTATGGCTGGAATATGACAATTCCCATGTACAATCAACAAAACCGATTTGATAATACTGTTCTTTTGTATTTACCGAGCTTAGAATGCATTTTAACTCCCAATGGGAACAAACTTTTATGTCTTAGGTTAATTAATATGATATGCTTCGTATACTTATGAAATATTTTAAGCAACTTCTGCCACATTACAGCCGCTATGCGACTAATTTGCATAGCTAATTTTAAGAATTTTTTATCACTGCACATATCACAATAGTAATAGTGGAGAGGGGGACATGATAAAAATGGCCCTAACTGGAAATTGGTAATTTAAAGATGGGGGGGATTGTATGTGTTCTGCAGGACCTCGTGCAGAAAATTTTCTGTATTTTCGAGTCCCTATGACTTCATTTCCAGCATTTTGGGGGACAATTAGTATGAATCCATCTCGGCAGAGTGAGGTCTGTAGAGAAAATGCCATTCATCACTGCACATTTCTCATTTTATCACTGCACACTTTACTTTTATCACTGCACAAATTGGTTATCACTGCACACTAAAATTAGGTATGCTAATTTGAATTTCAAAGCGTTTTTTTTTACTCACCCTGTATAGACCCGTGCTTTCCAAAGCATGAGACATGCAGATTATGAACAAATGCAAATTATGACAAATGCAGATTATGAACGGTTTCGTCGAAATTGCTATGCTGAAATTGAAGATAAAACAAAATTATGGTACCAAATCAAGCGATGAATGATATAACATTACAAAAAATTGGGCAAAAATGTCATAGAATGCATGGGCGCTTGCAATAAATAAGCAGAACACCTACAAATATATGGCTAGGAATCGTCGACAATTCAAAGAGAAGAATTGAACACGCCAAGCTCAAATCTAAACATATTGTAATTGCAGATCATTTCAACGTAAACATAGCTATTAATATTTACTCACCCGTCTGCTTCAGCCTGCGGCATGAAGTCATTTTAAAATAATTTACTCACGCAATCAGCTTTTTTTCTGAATCCTTGCCGTTTTGAATTAAGAGTTCTTCGGCTACATGGACAATAGCCGTGGAGAAAATTCTGTTTCCAATTTGCCTCCTAAATTAGCCACACGATCTTGATTCCTATTGGTCGAATCTTTCCCAAACTCGACATATTTGTTAAAGCCGGCACCTAAACTTTGTGCTCTTAGAACATGCTATGTTAATTTTAGATGAAATTACGAGCTGCATCTATTTCAACACCCTGCACATACAGGGTGTCTCAAAAAAAACGCAACTATTTAAATACCTATATTACAATAAGGCACAATGAAAATTTTATTTTAATTTCTCTAGAAAATTTTAAATTTTTGTAGGCCTATTTACCATCATCAGTTTATAAGTTGTGTTAATCCCCAGGAGCAAAAATTCGCGAACAAGTCATTCAAATTTTAACAATACTGTTAGGTGATTTCAATAATTTGGGGGGTTTGGGGACACCCTGTATATCATCATGACGTTTACACAGGCTTTATATAGCGCATTCCTTATTGAGCTCCGACGCATCACACATTAACCACGAGTAATAAATAGAAAATTTCAGTAATAATTTATTTCCGAAAAGAAAGAAGCCAAGTTAGCCAACATTGAACGATGTACTATTGGCGAACAAATTAAAAGCGGTTAACTTTGCAACTGTTTATTTCAACAAGTCGTGACTAGTTCGTAAGGCGAGTCATAAGGTCCATAAAGTTCATACATGCAAAAATATAGTTGCATGGACACGTCTTGAAGAACCCTTATGTCTCAGTAATATTCCAACTATATAATCTAACTCATCTATCTAAGCAATTCGCATGATTACCATTGCCAGTATAACGGTAATTCTGATGATAAATTCGAAAGAATATAGCAAATAACAATAAATCACAATGCGAATATCACCAGCTTTTTTACTCAAAGGAACATGCAAGGATATAGAGCTGAAACAAAATGTTGTAGACATGCATGCAATGAAATTACTTTCGTCCTGTTATATGACAGTTAGCTTTCGAAATTCCTGTTAGTGATTTTGTAGTAAAATCGTCGAAACGCTAACCTGTATTCTCTGCTTCGAACGGTGTAGATGATTGGATTAACGGCAGAGTTGGCTACAAATATGCTACCACTAGCAATATATACACTTGTCGGAACACAATACTTGCAGAATATCTGAATACCATTGACAATAACGGTCGGAATGATACAGAGCAACAACGCGAGGACGATAAATCCGAACGTTTTAATCTGTTTCAACTGCTGCGTGTAAGTTCGCCTTCTGGCAGTTCTGCCGCTTGATGTCTCTTGATTACCAGCGTACGAAGATGATATACTTTCTCTGTCAATTCTTCTCCTCTGTTTTCTTGCGACGTTGTAAATTTTATAATTGAAAATCAGCACTCCAGATAGCGGTGCAGATACATTGAGGGTGAAGAAAAAAGTAAAGGAGACCAAAGAGGTTCTACAGTAAAGTATGTGCGTATCAGGCTTGCCGGCTGAGAAATATACAAAGTTGACGTTTACTACAGCGGCAAACCAAATGATAGATAGTATGATGTAAGTTTTTCTCCAAGTCATTATCATGGGATACTTTAACGGGCGGCTTACATAGATATATCTGTCGGTGGTTATCGCCAACAGATTGGCTATCGATAAAGCGACACCGGCGCACGTAACCGTAGACGCAATCTCGCAAAATAATGCGTGTTTGATATTGCGTTCACCCGCAGCAATGGATGAATATTCGATGGACAATATTGGATAGTAAGTTGAGCAAACCAATAAATCCGCAATTGCTAAGCTCGTCACAAAATACGTCGTGGGCGACTTGGCATTGACCCCGAAAGAGTTATAAAGTATTACCATTATGTTGCCGATGACCCCAACTATCATGCTAAGACATTGAAGTGCTGCCATATTAATAAAAAATTCTCGAGATGGTAAATAATTGTCTGTTAAATTTAGTTTGACCATGTTTTTAGAAGACGACGATTGAGATGGAACCTCGCTACAAGCTTAATTGTTAATTCAACTAGGCCTAAGTCACATTAAGATTTCTGAGCTTCAAGCCAAGCTGTTATGTATTAATTTTGTTCCCAGCTTCAGCGGAGGTCGATTAAATATTTAACATGCATATCGCTTTTGTTCCCGGAAAAATGTCAATTTCGTAACTTAATTTCAACTGATTAAAGATAAGGATGGATAATCCGGCATAAATTCATCGATTTTTAAGAACCATAAATCATTTCAAAATATCATGCATGCATGCATCCATCAAAGGAAATCGTTGTCAATCTTGAAAACCCACTGTGCTCTTGCCTCTCTGACTCTGCGTTTTTCCGTTATTAATTGGTGCTCTTCACTTACGTTATTACTATTTATTTTCGCGTCAAATGAATATTCTAACTGTTATAAATTATTAACCGTGTTAAAGTGACTTAATTGAAAATTGCGAATAACGTAAATATTTCATTATATAATTTTATATAATTACATCTTCCCTACTCCGTCTCATGTGGTCTCAGGCACCGAAAGTTGTTCTCATGCTCTTGCATTCTGGTTGTTCTCATGCTTTAGCTTAAATAATTTTGATAACTAAATGATAACTGAGGAAGAACACTGTTTCTTTTTATGAAATCAGCTCTGTTAATTTTAATATAAGTGCCGGCTATACGTTGATATACAGAAAGAAATGGATAGCACACATGCAGAAGGATACTATATACACATGCAGTGCCTTTTACCAAATGGATCCAAATGGCTATATATTAACATATAAATATGCATGCCTTACGAGCCACCTGCAAGGGCATACAATTGTCGCCAAAATGAAAATTTTCTTCGCCGCGCTGTTTTCACAAGGAATTATTCTAACACCATAATACAATTTCTACTATGTTATTCCTAAAATTTGTAAATTTGCATATCAGATGAAATTGACGGTACGCGTTTCACTGCATTAGAGACATAAACAAAGCTGATTGCAATTGGAAATCCATGCATAGTATAGCTACATATATTGAAATTAGTTTAAAAAAAAAGTTACTTTTTTATCATGGAATTTTCATTAATGTTTTCATTTTTAACACCTTCTGTTTGCACTCACATTATTCCTTTCCGCAATTCCAATAGTCATTACATATCGCAATTACATATTGGCTAATTTGGTATACAGTTGTCAGCAACATTATTAATGTTGAGAATTTTTACCAATCTCATTTCAATTGTAAGGTTCTTAAAAATACGTGTTGTGTCAAGTTAAAGTTTATAAAAGGTCTGCATGTGTATATGCATGTTTGACACAAGCTCCCCACATGAACAAGGGCAGATTTCGTTCTAAGCCAATCAGCGCGTTTGTTGACATTTTTGCTCTCCGCCAATCAGAATGCTTGAAAATAAAAATTGTAAACAAAAGGAGCGAGAAAATATTGCCGTATTCTAAGGCATCCGTGAGCCAGAATATTTACTTTTTATATTCGAAACCGAAAGAATGCAATAAAACATAAATATATCTTGAATTTTGCCGTGGGGTTTTTTAAATTTCAAAACATAACGTGAAATATCGACGTTTGAATTACTGCAATGATGGCGCTCTATGGCTGCAATATATCGTTAATATATCGATAAATTATTTGGGGAATAATGTCGGTTTCCTCTCAGGATTCTCCTTTCCGTCTCATGTTTTCATTTCAGTTCTGAATAATGCTACTTGGAATGAGTTGGATCTTTGGGACAATGAAAACACCATGATATAAATAATAACCATTGTTCGGAGCTTGCTAAGATGTTTTTTCACGCTCAGTGGACATTCTGTCAGAACATATGGCACTGTTTACGCAATAGTAGAGATTCACAGCACCAGCATCCCTGCATATCACCTCAAAGGCATTGGGATCCATTTCTGGTTGGGAAAAATTACCAATGTGAGACTTGATTTTTCTAAGATCATCACTGAAATTTCTTGAGCAGTGAAGAATAATCATCTGCAGAGAGAAATACACTGTCAACTCTTTGGCACTCTTTGTCTGCAACATCCAATATTTTTCCTGTATAAAAATCTTGATTGTCGATGGTATTTGCTTGGCTGCATGGGTGTTAAAGTTATTGTTGTTGTGTCACTTGTTTGGCTCTATGATGCTTCTTGGTTAAGTGCTTGATCTTCTACATTATGTTGACTTTCAGCAACCTTATCAGTGGCTATAATTATATCACCGGCCTGGCTATTAGATTGTTCTTGCTTCTCATTCGATTTTTGGCTGGATTCAAGGTGATGAATGGATGTAGTACCAGTACATTCAGGATTAACATGCATCTGCAGCAGAGTATAGTAAAGTACAGTAAGTTAGCTATAATTATTATATTAATTTACCATAATTAACATGTTGGAGGGTGGAAGGGAGGTGTATAGGATTACTTATATAATTTTATATTATAATGAATGTAACTCTCAATTTAATTATAATTTAATTATAACTCTCATCCCCCACACATTCCTTCCCCTTTTCCCCATCATCTTCGCCCACCTTACTCTCTACCTACTACATTACACTACTAGGTTACAATTAGTAGCATCACAAATAATTTACAATTTACTTGATCATAGATCACAATATAAGATTAGGCATTCAGATGAAGTTTGAGGAATTAAGGCTGTGTTCTGATTGAGTGCCCGGCAATTGTGCTGGCACTTTTTCTGGTGCCTAGGCTTCACACAATTATCTAAATGAAATTGGCATAATGGCATGGTACCCAGGAATGGGCACTACCTCCAGATGTATAATTAAATTGAGAGTTACATTCATTATAATATAAAATTATATAAGTAATCCTATACACCTCCCTTCCACCCTCCAACAGGTTAATTATGGTAAATTAATATAATAATTATAGCTAACTTACTGTACTTTACTATACTCTGCTGCAGATGCATGTTATAATCCTGAATGTACTGGTACTACATCCATTCATCACCTTGAATCCAGCCAAAAATCGAATGAGAAGCAAGAACAAGCTAATAGCCAGGCCGGTGATATAATTATAGCCACTGATAAGGTTGCTGAAAGTCAACATAATGTAGAAGATCAAGCACTTAACCAAGAAGCATCATAGAGCCAAACAAGTGACACAACAACAATAACTTTAACACCCATGCAGCCAAGCAAATACCATCAACAATCAAGATTTTTATACAGGAAAAATATTGGATGTTGCAGACAAAGAGTGCCAAAGAGTTGACAGTGTATTTCTCTCTGCAGATGATTATTCTTCACTGCTCAAGAAATTTCAGTGATGATCTTAGAAAAATCAAGTCTCACATTGGTAATTTTTCCCAACCAGAAATGGATCCCAATGCCTTTGAGGTGATATGCAGGGATGCTGGTGCTGTGAATCTCTACTATTGCGTAAACAGTGCCATATGTTCTGACAGAATGTCCACTGAGCGTGAAAAAACATCTTAGCAAGCTCCGAACAATGGTTATTATTTATATCATGGTGTTTTCATTGTCCCAAAGATCCAACTCATTCCAAGTAGCATTATTCAGAACTGAAATGAAAACATGAGACGGAAAGGAGAATCCTGAGAGGAAACCGACATTATTCCCCAAATAATTTATCGATATATTAACGATATATTGCAGCCATAGAGCGCCATCATTGCAGTAATTCAAACGTCGATATTTCACGTTATGTTTTGAAATTTAAAAAACCCCACGGCAAAATTCAAGATATATTTATGTTTTATTGCATTCTTTCGGTTTCGAATATAAAAAGTAAATATTCTGGCTCACGGATGCCTTAGAATACGGCAATATTTTCTCGCTCCTTTTGTTTACAATTTTTATTTTCAAGCATTCTGATTGGCGGAGAGCAAAAATGTCAACAAACGCGCTGATTGGCTTAGAACGAAATCTGCCCTTGTTTCCCCACATGCGCAGTGACTCGCACATTTTACGTTTTTTGTTTTTTTACGAACAATGAACAAATCGTACAAAAGGAACAGGTATTGACCCTCGTTGTCCATATTTATTCTCCGCTGTCCACCAGGATTCCTCATCTTTGCTGACGATTGTTAAAACTTCCCCTTTTTGGAATGACAGGTCGTCGGGATCCTGAAATTCAGATGCGCATGCTTGCTTATCCAATTTTGCGAAGTTACGTAATGTAAGTTTCCGAAATAAAATCTAAATTACCTCGAAATACTCATATTTCACCCCCTTCTTTTGAATGTAGAAATATCAGCCTGGAACGTATAGGCGCTTAGGAATGTTCCTTGCATACCTTCGGGGAGTCTCTAGATCATCATCGACGAACGACCGTTTTTCAAACCATATAACGGCACTCGAGACTGCATGCATTCGCATGTTCTTATACTTCACTTTTACTCTATTCTGTTGGAAAACTATTTTGCTCCGGGCGCCGGTAAGTCTATCCTCATCTATGCAGTCTCTCGCACCCACCCGAGATGAGTTTGGATATATAGGATATATATTCTGATATTATAGGAAAGTTTTTCAGTATACAGCATGCATGTATTAATGGGAAAGTATACTTATACGCAGATCTGCATGCATGGTTGATTAAAAGAATTTTCAGTAGGTGGTAGCTATATACAAATTGCTCGCTAAAACTTAAATGCGACCCTATTGGATGTTAAACTACATTTTGGTGTAAAGGCTAAACATGAAAATACATGCTGACATGTAAACACTTAGATACCTTTCCATCAAAATTAAAACAAGCAACAACTTTCCATTCTTGTTCAACCTATAATCATAAATAATTATAAATATTATTACAAAGTTTATTAGTCAAATGCAAGCCAGGAATTAGCAGCTGAGAAATTGAGATGTGTCAAGTATCGGTTTTCAAGCAGGAATCGAACCTACACTTGGCGGTGCCGGTGCGGTATCGTACACTTATAAAGTTCCAAATTAGTGCCTGTATAAACTCCATGCAGTGAGTGAAAATTTAATATTTCAGCTATATGTGCATGTTCAAACTATATTGTACAGAAAGACAAGTGCATCCAAAAGGAGGTTTGGTAAAACCTATTCACCAAATGGCAGAATTTTTTTTCCGAATTTTAATTATTTTCGTGGTCATTTACAGTTATATTTTATTCAGTTATCATCACATTATATCATTATATTTGTCTTTGCGCGATGAAAACTCGAATCAATCGTGATATAAACATACTTACAGCATCCGTCAGAGTTGTTGTATGAAGCAAATGGCTTTTGTAAAATTTTATTATCGACGGAATGTCTGCAAATGTTTTCCCCCCAAAGTTGTAATGATCACCCTCGTTTTTAATCCTGTACTGGCTTACTTTATCGTTTTCTCTGAAATTTAAAAGAAGAAATATTTCAGTGATTATCGAAGAATTTCTTTTTGGCTCATTAATACTTCATCACTAGGCTGCGTTTCCAAAAACATATAGCGGCTGTTTTTATATAACAACACATCCGCGTGACTCGTAGATTCGGTGCATCTTTAACTCTTTATTATAGTCACTATATAAGAAAACTTAGCGAGCCCTGTATCTTTACTTTTTTTGCTAAATGTTGTTCTCAAACTATAAGAACAGGTTATGTAGTGTCACTGGCTCTTGAGATGTACTAGACAAAGGCTTTTTTCCTACAGCGGGAAAACAATTTTATGTAGAGCACTAAACAAGAAAATGTTACAGATATATAAAGGCTAAAATGAAGTTAAAAGTCCCGCATGCGTATTTGTATAAACTTCATGATATTTAATTCGATTCAAAGCCAACGCTTTGGGGGCTAGTAATGCTATATATAATATATAGACCATTCTTTCCGCATGGATGTAAGTGAACTTATTCTACAAATATCGCTTACCGCACACACAAGACCGCATTATCAGTTGGACTCCAGTCGTCCCGAACCAAATACGTCCCAGGTAGTTTGCCTTGTAATAACTTTTCCGTATTGGCTCCGTTGATGTCACTGTGATACCAACTATACGAATTAAGAACAATATATATTGTTGCTTTTTTTGACAAATACAACTATTAAAGACAAGATATAGGAAGTATATGATATTGAGCCGAGAACATGCAATCAGTCAAGGAATGCCTCACCGAAAGTTGTGTAAATTGGGGTAATCCATTGGCGTTCTGTTACAACTGGATAGCTGCTTTTTATAATTCTGCAGAATGCATCTACACATTGGTTTTTCTTCGTATGATATTTGTTCGTAGTTGTTGTCCTGATCCGGATATCATAACTAAGAGTTTGGTTCGGTCAAACGCAGTGGAGCAAAGGTCCGTTTCGCATGTGTCAAAACATTTGGCATAAATCATGTGCACGCGCACGTATATAAACATGTCGACAGGCTGACTATAGAAAAAAATTTCCGCGTTCTCTTGCAAGTAAAATTCCCTATTCCGAAATTATAATATGAAAATTCTCGTCATCCATGTTAATGCTTGAGAACATGCATGTTTAATTCATACACCAAACTATGTTCCGAAAGGTGTGCAGCACCACACAAAGTATTGGTCAATATATACGCGCGGATTTCATGCAGCATAACACTTGCATAACTTGGTAACAAATATCTAACTTCTGAATTTCAATTCATTTTTTTTATTGACTTCGCACGTACGCGGGCAGTTTCCTAATTCTTTCAAGAAAGACTGGAATCCGCGTATCAATTAATACATTCAGGCATGCAAGTACGAGGTTGAACATTCAGCAATTTGAAAACTAAAATTCCACCAATAGCTGTTATCCAAATTTTAGTTGAGGTTAGAACACTGAGCTCCATGTAAACTAGAATGCTAATTTGGCTGGAGTTGAAAGACCAGCGCCAGTGCTTTTGTATTGTTGGAAAAATCCGACTTTTGCTTCTAAATGGCGTGCATGATTTGCAGGGTGCGGAGGCTAGTCATCGTCCCACATTCAAGTGACTAAATGAGCTCGCATAGGAACAGAATAACTGAAAAAACCAAACACGAAAAAATCCCGATACTTAGCGATCGAGGAATATCGTTTTCGTTGCCATGCCCATGGTTGAATTCACGGTTATGGCGATAGTATGGCGGGTTACGCGATAGTTCAATACTTTACTGAAAAATATCGCATCTGGTTAGGAAGACACAACATTGATAGGGACAGTGTTGATAGGCATCATTTTGGCTTCTTCATTCAACAATCTTATCTTCTTCATCTGAACATAAACTCTCAACATACTCGCTTCATCGGTGAGTACGATTCCCGAAAATCACGCGAGACCACGCGCAGGGACAAAAATGACGGGAATAATGTGAAATCAAGGACAAGAAGTGACCGATTCTGGCGACGAAATACACCGTATTCTCGACGAAAGACATACAGAAAACATAAAATATTGAAGTACAGGTAAAATACGTTCGACGGTAATATATTTTACGCCTTGTTCCAGTACTTTTACCGATTTACGAAGCGGTATATTAGGCCGAATACAGTATGTGGGCCTATTCCACAACTACAAACCATGTTGACAAATTGCCGAAAAATTTCTCGCGTTCAAATTACCGCGCATATTAGGGCTGCGATGCTACAAGCTCACAATGATCTTTTCGGTAAGTACACCATGCCCTCGGCTCGGAAAATATCACCACTCCCGGAAATATTTCGCAAAAGCCGCGTTTACACTACGTGTTTGACATGGCCTGGACCAGACCTAGCCCCCAGGCCTAGGTGTGAACGTTGTTTATCCCGCCTAGACCAGGCCTGGACCTTCATGGTGTAGGCCACAAAATTCAGACCGACATTAAAAGGTGACCTGGATTGGAGCATGATTTTTGTAATGTGAACGGGCTTTACCTAGTCCTGACAAATTTTGAACTTAATAGCACGATTTGTATAGGATCCATACTAGTATTAACACTATTCGGCGTGTTTTGGGTCCTGTTCTATCTTGTTCAGTTCTAGGCCTCTGGTGTAAACGCGGCTAAAAAACAGGATAAAGCGTAATGCCATAAGATAAGAGGAAGAAAAAGAAAAACTCTCGCCAATCTCTATAGCTATATCTTAACCGCTCGTATGTCATATATTACAGTTTAGTATTTTTGCACAAGTGAATATAACAAATCCTACTTTCTAATTGGGCAAATTTGACGTATGATGCTGTTACATTCACCTTCAGGTGAATAATTATAACAAATTTCAAAATGGCGGCTAGCCGTTTTGTGGAAGTTTCTTCCAAAGAGATATGCGAACAAATGCAGTTCTTGTGTCAATTCACTTGTGCAAAAATACTAAAACAATTATTCGCCTTAGGCTTGGTGATTATCGGGGAATAATTGTTTATAATTATATAGCTACTATAGATTAGAAGGATTAGAAGTAGTATGCCAAGGTTGGCAAGAAAATTATATGTGGAACATACATCGACGGTGTTTAAACATGAATAATAAAAATATAAACATCTCTTTAACAAAATACGCCAAAAAATAGCAGCCACTATTAAAGTCTAAGACTAAGTACACGATAGTTTCACTAAGTTTGTACTTTTGTTGAAATTTGCTTGTCCCAAAGCGGGATGCCTGTTGCCGTGCGAAAACCGTTGTTTCAAAACATATATATATATACATATACATATACATATATATATATATATATATATATATATATATATATATATATATATATATATATATATATATATATATATATATATATATATATATACACGTCATAAGAAAAACCGTTTTTGTGATAGTATGGCGAAACGATACAAAACAGAGGGTTATCTGGAATATTGTCCTCCTTCGACTTTACCAATTCCCACAATTGTTTAGATAGCTAATGCTCCAGGCTTTGCAGATGAAATACTTTAAGTCACTTAGGACAACTTGATTTGCACACCAACATGAAATGTCAGAACAATATACGACGTACCAACTTTTTATTACTGTTCTTGCGCACTTATATATAACATAAAACGATTAATTAAAAAAGCTATCACACATTGTTTAATTCCGTTGTACGAAGATCCGCACTTCACATTACACGTTTTACTGAAAGGAGGGAAAGCTAGAAGACCGAACTTATAGGCAGAATTGTGGCGCATCGACATCACACTATAGTTTTTCTCGCCGCCGGGTGCGAAAAGCACTATGTATAACATCCCACCTAGGCCTATAGTTAATGCTTTAAGCTCATTTGAGCACAAATTTTTCAAATCTAAATTATTCCGTAGATTGGAATGTTCCAATTTGTTTCACGGATGCGGCATGAAAGAGTTTCCAAATATTCTTCGGTACGGAAATGCTACGGATGGCACTTCATCTTTGCCGCCAGTTAAACGTTGTATGAGCACCGGAGTGCTTAGTAATGACCAATCCAAACAATGTGGAAGTCCACGTTGAAATGTTGCAGAAATAATCAAATTTGATTGCTTTGAACCATTAAATTAGATCAAGAAATTTTAATTAAAAAATTGCTAGTGAGTGTTAATTAGGGAGTAGATTTACTGGATGAGGTATAGAGAAGTGCTAAAATAAGTTAAACTGATGTACGCTTATTCGTTTATCTGTTTCAAGATAGCACCTTGAGATCAGATCCGGTATCGTCAGGACAAGGTGTAGTTCCGTCATAATTCACGACTTACGTATCATACTATTATGATAGTTATCATTATTCTTGTAATGTCATTTATTATTGTATGTATGTATTTTCAATTTGGTTTGCATCCAAATATAAATTTGGTTTGCATCCAAATATAACCATGTAAAGATTATGTACATGTACAGATATCTCAACATAATTGACTACACATCATTCCGCGTCCGTGAAACAAAAATAGAATCAAGAAAAATAATATTGTAAAAGATAAGGCAAGTAGCTTTCACTGTTTGCATATGCAAGCACAATCACTAACTACTGCATGTCTATGCTATGAATTTCGAAGTTATTGAAAAAAACTATACATGTGATGGCAAATCACGAATTTAAACGTGTATTGTTTCATTGCAGTCCGTCCTACTTTGCATTCTTCAATTGCTGAGATAACCAATCTAGGCCTTCATAAAGACCATCACCACTTGTTGCACAAGTTGCTTGGATATACCAATTGCGATTTCGCAATGAATGCAAACCGAGTTTGTCCGTTATTTCTGCCGCGTTCATCGCGTTGGGCAAATCCTAAAATAAAAAACCCATACAAATTTAGCTAAGAAGTAAGATCATTGGATGACAGGTATTTGTTTTTCAAAAAACAAGTTTAGCAAAAATAATTCGACTACTATTACCGTGTAGCTGTTTTAATTGCTGTTAAATATTTTTTGTTTATTTAACATCAGTTTAAAATTTTATTAATACTACTGTAAAAGCATGCATACTTTAGTAATATCAATACCACAGAATTAATTACATTGATCATATAGGAAGATATGCACTACAATAATTATGCCATCATTACATCAAAAAACAAAAGGTCAAAAGAAAGAAAATGGGTGCTGATGGTTGAAAACGGATTGACGGTTTTGCCAAATTAACTAAGGAAGCTACTAACCTTTTAATAAAGAATAAGCCAGCATTATAACTACATGAGCACTATTTGCAATGAATTTTTGGTGTTTTGTGAATAAATAAAGGAAATAATTATAACAAAATTTCATAATCCAACTTTTGTCTATCACATTTATGCAAACATACTCATGAATAGCACCTTTCCTAAATGGATGACAAGAGAGATTGATAGATATGCATTTAATTGCTTTCATAAAAAAGAGGTTTAACCATATACTTAATGTTTCAGTTCAAAGTTTATATTGATACCCAGCAGAAAATCCTGGGCTATAGGTATACCCCTAATACTTTTAGGTACATATATATATATATATATATATATATATATATATATATATATATATATATATATATATATATATATATATATATATATATATATATAGGCAACTGGCAGTTTAATCAGATTATTAAAGGGACCACAATTTCATGGATTGTTCTGATTTTTTAGTCCATTTGATAACCAATGTAATCCTTCATAAAGACCATCCCCACTGGTGGCACATGTGGATTAAATATAGCAGCTTTGCCTTTTAAAAGATGGCAAATTAGGTTTGTCAGTTACTTCAGCTGCATTAATTTGCATTAGGCAAATCCTACAAGAAATGCAGGTTAGTATATATTATTATTTAGTTATGGTTAGTTATTTGTTTAATTTTGCTTTGTAATAGCAAAAATGATTAAGCCTTTAAAACAATAATTGTTAATAATATGTGTTAAGTTGCAAACCACTTTCTCCATGCACTTATATAATACATTAAACTTTATTTTAGACTAGGATATTTGAATTAGAGATTAGAAAATGAGCACTACTTTTTGCAGGTTTCAAGACAAAAAGCATTATATAAAAAAGAGATATTTCTCTATTTCTTTTTAAAATATCAAAATTACAAACAAATAAATAGAAGAATTATCAATGCTACAAAAAATTCTAAGATTGGGAAATTTCACAACACAGATTCCTGGAGACACTTAAATGCCAGGCATCCTGCTGCTTAGTCAAACACAGCTGTGCAGGTCAAGAATCTGATCACTTTTTGCAAAACAGAATTGTTGAATGCATGTAGGGATTCATTTGTTATATACAATGACATTTGCTTCGTGGATCCTAGACTTGGTTCAATATGCCAAATCAGTAAGTGCCGATTCAGACCCTGTTTTGGGACTTTTGGCAGGAGTGAATATTTTGGACAGCAATATTTGTCGGTAGAATGGAAGATGTTGCAGTGTTGAGTGTTATACACCCAACCACAATGTTGAACATTTCTGAAATGCAAATATTGACCCACACTGGGAAGTAAGTTTGTCACTTTTGAGCTAGAAAACACCATAAAGATGAGACATTACGGATTAAACATATTTTCCTATTGCAGGATAGCATAAGCTATGATCTATTACAATGTAGATATCTTGTATTATATTTCAAAAATTGTAAACATACATACAGAAATGTACATTTATACAAACAACCTAATGTCAGCATTAATCAAATGGTTGAATGCAAAACTTGTACTAAACCAATAGGACTCTATACCAATTTGGGTGTTTATTACCCTAGTCAAATCATTTTCACAAGTAAGTGTGACAATGTTACCACAAGATGCTGTAATTTGCAATAACCTCATTCAACTCTAGCTGTTTGTGTGCTCCAATTTACAATATATAATATCAAACATTTCAAAATGTTTTATATTGAAAGAAGTGGAAACTTTACAAACAGCAGTCACAGCTTCAAAAAGAAGAACGTCTGATGTGAAATAATCACATATCACATACTTTTCAAGAAAAATTTATTCTACAATTTACAGTCTGAACACTAATTTATATAATGAAAGTGTATGATTGCCTATTGATTGCAGTCTACTAACAGTGATAAATTTCTAAATATACACAATCTACTGAATTCTCTCACATCAGATTTACAAAATATTAGGGAGGGACTTTATGGTTGATATGAGTAAAAACGAAAAGTTTAATGTAAATAGTAAAGTCTTATCGCAATTTGGCGGAAGCATATATTTCGACATACATATATACTTGATGAGATGTCATGTATAAAACTAAAATCGTACTGATATAGGTATGTCGCAGATAAAGGGCCTAAAAAGTTTTTTCTCAGCATATGAGAGAAAGGAAATCAAAGACATTTCTTAATACAAGACGTTCAACGTAATTTTTCAAAATTTTTTGTAGTTTACCTGTTTATTTGCAAAAACCAAAAGCACAGCGTCTCTCAGTTCGTCTTCGTTCAACATGCGCATTAACTCTTCTCTTGCTTCACCAACTCGCTCCCTATCATTGCTGTCGACTACGAAGATTAGACCTTAAAAAAGACAAAGAAATATAACTTTGCTGGAACGAATGAAAGGACGCTAAAAGTCAGCTTAATATCAAATATACAGTCGGACAAACCTTGGGTATTTTGAAAGTAGTGTCTCCATAGTGGTCGGATTTTATCTTGGCCGCCAACGTCCCACACTGTAAAACTGATATTTTTATATTCCACCGTCTCCACGTTAAATCCTAAAATATAACGCGATGTTAAAGATGTCAAACACCCATTGTCTTGAATATTTTCAAGATGGCGACCGAGCGCGATTTCGTAAAAAGCTCACACAGAAGCGTTTGGATTCGGAACGAAATACGAAGATATCTTACCTATTGTTGGAATCGTAGTTACAATTTCACCTAGTTTTAGTTTGTACAAGATAGTGGTCTTGCCAGCCGCGTCTAAACCGACCATAAGAATCCTCATTTCCTTCTTCCCGAATAAACCTTTGAATAGGCTAGCGAAGGCACCCATGTTGATAGTCGAATTTAAAAGAACGTAAGTACAGTCGAAAACTGTGTATTTAACTGCCAAAGACGATCAACTATACGTCGCTAATTATAGGTAATGATACTTGAAAAAATATCCCTCTTTATGGCAGCTTTTCTGTCGTTCAGAAGAAATAAAAGTTTTACAAAAGTGCCTTTGCAGGTTTCGACTTGTGGAGCGAGGGCGCGTCACATGTGCCACGTAATTTGAACGGAAATATGTGGAAATATGTATCTTCCGATCTTTCTCGATGAATGACGAATACCTACGATCAACCACCGACACCCTTCCGAATATATAAGCACGCGGATCCGGATCGCGGGCTTGGATCAGGGAGTGTTAAAGATTGACTATGTATGATAACAAAAGGTGTAATAATTTCACAACTTATTCCCAAATGAAAACTTTTACCTCTACCAAATGAAACCTTTTACCTCTACAAACCTTTTACCTCTAAAAGTGTGTCTTCTAGCTCGAGATCGCTAATGTTAGATTTACTTGTCCTTTTACTATATTCCCAAATGCACTGTTTTTGTTTTCTGTTTTTGGTGCGTGGAGACGAATATTTAATTATCTCCCATTTTTCATAAAATCATATGATTTTGCGATTAAAATATTCGATATATATATATATATATATATATATATATTTAAAAATGCATATTCAGACTACGAAAGGTCATAAAAAGGGCCAAAGAGAAAATAAGTCAAGCTCTAAAGGCCCTATGTTTTTGAGGAAGTTTGTCCTCTGTGAATATGGTTGAAAGTCGGCTATAACACATCGAAAAAACGCATGATCATTAGTGAAATTTAGCAAATATAAGGGCAGAGTATCAGATCAGTAAGGCCAGGTAGGGCGACTCACAGAGCAACAGCAACAAATTACAAATGCAATGAACCGTTGATACCAGACGAACTGAAAGATATCATTTATTTTGATTACACCAAGCGCCTCGTTTTCATTTTAGTTTTACCTATCGCTACTACGACACAACTTATATAACGGCATATATAACAGAATTATCTCCCAAAGACAAAGGCTACTGGCCTACTGCAAATTGTATAACGCCCCGAATTCAGAAATCAGAAAAACTTCAGGACGCCATCATTGAAAAATTTTGAGATTGACAAGTTATTTTAATCGTGCATGTTTATGTTGCAGCGTTGTCATTGGGGTTATTTATGACTACAAACTACACTGGCTGCTATTCTTCTAGTTGACAAAACATCCCTAACAACTAGATCATACTTTTTAAGATATTTGTGCACGTATTTAAACACCAAACATGCGCCATCTTGGTTATATGCGTATCTATACTTAGATATGCATGACGTGAAAACTTCGTCCTCGGCCTGGGTAAATTTCGTTTAGCTTCAAATTCCCGAGTCATTAGTGCATTGATTCCGAAGTGTTTCAAACATGACGTCTCCGCAAACAGTCTCACTATAAAACAAGATGGCGAACGTTTTTGTTTGCAAATATCTTGGGAATAAGATAAAAGGACTTTGCAACTTGGGCCTTGGGGATAGCTTGATCGTGCAAGACAAAATCCTTTTACCTCAAAACTGTCAGTCCACTGTTCTTGCAAACATAGCGCAAGCAATAAAAGTGCAAAATTTAATTTTTTTCAACCATATTTAGCCATAGATTTGCTATAAATAAAATTATGCAGTTTGTATTGGGCCTTTCGCACAATTATTACATGCAACAATTAATCGCGCGACTTCTATACAGAAAATATATAGTAGTATTAAAATTATTCATATTCGACGATTTACTTGGACTTTAATTTAGGCAAGTCTTGTGGCACGCCGTCAATAGTCTTAAATGTGACCACACCATCTGTTTTGACTTCCACAGTTTCTTTACCGTTCTGTACGATCCTGCACGATAAGGATAGGATATAGAGCAATATAGTGAAACATATGCATGTAACACCTTTTACAGGCTTGCACGAAAAAATTCTCCAATATAAGGTCATATATATATATATATATATATATATATATATATATATATATATATATATATATATATATATATATATATATATATATATATATATATATATATATATATATATATATATGTCCTGTTTTCCAAACTTAGTATTTGCTGCGTGCATATTCAGCTGTATATTGTAGTATACCATACGATGATGTTGGCAATCATATAATCATTAGTTCATATAGGTACTCCACGTATTTTCTTTGTTGCTGCAAAGCTTTTGGTTCGTTAACCTTAGGGCCTGTTTGTATGATCCCGCTAGCCGGGACGGGACACTTTCCGAGATCCCGCTTGCATGTAATACAAACATTAAAACGCGGGACGAGAAATTTGCCATGTAAACTCTCCATCCCGCTTGGCCGGGATGCATGATGTCGCGATAACATACTTTCGGAGCATGCGTACATTCGTTTCCTATACAATGAAACTGATGGCGTCGAACGAACCTGTACTACAAAATGAACTCCATATAAACACGCCGGGATCATATAAAAGGCCCTTAGTCCTTCACTATAGTGCACGCATGCAAGCTTCACTCTCAAAAATTGATTGCACTGATGAAGGTCCGGATTAACGGACCGAAATTGTCACATGAAGTAATTGAAATGTGGAGTACCTTCAGTAAAGCTTTAGCTTGGCCATTATCCATTCTATGACGACTTGTTCAATCAATATATTTGGTGCATTTTCTTGCGTTAACTTTGTCACAATTTAACACCCCATGATAAAATATATTTTATATGATTGGCTATGCATGGTAAAAGTTTCATAGCAAGTCACATTTTTTAGCATTTTTTCAATTTTCCAATCCTTATTCCTCGTAAACTTGATTTACCTAATAGACCCTTTCGATAATTACGTCACAACATTACCGTTTTAAATTTAGAAACACCGCTAACTGAGATGGATTTCAAGTTTCACTCTCACAAGCTATGTGAAAAGATGAAAAACATCCTTCTTCAACACATGCATAAAAAATTTTCTCATTTTGACCAATAAATGTGGAAATAAGTCATAACACTAAAACGAGGCTCATTCTATGCCGCCAAACAATGCTTTTGATGTGTAAAGTGGCATGTGTTGTAACATAAGCTTTCTATTAGCTCTATTATAGCTCGATTCTCGACAATTACCTCGACTCAATCCTGCAGGCTGGCCGCTTAATAGAGGTAAAATTGATATAAAACATCCATCATTTGAGACTGTTCTTTGGGTGGCCGCGGTCGCTTAATAGAGGTGGCCGTTTAATAGAGGGATAGTTAATAGTATTTGTACAAAAAAATTTCGGGACTTCGATATGTGACCGTTTAATAGAGGGTGGCCGCTTAATGGAGGGCCGCTTAATAGAGGTTCGACTGTACTATGAATAGCTACATAACTTACAAGACTTGGAAAAAGTATGCGAATTTAGTTTCCAGCAATTATTTGACTTTCAAGCAAATTTTCCTCTCTGTTGCATGAGATAATCCTGTTTACTCAATTATTTACGCATCGTCATCGCCAGCCTTCCAAATATTCACGTAATCTGACAGAAATTAAACTGTCACTCGTGGGGTTATAATAAAGTCTCAAAAGTATTAGTTATGTACTGCAAGCATGGTGACCGAACATCAGTAAAGTAAATATAAAAGTATAAGCCTCAAGTGCCGGTGCTGTAGCTATATACTATTATATACTGTTATATATATCTTGGAAATTGCTACATTACAAAAAAAATTAGCTACACGGAGAACAAGAGCAAAGAGGGGAAATTTTTGCACCTCTGCAACATTCTTTACAGTTTTCCATATCTTTTGTCATTTGAGAGGGATTAGGACGGGATTTGGCCTGAAAGCTCCATGGTGATTTATATATACTCCGCTTCAAACGACGTGATTATATATAGAATGAGCTTATTGAAAATGACGTTTTAAAAAGCAACTTGCTATGAAAATTCTCGCATCATGAAACAACCGAAAAAAGTTTGGAAAGAACTTACGTCGTTTTGACTACTTTCTTGCCATTTTGCATTTTAGTCGATGTGCTTACTGACTTGAAATTTCCTAAAATGCATTGAAGAAATTAAATTTTCGTTACATGTATCATACATAAACTGCATATTACCCTTACACTACTCAAACACATTTCAAGTGAAAAAATATAACTTGCGCGTGTAAATGAGGAACTTGTGATGAATCGGTTACGGCAAACACATTTAGACAAAAGATCGAAAGCCGTTTTTCATATATGTACTGATCAAAGAAATTCTAAAAATTTGCTTTGTGCATGTAAAAGGGTCTCGTGGATTTACTGAGAAGTTAAACGTATATAATAAAGAATGTTCTGGATAAAGATGTCACACTACCTCCTCTTCCACCACTTCCACTTCCAAAACTAGAATTTTAGCAAAAATATTTATAATCACGGGTTTGTTTACATGAGCCCGGTTAGCATGCATGGATTCAAAGTAGGACTTTGAGGCGTTTAAATAAGTTTTTATGTCGCGAAGTACCCATATGATATTGTTTTGGATGACCACACCGCTGCCAGATTGTTATAGATACTCATTTTAATACCTCAAAGTCATTTAACGCTTCATTTAATCACGCCTCAACGGGATCATGCATGTAAACAGCTCCAAAGTTAGGCCAATGTAAATCAGGTCTTGGATATACATCGCTCTACCAATTGGCTGACTAACAGTGCTAGATCATTAAAGCCATCATCAACAGAGCGCAACAATTAACGAACAGATGATTTATCGTCGCAGCGATACAGATTTAGAAAACATCGACGTCATGTATAGTAGCATCTTCAACGGTCGCGCTAAATAATATTGTATGCATGCATGCATGGAATAAATCGTCAAATTCAATATGTCCTCTGTAAAGGTCTGTTCATTTCATTTCGCTTTTTAGAGACAATCGATATATCATATATTCATACTGCCAGATGCAATTACCTGTCACCAAAAGAACTTCCGAATCCAAAGTCAGTTGAGAAACCACCAAAGCCACCACCAAAGCCACCACCAAAGAACGAACCATGAGCTATATCACGCCTGTCGTTTCTACGATTCGACCGACCAGCTATAATGAAAAAAAGGTTGAATCCTGTAAGCGCAGAATGCTACACAGGAAGTCATTTAGATTTTGTTTTGCGTTTAAGCGCTATCCAGAGAGACTACCAGATTCCGGATATAATAGGGGGCAGGAGGGGGGTGAATAATCATATATTTGTTCGGCCCGAATGGACTACATAAAGACTTTTTCGTAGGTTGCGCTTTCAAAAGGAATCCGTTGGACAGTGTACTGCATATGCATGAATATGCAACTTACGAATTGCGAAGTAGTACGTGTTCACGCAGTGAAAACCTAATTTCTAAAGCAAAAACACACAAAGGTTCACAAGTCTTCTCACAAAGGTTCTTGGGTCGAGAACAGGCAAGAGATTTTGTTTATTGGTAACCTGATTGATGGGCTACTGTTTTTAGGCGAAAATAAATACTATAAGTACAAATTACGCACCGTGTCTGTTATCCCCATTGAATAAGCTATCCGCAAAAGGATCGCGAAAGAAGTTACTGAACGGATCGCCTCCAAAGAAATCTCTGTAGAAAGTGAAAAGTAAATATAAACATGAAATAAATACAGTTACCATGGGATTGTTCCGCAATAGGTGTCGCTATCTTAATCACGATGGATTGTGGGTGATATGAATCTCATTCATCCGACCTTGATGGTCTGTGTTGCATTTCTTCCACATTTTAGAAATTGGACAGTGTAGAATTTGAAATGTGTAGAATTTCACTCGAAATAAGGACCCTTTAAACCCCTAGTTACTATAGTTAAGGACAGAATTGCCCCATCAGAGTTGTGTATTTCTAAGTTAACTAGGACTATACAAAATGTAGTTACGAAGAGTTTTATAGAACTGTACCCAGGTAGCTACATACAAAAATCCCATCACTAAGGTATCATCAACTTTGCACATTTTTATGTAAGAAATTTCTATGTTAACAGGGACGTAAGCCGGTATGGTGTGGTTCGTATCATGTTATCTGTAATGTTAAGAAATCAAGTTAGGCCACTAATTTTGGCGGATATCCGACCAGGTGACAAGGTGTTCGGACATTTGTTAATCAAAGCGTTAATTGTTGATTTTAACCGCCTTTGAACTTCTTGACAATATATATATATATATATATATATATATATATATATATATATATATATATATTATATATATATTTGTGTTTTACCTAAATATTTCTTCCGGGCTTCTGAAATGAAATCCATGATTGAACTCCTGGGAATATTCACGTGGCACTGAGCCTTGAAAAGAGATATAATTTTACGAACAAACAGGTACAGTAGTCCCTCGCTAACTCGAACTTCCAAGGGGAAAGAAAAATTGTTCGAGTTACCGGGGGTTCGAGTTAACCGGAGGTGTGCCAGATTACGTTTATTATAAGTGATACAATAAGATATAAAATCCAATCGAATCATTCTTCAAGAGATATCATGCCTACCAATATGAATGGTCACCGAGAGTGGACGACGTTTTAAAATTAAAAAGATCGAAAGAATACAAAAGAAACTAAAAAGCCAGATCAATAACGACCGTGGCACTACAGAAAATCTTTTGAAATTTAAAATCAATTATACATTTTCATTAACTTGTTGTTATTTCGATAGTTTCCAGTTGTCAAAATGCTATCTTCTCACATTTTAATAAAGTTTGTTGAGCTATGATTCGAAACCAAAGTTCGAGTTAACCGGATATATTTGACCAAGGGAAAACAAATTTGTTCAAATTAGCGAGGAGTTCGAGTTAAGCGAGTTCGAGTCAGTGGAGTAAATTACTATAAAAAACACTGTCAAATTCAAGGTAAATTGGATTTAGTTCGAGTTAGCGTGAATACCTAAAGGCATCGCGTGGACAAGCGCGTTGCAAATCAAATCAGAAGACTATAGAAAATAGAGGGTTTTCGCTAAGACAAAACAAGCACTACATGCAATACTCATTTTATATGGAAGATTATTCATGGCTATTTCATGGACATCAAATGTGTTATAACAACTGCCTAAAATAGACAAAATACTTCTCGACGTTTCGACCTGAGGGCCTTCGTCAGGAGCCGGAGGTAGTATGCCAACTCTCCTGACGAAGGCCCTCAGGTCGAAACGTCGAGAAGTGTTTTATCTATTTAGGCAGTTGTTATACCACATTTGATGCTAGTTGTTTGAATTAAGACGCTGCCACGCTGCTGCTTGGTTACACTTCATGCATGGGCATGTTCATTCATCTATTTACAAACATGTATTCTAGAGGATTATGACCATGTTCTGGCACTTCGGTCCACAGCGTGGCAGGCCTTTTGTCAGTACGACAGTAGTTTAACGAAAAATACAAATGAAACATAGATTGCTTTTCGCCGTATAGAAATTATAGCGAACATGCAGCTCTTTATATAAAAAAACCTCTAGCTGCTGAAATAGCTACAGTAGTTCGCCAATAGAATTCACACATGTTAACAAAGATATAAGCATGCAACGCAGAAGTCAGAACAGAGTTAATTTTAACATGTCTTTAATTTTGCTATATTATTGATGCATATGCACATGACATAGATATGTATATGGTAATAATCACAAAAATATACCTTTCAGGCCTTCTTTGCCATATTTATCATAAACTGCTCTTTTTTCTTCTAAACAAGCATTAAATATAAAATATAAACCTTTGAAATTATTGTATTATAACAATTGTCCAGTTACAATTGAAGTTTGCACTTCTAATCGATTCTTCAATGAATTTGCAAAGCTTAGTTGCAAAATATTGTATGATGACAAAAACATAGGCAGCATTGCGAAGTTCGCACATTTTGGTATGTAGCTACCTCCATTGGGTGCACCATATTCTGCAAAAAGCCAAATTTCAATATTTGCGTGGTTGCAAATGTTGCAAATGGTGAATGCGGAAATTACAACTTCACAAACTTTGTTGAAGTTCTCCAATATTGGCGACCTGTAATGATGTAATTTCCACATTTTACATCATTTTGCAACAAAACATTGAAATTTAACCATTAGTCATATGACCTGGCAATAGGTGCATGCAATAATGCACCTATATTATACAGCAACTTACTCTTGCCTAAGAAAAAACAAATGACCAGTTTTGAGTGTGCTTAGAGTGAAATTTCTAGTAATCTGCATTAGCCATAAAAGAGATGGCGGTTGTGATCAGATCACATCCATTATATGGTACAGGCCGGTTGTATAAACAGGTAGTTAACTTACAAATGTTGGCAGAATTAGCCAAACAGAATAATGTATTTTCTAGTTAACTATGATTTAACTACTTAAAAATTAGTTATGAGTTTTATACAACCAGCCCCTGGAATGTCCTATAAAGATGTTGTTGGTAACATGCAAGATATTAAGGGCTAGGTATATGTTTTGTAGTTTTGAATGTAGTTTTTAAAGTTTTAAACATTTATTACCATCTGATAAAACCTCATAGGCTTCTGAAATTTCTTGAAACATTTTTGATGCATTTTCTTTATTGTCTGGATTCTTGTCAGGATGCCATTTCAGAGCAAGTTTCCTGTACCTAAAAGCAAGATGTTCACTGTTTCTTTCAAAGATTTCCTTTTTGAAGATATATTCAGAAAGGGAATATTTTAGCATCTTATCGGACACTTTGTGTACTGAAGGTATATAGTATTTAGGGTGTAGTAATAGAATGTGTACAATATGGAATTTAAAAGTTTGGAATCACAAGTTACAACAAGAATTGGTTATAATATGCCTTGTTCTAGGCAATCTGTTGCTGAAAAACTTCATAAGAGTATTTAAGAGACATTTATTGATACTGTATTTAGTAGCTGTGACTGGTTATAGTAATTACAATGCATATTTAGTACAGCATAATATAAATAACTCTCAATTATTTGCAAATAGCCTGTTAGACAGTTATATTTTTAGAACTAATTGAAAAAATAAACTAGGAATAATGCAAAAAAAATGTAACTCAAGAGTCAAGTCCTCCAGTGGGAATCTCAAAACTGAAGTCCTCCAGTGGGAATCTCTTGTGATTCCATTGAGCTAGCTGTCATGCGCAATTGTGTTGACATGGAAAATTCACCCCAACATGTAAGGTACTAAACAATGATATCTGACAAGTAAACAAAAATAATTCTCTTGCCATTCCAGTGAACAATTTCAATATCTTGGAATAATTGACAAAGCCTGTAGGCCTATTATTTTTATTAGCTTATAATATATTTACCCAGTTCTAAAGACCTCTTAAATTTCAAATTTGCTGTTTTGGTATAAAAGATGGTAAATGTTGGTGTATCTACAACAAAGCATAGATTTTACACTGGATGCATCCTGAACCACAAAGAAAATATTTCACAGAATGTGCCCATGTCGCTATAAACTATAAAGATGCACTAGCGATAAGGTGACTTAATACATTTAACTATGGATAATGTAAATATCTGCATGAAATTGAACATTTTGAGTCAATATTTCTAGGTAAATATTTATTGTTATGCACCATTTCGCTACACCTGATGCTATATTCTTACAGTAAAGCGAAACCATTTGTGTATAAATAGCATCTGGGAATCGAGCTGTTGAAATTATGTTTATGTTGCAAAGTATTAAATTTATCGATACTAGGAAATAATCGTTTAATAAATATGAAAGTGAAACAGTGTTCGATGCCAGTGGAACATAAATAGATCATTTTACTACATTGTACTGCTTCTTACGCTTTCTTGATATCTTGCTCCGATGCACTCTTTTCAACACCCAAGATCTCGTAATAATCACTCATGTTCACATCGATAAAAATCCACAAAATCACAAACGAACAACAAATGTTTAGCAGCGGATAGAGTACGTAAGTATAGAGCTGTTCGACGCCTCGACGGTGCAAAAACCACAAGAATGGCCGCTCCAAAGATGAGCTAGGTATTTGAAATGGTTGATCCCAGACGATTTTCTAATAATACTAAAACTGAATTACAAAAGCATTTTTCCTCCTCTCAACAAAGAATTAGCAGATCCTATAAAGTTTATCCCAGTGGTTCACCTCGTACCCAGAGCCCATTGCCGCGCGACACTAAAAACAAACACAACATTTAGCTTTAAGGAATACAAAACAAAAGATAAAGAGCATCTCACAATGAAGAAATGAGCTCCAGGAATCACGGGCCTCTCGAAGCCTGGAGCCCTGGACCATCAAGATAATCCGCCAACCGCCACACATCTGATCGAGGGGCCAATTTCTTTCCTGCGTAATTTCTTAGCCAGGAAACGTGATTGCCAATAACTGTGATTCGTGATTGATTGAAAGGTTCTACGAGAGCGTAAATAAAAATTCAGATTTATGGGTGGCCCGAAAACGACGTCTTTGAATTATGGGATTGAGTTGAGATTGAGTTATAGATTGAGTTGTGTTAAATTCTAGGTAATTTATCCATTCGTTTTCCTTCTGATACCGGGGGTGTTTTTGTTGTCGACGCTTTTGAAAAGGGTAACTACAACTGAACTTTTGATTATTTCCCCTAGTATAACTACGGTCGGGATTTTTGCTATTCGGCTTAAAACTAGAGACCAAGGGTAGATGGCTCAACCAATGGCCCCGACAAATTACATTTATTACATGGCTGTGACTCAGGAGGTTATAGGTGAATATTTTCTTTGATAGGGGTAACTGTTGGGGTAACTGGTGCATAATGTGGTCATTTTTGTGGTGGGCGGCTGTGGTTAAGCTTAGTTTCGTTTTGAGGGCTCTTCGTGCTCATTAATTACATCACACTACTCTGTTTTGTTGACACAACTATTAAGACTACGAGACTACCGATATTTGTATCGGCGCTACTGGTATTAATTAATCCGGTTCACTACCTCGTTATTGCAGACGCGTATAACATGATTGCGTGTTTGGCATGGATATATATTGTCACCACAATATTCTTTTGTCTCGTTATTCGTAAATAATTATTTTGGACCCTTGCAGGTAAAACGTTGTTAAGGGATCGACTGTCTCTAGATCTTCACGCGGTCACTTCTCTTGACTACGGCTATCTCTTCACTCAGTACATATATCATAGGATTGCGCAGGCGTTGGACACAGACTCCATGATGAATGCGCTTAGAAGACTTATTAGCATACGAGGTTGCGCTTAAGAGAAAAAGAGCGACAATGGAACGAATTTCTTAAGCGCTGACAAGGAACTGAGTCGGAGAATCGAAGAATGGAATAAGACCAGAATCTACAAATTTTGCGCACAAAGAAAAATCAAATGGGAATTTAACCCACCGTCAGAGAGCCACATGGGAGGCGTGTGGGAGTGTCTGATAAGGTCAAGGAACAGTTCAAATATGTTTACACAAACAAGGCATTTGTTTGGGATTTTTGGACAGCTATATAGTGGGACTGTAGCAACACCAAGCATAACCGTTTTTCATTATGAGTGATAGGATAAAAGTAAAGAACCATACCCGTTTAGCACAAGATAATTATGTTCTCCCAAATGTTGAATCGATGGTTCGAATCCAAGCATGGCTATTTTTCATTACGAACTTTGAGGAATTGATTAAGTAGAATAAATAACCGCAACCGTTTAGCACAAGATCTCATGGTCTGGTGGTGGAGACAATAGTATCTGAAGTAAGAAGTCGATAATTTGAGTCCGGACAAAACTTTTTTTAAAAATTAATTTAAATTTAACTAATTATTATCTTTAAGCGCAAGATCTTGTGGTCTAATGGTGAAGAGTGTTCGCCCTCCGCTCTAAAACTGGGGAAAACGACATTGCGTTCTGAAAGACCACTAGAAGTTCAGAACATGGGTCGGTTGTATCCTATCCACCAAATAGTGGTTCCAAAAATGCTTGAAAAGCAATAAAATTCTAGCTTTCAAAGCAACAATTATTAAAGAGGTACTAAAGGCCATGTTACACGGTGCAATTTTTCTTGCAACTTCCAATGCAATTCTATTTTTAGGAGATGTAAATTAGTGAAGAGTCTTCAAAATCACAAACGTAAGTGTAAGAAACGCCATGGAGTGTAATGAAGACTAAAGTTCGGTAGTTGCCAAATTCACATCTCTCAAAAGAAGAATTGTATTGCAAGAGGCAAGAAAAATTGCACCGTGTAACATGGCCTTAAGTTTGAATAAAAGTTTCAGGCAACAACGGGCGATTTTTGAGCGATTGAAAAATCTAATATCTGGTAGATAGCGCTATCTGGCTTTCATACAACCGGCCGTTTAGCTTAAACGGTGGATACGTCGAAGTTAAATAACACTCTTACATCTCTCTTGAAGAAGTCAACTTGAATATTATGCACTGAATATGTAGTTGTAAACATTATCGTTGTATTAATTATAAGGCTAAAAACATTCAGTTTGCCTGTTGAATAAGACGATAGAATTGCTTTCTATTTTTGCTTGTCAAAGAAGATAGACTTGCTTTCCGCAGGTGGTTAAGTAATAATAAAAAGTAGTCATTTAAGTAATAATGGAATAGCATTTCGTATTAGGACACGAGCCTCCAGCCTACGGCGATGGAGGGCATTGCTCTCAGGTTTAGCCATATAAAGAAAAAAATCACTAAAATTATACCAAATTAAAGTACCAATTTTGTTGATAGTTTTTATTCTCGATTATTGATTGTCCACTTGTTTATCTGGGCCTATAGGGTTTTTGTCACCGTGCTTACGCTATTTTAATTAACGAAAGTAACAAACACATGCGCATGCCCCCTTTCAAATAGCGGGTTTACACAATCAATTGTAAAATATAATGCGATTAGTTCTGTTAGTTGCATAAAACGTTTCTTGTATAAAAAAGAGGGATGGAATTCCGTGTACGTTATCCCATTATTTGCGAATAAATGGGCCTCGAAAATCGTAAAAGAGAACGTTCTATGATAATTTTTGAACCTTTTTGCATAGACAGTACTACGGGACGGTTTATCACGTGACATTTCTATGACGTCACAATTATCAATTGCTAATTGTCATTTCGAATGCAATTACACTCGCTTTCTGGATTAACTTGAAACGGCAATAAAATGTGAAAAGTATTGCAATGAAAACAGCATTTGTAGCAGTTTGCCTTCTGCTGTATGTTGTTCAAAGCTCGTCGTACGTTATTCTCGATTCGTGCCCTCCCGGCTGCGAGTGTTTTCATCGGAACTCTGTGGTTGAATGCAGGGAAGCGCATTTAAAAGAAATCCCCGTGTTGAAATTTGCGAACATTGTCAAACGGCTGTAAGTTTTGTAGTTCATCAGTCTTATCCAGTACATGCATCAGTTTTCAATTTGACGTGGAATGAAAAAGTACAGCTATATAGGTGTATCAAAAGTTTGTGTCGAGACAGCAAGGAAACATCACAGAATCGTAAAGCTCATGATCATTAGCTTGATCTACTTTGAAGCTTTCTGCAGTGTTTCAGCCATGTTTGTTTATTTCTATCAAAATGTCAGTGTATTTCCACGTCTCAAATGTTATTGGTATCGCTTAGTGATGTAGAATTTATTACAAAATGTTACAAAAATTTTCGCACTATTTTATTTGTGTTTGAATTACAACGCCGAGGGTTAATGAAATCAGTTGAGACGCCGTTTCATGCCTATTGTTTTACCAATATAACAAATCTCTCTGTTTTTTTAAGCGTTCTAAGAGGAAACGAAATCAAGAAGATAGAACCGCATCGCTTGAGAAGTTACAGAAATCTTGAATATTTGTACGTGCTAACTTTTGATGCAAGTTTGATATTTTTTTAGACATGCACGAGTGTTGTACATGCATGGCATGCATGTTCAATAATTCTTCGATGCAAGAAGTAAGGTCGATTTCCGCTAGGCGAGATTGAAAAGAAAATCGCGAGAAAAATTTCGTTCCACCGAAAAATATACGCCTAGTGGTAGTCCCGCCTTTACTGCAACATAGAAAATCAAAATTTTATGAGAAAAAGCGGCAGTAAGGCAATGAACACGTTTGTATGACAAAACTTTCCTTTTTCAGAGATGTGAGTGATAACGAGATAAGTATGTTGCCTGGCAAAGTCTTTCATCACAATTATCTTCTAAGAGAAATGTAAGTGTACCATTATGACTATATATAGCTATATATTTTCCCTATATTTACTTATAAACCACGAGCAGCCGACAATTTAAAAAAGTAAAGCAAAAAACAAATACCAAATAAACAGGTCTCAAATTTACAGTCTCGGCCTATGTCTTGCTTGATTCATATTTTGACTCACAAGATATCCTGTTTATTCGGAATTTTTGGTTTCATATGTACTTTATATATGTATATATGTTAAAATTTGGTACAACTACAGGGTTAACACTAGTAGTCACTACCTAGTTAGATGCAGATATCACTGTGATAATCTTGTAGACAACTGAATGTGCAAAATTAAACATTCATCTTCTCAGTTTTCCTAAATCTTTCATGAGCAATTAATTTAAAGTTGAAAAAAGCATGCAGTTAGCAACTAGTCGACATACTGACCACAATTATTTAGCTATCACATGTATAATTTGTTAATTCGTACAAGTTCTGTTTTTATCAAGTAACCTAGGGCTAAATCCGTTTGAATGCGACTGCGAGCTCAGAGGTTTCATTGAGATGCTGCAAACATATCACGAACATGGAGGATTGACGTTGAAAAACCCCGATCTAACCAATTGCGCGGGACCGCAGGCGTTCATGGCAAGGCCTCTTCTTGGAATAACATTCCAGGATCAGAAGAATGCATTAGGTAGGAAAATACAGCATAATGTAGATATAAAATCCACACGAAGAAACAAAATAACACATACAATTACTTAATGGTTTCCGTGTTTGGATGGCCTGATCTAAGCACGCGGGAATGTTGCGAGAGTTAAGAGAAGCGCGCGAAACACGAGCCGAAGGCTAGCAACATAGCAACGACAAGCCCTAAATTTAAATTTAAATTCTTTAAAACTTTAAATTTCCGTGTTTGGATGGCCTGATCCAAACACGGGCTTCGACCAATCAGAACACGCGTTATACATGTTATTTTATAAAAACGAATAGCAAACGTATACGGATACAGAATTGAGTACTAACTGAGTTGTACGTGCAGACAGTCAAAACGTCCACGGAGATGTGATCATGTTAATATAGATATCTTTGTATAGTAACCTCTCCCAACTTCTCCTTAACCCACGCTTAACATATTAACCCAAGTTTTTACATTAGGTTGAACAGCCCAAAAATAATATAACAAAAATACTATATATTCGAAAAATAATTTAACTACCTTTATTATTGTCAGGAGATGGTTAGTCGAATAATACAGAAAAACTGAATGCCTGTAGATTTGACATATATCCGCGTTTCTCTTAGATGAAACATGTATATTGGTGAAGAAGACAACAGAGGTATTGCTTTTTGTGCTGTCAAACGAAGAGCTCCACCGCGGCATGCCATGCTGAAGGCAAAACCAACACCAGCCGCAACCAGAACTCCTCCTATACAGTCACGTCAAGATTCTTCTACAAAAAAGAAATCACCAAATTATGCATTGATCGCCGCATCGGTGACAGCAGCGGTACTTGTTACTTGCATTACTTCAGTCAGAGCTGTGAGGTATCTTCGCAAAAATAACAGGTATGTAACATGTAATATACGGCATTAAAACACATAACCTTAAGAGTCAGTTGTCATGACTATATCTGTATTCTCTGATACATTACTATATTGACCATTAAATCATTACCATTATGCTCCATATATATGTTGTTCAGAGTTATCATAGTCTGGATGATTTTCCACTCATATTATTTCAATTTTGGGTCAGTTAAAATCCAAACCATCCCTCCCTAGCGTTTACTTCAGTATAGTTGTCATTTCCTCTTCTGCGATGCACCTCCTTTCAGCATCTGTCACGTTCTTCGCGTTTGGGCTCATTTCCTTTATTTTCATACGAATTATGAATCAGGGTAAATGCACATCGACAAATGATAATCAACGGTTATAGAAAGTGAAATTTATGCATGTTCAATTTCTTTCTATTCAGCTCAACTCAGACCACGTTATGTATGGTCCCGTGTTATTTTCTTCTCATCACTCTTCTTTTTTTGCTTTTCAATTCATTTTAATTAACATTTAAAAAAAATCCTCCATTTCTTTAGTTGGAAATCTCCCTGTTCCTTTCCCATTTTTCTTTTTAATAGCTTTAGCAACTGAAGAAAATCAGTATCCATCGAACAGCAATATCTTCCTAATCTTCTTCTCCGGAAATTTCAAAACTTCCATTCATTTTCGCTTCTTCCTGTCACAATTTGAAGTTTATCGCTCACTGCTCACTTTTTTCAGATGGCGTAACTATCGCGACAACTTTCTAGCGTACTTCAAAAAGAAGCCAGCAGCCCAAAAAGAAGAGCCAGCCACATTTTCTGAGCATATCAAGAAACAACGAAGAGCATCGTGTGGTTACGCAGAAAGTGACTGCTCCTCAGATGAAGAAAACAACACCTCTCCACCCAAAAAAAGAGGAAAAGATGGGTATATCGCCGTCCCAACTGCCGAACCTCGTGACCTAAAAGACGTACCTTTAGGCGATTCTGGGTAATACTCGCTGACTCTTTTGGGCAGAGATCAATTAGGCCGAAAAAAAACACCAGAAGAATTCCTTCAGTATTATTCTAGTATTTTGATACTCCTGAACGTTCCAAATTTTGTAAAACATATTACCAAAACATTTTTTGCACAAAAACACATAACTTTTTCCTGTAGTAACGAATTACTGCAAAACCACGAACGAAACTCTCATTACTACAACACAACATTTTTAAATCGCCCGTATGTCGGTTTACCGAAGTGCACCATGCATGCACTACAGTGAATTCTCTCAAACGAGACGCCCCAAACTCTCCAGAGTTACTGAATTACTGGCCGATTACTATAAATGGGCACAGCAACAGATGGGACACATCCAGTTCAATAGTTGACAACAACAGCGCGTTAACAAAAAACAAGAGCAACTACAACAACATAAAAAACAAAAGTGGCGCCTCCATGCATAAGAGCAATTAAACAACAACAACGAAAACAACTATGATTAAGGGGTGCTTTGGGTGTGCCTGTCCATCGAAACTATGGTAACTGCACATTTATATTCAATTCTTTTTTACTCAGTAAATTGTCCAGTAATATGACAGCAATATATCTTAATGTCATCCAAATTTAAAGCAATTTTAACCACTAAATGTTCAAATTATTAAAATATTTTAATGGCTATCCCATACAAATGATCGAGAAAAACACAATGCTATTAAGTAAAACTGATGATAAAGTAAGTATGGGATCTTGTTCGCACACGACAGTTAAATACTAAAATCTCTTCGCTAATTCAACTAATATCAGTGAAGTAACACCATATCCGAGGCTAAAGACAACAAAAACAGTAAAAAGCTCTTGCATAAAAATCTAATCAAAAGTGGAGAAGGGGGTTTATGTCATCTAGACTCCCGCACGCTTTCTCTATAAACCCGGCTATTTTTTACGATGACTCCGTAGTCAGTAAAATTCATGAAAAGTACACCCAATCACCATCAACTTATGGAAAGAACTTGAAAACTGTTCCGTTTTCAGCAATGGCATACATGTTTGTATCTCCAACGGTGACATGTTTAAATCGAACAGTTAAAATCTCTGTCCAAATATTTTGTCCCATTGGAACCTTCTCACATATCCCATGCAGTCGGTGCAAGGTGCCGTTTTTCGCGATACCATATACACTGCCTGTTCTACCCGAGTCCAACTGAACAAATTTACCTAAAAATATACACATTATATTCAGCTACACGATAAGAAAGAAATTATATTTTGCACTGATCAGCGCTTTCGTAGCAAGAATTAGTTCTTTAGGGTGAATAAAAATCGAAAAGTAAATTTATACTCTCGAAGATAAAAAGGTGTTTACTTGTTCCTCAGATTACAGTGTCTATACCATGGTTGTGGACCTTGTATATCAAAAGTTTATGGTATTTTAAAAAAGCTTTGCAATACATGCAGTTTTTACAAACTTTACAATAGCTTTATAACTTTACAAAAAACTTTAACAAAAGCTTTAAAATTACCGGACATGACGTCAAATCGGAAATTCCGTGCAACTTGAACAAAAGAAAACTGATTTGCAATTGCCAATAAAATACCTCAAACTTTTCGTATATATTTGAAATCCGCAACCTGACTTTTCTTAAGCGAGAAATTAATATGAATTATTGCTTAAAATTTACTTTGAAAACTTGTCAGCAGTTGTATAATGTAGATCAAAATTTCTAAGAAGATTCCGTTAGTTTACATTCATAATTAATATACAGATACTGTAGATTAAAGCATTTTGCCGGCACCAGCTGATTAGTTAAAGTGGATCTATACTTTGCAAAGCGATGAAAAAAATTTTCAAGCGCAAGCCATTTTATATCTACTGGAAAGGACACCTCTCCCCGACACCCGAGCAGTCTCTATTATTAAAATTAATAAAGAAACTCCTTCCTGGACCTGACTCGCGCCGAGGTGAGAGGGCCCTGAATTAAGGACTTCGCTTCGAATATAGTTATGCCTGATAGATTTATTTTCTTGTAGTTATCGCATGTTCATCAATACTGAGTGAAAAAAAATTAATAACCAAACTTCATGAGCATAATTCTACCTGATCTCTCAATCCACCCTGTCCCAGTGCAGTGCTTGACGGTGACATTCTCGCGAAAAGCAACAGTGTCGTCAGGTCGAACTATCCAGCAACCATAATCACCACACGATACATGTTTAGCCGTACCAGGGACTTTAACCCAATTGCTTCCATAGGGTGAATGCATGGTAATATTGGACCGACAGTATATTTCGTTTGCATCGTTTACACCGAAAACCACACCAGAACTTCCCGAGTCGATTTGAACAAACACTTGATGTGAAGATGGTATGCTTTTCCATTTTTCTCCTAAACGATTTTGCTAATGTATTACTGATGTATTACTGATGATTTTATTGATGTATTACTGATGATTTCACCATGTATAAAAATGCAATAATAAAATTTTATGACAGTATCAATGAATGTAGCTGGTTATAGTATTTTACGCCAAATGTAGTTTTAAATTAAACAAAAGTATACAAATCATAAACGCAATATTTACCATCTCTCACAAGAACATTGTAATCAGGCCTTATGCCCCAGGTTCCAGCTTTTCCATTTGAAATGTACCTCATTTTGTCACTTTGATCAACCCATTGGTCGTTAATTAAGGCCCACAAGCTTTGATCATCTTTAATCCCCCAGGTGTGGCTCCCACTTTCAACCTGTTTCATATCATCAGACAACATCACAGGAGTGTTTTTCCTAAAAATCCTCGCCAAATTTTCTATTCAAAAGAAATAGTCTATTCTAATATGTGGTGGTGATGACCAGGTATGACCATGTGGTGGTATACCCGTAGACGGCGAGCATGATAAAAACCAGGACGCCGGAACCACTCTCTCCTCCTTTACCTTTTACCAGCAAGGGGCAAGAGGGGACCCTTATTTTGAAGGACTACCTTTTTTTCCAGTCCTTTAAGAATAGGCACTTGTCTGATGAAGAAGTCTCAGACACCGAAATCATCTTGCAAAAGGGAAATACGGTGAAACGAAGTTCAACAGATGTTTTGCAAACATTCTCTATAGTATGCGCTGCTTCAGAAATGTCCTTCCACGAAAACACGTCCCCTTTGAATTCACATTGATCCAGCGTCCCCGGATTTAGAGGGTAATATTGATAGGGAGTGTGATAGGATAGCACTTTAATAGGATAGCATTTTATTACACTTACTTTTTGAGCACATGCAGCGGTATGATAAATAACCCTCAGGACAAGCACATTGGCAGTCTTCTTCACGGCACACTTTTTTATTCGTGCATGGTTCGACACAGCATGTCGGAGGACCCTATTACGAGGTCAAGTCAAAATATATCAGTATCTCGTTTTACGATCATGCCTGAGTGTAATGTTCAGCTCATAAATGTGAATTAGATATAGCTATTAGAAACCACGGCAAGATATGCAGGGAAGGAAAAGCGTTTGCAAGAGAGCGTTAGTTTTGGAGTTTCATCATATCTTATTCCCGGACAAACATAAAGAAATTTGCATTTGACAAAACTTCATTTACATAGCCAGCGATAACGATAATAATTTCTCGTCATATTTTGATTGAGATGACTCAATAATAATTCTGAATGACGAGTACACATACAGGACCGTAGCGAGTACATCAGTGTGGGGGGATGCTAGATTTGCCTACAAAATGGGCGGGGATTATTATAGTTGGGTGTTGTAATTTATCAACTCAACAGCAGTTGACGCCATCTCTGTATCCCCCAACAACTCCAAATATAACCTAATTTTGCCGAAATATCCACTCATAGTAGCTCAAGTATTAGAAAATGAAGTGATGACTACCTCTTGGGCATTTTATACTCACCATTACGTAATAATCGTGATTGGAGTCTTTGTTATGACGCATTCTATCCAATTCTGTTTTTGGGTACAGGAGACATTGCAGTGAACCATGACATTCGCCTCTTCCAATACCAAATGAAAGACACGATGACTTTTTGTTGCATTTGTAAAAACATTCCCAAATCTGAGAAACACACGACTTTTCTATAACCGTAAGGGCAGGTCGCTTTCCTGCAATAACAACAACAGGAACGTTGCCTCACTAAAGGTTCAAAATTCATTGATATTTCAGAATTGTTAGTGCGTTTGAAGTAAAGGCACTTCGGTGCACTACCAATTATAGCATTGCATGAATATATGAAATCATGATTATCCCATAAACGGTAGGAGAGATCCCTAATTGAGCGGAATCTCGCCATACTTGTAAGCCTATAGACCTTTTTTGTTATAGGAACTCGACATTATCAAAATCTTGCAAGACTAGACAGTCAGCGGCTTGATGACTTTGGATCTAGGGCGTGTACAGAATAAATTGCACAGCTTAATTTTGAATTCAAAACACCTTAATAATAACGCTATTGGTTATAGAATTAAAAAGAATATTTTTACATTTAAGCTGTAGTAATTTATTCTGCACACCCCTAGACCCACCGCCACTGGGAAGAAGTGGAATACTCATACACGGTAATTCCACTTTACGAAAGACTTGTTATTCATACATTTATAAACATTTGCGGAACCTGCTTATATTATATCCTGCTTCTTTTTGTGCATAATATTACAATACTAGAAACAAATGCCTGTCACATTGGTTCCTGTGAAGTCTGATCAACGAAGAAACGTTGCAAGAAATGATTTAGGCTACCCACCTTTAATCGGTTTCGCTTCAAGAACTTTGCAAGAACTGTTATCACCTAAAAAACACCAAGTACTTTCATGGGAGCAAAATATATAAGATGCATGCATGTATATCACAGTTATAAACGTTTTAACGTTATGAAAATTTAATTGTTCAAATGAAGTAATATTGAAAGAATGGCTTCGTTTTCGTGAAATTATGCCCACATTAAACTTGAAATAAACACATGAACCACACGGAATTCGCATGACCAGATCGTTAAGGTTGCCGCCTAAATGCAGTTCAGTAATTCCTACTTGGCGCGAGTGTAAAACTATGCGCAGCGATACACTTCTTCTTGCATGTATATTGCATGTATATCTGCATGATTGTTTGACTCCAATTGACGCATGATAGACGATTTCAAGTTATTGCTTCACACTTGTAGAGTTGTAGTAACGGCCAAAATTTATTATTTCTAGCAGGGTTTAAAGCCGGTTTTCCACTAGCGATATTTTTCGCGCGAAGCGAATTAATTTTATTGTTTCGTATTTCAGCCGATCTACATGGTGCAGTTGACAGCTCTGAGACAAAAGCAAAATGTCACTCTACGCGAAAACTATCGCTAGTAGAAAACCGGCCTAAGGCACTGAAGCTATAGGTTCGACAATCGACGAATTTCGCAGAACCACACAAAGAAATTTTTTAACTAAATAGTTGATTAAATAAGTTCCCCAAGAAATCGCTTGTCCCGCTGTGAAGTACGTAAGCGCCTCCTTATCTGCAACATTCAAGATAGATGCAAAGATTTCTAGTCCTAAACTTTCGATTTCCCATCGAGCTTATTCATCTTATTGTAGTTTTTGGTACTCGGGGCTTGTTTTTCTGTTTAAACATTAAAACAAACATGCATGATACAGTTATGATTAATTTCCATAGAAAGTTAATTCAACCAAACCTACTTTGTAGAGCTGCAAGACGCTGCGTAGATCCGAACAGCAGAATAACGATCCCAAATATTAAATTCCTGGATGCCGTTGGTGTTTCAGCCACGTTTGAAACCATTTGTCGTTAGTATATACGTTTTTTCAACCAATTTTCGTGTGACAAAATCAATAGCACAAAATGTGCAGGTGCCGTTCAGCGTTTGAATTAGTATTGTACATGCAAGATGAAGAGACGCGAATGATGTCACATAGCAAACATAACGTCAAGTTTTCTTAGGAACAAGGTTAATTTTTAAGGTTTTTCTCATGCAGGCTCTCCCCATATCTCGTTTTTTCTTTCCATTCTCGTTAAACGTGTAAATTTTTGTTGTTGTTTGGTTCGGCCTTATCTCGGTTTATTGATTATAGCGACTGGTTTTGAATGCTTTGCCAATTAAGTACATTTTCAGCATGCTTCAGAAAGAGTAAGAGAGGTCCCAAGGATAATACTTCAATCCACACAGTCACACACATTTCAAGCTCTGGACTCTGGTGTGATTACATCTGGTGTGATCTCGGTATTTATCGATCAATCTGAAAGTCGTGTTCAGTACGTGTCTGTTATTTATTCGGTGTGCATGCTTTAACTGATCAGTGGAAAAAATTAACGTTAGGAAACGCCTGGTATTTGATGCATGTATAGGTCACCTTGTTCATAAATTCTTATACAAGTGTTGTTATAGTGTAATTCTTTCGTGTTTTGTTATAGTTTAAAACGAAGTAATTGTTTTCAGGTTTTCGTGCACTATTTCTAAAATCTTCAACGATTTAGATATTTATATAGCCCCTTTCAATCCCGTCAAGGGCGTCAATCCTGCATGGGGGATTGGGGGACGCGTTCCGCCAGCCTCTAGAGTGAGCGAACAGTTTATCAAACCACCACATACATTTACACGTCTAATAAAGGTTTCTTGTTGAACCAAATTTTCTTCCAAATGACAACCATGCACGGGGATGAAGGGATCTGGGTAAATAGGATATATTATTTCTTTTATATTATTTCCTTTCAAAAAATCTTTGTTTCCCTCTTTTGTCATTGCTATCCCGCTATGAGGACAGTCATGTGCAAATAAGTTGTGGAAGCCCTGGTTAGGAGAGTCACTTTCATTCGTGAGAAGGTCGAAACATTCAACAACCTCAAGTTTTTATGTCATTTTTTTTGTAGATGCTGCCACGTTGCTACCTCGTTATATTGGCGAAAAATACATTTAACATGGCATTATATCACTTCATAGGCTGTCATAGGATTCAACGGCCAAAATTTTTCGTTAGAGTGACACGCTTTGGCCCCGGCCATAACTGCATGCATGGTAATCCGTCATTGTTTGCAGCGGTTTAAAACAGATACAAAGGTTCAAATCCCTCAATAAGAGGTAGGCTTTGCCAGCTTATTAAACTATGCAATAATGTAAAGTAATAAACCAAATGCTTCAAATATACTTTTCGGTTCACTTGTCAAACAATATAGCTGACGAGCTGACTAAACGCCCACTCACACACCTGCTGATGTTTATGCTAAATTATAGCCTGATATTGTTATACAGTTCTGCCATAAGTGCCATTTCAATATTATTCAGCTAAAAATTGAGTAAACTAAATATTTAAAGCACAGTTCACTAGAGAATTATTTATCATCGTGGAAGTTCGCACTTTAGACCTTCAACTAAATATTCGGGGACAGAGTGTGTATGAATTGGGTACTTATACGTGTCAGAAATATATATATCAAATTTCACACGTGACTGAATTTTTCTAAGAAGTACACAAAGTTTTACCAAGAAATGTTTAACCGGTTGTGGAATTGTGCACAGGGCATTAAATCGCAACAAACATGCAATACATCTAAATGCTGAGAAGAAAATACTTGCCTGACGCCAAAGATTTGCCAGAAAAAAAGCGAAACTCGAGCTGGACAAAGTATTCGTGTTTTCAAAGAGGCTGAGTCTGTGAACTGAGCTCCTAAATCTGAAAGTTCACATACTGGCAATTGGTCTTATCTCTTGGTGACTAAACTGAACACAAATGAAATAAACAAACTGGCTCTAAAAACCTAGGTAAATCTTTATGAAATCACTAAGAATTATTAGATACGTGTTCAGATATATTTTACGTAGTTATCACGAATTAAATTTGGTCTAATTTCACATTCACACCATTTCCATTGGTTTAATATCGAAAATTTACTTTACAAAGCATGTATAGGAATACCGAATACATAATAATATATACTCTGTCATTCATTGCTCGTTTATGTACATTCATGGCGAAGGGCCGGGCATTCCACTTAAATGCCACGCAGACTTGCAATACTGGAATTTTGTCTTTGTAGAAAAAAACTGAACTCGATCGCGCGATTTTAAAACATTGAAATAAAATTATCCTTGGTCGGTTCTTTCTGTTTATCCACAGCTGCATTGTCAGCCGCCAAACGTTTTGTGTTTCATTGAACATTTTAAGCCGTGATGCTTCATATAATCCCAGACATATACAGAAGGAAGCCTTAATTATATGCTAATTAGAAAAGATGGCGGATGTACATTTACCAGAATGCATTGCGGTCGGAAATCGTTTAAAAAAGCGAACTGACGTCTTTTAAAGGACAGGCATAAAACAGAAAGTCAATCATTCTTAATGCCCGCAATGCATTCTGGTAAAATATGCATGCCGCCATCTTTTTTGTTACAGTCAATTGGCATTCATTTCGGTCGGTCAAGAAGATGAAATACAGTATAGCCCCGTTTACACTACGGAAATTAACGCAAATCTGGGTAGTTTTTTAAAAGTGTAAGCACACTTAACCCAGGTTATTTTGAACCCTGCTTTGAAGGTGGGTTCGCCCTGGGTCGAACCCGGGTTAACACTAATGTAAACAACCCGGGTTCGACAGCGTTTGTTTTTTTTAACGTGATTCTGATTAAATTGATAACCTTTTGTAGGTTGGGCACTCGAATGGCTCTGCCTCCAATGGCGACATTACTTCATGTCTTAGTTGTTATAAACATGCTCCAACAAGGTAGAAAACAAAGGTCACAGACCAATCAGCAGAATTTAGTATAGTTAAATTATCCCGTCACTTATTTGGTCGTAAGTATAGTGAAAATTTCAAACACATGTCACAAGATAACAGTTAGTTAGAAAAATCAATTATCTCCTAGAGGTTGAAAAGTATGGTTAAACTTAAAATTCCCAAAAAGGACTTTTAAGAAAACTATTTTGTTCACACATATAGTGAAATATGAGATATGCTCAAATCTGTCTTAACATAGACCTTAGTTGACGGACTTAATCATTTACTAAAAATTGTTCGATCTAACTGATTGATATAATCCCAGTCTTTCACAGAAACTTTCGTAATCGCATAATGTTTAACATTCATTATTTCTTCTTTCATTTTAGCCACTTGGTCAGCAAATATATATGTTTCTAACAGAGCAACGAAAGATAAGGATTGTGGTACGAGTGAGGAAGATCCCTGTCGTACAATCAACGCTGCTTTGAAGATTGAGAAAAAAGGTTTGTCTCAGATAACCATCATATCTACCGGGAGCAAATACCAAGATTGTCCGATACAAGTAAACAAGCCTTTCGCTTTCAAAGGGCTCTACGGAAGTCCGGTCATAGACTGTGGTGGCAGGGATGCTTTCGTATTTAATTTCGATGTGGAGAAAGAACAACCATCTTCAATAAAACTTGATGTCTCGAACCTCGATTTACAAAATTCGAGAGCAGGATTCAAGTTCCTGAGTAAAACAAGTGTTGTTAACTTGCGCTTGGAGAATATAACATTCACAAACAACGAAGTCGATGTGACGTGGAGTGACTCGCCCCTTTGTTTTTTGGTTATGACAAATGTATATACATTTGGCCGTTCCGGGAATGCGATTGAAATACAAGGCTGCAACAGAACCACGCTGTCGTTGGTAAACACTAAAATCCGTGGAAAATACTTCAAAGTTTTATCGACCATAAAAAGTTCCATTTTAAAAATAAGTATGAATGGAGTCACATTTGATATGGGTAGTCGAGCAACTGATTCTTCTAAAGGAACCTCACCTCTCTCCCCGGTGGACATAGTGACAGCATTGGAAAAAACTTCGATAACCATCACATCATCGTCGTTTCTTAATCACTTTGGACAGAGAAGTGGTATGATCAATATAACGGGCTTTAAGAAATCGAAGAAAGGTTACGCTTCGCCGATAAACATATACTTTTCCAACGTATCATTTGTGAACAACAAAGCGTTGCGTGGTGTTGGTGGCGCTGCCTCGTTTAATCTTACAAATAAACTTACGAAAACGATCAAGCATAGTATCAAATTTCAAGGGTGTTCTTTCACCGGTAATGCAGCTTCGAGTGGTGGCGCTGTTTGGTTTTCAGATTGGGGGAAGAAATCTGTGCTATTTCTCGACTGCACCTTCAAAGACAACAAAGCACAAGACAAAGTTATGGAGACTGGTAGTGGAGGGGCATTATTTGCTCTAGGTGGCAAATTCGCCATCACAAAGTGCAAATTTATTGGCAATACGGCTGCAAAATCTGGAGGAACGTTATACCTTTCTAACAGAAATGTGACATCCATTCGAGTAACGGATTCAGCTTTTCAGAATGCGCGCCGTTCTTGGAGTAGCATTAAAGGCAATGTGATGTATCTTAACGATGTCCAGACCACTTTTAGGGACCGTGTGATATTCGACTTAAGTTCTGCGAATTCTGGGAAACCAATCCTTCTTTACGAAGGCAGGCCAAGCACGTTGCGCATGGACAATACGAGTAATTTTATCTGCCCACAAGGATACAATTATGACGAATTGAAATATACGCTGGCAACGAAACGAACCAAGCCAGATTACATTCCATCGTATCATGTATTTGCATTCTCATGTAAGCCGTGTTCAGATTTGTTCTACAGCACTTCGCGTGGTTCGTGGTTGGCGAACGGTACAGCAACGTGCGGGAAATGTCGTGCTTGCCCGTACGGTGCCTCGTGTAACGGGACAATCCGCGCAAGGGCAAATTTCTGGGGAGTGACGCGAAGAGATAAAATCGAGATGATCCCGTGCCCGAAAGGTTATTGCTGCGATCGAGAACCATGTGAAAGCTACGATTCCTGTCGTGGGCACAGGACTGGAAGGTTGTGTGGATATTGTTCGGAGGGATTCACGGAGGGATTGAGTTCAGCACAATGTTTTCCGAATGAGAGATGTAACGGTGCTTCGTGGATGTGGCCAATGTTCAACGTAATTGTAATTTTCGTCATTTTTTGTTATCATCAAGAGGTAAAGATAATAGCGCGCCGCACTGCTCGAAAGACAGATCACGCCTGCGGCGCTGATTTTTGTTTGATTTTGTCTAGTACTATTCGCAGCAGAAATCTTAGGCCCACTTCATACGTTGCATTTTGGTCGCGTCGAATGCAATTCAAACAATAGATGATGAGATGATAAACCTTATTTAGCTTCATCACCATCTCATTATCTATTGTTTGAACTGAATTCGACGCGACCAAAATGCAACGTATTTACTATGCCTTATAAGTGTGCGTGAGCGAATAGCAGAGCAATATATTTATCATCTATTTGATAGCTTTTCGTGGTTAAATAATTCGATGAGTATATATATTTTATTTTGTTTTCGCTTTACCTCTTATATATAGATCATAAAGAGATTGGTAAAATGGTCACTCTGGAATGTCCAAGATGATGAACATGAAGATTTCGAATCTGTCGAATACAGAAAAGGGGAATGGAACCAAAACCAAATGGATACTGAATCACCTGACAGTTTTCAATTAGACAACCTCGAAAATTTATCACACGAAAGTGCAGCCCAGCTAAACTACAAACGTCTCGAAGAAAGCACAGATTACAACAACAGTGGCGGTTATATAAAAGTTTTCTTCTACTTCTACCAGACAGTTCTTCTTATCCGTCTTTCTTCTTACGTCTCCAGCTCTTCCTTTCCAAATTCAATGCTCGAGTTTTTTACACCTTTGCTCAACTTTCAGTTTACCAACGTTTGGAAGTGCGCCAGCGAAGACTTAAGGCCGGTTAAAAAGGTTTTCGTGAAAAACAGCGTTGCCTTTTGGGTGATGGGGCTTTCGTTGTTAACATATTGCTTCTACAGGTTTGTGAAGTGTCGCACAAAAGGCTACAGCAATGATGCGTTAAGCTTTGATTCCAAGTCGCTCCCCGTACGACTGATAGGTACGGTTATGCATGTACTACTTCTTTCCTATGTTTCCCAAACACAATTCGCTGTGCAACTCTTGAATTGTGTCACTGTCGGTGATAAAAGTGTTCTTTACATTGATGGTTCGGTTCAGTGCTACCAACCGTTGCAGGCTGCTGTATGGCTGTACTTTCTGTTGTACATCGTGTTTTTTTCGTTTTCGCTGCTGGTTGGTCAGTCGTTACTCATCCAGACTAATTTCGTGGAAAGAGTTCATGCTGTCTTGTTTCTTTCCTTTCTTCTTCCTTTGTTACTGGTTTTATCGATACCTGAAACATCGCAGTGCTGATAAATTCTGGCGCAAAATTCCGGAGACGGCGGATAACCCCTTCAAAGAAAATGTAATATACATCTTAAGGTATCCTTACAGATCCCGCAAGTTTCCAAACGCCACGATGGCCGAACATTGCAGCGAAAATTGGGAAGCCTTCTCGATTTTCCGCCGTTTCGTGCTTGTCGTCACCTTTATCTTTGTGAAATCGTTTCTCCTTCGTGCCTACTTGTTCTTTATACTGTCTGTTGTCTTTCTGCTCGCCCACGTGTTCGTTCAGCCGTTCAAGAACGACATGGTGAACAAGCTTGACACTATATCGTTGGCTGTGATCGTGTTGATTTCGGGTCTCAGCATCTCAGAAGCGACGTACAACAACTCGGGACAACTTGTCCCGCACAGTATCAAGGAGGTGCAAGATCTCCAAGATTGGTTTCTGGCATTGATACCGTTTGCGTTGCTCGTTATCTTCTTATTTCCCAGACTTAAGCATCACTTTCTTCGTAGGGCAATTCGTCCTAGATATCGTGCCGTGGTCTCATCTGATGACGAGCCATTGGTAAATGCGCCCGTTAATTCAAGGAACGCAACCGAGAGACAGGCCGATGAAGTCTCGCGACTGACTGTTTGATTGAAACTGTTACAAAAGAACGTTAAAACTGTAGACCAACAGTAATACGCCAGTTCCACCGGATTTTTCTGTCGCGTTGTCGCAGCTTTTGTTATATAGGGCTATAGAGCCGTAAAACAGCTTTTGTTGTATGCGCGACAGAGCGACAACTAGACCACAACAGTCATTAATTTTATAATTTCTTTATATTTGTATTTTACATAATTATAAGCTAAAATTAAAATCTACCTAGTATTTTGTTTGAGAAAGTTAGCCGCACTAGTATTACTATTATGGCCTAAAAATAACTTCAAGTGCAACCTCTAACATTATTTACAGCTACGTCTAATAGTTACCATTGTCCATTATTGGGTTAGACTGTGCCAACCTAATTCTTGCAGGCAATAGATATATAACAATGGAAAATCCGTAGAAATGGGCTTTCGGCCCAAGCGCTTTACATGTGTACTTACTACCAATATATTTATTGAAAATTATCTGTAATTTTAACGTTGTATGAAATATATCAAACAATCAGCGATATGCACCACATTACCCCGCATATAAGAATAAAGAAGATAAATAAGACGCATGCGCCTTTCGAGATACACAGATGCCGTTTTAGCATTTATCAACAACGACTATTCAATATCGTATTTATAGAGCTAAGGGGATATATGGTATTGAAAAATATCTTTGTCCTTTTCGAAAGAACTATTTTTTTCACATTTGTATTAACTTTACCAATCTTTTCAAAATTTTTTTGAACAAAAACATTCGCTAGCCATTAGGACGAGTAAAACCGCGTGGCCTAAAAGCACGAGGGACCACTAAGTCCACTGCGAAAGACATATCTTTCATCTTATTATAAGCAGGATGACGGATAGCATAGGTTTTTGCTTGCAAATTCTTTGTTTGCAATCACGTGAACTCTTCTTATATTTCTCACAAAGTGATTAAATTCTTCTTTTTATCACAGAGGTTGTTAAAGGATGCACTGGGTAGCGATTATTATTTTTGCCCAATAAAAGTGTTTCTAAAACTTTCGGCTAATAAAATACACTAGCTATATTTGCGTAGCAACTGAAATTGCGAACAACAAATATATTAAAAGGTTGGAAAGGTAAAAAAGTGTTACTTTGAACGAGACAAAAATAACTTTTCGACATACCACTTAAATTTATTATATTATATAGTGGATTGTTTTCAGAATTTCTACAGGGTGGATTTCCACATGCAGGGAAAAAATTGGCATGTTTTCTTCTTAATTTCGACTGAGTATTTGGGTTCTTCGACTGGGCGGCTTCTGATTCTTCTAGAAAAGTGTCAGAGCGAACAGTTTCTCTGCAAATATAAATCCACCCTTGGCGAAATATAAGCACCCGCTTTTACAGGTTGACTGAAGAAAGGTAATCAAATTTTAACGGACTGTCGTACTTAATATAAATGGCGTTTAACAATTTATTATATATAATTATTACACCACAAGAACGATCGATACTTGGATCTTTTAATGGTTCTTTTCCTATTTCATAACAGGAAAAATTGGGTACTTATATAAAACAATTTCTCTATTATTTTAGAAACTATTGAAAAAACTGTGCAAAACGAAACGAGGGTACGAGCAAGTAAAAATTCAGGATGTTATGCATGACAGCAAGTTGGATTACCTTTTTTCATACACCTGAGCATATATACACGGGGTAATGATGAGCATAAACTTATATACTATGTGTGCTTGTTATTACGACGAATACTGCATTTTCGGATAGAACTGGCAACTTATAGGCATCGCCAATAAAACATTTTTCGTTGAATGATATTTCTTTAAATAATGTTGTAAACTTTTTACAGCTTTTGAAGTGCTCTATAGTCGATTTCCTTGAGCTCGTGAGGAAGATTCAGAATTCAAAATGGATATGACTGGAGGATCCTCATTGCATGGGGACATTTTAGGGGCAATCAACGTGTTTTAGAAGATGTGCCGTTGGAAAAAGCACTCCTTGCAGACCCGAGGAAGCCAGAAAGGAAACGACAACACGGACGCGATTAAGCTATCCATGCAGTTATCCTTTCACGCCTCCATTTCTTCCATTGTCACGTCAGAATTTCTAGTGGTGGAAGAACAAAAATGAAACGTTTTATGATTGTAGGGAAAGTCGAATGGCAATAACGATTGCAAGTTACGTCATCGTTGCTGCGCAATATACGTCATCACCGTCATAAAAAACGGTTAGCGAAAATGCTATTCGCAACGAATGTTTTACCATTTGCAAAAACCTTTTCGTGCGAGGCAAATATATTAATAGTGAAAACGGGTTACATAGCTGGAAGCAACATTCTTCCTCTAACTGGCTTTGCAAGTACATTGCTTCTTTCCACAACCTTAGACAACCTAGTATAGCTTGTCGCGTTGGACTAACTAACTAAACACAACATTGTCAGGGAACGGGGATATTGCATGGTTATAATCTATCTAAACAGAACCAAAATTGTACATTACATGTACAACAATATTATTAACAGATTTTGTCCATGATTGCAGTAAAAATCCTAGTTATTATTCCAAGACAACACGCATACTTACTTTACACCTCCTTCGCCGACTTGCAAAGATAGAGAAGTCAGCGCCGAAACTGTTTCTGCCTCTTCTTTTTCCCTTATTTTCGCCTCGAGTATGGAATATTGCACTTGGTTCTGCGTACGTTTTAACGACGTCCAGTACTTGCAATGTACAGCTAAAACTCTCTCTAAAGACTGGATGGCGTTTCGGTTCGGACGATTGCGTAAGTGTTCTTCTGCAAGTTGAGGTAACTGTTTCAAAAAGCCAAAAATTTATACAATTAAAGCCAGTAAGAATAGTTAACACTGCATGTAAAAGTTTTGTGACCACAGTTGAAAATTGGCTAATAATAGAACTCTTGAAGTGTCTATCACACATATAAAGAATATTATTATATGGTTGCGCGGAAATGTGGAATTATTTCGATTATTCTCTTCAACACGAGAAATAAATCCATATTTCCAAGCAACATTCGTAATATTCTGTTTATTATATGAACAAGTTATAAGCAAATGAAAATTCTTAGTACTCAAAAACAAACTATGTATTGAAGGGCACACATTAAAATAGCAAAGTTCAATGATATTTTTACACGTGTTTAAATACGCGTGTTTAAATTTTTGTCGGTGGCGTAAAACTCTATATAACACTTATGTTCATATAATAAATGGTATTTTGCTATAGAAAATGACCAGGGCTAAGGAATAAATGGGCAATTATACCTCGTCTCCGAGCAGTGCTCTCATACAAGCCTCAGCAGAGTCACACAACGTTGGTAAGGAATATCTAGAAAAATGGTATTCAAATAATCAGTGCATATGGATAACCGAGAATATTCGTAATATGGTTTACGCATCAGGTGAAAGTAACTCTGTGATGTTCATTCTAACAAGTATTTGCTTTATGAACGACTTTGGAGGTACTAAAAACTGCTGTTGTTAAATCGATTCTTTATCACGTCACATTTTCTTTCAGCCCCCCCCCCTGCCATATAGTAATGAGCAGTCCCTTGACTTACCCTCCTTCCAAGGCCAAAACAATTTGGCCATCAGCGACATCCATTAACTGCCGTGTCATATTTGCAAAACCTGTAAGTGAACATGAATTTATGAAAATATGTGTTAAATTGGTGAAAAATGGAGCAATTAACTCTTTCCAAGAAGCTTTTGAAAAAATACCAAGTACAGTGGGGGTTTCTGCATGCAACACAATTGAATCTAAAAACCACAACATTTTTCTCCCAAAATAGCATGATCCAATAACCTGTGCTCTTTGCATCCTAAATCATATGCACAAAGATTCACTCACATGCTGCTGAAACTTCGTAGCCCCCGAGTTGAGGGGAATGACCCCCAGCAGCATCAAAGCCAGCGGAAACCAGAACAATGTCGGGTGCAAATTCTCTTGCTAAAGGCATAACCACGGTCCTAGAATTTAGATAGACATATTATCCACAAGATCTTAAGATTGATCTACCATAAATATTCTATGTGTTTATGGCCACTAACACGACCTATATATGAAACAATTGTTATCGTTTCTTTGATGCATGTGTGGTAGCTATCTAATCCCAGATACATTCCCACATAACCTACACATTCGAAAGCCACACAGTATATGCTCGGTGACCTGTGACCTAGTCATGCACACACCTTAGACCAAAGTTGCGCAGGCGTGTACTTTGACCGAAATATTACCAATAACTCAGTGGATGCATCATGTACCTACATGCGTATATGTCGACGTATTTAGCGTTGGAAGACTTACCTGAACGCTGCTAGATATTCTGTGTCTCCAAACATGGGTTCTGTGAAAGATAAGGATAGTTTATATTAGAAAATGACCTGTTGGAAAAAAAGACGGAAAGAGTATTGTCGGAGGATTTGAATAAAAACAGTGGTTGGTAGAGAACAGACAACACCAGATTTAAATTAGCCTATGTTCAGGAATTTATTTATATGCTATAAAAATAACAGTGCAGGCATAAATTTCTTTTTACAGATTGCATTTGGTTAATATCCACGAACACAGACTGGGGACACGAGGTTGAACATGTGCGTGTAGATTTAGAGAAAATCGTTGGGACGAAATGTTTTCGGATTCTGTCTGGCAAAAGCTTTCGCTTCTACAGGTGCCATTATCGTGCAAAATGGTTCTTACCTAAACCACCATTCCAAGCAATGTTCACATTATAACCAACGCCAACACCAGCCCCGCACTGAATTTAGAAATGGAAAGATTGGATCAGTATTCTAGATTGATTTTTTGCCACCACTGGTCTTGAAGTCAGCCTAGATTTGGCTGGGGTTTTGTTTGTTTTTTGCCTGTTTGCATGGCTTTTCCCTTGTATCGTTTGTTGATTTAAAGAATATAATTGTTAAAAAAATTTAATGAGTTTCAACAGCTCGCACTGTTTTACCTCCTCAGGTTTCCCGGTGCCGGGGAAAAACGTTCCGTCGTCATGACGATGCATGGATATATACAGCACATGCGGGTCATCATAAAACATTTGTTGTGTGCCGTTGCCATGGTGAATGTCCTACGAAAACAAATCTCTATCAACTACTGCGAAACTTCCTTCTAATCAAACAGCGTGCAGTCCTTTCCCAAAATATACAGTCACTATTTCTAAATCAATATTGCATGTCTGCTTCCCATCTATAACACAATATTTAGGACACATAACATGCACCAAGCTATAAAAACCACGATCCCTGAGGGATGAACTTTAAGCTATGTGGGACACATTAACTGAAATCACTTGCGACATACCCAGTCAATGACGAGGACCTTTTCCACTGACATTCGTAACCTAAGTAATCTTGCTGCTATAGCAACTGAGTTAAAGTAACAGAAGCCCCTGTGGAGAGAAAAAAAACCCCATCAGATGATCGACAAAAATATAAATATATATATATATATATATATATATATATATATATATATATATATATATATATATATATATATATATATATATATATATATATTCCTTTTATAAATATGAATTTAAATCTAGCTCTATCGCCATTCAAGCAACTACCCACATCGTACATTTTCGTCTTTTATTGTCGTAATTTAACGTTTATAAGTCATAAATGGCCATACACCACCATAATTTTTTTCTTTCACCTTGACGGACAATCTACGTCATTTGACCACTGAAGACAAAGTGGGCAGCAAAACATGGCCCACTTCGTTACACGCATTCAGGCTCATAATATCGGACTGAGTATCAAATAATATCTTTTTAGAACTAACATGCATGACTAAGGTTACGAAACAGCAGGCAATCTCAAAAGCGAAAAAGAGTAAGACTCTTACATGGCTTGATGGGCTTCAGCATGATGTCCAGGTGGACGAACGACTGCAAAACCATTCTAAAAATACATGTATGCATAATGTTGTTATAGGGCTAATATAATGTATCTTCATCTGAGAACTTTACTTTATGCGACAAAGTGGCCAGACAGTTTATAATGGATAGAATCCATTTAGAATAGCGCCGAAGAAAGGCCGTAATGACATTTAAATCATAAATATATATTTTCATTCTTCGGTCGTTCGCTGCTTTTTATGGGTGAGAGAAAAATTTGATACAAGTTTTTTAAACAATGCATGCCTTTAAAGCAAGCACAAATTCCATAAAGAGAATAATCACTTCTGTTGCTATGGCATGATATTAGTTTTTTTTAGCTTTAAACTATTTTAACACGAAATCTTGATTATCTTAATTATCAGTTTTTCTCTTACTAAAGAACTAGGGAGCTCTCTCAACCACATAAGTCTCCCAACCAGAATTTGGATTTCATGACGTCGCATCGACATTTTGGAGATATAAAACTAACCTTTAAATCACCCGATGCAATTTTATATGCAAGTTCAGTTACACAACCGACAGCCTGTAAGATAAATGCTATTAGCAATTTAAACCGGATTATGACAACTCCCTAACCATTTGCAACTTTATAAATCGACCAAATGTTCTTGGTGCATGGACATCGATTGGAGCAACCGTCCTTTATTGCGATCTCATCAAGTTGCGTAGCTAATAGAAGTTGTATAGGTTGTCATTCGTCAGGGCCGCCGATAGGGGGGAGGGCAGGGGGTCATTTTGCCTCGGGCCCCAAACCTGAAGGGGCCCCCGACTTAAGAAAGAACCTAAAATTAAAGCACCTTAAAAAATGTTGGGCTCGGTATATTATTCGCACACTAGTCGAAGGTACGAGTGACAGTCATTGTTATTTCAACTTCTAAGATTTTTTGACATTGTTTGTAAAAAAGTTTGTTTGTAAAACTTTTGCACAACGCTTTGTGCCTCGCAGATATTTAAAACCATGACGTCATAGTGCCCCAGAAAAAAACATAAACTCACCATTCTGGCGGCATTTGCACTGTGTGCTTCGTTCCATATCGTATCGGCATCGACCCCCAAGCCAGTGCAAGCAAGCGTTGTGAAACATTTTAACGTCGTCATGTCTCCTACAAAATTTTATAAAAACAGAAATAAGAATAGATTTTTGTGGCTTTATATAAATCACAAGATTTTTGTAAGATATGCTATACGCGCTCACAAGCTTAGTTCTTGCTTAATGTTAACTATATTTTATTCCATCATGTTTATATGGCCATGTGTTATGATATTCGCACAGTCAAAAGCAGAATGGCTTAACAACGTACTAAAATTCTGCACATCTAATTTGAAGTCCCAACACAGTTAACAGCCTGTAGGATCTAAAGGACACTTTATCCTATTTCTTTCAGTATTATTTCAGTATATTTCTTCACATCGTTTCGTTAAATGTGATTGTCGGAGCCCTGAATGGACCTTTTCTCTTTGTGGGACTCTATCTTCGACTCCCTTCAAATCAGATTTTATGCCTTGCAATGATGCTTCCTTGAGTTTTCCATACATCTGGAAACAGCCGACTCGTTAAAGGGCCCATTGCTAGACACACTGAGTAGCAAAGCGTTTATAGGAAAGAGCTTGCTTATTTTCCTGAATGTCAGCGACGAAGGGCTTCCCATGCTTTTTTGGGGGACTGTTAAGCTTGTATACCACACAGTCATATTATAAAATGGAGTAAAATATCACCGCACCAATGCATGCTGGGCTATTCATTTCTTGCCTCTGGCATATTTTTTAATACGGCAAAGCTTTAATACGGTTAGTATGATGTCAGCTTCGGCCTTTTTTGACAGATTATCAGTTGGTCCACGAGAATTTAACAAAGCCGATTGACGTGTTTCTTTGGATACCCCTTTCAATACTTTTAATAAGTCTTAATATGAATATTTGCGATTGAAGAACCAGAGAGGATTCGTGATTTTAAGATACATATCAATGCCCAGTATAAGGCGAGTAAATAAAGAGAAGTAACAAAATTACATTTAAAACATTTAATAGAAAAGCGAACATCTTTAGACAAATTGACATATATGAATAAATTACAACTATTTAGGAGATATTATAATATAATAAGTAGAGCTTGGATCAATTGGATGGAAAAACAGAGTCTCCTCGAAAATTAATTAAGAGAGGGTTTGAATATAGCAATGATAAGGTTTTCTCGAGTAAGACATTTGCCTGTAGAAGAGCAAGAAGAAAGAACAAAATCCTAAACATGCATACTGCATCGTTGGGGAACTTCTTTCCAGGCGAACTTCCTATCCGAGAGAGCCTTCTCGTTGCTAAACTTAAATCCTCTTTTAAAATACAAGATAGCTCCACGCTCCACTTGTAATATAATATCTTGTATGTAAATGCTTTAATTTATTCACGTATCTATGTTTGTCAATGGCACTGAAGATGTCTTAATTTGGTTAAAGACAAAACGTTAAACTCTCTACTGTTTTATATGTAATTTTGTTATGGCACATTTACGCACATTATGCTGGACATTGACGTTTATTTGAAGATTAAGATTAAGAAGTGAAAAAATGCTGGCAGAATGGTTCAATTGTACCTGGTATGAAAATATAAGCCTCGTCGTGTGATGTAAAATTTTGGGTGGGGAAGTAAAATCAATCATCTCACTAATGGCCGTAAAAAGGCACCCACTTTAGTAATGACGTCTTGCGAATTATGCACAATTAAATAGTTTTCCGGCTAAGGAGTTCTTAAAATAATTGAAGACCAGCGTCCTTTATCGAGTAACCATTTTGCTTGTTTTTTTTTCTTGTAAAACATTGAACTTTCGTTTTCCAATTAACAATGCAGTGATCAGAACTGCTAAGAGGGTCAAGAACCACTTATTCCCCATAGAATCGGTTAGATTACCAAGGACTATAAAAGTTGTTGCGCCTTTTGAAGATTTTTTCTCCCTGCGTGATTGATGGTGGGTACGTGAATTTCTTTTTCTGAAAACTATTAGTAAACGGACACGACCCCCTTCCCCCTACCAGCCCTAATATTTTATTGTTACAAGTCTCACATAGCAGTTGAAGGAATAATGGTGAAACGTAAGGCATTTTGGCCCTTTCAAATCACGACAGATACCTTAAACGGATTTACATCACTGCTTACATTTTAGTTCACCCAATTAATGGTTCACAACCATGTTAGGTAAAGGACATTATACACAATTTAAACATACCATTTTCTCCTCGTGATCTCAATTGTGTGCTTCCACCGTAGAGCATTGTATGTTGTTCACTGCAATGAAAGAAAATTATGGAATTGGGTCTTGCCACAGAGAAACTGCTGTTATATAAAACTAAAGAGGTTCCAAATAGAGTATGTGACTTTTTAACAAATTACCAAACTACTGGCAATGGCATTTACAAAAAAAGAGAGCCATGTTAATGAATTTCTTTCGGTTATATTTCGATGGCGAAGATATTAGAATGCAAACGTGACAACAAAAGAGAATTCATAGATTTGAGGTGCGACTTCCAAGAGGGGAGGAAAAGGGGAGATGATGTGCATGATCCATATAACTGGTATCCGATTTGTATGGGCAAAGGAAATTGAAGTAAAGATCAATCACTGAGTTCAATTTGTTTTTTGTCTAATGCGACACGGTAATATCTGCACATTGGAAAATTAACTTCAAACTGTTTTTGAACTCGAACTTATCGTAACATTTTTTAATCATCCTTTTTCCTAAAGAATGTTTTTGCTACGCTTTGGTACACGAGTTTATTATTAATATCACACATAACATGACTGGGGGGAGTTTTTCACTTCTTGTACATTTTAGCTCACCTGTGAACAGTAAGAATTTCTGCTAATGTTGCTTTTCTCGACCTGACACGCTGTAAACGAAAACGTGAAAGAATGTTCAAAAATGTTCACTCTTCAAGCATAGGCAGAAAGACTTAAAACATACTAGCAAATTACACTTTGGGACGGCTACTTCATTGTGCAATTAAACACAGTGTATTGAATTACTACTTTTCATTGAACAATATAATATACAAAACAACATAGCCTACACTATTTGCAGTTAAATTGTAGGTAACTTAAAAATTCTTAATTTTGATTGCATGTTTAACATTCGCACCGAACAACCGCGGAAACAGTTACTGCATTTTTATACCACTGGCCCGGGGATATGAACAAACGATGAACTATGGGTGCTGTACAAGTACCTCGCAACGGGACACGACTCCAGTCTCTTGTAACCTCGCCCATATGCTCTGCAGTCTGCCTGGATGCTCTGGATGTGAACTGACATCACCACACGTGCACTGGTGTTTCAACATTAGCGTATCGTACACAAGACCCGTTGTCGCCGGTTGCCCAGCAATACGACTAACAACGATCGGTGACGAATGCGCGCGCGATAGCGGCCGATGTGCTGGAGTGTTCGAATCGTGCGCAGGTGCGGCAGGGGTGGCACTAAGTCCGTGCACGTGTTCTGGAATCATATGTTGTTGCATTAACTTGTGTTGGCGTTTTAATTGTTCCATAACTGCATTTGCCTCTTGATCTTCACTCAACGCCCTTTGTTGCTGCAAAAAGGCTAAGTGCTCGTTCAGTTCCTTGTTCTGTTGGGCTTCCAAACGCTCCTTTAGCATCTTAGAATCCTTTTCAGCCTGCAATTTCGACTGATGCTGCTGCAACAAGAGTTGTTCGAACTTCTGCTGGCCTAGCTGCTGACGCAAGAGTTCGTTATGCAGCGCCTGTTGCTGTTGCTGTTGCAGGCGCAACAGTTGTGTGTGATGATGTTGCTGTAAAAGTATCTGCGTTTGTTTTTGGAATTGTTGCTGCGCGTGCAGGTTGTTGGGTAACGACTGTGTTTGACGCAGTGGTCTATGTCGTTTCACCGTGGTGCTGCTGGGCGGAGAAAGTTTCGGGCTCCGACGCAGCGGATTTGGTTGCCCGCTAACGTTCGCACCGCCGTTTGTCGCCATAGCGCCTGCAGCTGAAAGGCCAGCCGCTTGTGCGTGTTGTAACTGCGCCTGCGTGAGAGCAAACGCCTTGAGCTGAGCATGGCGAAGGGCTGCCGCATTCACTCCATCCTCGGCCTCCTCGTCTATACCTTCCGATAGTACCTGGCTTAGCATTTGATTCTGTAGTCGATTGTGGAACTGTCTTTGTTCCTGGTTCTGTGGTAACATGCCAGCCACGAGCGCGGAGTTCAGCAACAGCTGATTCAACTGAGCTTGGTCAACGTTGGCCGGTACACTCTGCAGGTTTGGAAGACTGCCAGCGCCAAAAGAAATAGGATTGCCCTAATTCAAAAGAAGAAAAAATATAAATTATAATCCATGCTATTATTTGGTAATGAGTAGCATACTGGAGCCCCTCACTCATGTCAGAGGTCTATCACCCCTCATAAAAAATAAGCTCGTGCATCTCGACTCTAAAAAAACCCTGTAATAGTTCTCTGAGAAATCTTCTCAAGGATCGCCAATTGCTGGTGATGAGAAAATCCCTATGAAATCCATAGAAGTTATGTGGAGTGGATATATAGTTGACACTTGCAAAATGTAAATCGAGAAATGTAAAAAGAATGAATAATTAGACAGGCGGGGTTCAAGTTCAAACTAATAGAAATATTTATTCCGGGCTATAATACGACGAATCAGACCTTTTCATTTAATAGATAGTAATGCGTAATATAGTCAGGGATAATGTTAAGTTGTGGGTGAAAAACGTTCGAAGAGGTCACCTCAAGGAATTAAACTTAGTCCTCTTCTTGCTACAAAACGTAAAATGGAATTAAACTCCCTAAATGTAAAGCGTCCGTGACCTGTTTGAAGTGTATTTTAACTTTTAGTTTCCCTCTATACGTTACTTGAAGAATTATGGAATGAGCATCGACATGAATCGTTGAACTGCTCCTAAAAGATCGTAGGGTTGTTTAAGGGGGGCTTGGGTACATTAGTTTCAAATTTGCGATGTATTCTTCTGTATTTAATAAAGATCACTCTTGAAATGATAACGGTGTAAACACGACGTAAATATAAAAAATATGCAGTTGTAATAACAGAGCTTTGACGACGTCTGAACAATCACAGGTCTTTAATTATTCGTTTATTTCCAATGACGCATCGCACGCAAGTCCATATTACCTTTCGTTGTTAATGAGATTTCCGATTATCTGGGAAACGTGGAAAAGAAATGAACCCCCAAAATATGTAAAAAGATGTTCGTGACCTCTCTAAAGTATACGTCTTAACTTGCAGTACCCCCTCCGTGCGTTGTTGGAAGGATATATCAGCATTTAAACTATTTGGTTTAACATTATCTATCGATGTATTCAAGGAAAGTTCAATCGGTGCAACCGTGCATGATTGTTTACCTTGTAATCAAATTATTTCTTCAAACCTTTAACAAAGAAGCTTAGCTATAAAAGCAATGCATTTCTCGAGCAATCAGATGTGCAACAACGTCTGGCAGAAAAATTGGCTGCCTTTCTTTCTTTAGATATATATAGTAGCAATTTGCATTGCGGCTTTCGTATTCCATTTATTTTCTTTCCAAAAGGTAAACGGAGGAGGCAACTATTTTTATAAGTCACAGGAATTCCGACATGGCTTGAACATCAACTCTTATATTTTTTACACGTATTCATTCTTCTCTATGAAATTTTCCGACAAAGTACATGCAATATTTGACTGCGTAAAAAACAAGACGGAATAAAATAGTTCTCTGCGAAGTGATTTCGCGTATAATGACATATACACTGTGCCAGGAATGTCATTGCGAGCCTGCCTCGTGCATGCATAATGAAGTACGGTCTTGGATGAAAAAACGATTATTACAAAGACAGGATTTAAAGCTAACTAAGAAGGTTTAACAAACTACTCACATATGGAATTCCTACAGGCGTAACCTTCCCATAACGAATGTTTGGTAATGATTCAGACGGCGTGAGAACGCGTGTCTCGTGGGGCGTCGGAGGAGTTGTACGATCCTGGAAAGACAACATATACATTAAGAAATTAAAAATTACATTCAATATGGTTAATCACGCAAAAGATATAAACGATCTGCTTGTATCGAAAAATGATTTTGCACAATAAGTGAACCTCGAAAAATAATACTCGTTCACACATCAATAAGATACTCGCTAAACGATGCTGATACCAACGGTACTGAATGCCGTGCAATAGCAGTTTCTTTGAATGAACGCTTTTCCACAAGATTTCTTGTTATTGTCTCTGCAATTTTGTTTATTTGTACTGTATTACGCTATTTATAACATCTTCCCCCCATATTAGTGTTTGCGTGGGCGCCGAGATTTACGTGGTGGATGGAAAGCACCGTATATACAATCAAACTGATTGCATGCTTGATAAGATAGCGTGGCCATATGTTCCATTTGAAACTAGAAAGTTCACGGCTATATAGATTAAAAACAGTTATTTATAGTCAAAAATGTTATGTATTATGTCAGAAGGTGACGTGTAATGTACACGCCACGGAAGACTTAACTCCTGAAATGGAGTTATTTGCATCTTCACGAAATGGATTACTTTACGTTCTATGAGTTATTCTTGGAGTTAGATCACAGCGACCTTTTGTCAACGCACTTGACAAGTAGTTCTCCTGATCTTTGCTATCGTGCTCAGATATTCAGTCAGGCTTGAAAAATACAGGGGTGGTTTGTATTCCCAACATAATAATGGCCTGATTCAATTTTTTTGTTTCTTGCATGCACGTATAGCAATGCAAAACCGAACCAAACAAGGTGACATAACATGTTTTAACTCCGGGGCCACGAAAAGGAATGAATATAGAATGTATCATTTCGATTACACTGTGCGATTTGTCGTATGCGATTCCCAAAGTGGGCGAATAAACACGCGCAGAAACGGCATATTTCAAATTTCGCTATCAGCGTAAAATGTGGCAACTGCAAAAATATTGCATGGATATTCGGTTTCAACAGGTACTCGAATGGCATGCAACAAAACATAACAACAATGAAAGCAAAAGTCGTGTCTGGTGCCCGAAAAATATTGTGAAACGATTTCCTCCTGCAAGCTTAATTTCTATATGAAAATTGTAGGTTTCATTCAGATAGTATTAAACATTTGCAACCTTAATTCTGCCCTTCCATATTTCGCTAAATATGTTAATTATCTTTGAACATCATCAGGTTCTACCTTGTACGTGTTAAGAGTCAGGTATGCATGTGAGAGCTATACTCGGATCAAAGTGAAGAGCTTGGTTTAAACTTCGACTTCGTTAAAAGCCAAAAAAAAAAATTACAACTCTCGTTTCTGAACCACAAGTGGCAGTGCATGAGTGCCATAATTATGTGAATGACATGCGCAGAACGTATACGGTCGCCATTTATGGTTCCCGTTGACTTGCGAATATGAAGCTGTCACCTGTCTCTCATCGGAGCTATATTAGATCTACTTGTTGTGTGTACATGTGTTAGTTGTGTGTCAAAGTCTTAGGCTTGCGTATCGACTTTCGTATAGCACATATAGTTAAGGTCAAATCGCAATTACCGTGCGAGTGTGCACGAAAAAGCGCAGTAGAAGCCACTATCCACTAGCGAGCCTAGGATGCACCAAATCTACGACGCGGACGTGACATGAAAACAGCCACTAGTGTTAGGAACCCATTGCAGTTTTAATTCGTTTTATATACGCGGCTCTGGATTTGTTTACCAAAAGAAATCTATAATTTTTATCACTGTTGAGAAATAATGGAAATATATATATATAACCACAGAATCACTTCACATCCGTATCGTAGATTTGGTCCATCTTAAGGTCCCAAACGAATTCGGCAGAATGAGCGACTGGCAAGCGAGGATGATTTGCAACGTCTCTATTTGATAGCACTTTTCAACTTTTCACTTTTGATAGCAAATTTAAAGTTTGAAAGATTTAAAGTTTGAGAAATAACAAAAACGTGGGCGCTAAGTGAACACGCCTGTATGTACTTACGCAGAGTTCCTAGAAAACACGATTCGCAGACGAAAGTTTAATGCGACAGATTAATTAGATACAGGTCCATTTATGGAAATACTTGTTCTTTCCCCATTGCCGAAAAAACATTTCCCATTTTTGGTAACAGGTGTCTATTGTATTTTCCCCTAGTCAACGAACAATATTAGGTTTAAAGTAGCCAGTCGTTCAGGCCACGGAATAATATGTGGACGACCCAAACCATCGATTTCCATTCGGTTATTAACTGGGCAAAAACACAGTAAACAAGATGGCATGCACATTTGGTATGAACGCCGATAAAAACAATGATAATGGGTTATATTGCACTTGCATCTTGTCGCCAAACCATGCATGCACTCTATACATAACAACTGGATATCATTTTAGATATACATATAAAATTTTGGGCGGGAAACGGCTTTCCCGATGAAGAAAGTGTTATTTTATTGGCAAATACCATACGCTTGTCGTTCAAGAAAACATGGTTTTGGAACCCACGCGAATGTTAACATTTCTCCTTAATTAATAGACGTGTGCGTGCCGAAACAACGATTCGATCAAAAATGATAATAAAAATAATATATGCATGTGATGTTCATTAGTTGGAAGTGTTATTTTTGGACAGCGTAATGTAATAAAATGTGTACATTATGGATGTAAACATATTGATAAAATTGCAAATTGTGAATATGAATCACAACAAGCAAACTACAGCAAAGTACATTACGAGAACATATGGCTGTGGGTACTTAACTTATGCATGACAGACCATTAATCCTACATTTCCACCTGCCATGCTTAAGACTATGGGGTTGAAAATCCCTGCACAAAAAACGTATCGTTACTTGCACAATGCATGACGGCACGATGTATTGAATATAATACGATAAATGAGTCTAAACGTTTTCCGTGAATTTTTTATACATTTTCACGAGAAAGTGTATACATCCTAGACAGATACACAACCTTTACACTAGAGCATAATTCCACATATTGCCCTGTGTAATATATAAATATGCTGTTTTGCACTGAGGTACATAACATAAATATATATATATATATATATATATATATATATATATATATATATATATATATATATATATATATTTATATAAATATATATATTTATATTATGTACCTCAGTGCAAAACAGCATATTTATATATATATATATATATATATATATATATATATATATATATATATATATATATAAAAACTATAAAATATAAACATGAAGCACCCGCGCTCATATATAGTAAACACGACTACATGCATTTCCTTTTAAATTGCTTGTGAAACTCCATTTTTATGGATTTATGGGGAAGACAACGAAATAATGGTTGTAAAGGATTGGTTCTGAAATGCTGAAAACATTTCGTGCAAGGAAACGTTTACTGGAATACCTCGTGTAGGCTTTAGCGCACGAGGCAAAATGTCATGAATATAACATATATGCGTGCGGTCACAAGGGCCGCAAACACTACAAGTAAATGCTGGAAATGAAAACATCAACGTGTTAATTACTGCGGTTAATTTATTTACATTTGTACGAATAATATTTAGGCAAGCTTACCTCTCTGCCTGGGGAGTCCCCACCACGGGTGAACTGTATGGGTGAGCTGGGTGACGAGCTTTCGGAGGAGTCCATATTGTTGTTGTTCTCGGCTGAAAACGAAGAAAACACGAGGCCTAAGCACAGATACTTAGATACTGCGACATTATATATATATACACGTATATATATCTATAATGATTCACTAAGCCGCTGTGATGTGAATTAATCCGTATTGATCTATAGACAGCGACTGCTGCGAGCAGACGTGCTTGCTGGGCGTACAGTACGTACACATCAAACTAAACATGAAACCCTCTACAGTGGCGCGGACATAATGACATACATACATATACACACACACAAGTATATTCTATAACACAACCAGGTGGTTTTTCGCGAGGCTTTATTCCATACACAATTATCAGGAGATATGCAAATGAACAGGGCTAAACATAGCCGGGTAAACACGAAGCGAACATCACACAAGAAACGAGGCAATTAGTTTTGGCAAATCAGAACTCGAAAGCTTATCACAAGCGGTTAACCGCGCGTAAAAGCCAGCCACGTGAACATTACTACACCAGAAAGGCCCGTCGAGGTTAGATTCTCTTCACACAATCCTCACACCGCGTAACATTGCAGATATTTAGGATAAATTCGTATATGAGGGTTGTGTATTACGTCAAAACGTATAGTTTACAGGCCAGTGGTATTTTATACGTCAAAGTCTCTGTCCACAAATAAAACCACGATACAACTTCGACGATTTAGCGCAAGAGTTGAATACAACGAAGCAGGCACGTACACGGAAGAGTTTTCGCCGCCATTATATTATTATACCGAGTAAAATCACTGACCTGAACGACTTTCGACAAGCTTACGAAGAAGCTGGTCTCGAAGCGTAGGAGACGGCGTTGTCCTATTATTGCTTTCATTAAATCGCATTTCTTGTTCCCTAAACATGGGCCCGATCACGTCGCTCGAATCGCAGCAATACGTATGCGAATTTCAAAACAAAGTTCCTTTGAAAGTCGTCGCTACTTGCCTGTCCAAGGATACAGTATGTAAACAGTGTTCAGAAGAACAACACGATTGCGCATTAACCACTTCCGGCCGGGCCGAACCCATGCAGTGAGAATCGAAGTCTTCCCGTTCGATGGTAGCCCATGTAAATAGCAGAATAAATATACAACACAACTCGCTGACACAGGCAACGAAGAAACCTACCAGAGAGGTCGACTCGTTTTCCCAAGCGTGTCCTATATACGTATACAGATACCGTAGACGAGAGGTGATACCTCAGTCTTTTATATATGCATTTGGGCGACGCTACCGGTAGAGCAAGTCACGAATACCAAACGAAGCTTGAAAAAACGTTAGGAACTTTCTCGCAAACAAGGAATCCTTTGGCGCTTCAAGGAAGAGCGAAATATCAGTATAGAACTTCTTTTAAGCAGTCAAGTCGCTCTGAATGGAGCATGTAGAATCCTATTGGAGGTTTTCGAAGGGGTTGTTGAGGCAACTACAGGGTCATTTCCGCCCACAATTACCAACACTCGTAAAACAAAGAAGCAAGACTTCGTTTTGGCGTTAAGAATATAGCCCACTGTTACCTTTAATGATCCAGCGAACGCTACAAATTACTTCCCCCCGCACGATAGACGTTGTTGTTTAACTTTGATGGGTTCAAGATGGGATGCGAAACGCGAAACGGCCTTACACCCCTATAGGGCAACAGCTAATATTCATAATGTCTGAATATTACGAGTGCGTGGGAGGCTTGAAGTGCAGACGTAATTGTCCAGCAAGGCTGTCTGTATATTGCGAAAGCGAAGCCAGATTCTACGCATTTTTAGGCCGAAACCGCATTGTGTAGCGTACGAACTCGTCTCGCCTCACGAGTCGAGGCTGGCGGGCGAATTGTGGTAAACGTTTGCCCACAAGGGCAAAAAAACGACGGGTTTTGAAGTTTCAACAAAGCGAGTGTCATTAGCTTTATTAGGAAGACGTAGCTTGATTATGCGTAGGCGTATAGTATCAGCCCACATAATAACAAAGAACAAATGACGACGGACGTTGAATGATGTCGAAAACACACAAAACATATTCGCCATTATTTGAAAACGCGCTGTCATTTTGCTTTGCAATCAACGCGTATTTAACATCGCTGAAGGCAAATCGCATATTTTCTTTATGGCGAGATAATGATGCAAAGTCTCTAGTATATTCCAGATTGAAGTAGTATTTTAGGAAAAACGAGACGATATATATTTTACATGAATTTCACTAAAGTGAAAGCGCTGCATGCTTTAATTTGCGAAATGTTTATGTGTATGCCGTTTAACATAAATTATAAGTAATTTATATATATATATATATATGCATGCATGCCAACGACATGGGCACCAGGTCATTTTAATATCTAAACATAATTAAACTTAGTATATGACTGCATGTTAATCTAAAAAAATTAACAAAAATGTCTAAATTGAACTTAATTAAAGAGCTTCTTCAGGTCGATGACCACATTAAAAAATTCAAAATTCTCTCGTATAATTTCTCGGAGTCGGGATAAGTTTTCATCTCAATATAAGGAGTTGGTTCAATAACGAATGATTTCGAAGTTGTCCATATACGCGGCAACTACCTCCGTCGTAGCCCGTAGGTCAATTTTTCCACTACGCTCTTACAAAGATACAAATTAAAGAAGTTCGTCCAATATTTCCAACTGAAATTCTGGGGGAAAATCCCCGAAAATGACCTCTAGTCAACAATATACGCGTGACTTCACAGAATCCCGAAAATCAACCCACATGCAGCAGGCAGTTTGATAAAGAATAAAAAATTCTTGGTATGAGCATATTTGCATGGATACTGCATGGCTACGTCAACGTCTCCATAGTAGTTAATACTGCCACAAAATTCAAAGTGTCTTAACCAAAGAGAATTGGTGAAGGATGAGTGCATCTGAGACCGACCAATTTAGATTCCATTGGTTGTATTCGCTATATTTAAGCCAAGAAGGAACTTTCAAACTCCGTTTATCACGTCTCGTCACCATGCATGGTATAAAACTAGTGATTATGTTACTTTCAAGAGGAGATATATACCTCTTTGCCAGATCAATTTCCAGCGTGATATATGACCAGGAAGGGACTGGCAATCATACGGGGGTTGGCTGTTGTATCCTATAGACATCCTTCCTATATTGATGGCATCGTGTATATAGCCATTAATCGACCAGAAACTTCCCCTTTCCAATTCCTTAGAGATTACATAATCTATATAACACCGACACAAACACATCAAAGAAGACCTACAAGGTGTACCCATAAAGTTAAACGCGGGCTATCTGATGCACGCGGAAGACCTCTTCCTGTTATTCCGGCAATCTTTATAGATCATGCACTCCATGCCAACCGCCAAGACTAAGGTAAAAATGCTTACAACAAAACAAAACCGGGGCGAATTTTCAACTCCGTCGCTGACGCCGGAGTAATAAATAATAACTACAGTGTACGTCGATCTAATTTTTACAACTGCCGTTGTATTCAGTATATGATTGGTTATTTGTACTATAGCTTTATTTGAAAATGTCAATTATAAGGGAAGTATGCCGACCGCTATAATATACCTTTGGCTTTATACGAGGAAACAATACAACGGCTATCGTTTGGTTGGCCACGACGGACAATTCTCTTAAAATCCCATCGTTTTCAAACACCTACAGTCCAACGGTCTCATCCGAAACGGTCAGCAGGCGAATGTCATTGAATGTGGTTACACCATTTTTCCCCAGTTGGATTATTGGGCTAACGCATGCACAAAGCTCTCAAAGCAAATATACAATATCAGAGATCCCTCTGATAATGTAAATATGCTTAATTAAATCAAATTAAAAAACGATATAGGCTTTGCAATATTCATCCGTAAAGGGTCATTCAATGGAAGGTTTTCACAGATATAGCCAAGGTGTGCAATATCAGCGTCAGACGACAATAATAACGCACGCATATATGAAAACATTTTTCATGCAGTATATATATGCATGCATATATTCTATTCCTATGAAGCTCTAAATTTGATAGCAAAAGGATGGTTCCCATTTTGTGGAATAAGTTATTTTCACCGACGGGGTCAAGAACAGTATGATTGATTTTCACCAACTTACAAGTCACTTTGTAATTATGGCTAACATTTTGTCACGTTTCCTGTTTTTCAAGTTTTTCGACTTTGTGCGCTGTGCACATGCATGTGACTCAAAGTGGTCCCAAACAAAACCCCTTTGAAAAAGCTTTATTTTTAGAATTTTTTTCTCATTATTTGCCTTATAACTAAATATAAAGCTTATGCCTACAGACAAAAAAATTCGTCACCCTTACAACGTTAGTTGCCATGGTGGCATACGTATGAGCTTTCATTGGTATTATTTCATTGTTTAGCAAGAGGATTTCAGTTGACGTGCAAGTGCAGCAAAGGACAGATGTCTGGTGTTTTGCTCAAATATAGAGACTTTTGGAGCCAAAGTGCCAAACTATGACGGATAATTGCGGCACAGTTTAACTATCTTTAGTTTCCACGACAAAAGAACAATGAAGACTGAAGTCGTTTGATTGCCTGTGATTTAGGAAAAATTCTCGGGATGTCCAACAAAGAGTTACCACTTGAAAAGAATTTGTGAAAGTTCCTATAATCTTCATTAATTGCAAGGTAAATCCTATTTAAGATATGGCTTTGTTATTGGCAGCAGCATTTTAGACAAAAGCATGAAGCATCCGCGCCATCAGCTAGGATGTCCAGAATTTTAAACAAGTCATGCTCGCGTATTTAAAAAAAATCAAACGGTAAATTGCTTTCATATGAGAACAATTTATACGTATTTTCATGTAGGATACAATAGTTTCATTTGCGTATAAAACAATACAAGATGATGTTATCGAGACTATCGAGAAAGAGTGCAACGAACCAACAAGTTTCATAAACGCTTCTGAAAGCCTTATAGTTTCACATCTAAAAAAAATTCACGGCATGAGCTTCATGGAAATAAATATATAGAGCGAAATGTTCCTATAGGACCATCGTAATTAAATCCCACTCGATAAATCCTAAGGTGAACATTATTTAAGCCCGATAAAATTTCATTATTTCCTAAAGACAATTGTATATTACGAAGCAACCACAAAAATCTTCACATAAAAGGATAATATCAAAATTAAGGTCTCGCTCTCAATTTTACGCATCCGTGGTTTTACATGCAGCATAATATAAAAGGCATTCAAATTCTAACAAAAGCTTGGTCCAATGGGGGGCACTTTTTTAATACGCTTGTATAATCTGATTTTATTGTGAAAAATACTTTGAATGCAGATTTTAAAAAAATTTTAGGAACCCGGTAAAGAAGCTAATTAAGTGGAGTATGTAGGATGTCAGTCGCCTAATTTTGTTTTTAATTGCACTGTTGCAAGTGGTGTATACAATTGAAAGTTTGTCTTCATTGACTCCGCCCTTCCCCTTTTCCTCGCCACAAAAAAATTATCTGATAGAATTCTGCGTTAAGGCTAGTTTCCACTCAGGAAACTTCTCCTTTGGATCGGACAAGACAGGAAAGTTTCCTTTGTATAAATGCCGCTTGAGAACTTACCGACAAAGAAAATTTTCCTGTCCGTTCCAATCCAAAGGAGATTTCTCCTGAGTGGAAACTAGCCTTTAGGCGGGAAATTAGCATTAGGTTTTGGTCCTACTCCCTCCCTTTTAAAACAGGCCCCGCGGTTCTTAGTCTTATGTGTATCAAATCTTTGAAAAAAAAAGAGATGTGTTCATAGTAAACAGTTTAACTCTCTAAAGGAATGAAGGGATCAAATGATTACTGAAACATACGATACGCAGAAGTGTCAATGATGAATATAACTGCACACTAGCTGTCTTACAAAATCGGGAGTTATTCTTATCGTGTATTGTATATAATGCTGCACCATGAATCGATGACGTCGTTTCTCCCTGAAAGGCTGCATAAAGGGGTCGTGCACACATGGGCTTCACGGCAAGTCTACGCGCAAGATTTTATGAGATCATATATGAAATTCATTGGCGGACAATACGGTGCAATAGGACATGCTCTTATGAAGGAAATACTTAAAGAGTTAATCTGTCTATTTAGTATGGATTTTTTAACATGATGAACAGATACGAAGAAGTACACGAATGCATGATAGCTGATAACATCTGCACAATACGCGACACATCTGAATACACACATTTAAGGAATAGTACGTGGGCAATGTATTACAAAATATTGGCCCCACGATTGATCTCCAAGCAATTTTAGATCTATAACCGTAGACACGAAAATAGCAAACAGCAAAACTTAATAGACGACCAGAAATAAAAATTCACTATGCCAAAACATGCAAATGTCTTGAAGAATTTCATTATATTTGAAAAAAGACGTGTGCTGTGAATAGACTCCCTTCTTATAGGATTTTAGGTTGCAGAACAGGTGAAATTTTCATCCGTTTTTACCGTGTGAATCAGATGAATTTTAGCACGCTTCCAAATTCGTCCGCCCCTCTGTGAACGTAGCCTTAGTTTTCCATTTTCGAAACCTTCTACCATTCTTTTATTATGACATAATTGTTCATTTTCCCACTTGCATGCACTTCTACTGAAATGAAGTCAATACATGACGTAACTGAAATTTTCATCATTACTATGCAGCTTATGAAGAATGCGGTCCATCTAAGTCATTTTCGTTAAAGATTCTTAAGCTTGCGCAATTCGCACATTAACATGCACGTCAAATCTGCAATCACCGCAACATAGTGTGGCCTTGGCACATCACAGATTGATGTTCTATAAATTACTCTTACCGCCTTCATTCAGATGCATGATTGCATGGGAATTGCAATATTTCATTTATGATTGAAAGCAAACAACGGAATAGATTGATTTTGGGGTGAAAAGTGTTTAAAATTAAGCCATTCGATTGCGCAATTTGGAGTTTTAATTTTCCAACCGAAGCCAATCCGAAAAAGTTTGTTTTCCGTGACAGTTACATGAAAACGTAGAATTGAATTGCGCGTGCATAACTTGCTCGAGTGGCGTCACAATTTCGCAATGATATTCACACGTTATCTCGCAGATGCGTGCATTTTTTTAGCATGACGATGAAAATCTTTATATATAGGCTATGCCAAGTTTACTGATTATACCTCTTTATTTTTGACATCGAATATATCTTGACCAAATTGAGCACAAATGACGGCTAAATTAGGCTGTTTATAGTTGTCCTCCTCCGTTTCCATTGTAAGACAAGTATTGGAAAGATGAACTAAATGGTGCTGAAATTAGTATCGACGCCCTTTCATGAGAAGTTAATAGCTACATGTCGTTTTTTACTCTTCGTCTAGTACGAAACTGCTCTATGAAGCAAGATTCTTGCATGGTTTATCTCATACCTAGTGTGAAAGCGGCATTCTGATTGGTTCCGAGTAGGTAAGCTTTTTTCGAGCTCGCCTGCTGTTTCCGAACTCAGCGGTGAGTTTTCGGGATTTTCAAGATGGCCGCCGAAAATGGTTCGGCAAAATCAGCAAACATTGGCAAATTTTTTCCCAGAATGTGTACATTTTCAGCAATTTTGTTGGATATAAATAGAACTCGCCTTTATATCATTGGGACTCACGAAATAATGATATAATTACCATCACAGCGTGCTGTCATAAAGACACACTCAAACTTATGGGTCATTGATTAGTTTGATTGATTTCGTTCGTGAGAATAACTTGCTTCTGGATCAATTTTAACGTCTACTGCATCTTATGTGAATACATGAAAAGCACAGTTCTCTACTACTTAAACACACTTATATAAATACCCCACCTTCAATTCATAGATTGATAAGCAACCGGGCATAAAGAATTCTACAAAATAATCATAATATTAATAACGCGAACATCGCCCTTTGGGACACAGCAAGATCCTGATATAGTTATTTTACACACGCAATATGTATCTTGCAATCAGGTTTGAAGTGATATCAGTCTTGATGAGTTTTAAATGTGAACTCATTTCCGACAGTTCGCCCGTTTACACACACACTCACTAATAAAAAGTTGACATCTCACAGATATTTATAGCCCATGCAAGAGCCGAATAATTACAATGCTCGTCAAAGGATCTGAAATTTCTCCAGTGTGTTCAAGTTGCTTTACCAAGGCTTTCAGCGCTTCATGCAGCCGGTCTAGCAATAATATCGACTGCATCTCGGCCCTGCTGAAGATTAGGGGAGTTTTAATCAATCCTTTTATATACGTACCAGTTGAAGCGAGGTTTGACTATTGACCGTTTCCCGCAGGGGTTTTTAGAAGATTTTTTAAATGCGCATTCCAATTTTCGTAGAAAAGAATCATCATATTGGTCTTACCGGGCGTTGTAAGGTATATACAGTAAGTGGAAGTGACGTCAAACAAGGCGATGCAAATCAGAATCTTTTTGTTCCATGCGAAGAAATAACTAATTTTACGTCACCGACTCCATTACTGCGGAGATAATAATATTGATAATCTCTTTTTAAGATTCTAAACATCACAACGAATATCAACTGGAATTCTAAATAATGGCCTGTATAAGTATCACCATGGAAACGGACACATGCATGCATTAGAATAAAGCTGGCGGTCCTTATCTCGAATGGAGGCAAATATGGCATATGTTTATTCTAAACCTACAACAACGCGTAGGCGAACGAGCACGCGGCGTGGAGTGTGTATGCTTGATTGACATGTTTACGAACCGCCGGCGATATGTTTTGACTGAAAGTGAAACGCTGAACGGAAAACAAGGACTGGATTGTGGCAATCTGGTGTGCGTTAAGTCGGCATGGTCAGGGCCATCGAAAGAAATTGTGGGGCCCGGCGCAAAATGCCCCCCTGCCTGCCCCCCTCTCGCCGCGTAGTCATGCACAGCGAATCTTTTGAGGCTCCACGCTACGCGGGAGGTTGAAGTTCTCAGCAAAGGACCACCGGAAATTGCCAGTCATAAATGAAATGGCTGCCGTAAGCCTTAAGGCTCGCAATAAGCTTTATCACATCACCTGCGGTATATATTTTTGTGTCAGTCTATAGAAGATGATGCACGTTTTGCCATTTATTTTAAAGCTAACTTCTCTCTAATAATACTCAAACATACGCTGCTGCCACAGTAGGACACGGATAATACCGTCCTGCAGTACAGTTTACATATAAGACACATTAGTATGCGCTTTTTATCGTAAACTTTTGCAGTTCGCTCGCCCACAAGTGCGCAAATATAGGTATGACTTGACTAGAAAAGTTTTCCTCGAGTTAATTCTGCCCCGATTCTCACGCACCTCTTTACTAGGCCAGTGGGGGAATAGGTGACTTTCCTAGGCCAGAGGGGGTGTTGGTGGGGTACAAATTAAGATCAGTCGAGTTTTGAGGAATAATACCAGGACATTGGCACCCATTTCCGTGATCGTGCTGAGGAGCCTCGTCTAAGTCGCACATTATAGTTCGGTCATTTCAAAATACTTCGAACAAACATGCATTTTCATTATGCGAGGAAATGTTCTTAGCCGTAGAATTCCCGATTTTGATCTAAACCGAATACGTCGTAAACATTTTTTACCTTAAGCAATATGTAATCTTGGCTTACCTGTATCAAGCTTGGTTATCCTAGTGCCATTCCTCTCACGACGGCGCGGAATGGCAACATTTCCAACCCCAAGATATGAGCGATGCTCCGATACCTTAGCTCGTAGTTTCGATTTTGCTTTGAGGTTTGGTTCCGAGGCTATAGGATAGTATGACTAGCAGTGAACTCGTTTATCGACATTTGCAACCTTTAGCTTCGGGGAGTGGGAGTGGGAAGGGGATATGCGTGATGCCTATGTTTACTGCCAGTTTTTGAGCCATACAATAACGAAACAGGTGGAGAAGCTAACACATTGTTTGAAACCCAGCTTATATTCATAAATTAGTTTGTCTAATGAATTCAACAAGCTGATTCGACTGAACGATTGCTTTATTAACCCGTTTACACGATTTTTGCAGCGATTTTTTGTGCGACTTTCACCTTTTGATACATGTGAACGAGTGAATAAGCAATTAAGAGCACTAATACATCAGAGCATTCTTAACTGTCCACTCTTTAACATCTATCAAAAGGAGAAAACCGCAGAAAAAATCGCTCGTGTAAACGGGCCTTTTTATACGTCCATCGCCTTCATAGTTTGCGAAGGGTTTGCACAAACACGAACTTAAGCCGGTTTTCAGACTAAGCCGCGTTAAGACTTAAGACTTCGCTATGCCTCGATCGTCTATGGTTTATGACTTTTCAGTTCATGAATGTACGCAAAAAGCAGCTTATTAAGTCATTAAGAGTACCTGTTTTGCGAAGAGGGAAATTCGAATCCCCATTTGACACTCGAGATCGACCAAGTGGGCTGACAGCATCGTGTTCATCATCGGCAACACTAAGGTTCCTGAAATGCATAAAAAAATCTTCTCAAGTACAACCGGCCGCCTTGCGTACAGTAAATCAGTTGCCATAAGCCCCGTTTAAAATACACTCGATTTTTTGGTACGGCACGACTAAAATGGATACCCGTGTGGGTGCCAATAAATTGAGTGTAGTGTAAACGGGGCTATAGTGTACTAGTTGCAGATGCAACATGCAGATATTCAGCAGCTATATATATACTGCACGCACTCATACTGCACTGTGCAGGCGAAACCTTCAGCTTCGGATCTTACCATCGTTTAAACATATTTGTATCAGGTACACTAGAGACCGCAGCCACACGTTGTTGTTTATTCAATACAAATTCCTGTAGCCGTTGTTTCACCTGGTTTGATGTGACTAAACGAAAGACACAAGCATCATACTGAATTGTTTGGAAAAGATGTGTAGTGTAAAGGTTTCGGGAGTCAAACCTTCTCTAGACACAGTACGAGACCCAAGTATGCTGTGAATTCCTTCTCTACAAAGCCCAACAACCTTGTGTTGGTGTACGGTACGTTACTATAAGTTTCCATAAAATTCTTGTTTGCCTATTAACCCACCCCCCCCTCCAGAGAAACATCTTTTGTAAAGAGAAATTTGTACGCCATAATGAATATATTTAGCCCATGATTTAGCTAATCTACCCTGGGACAATCAGGAATTGATTGACAGTTAAAGACTGGGAAACATAATATAAGATATGTAAGGGAACGAACGAAAGGTCGTGTAAAATAAAGGGAATATAAAATATATCGTTTTTATCGGAACACAGTGAGAATATTATACTATACGTATTTTGATCGAAAAGAGACTAGGTGATAATACTTAATGGAGTTTGGAAATCGACATGATGGAACTAAATTCGTTATCCTTCAAGGTAACCTCTACATGGTGCTGTATGAAACGGTACAGCAACATACTTTCTGCAGATTGTTTTTCATTTCTCTTTAACTCTGAGAAACCGTCTATAACCTCTTCATCATCCTCGTCGTCAGCATCAGCAGGCTCAATCTACAAGAATATGTCACTATTTTCTAATTTCTTTTATACAGATTATTATTCGGCGTGCATGTGTGCCAACAAAAGTAAAGTATGCTTAGAGATATAATTAAAATTAGTTTCAATTAGTTTCGATCCGCCCCTAATGGCCAACGTGTCAAACCTTCCTAATTAACGCAGTAATTTGTGGGTTTGCCTGGTTTCCACTTTTTAATCATGAACATGTCAAGGTAGCCGATGTGATAGAATATTTCATTTCATGTGTGTACAGAAATAGAGAATATTACACGGTTGCGAGAAGATATGGATTTTATGTTCGAGTGGCAAGAACAATATCTCACGAGTGAGCGCAGCGAACGAATACTACATTATATGGACTAAATTATGAGTGAAAAAAATACACACAAAGGCGACAAGAAAATTAGCCGCGGAAGACCATTATAAAAGCAAATATTTTTAAATCATAACCTAAACATTAAAGTAGACCAATTTTTCCTTATCTAAGGATGTCTTATGTGTTTTTGTTTGTATTGCTAACGTTAATTTCGTTTTATATACGAACCAAAGGCCATTTGTATTTTCACAACAAAGAAAATGGCGGGAAAATTTTCGAAACTCGTTATGTCACCCCCTGGTCACCCCTAAACGTGACATACGGAAAATACGCACACCTGGTCCCGGATGTAGTGACGTATCAGTTCTACGAGTGTTTTAGTTCTCAGTAAAATACCCCCATCCATATAATAAATTAAGAAAAATTAACTTTCGGATTCTCATTGGTGAAAATGACTTGTTCACCAGAAATACAATTAAATGGAAGCTTAGGTTTAAGGAGACGAGTTAACCAAGATTTAACGTACGACACATGATTTAAAGGACAACAAGCGCGGTACCGGTAGATTAAGCTGACCGTTATCCACGTTCTCTTCATCCAACAAGAATGAAATGAATAACTTTGACTCTCGCGGTTACTAACGGCACATGCATTTATATAGTCCTTTTATTGTTCGAATCACTCTTTCAATTTGTGCCATTTTAATGGAATGTTTCCTGATATTGTGCAAAAGCAAGGCCTGCAGCAAGCGGAAAAATTTTGTAGCGGTAAATCACAACCATTACACAACTTCTTGAATAAAACTTAACACGCTTGTGATTTTTAAAGGTGGGATTCCAAAACACTGAATAAACATTAATGTAGGCTTCATAAAAATTAACTTGTGAGTCAGGCACTCTGAGAAAATATTGTCTTAATAATAATAATTATAAAGAACCTTTTTTTACACATGTACTAACCTTCACTTTGATGGGACTTCGTTCATTCTCTTCTTCAGTCCACGTGGATACCTCGCTGGAATCACTCGTTTCATCCCTTCCATTATTTTGATCCCAGTTTGGTTCCAATTCCGAAGCCCTGACCTTTTTATAGAACTCTGAATACTGGTGTTGAGCGAGCTAAATGGAGTATATTTAAAACTGTTAATTATCAGTTAAATTTTCGATTCAAATTGTCCTGGTTTTTGTAGTTTTGAATAAACCATACCCTAGCCCCCTTAATGAAACTTTCCTCCTGGGATTGTATACGTAATTACTTGCGTCTTTTTCTATATGAGGAAAGAGGTCCCCATGCGAAATCGTATTTGCGCTTGTGACTGTTTAATCTTTATAAGTATCCCTATTGACTGATCATTTTCTCTCAATGGTAACGGTGCAAGGTGGAAGTGAAACCTGAACCAGCCATTATCGTATTATAAAGATAAGTACTTGGAGACTATCAGATGCACTCATTACCTGTACAGTATATTCTCATGTTTAAAACTATCCCACATAGAAAACGAATTTTATAATTTAATATCAAGGGAGCAATTGTCCTAAGAGACGAAATACGAACAAAACTCGCGGGGATCCATACGAGGCGTTTCTCCGATTCAACATACATTTAACAAATAATACAAAGCATACAGTACAAGCTCAAGTAACAAGCTCAAGAATCAAAATTACTAATTTTTGGATATTAAAAATATTGCATGAAACATATAACAATTTCTCACATTCCGTTATATATAGATCTTCTCGAGATTTCTATACAGGTTATATATAAAGCGGCAAGAATAACCAAGTTATTTCAGCGGTATACTTAGCAATCGAACATCCTATATTCCATACAACATGTAATTGTTCAAGTTGTATTAGTGAGCTTAAGCAAGTGACGTTTTTGACAACACGTACGTTGAACGGAAGTAAACTTTTTGTTTTTCACCAATCACAATCCTTGATCCAGTTTTTGTTGTCAAAAACGTCACTTGCTTAAGCTCACTATTGTTAAAATATTCACTTACCTGTGCCAATTGTAACTGTTGTAGAACAAACTGTGGTGGGTAGCCTTGTTTAAGTAACTCCTCTATCTGGGCTGAAGATGTTGGAATAACATACTGGGCATTTATCCCGGGCACACCTATTAGACCAGATGCTGCAAAAAACACAAATTGCAAAGATCAGTCAAGGCAGGTTGATAAGACTAGTCTGGCTGAAAAATTATAGCAATATTGAGATATTAATATCGTGAAACGTCCGATAATGGCTTGGTCTATTGAATCCAGATTGCCATTTTCGGAAGGGATTGTGGCCCCCTAAAATGCAGTCGTCATATGTTCAGCGATAATTATAGCAGCGAAAAATATTTCAGTTTATCTTATCAAATATCACCTCAGCAGCCAGGAAACATTAGCGAGTAACCATCGTGTTATAATATTTAGTAGTTTACACAATGGTAACATTGACTCCAAGACGCTTACACGTCTGGGGCCAGTTGTATAAAAGACTAGTTAACTTTTAACTGTAGTTAAGGATGGAATTGGCCAATCATGCAGAGTTGTGTATTTCGGAGTTATCTAGGATTTAACTATGCAAAATGTATTACGATTTTGTGGCACTTCACTCGATGTAGGTAAAATTCTAACGGTTTTTATAGGGTCTTAATTTCGAGTGGAATCATACACAACTCAATTCAAGCCAGCTACCTCTCTAGCTCAGAGGCAAGAGCACTGCACCGGCATCGCATAAGCGTAGGTTCGATTCCCGCCGCAGGACCGATAGTTGAGACTAGTTATTCTCAACTGTTCCTGCATGGCTTGAATTGAGTTGTGTAATTCCACTCGAAATTAAGACCCTATAAATAATAAAAACTATTAGAATTTATGCGAAATGTATAGTTAAATAGTCCCAAATCCCATACAACCAGCCCTGGCGTGCGCATTGCGAGTTAAAATTAAGACTTAAGAACCTCATTTGCAAAAAAGTATATCACACATTTAAGGTATACCATTCATTTTGGTGATATTTTTTTAAAATGAATACCCGCGGTACGTTAAAGCCTCGTTTTGGTTTTTACAAACGTCTTCACGTTGAAGGTGCGCGTTTAGCTATTAGAAAAAACAAGGGTAGATGAAATATCAGGAATGGTACTTTCCTCAATAAACAGTTAAATAAAGTTTTACATTTATAAATCAGAAAGATGTCTTATCATATACACAATTATCACATACACAATATTATCACGTACACATTTTAGAATAATAAACGCTATACCTGTCTTATCCTTATTCGTCATCTGATTGCCAATGGTTTGTTCATCTGCATGTATAAAAGAAAATGTTTGGAACAACTTATTTGTTTAGCATGCTACCCTCCCTACTTAAATGTTTAACTATTTTAGGCGTGAAAGATCGCAGAATTGCATGGACAGTGTTGACTGTTGTTAATACATCTTACTTTTACTTTTAGTAACTAAAGTAATAATTACCTTTTTAATATATAGTTAACTTTTAGTAACTGGTTGTATATGTTTAAAGTTCACTTCAGAGTTACAGTTAAAGGCTAAATAGCTTAAAATATCATAAAGCACTGGTTATATATACTTAAAATATCAAAGTGTCAAATTTGACACATTTTGGTTCGCTTCTAAATGTATACGAGCTATACGAAACTTGTTAAATTTTTATACTATCCAAGACCAAGTACCTATTGATCGTTATAAAAAGAGCCGATAGGTGACTCGACACTCTTTTTACCCTATAGAAAGACTATTGCCGGTATTGGAAATTTATCAAAGCAAAATGTCAAAAAGTATTTCATGCGCTATTGTTGCACAGGGGAAGTGCCAGGCGTTGACCAGCATGCAGTGTCTTGCTACCCCAGCTGATTACCGACCTGGCATTTAAGACTGTTATCAAGTTGTTATCATAGTACCAGGTAGTTTTCTAAAATTAGTAGGGCAATTTAATTCCAAAAGTAATTAGCAGTTAGCTAAGTTTAATCTGGTTATCTGCGACTCAATCGGTATATATAATAATTGCTTTCTCTGACAGATCTATTTGGTAAATTTTACATTATAGTGTGGATGGGCAGTGGTGTGGATGAGCATTTGTGTCATTTGTCCTCATTGAAGTTGGGCAAATTTGGTAATTTAAAAATTTGGTAATTGATATAATGATATTTCAACTAGTTTTACTACTCACAAAGTTCTAATTTTGATTTAAGTGTATTAAAATTTTAATACTGGTATTAGTCAGCTGATGACTAACAAGGTCTATCTTCATTTTGAACACCATTGAGAATTGTATTTATTGTCCTAATATATGACAAAAAATATAATTCTAAATACTGTTCAAAATTAAGATAGACCTTTTTAGTCCTCACCTGACCTGACAATATGTACTAAAAAGTATGAAACCAGGGATATTTCATTAATCGATCCAACCATTTGTCATTGTGTGTGAATAGACTCAGGAAGAAACCCAATGATTTGTTATTTACAAAACAGGAATCATATGCGAAATTTAAATCTTGTGATGGTAGCTATGAGTTAAAACCAGGCAAGCTGAAAAACTAACTTGACTATAGTGGGAAACAAATCTGCAACCTTTGGTTTGCTAGTCCAATGCTCTTCAAATTGAGCTACCATGTGAAAACAGTTTGAACATTGGACTTGTAAACCAAAGGTCACAGGTACAATTCCCACCATAGTCATGCTAATTTTTCAGAGTAGAGCCATCACAATATTAATTCATAAACCCGAGTGATATCCACTACCATATGCAAAATGCTTAAAAATACCAAAACACACTGCATACAGCAAGCATATTGATTTACATGCATATATGAAGGACAGTTGGTCCAAAATTCTTATAATCTCCTATAAAATCAATGGTAACTTTTTTGATTCTGGGCCAACTATGGGCCATGGCAGTAAATAAACAATTGCTGCTCACAATTGTTTCTTGATGAAAGGCTAAATTTACCACATTTTCTTAATTAGAATATACTAGCTGACTTCCATCAAAATCTGTTAGGTAAATACATCTGTTTAGCTTATGCTTTTTCGCTCTAGAAATGTCACACTTTTGTAGACTGAAATAGAGGTTGATAGGTTTTTTAGCCAAATCCCATTTCTAATCTAATGACGTATGGTTGCCATCTTTTCAAAAGAAAAATGTTATTAAAATTTTCAAAAAAAATTCTTTATTTTTGAATGTTTGGATTTTTTCACTACGCGGTAGAGAAATTCAGTATTCAGTAAAATAGACAATATTTAACATTTGTAGGTGGTTTGTTTAGAGATTGAAGGGTTATAACATTAAAAAATATTATAGGAAATGTGAACTTTGCAAAGGAGGGATCCAGGTGCACATTGCACCTGCAAAATTTAAATCTTTGCCTCAAATCTGCCATATTGTTGGCTGGGTGTACTGCATATAATATTACAAATTTTCACTTTAATTAATTGGGATTACTTGCACAAATTAAAACTTAGTTTGCCTCCTTGTGCAAATCCAAAGCAATATTGTGCTTTAACTGCTAGCTATAGGCTATTGAGAATATTGTTGTAGAAGTGGCTAATATAAGAAGTATTAAACTTGGTCAGCACCTTGGTAACTAAGCAAGAAGTGCTAAGTAAGAAATAAAAAAAAGTGAAAGAGAGAACAAATTTGTAAATTTGTAAATAAATTAGTAAATTTATAGCAAACTTTTGGTTATATAAATATTTGGTTGAAGTTTTTTTTCAGACAAATTTTAAAATTATTTTGGTCTCCCAATTAGAAGATTGTCTGGTTGAAAAAAGAAATTTACCAAAGAAAGGTGAAATGTGTTAAAATTAGGAGGAAATTAACTGTCACTTGAAATGATTTTGGGAAAATCCGCAATGAATAACTTTTGGATTTTTAATCCAAAAAAATATATATAACACTATAATCTGCAATCCATGTGGGCTTGGTTGGCAAACATAAACATATCCCTCCCAACGTTTGCCTTAATATTTTGTCATATGTATGCTTAAATGCTTGATTTTTTAAATATTGTATGGTTGAAATCTATAACTCTTGCAAATTATAACTTTTTAATCTGACAAATATACTTTATGGAAATTAATACGATTTTTCATCCTTTTTTTTCGCGGTGTATCCTCATGTTTTGGCCCCAACCTTCAAAGCAATATCAGGTATTAAAGCATATGAATTGTGAACCGGATATAAACATACATGTAACACAAATCAAAAAATACAAGACAGGCATGTGTGTTAATTATCCCCCCAAAATGGAAAAATTTCGAACAAATTCGGCAGATTTTACGGGGTTTGCTATTTCATATGAAATTCTTAAACCCATGAATAAAAACATCGCTGTTATATTGGGCTTCACTTTCCTGATAAAGGTCGAGCCAATTTGAGTTAAAATTCTATCTTGCTGTGGAGTCAAATATAAAGCAACGCATAGGGTGTTTGAAGTAATTAGTGCTAAATAACATCATCTACAAATGAAAACTATTTGATTTGAAAATAATTTCGCCAGGAGTTGATTTTACTCATTTTGTCGATTGAAAATTGAAGCTGGAAACGAACATTATTAACACAAGCCAATATCCTTATAGTAGATAAAAATGATCATTTAGTTTAACAACTTTTTTGTATTTCGTAAAAACACAGGTCTTGATTGAAATTTTCCACCCAAAAAAGTTCAATTCAATAAATAGTCAACCTGTTACGCAGTTTTGTTAAAATATACATGTTCGGGACATGATTATAGTGAGTCTCAAGTTTTGTCTCGAAATGTCAATGCTTGCGGATCGCATCTTTGTTTACCTGCGGCCAATGTATTTTTCAATCAACGAGATGGGTTTCTATATATTTTAGCATCTAAATCTAGGCCCATATACTCAGTCGCGATAGTAAACCGTTGATCGCAAGCTCCTAGCATGAGGCACACTGTACAAGTCATTAAAAACACGATCGTTTATAGTATATGCCTAGAAATGACAATGGGGGTTGCAATATATTTTGATACTGTCAAACACACAAGTCAACAATACGATTTCTAACGACCGCCTTTTAACATAAATTTTCATTTGATCCCACTCACCTCGTCGCTCGCCAGATGATTCCATAGCCGTAGTAGTTTATGCTCTTGCTGATTGTATTTCAAAAGTACTTGACTCGATGCATTTCAGTTGGCTTGTATACTCACTCCATTATTAACAACGATATCGCACATTTGCAGATCAACAGCACATTTGTCAACGGCGTGGGCAAGCAAAATTTCACTTATATCAACGACACATGCTACTTTCTTATGTAGAAAAACATTCTCTATCACATCGCAAGCATACAAGAGGGATTTAGGCAAAATATGCCAACAAAATGTCAAAACATATTATATTCATGCAAGCGAAAGAGATATTATTACCATATGTTATTACTACATCTGCCTGCCATCAGCCCGAATATACACACAGTGTGTTCTATTTTTAGATCATGGAAATCAACGGGTGACAAACACCTTTCTGGACTTGTTCTAAGCCAAAAATTTGGTGCCGAAAATCATTTTCTTTAAATCTGAGCTTGATTATTTATAGAGTAGCATTGGCCAGAATTTGATAATTTACAGTAGTTATGCGTGAAAGCTTCTGTTTTTCCCTCTTCCTATTAAAACGTCCCATCTACCCCAGAAACTCCCTAGGTACTCCTGCACTGCTTCAACATATAAAGTATGGAATATAATTTCCTATTTTGAAATGCAAATGGTTGTTAGGAACCGATGCTAAGTACAGTGAAGGCAAAGAAGATCCCTGTTCCCAGGACTGTTTGAAAAGAAATAGCAGGAAGGGATCGACTGACAATTTAATCCGGCGTTTAGATGAAATTTTGGAGATGAAAATGTTTCTAGTTATTTTAAACTAGTCAACATCTCCTAAATAAAACAGAACTGTTCCATCAAAAAGATTTTATCTTATGCAGTTTTCCAACCATATGAAAAGAGTCTAAAAAGGTTCAACCCGTCAATCATGATTGATGCATATGGCACTCATAGTATACGGTATGAAGCATTCATGACTGAGGAATGTGTTTGTGTTTTTGCATCATCAGAAAACAGATTATTCGAACATTTATTATGTCAAGTGATTTTATAAATACTGTATGAATTAAAAAAAACAGCCTAACGTCACCCAACTTATGATAACTGCAATGTTCTTGAGACCGCATTCATTCGAGTTATCAAGCATTCCTTTTGCTCAATAAGATTTCGTTCCAAATCAACTGCTTGCTTTAAGATTTCGTCCAATCTAGCAGAACAACATGCCTCGAATGCTTCACTTTCACTATCGAAAAATATATTGATTTTAAACTTACTGATACGAAGCAACTGCTGCATGTGTAGCTAAGAATAAATCAATATTGATCAGGCAGGCAAATGCCCGTGAGCTCGTTCACTTTTACTCACCCAAAAAGAGGCATCCATTTCAACACTGACATTTTTGCATCGTCTGCCAGTTCTAAAGATTCAACATTTAATAAGATGCGGTTGGTAAGCTACACCTATTTATAATATTTCTGCGTTCACATAACTCTATCTATGACTATAAGACTATGTGCACACGGTAACGTTTTCGAGCGTTTTCACATTCGTTTTCATCCCAAAACGGTTTCAAACACCGTCAATTTACAATAGAAGTTGAAGCTAATTTAACATATGAAGCATATTTTTCCTTGGATCGCATAGACAGGGCGTCTAAACAATAAAATAGGGAAAAACGATTTTGAAAACGCTCGAAAACGACGCTCGTGTGCACATAGCCTAAATTATTAAATGTTGTATTTCTAATTCTTTTGAAAAAAATTTGATCCAAGCATGGGTGTTTTCATAACCCTGTTTTCATAACCCAGCAGCTATTGGGTATAGTCTTTTACCATAATCTATGTAATGACATGCACAAAATCCACGGCGCCGGCGGGAAGAGAACCGCCAATCTTAAAATCCAGTTTTCCAGCTGGTTTACCATAATGATTGCTGGCATTGTTGACTTTTGGTTTGCCAATTTTTTACCCATGTTGTCGCAATTGAGGCTATGGGGCTGTGTAGCATGATAAAAATAAACCTAGATTGTGTATCATGGCATTTGGCCGCGATTTGGGTGACCCAGCCAAATAGAATATTATTAGAGGACTGAAAAGGTAACTTGCGTCGGAACCGTTTTTTGCCACTATGTCGCATTTTAAATGTTGTCCGTTCTCCTCCTAGCCGGCATAGGTAGCCAGGCATTGCCATGCAGTAATATTTTCGGGTGGCTGATTAAATTGCATATTTAATCTGCACGAAAGCAAGCACACTCTTGCACCGCTAAGACGGCTATAAGTATAGCCCTTCTAGTCCGCCTTTTAGCCCATGACCAAGATGGCGCGCCTTGAAATTTCTAGCCAATCAGGGCACTATCCGAATTTGGCATAAGGCTGATTGTTTTGATATCATTATCAATGAAGTATTCTATATTCATAACAAAATAGACAGTCATACTTCGCATAATTTCTTCCATTTTTGGTACACAGTCCGAGAATGAATTATTTCCATTCTTACAAGCAGGTCTCAAGAAGTTTTCTATAAAAAAAGGAATCTACTCAGCACAAAAGAAAGTGTCAAATTTGTAGGATTGCAGTAATAGTTTATATTATCATAGTATATTTTGGGAATTAAAAATTTCATTACCTTCTGTATACTGCTGCTCAAAATTGCCTTCTGCTGAGTTTGCTTGGTTTTCGTTCTGAATAAAACATACTGAATATATGATATATTTTATGATATATTAATTTATTCTTACTGAATATATGATTCATGCTGTTGATAAATGAATGTTTATTTATATTGAAGACTAAACAAACATACCTCATACAAACGTTTATGCTTCTTAGCGGAGTCGTTCACGGGCTGCTCCATTGTAGAGTCGGCATTTCCATTTTTCCTTTTTCCAGAGGCCATTTTGGACTCTTTAATCGACTCATTAAAATTCTCGGTAAAGTTCATCTACACAATCATTTGTCAAAAATAACTTCGTGAGTTTCATTATAAAAATACACAAACCATATAAACATTTTAATATTCCAATGATAAAAATACCTTATATTGCCTTTCTGTGGCTAACTTGGTGAGTTTAATTCAAAGTTAACACTAATTTCAAGCCAAAAATTAAGCGGAATGGAGACTTTGAATAATGTCGATTTCTTTCTCTCTTTTCCCGCCAAAATTTACTTTGTCAACTGAATCGGGGAAGGAGCCTGGGCCAGGAAAGTCAGTGCTACACTGAACCACTGAACTCCATCAATACGATGGTGTCCATAGCGATTTATTTGACGAATTACCGTTTTTCCTTAAATTTTAATTTGAGCAGGAAAATTAGACTTGACATCATTACAAATGCACAACAATTGCATCGTAACCATCAGCTTTTCAACTTTCAAGGATATCATAACAAAAAACGTCAGTATATTGCCACTACTCGAACCATCAGCTGTCGAGGTTAAGGACTATTTTTTAGACAATACTAAAAGACAGTATACTCGATCATGGTCGTATATACCGAGTTAGTATTTTGCACAGAAGAGCATAAGAAATCCTACATATTGATTGCTCAAATTTGACGTATTATGCTCATATGCTGTTATATTCACCTTCAGGGCCCAGTTGTTTCAAGCCCGTTTAGCTTAAACGGCGGATAAGTCAAATTTAAATAACACTCTTACGTCTCTCTTATACGAGTCAACTTGAATATTATGCACTGACCTTTGTATTATGGTCAAAAACATTCAGTTCGCTTGTTGAATAAAACGATAGACTTGCTTTCTATTTTGGACTTATCCACCGTTTAAGCTAAACGGGCTTGATACAATCGGCCCCAGGGGCCGGTTGTTCGAAAGGCGTTTTGCTTAAACGGTGGATAAGTTCAAAATGGAAAACCAAATTATCTATCTATTGAACAACTGAGCTGAAATATTTCGATGTAAATAGTTTAATTGTCAATGGAAGTACATATTAAATGCATAAGATACAGGTTCAGTCATTCACAAGATGTATGAGAGTATTTTTAAACTTTGGCTTATCCGCCGTTTAAGCTATACGCCTTTCGAACAACCGACCCCAGGGGCCGGTTGTTCGAAAGGCGTTTTGTTTAAACGGTGGATAAGTTCAAAATGGAAAACCAAATTATCTATTTATTGAACAACTGAGCTGAAATATTTCGATGTAAATAGTTTAATTGTCAATGGAAGTACATATTAATGCATAAGATACAGGTTCAGTCATTCACAAGATGTATGAGAGTATTTTTAAACTTTGGCTTATCCGCCGTTTAAGCTATACGCCTTTCGAACAACCGACCCCAGATGAATATAAAAAAACCGAAATTGAAAATGGTCAAAGTCAAAGAAGGCAATACTACAGCCAGGATGGTAAGACAAGACACTTAGAAATTCTTCCGTCTTTATCTTTATCGAGAGGATGAAAATATTCTGCTGCTTCTTTTCTGTCTAAAACAGTGAACTCAAACGGGTTTATCTGCGGTGATGGGGTCATCAAGCATTGTTGTTTGGTCATTCAGAAGGAACGAACCAGCCGCGCAGCAGGTGGCGCAGGGAGAGCCTGGTTTAAAATGAACAATCTCGTCTTCACTGACTTGGGACTCGCTGTATGAACACCTGAGCCATTCGCCAGGGGCTTGGATGTACTTCGAAAAGCCCGGCCCAAAGACAACAACAGTATCTATTTTGGGCATTTTGAGTCTACTTCACGTCTACCTTTCTTTTCCCAGTCGTTTTTAATGGAATGTCTTTTGTTTTCCGCATATTTTAGTATTCATTTGTGAAATAATAACAATTTGGAAGCATTTAAAATTTTCCGCGCGTAAGCGCGTAAAAAAACGCATAAGTGAAAACACAATTTGGAGACCACATGAAACTACAATACAACTTATTAACTATGTTAAGGTAGATTTATGCCAAAATTGGTCCTTTCTCATTACATGTCTATTGTATTTGTTTGCACAGATAAACCAATAGCAAACTTTTATTTAACATATTTTTCAAGTCAAGGTTGAAGAGTTTAGCAAGACGAACGCCATTGGTAAGTTTGGCTAAAATACAATAGACACGTGACGAGAAAGGAACCATCTTTTGCATACACCTGAACAATAACATAATTAATGACTTGTATTGTACTTTTATTTAGTCTCCAAACCATGTGGTGGAAAGCAGCCTTAAACTGCAGGGCGCTTATACAGTACATCATTATACGTATAAGCGCCCTAGTAAACATTAAAAACGACTTGCAGACCAGACCGGTCATAAATATTAAATATTTCAAATGGGATAACACCTCGCAAGTTTTTCTAAAAAACGATGGGACGTAATAGCCGGCTGAATATGATGAAAACCAAAAATGCATTTCGGCAGAACACAATGCCAATGCGGAAGCTAGCGATTAATAAAATCGAAAACATGTATTATATAAATATTTCATCATCAAAGACGCCCGGGGATATATACATTGGAATTCCTCACCAGATTACATGCGATTTATGTCTGCACATTGCGGAAAGGGTAACTTTTATCATACTATACTATTTAGGAATGACTTTGGCTGCATATAAATTTCCTAACATTGCTGACTTGATTACATATACAGAATGACGTATTAATATAGTTTTTCTCCATTGGCGATTGCCAAAATTAACTTTTGATAGTTTCCTACAAGCGCATACAAATTAACACGCAGCTGAACATTAAATTAAAAAACATTTATCTAACAAGTAGACCTCTTCTTGAACGACAAATTTCATTCCGCATCGCATTCCACTGATCGCTTCGAATTGATTCTTTTACTACTTCAACATTGGCGAGTCGAAGAAATGATGAGGTCTCTTATTAGCACGCTTGCTTTTGCTGCCAAATCTAGTAGGTACAAATAAAGAGTTTGGTAAAGACATGGTATAGATCACGCTTTGCAGTGTAACTACATTAGAGGCAAAAATTGTAACCCATCCAGCTTATAAAGGACACGACACTACGATAATTTAATAAGGGTAAAATCTTTTTAGGATACCCGTAAGATCGAAATGCGGGGAGAGGACAGGGATGAGGGTCCGTTCCAGACCTCTCTCCGCATTTCGACCTTTCGGGGTGTATGGCCTGCTACCCTGTACCATAGCACAAAAATAGTTTTTTTGCGATTTCGACAGTTTGTCTTACCTTGGAGTGAGAGGTGTTCGGCCAAGAAAGCTGCCTTTTTTCTTTATTGATTTGGCGTTCGGGGTTCCCTCGCTTCCAGCCGGACCCAGCATGCTAGCACTAGGACCTAACATATGAAAAGGGGAAATGCTGATATATAGCTATATATACAGTAGGTTGTGTTTCAGAAGCCTATAAATTCTAACAAAAGCTTGATTTCAAATGGGTACTTTTTTCGACCACTACTTTTCTTAATAGGAAAATATTAAAATAATTCTCAAAGTTATAAATGTTCTGAAACAGAACTGCACAGTAAAATGGCTTCCACCATTTGAATCCTTGATTGTTGTAGAAATTTTTTTTTCAGTTTTTATACCGCTATCAAAATATCTTACTCAATCCCTTCGCGTCGCGCTAAAATTTCTACTTCATAAAATTTCTACTACATCAGGCCTTATCGCTATGCAGTTTAATTCCCTAGTCAATGAACACCAAAATTTTAATTTAGCATAGCGGGACCAATTCGTCAGGTTGGCAGCACCACCGTCTTGAAAAACTGCATGCTTATAGTATATTCGGTGCAGAATTTTACTTACCGCACACTCCCTGCGGCGTTTTCGGTGTTCCATCGATGTTGTGGGTGTTTGGATTAAAAGGAGGCGATCTAATATTCTCCTCTTGGACGTGAAGAAATTGATTCCAGTAATCTGCTGGCATTAAAAGTAACTTTTCCACAATCTGAAAAAAAAACAGGAAGGTAGTCATAAACCAAGAGGACGCCATTGGATTACGAAATTTGACAGACCGTACATCCTAACTAACTGCATATTTTCGCATCGATTTCGCTCATAACAATAATGCGGGCGCCGCAAATTTGAAAATTGCCTAAAATTGGCCAGGCTTCTGTAAACCGTTTGCTTTTTTGTTTATCAACGACAGGTTTGCAGATATGGCTTTTATATTTAGCCCAGTATCTGATGCGTAAAGAAGGGACGGAGATCTAAACTACTTTTCTACATATGTATAAAAAATGAATATCAATTAACCCCAATAGAACGACATATTGGAATGGCGTGTTACTTTGCTGCTCGTTTGGATACGAAGCGGAAATAGTTTATGTATACACACACACCTTCGGTTGAATTTTGGCTTCGCTTAACATTTGCACCGGTTCAGGGTGAGGACTACTGTAACCGACCAATGTTGGTGCAAATACCTTTGCGATATTTGCAACGGGCATTTTGCATTCACGACTTTGGGCAACTCTAAACAAATAAGGAATAAAGTTAAATTTTCGATGAGCATACTGAAATAGTAATTATTTTCCTAAGGAAATACTAATAAACTTTGGGGGGAAAGTAGCGACCTAACTAGCAAGGCAAATTTATAGGGAAATATGTAAAAGAAAAAGTTAAGTGATAAGTTACTTTTGTAAGTGAATCATGAGATAAGCAAGTGTATCTCTGTTGGCTGTTGGTAGTTCACTGACAGCTTGGAAGATCAAGGCATCGTCATCGTCTGTTTTTTCTACGCATATAAAAACAAACATATTCTACAATGTAGGATGAAAATTTAAAAACCAAATTTTCAACAGCACAGGTGACGTATGACACACCATGCCGTTTTGACTTACCGGCAGCTTCCAAAAATCGTTTGTGTAGCGCAAACGTTAGCAGCGGTTCCGATAGCTGCTTAAGGAATGATTTCAAGATGCCACATATTACATTCTCATCGCCTTCTTTTGTCTATGGAGAATCGTGAATATGTAATTTAGGTAACTCTTCGTCGCAGGAAGGCAATAGTAGTGTGTTTTTCAGAAAATAATAGAAGTGGATTAAACAGAGAAATATCCTACCAAATCCGGAGAACCTTTTCCTTTCAAAAATTCTGCTTTCAACTCGCGGATTCGCGTTTCAGTCCTGAAATGTACGTTGCGTAAAGTTTGTATTTAAGTATATATTGTCAACCAAGAGTCTGCAAAATTTGGTATTTATCATTTCACTTTCCCCCAAAATTTCATTTTCATGCTTGCCATTCACTGTACAAAAATGACTCTTATATATCTTAAATTAGTAAGAAATAGGTTAAGTTAGCCTTTTCAGGTATTTGGCATTATTTTAATTACAATGAAACAAAAAAAAAGTAATTTATGTATTCAAATGGAAATGATAAGAAGCAAAAAGCTTATACAAGTTCATATAAGAATGTAAGGATTGAAACTTGCCCAACCGCACACCTTACGCCATTTGTAATGCCGCCTTCAAAATCCGAAATAGCAGGCAACTGATTTCATTCAGCCAAAATATTACAAAAATTGAGCGAGATTTGAAAAGTCTGTAGTTTTTCATTTCATTATATGCTCAACTATCTGACAATTTCTAAAACATACCCAGGAACTCTATAAAGTCCAACTTGATTTAGCCCACGGCGTTCGAGTTCTTGTATGCAACGAAGCTAGAGAGATAAGAATACAAATGCGCGGATATCAACTGATAAACGCCTGGTTCTGATACGCAAGAATCTTAGCAATATGCAATTCAAGTCGACCTCTAGCAGTAAGACCAATATTTCTACGATTACAGCAACGATCACTAGCTATATATTATTCCCATATCGTGATAAGAAATCTAAGAAAGTTATATTGGAAGGCTTACCACTAACGCGGGAATTCTCGGGCTGACGGTTGGTGCATAAAACTCGATGTTTTCTTCCTAAATCACATTGAAATAACAAGTCAACATTTTATACTGAAAGTCGTTGTCTAATATTGATGGAATGGCAATGCTGTCATTTCGTCAAGAAAACAAGCTGTATATGATCTTTACGTTGGTTCATTTATAGAAGGAATTGTTTCTCGACTCTAATTTATTGATTTAAAGCGCCATAAAATCCCAAAGAAGCATTGTAAAATTTTGTATGAAAAAGTGAGCATATACACTAGCTTATAAACACCAAAACTATAGTATAGCATTAACAATTGCATTTCTTCCATTTTTAGTTTACTTACAACTGGTTTTCTTGCGGAGTTGGGTGTGCGTTTTACGGGAATGCATGGAACCGGTACCAATTTCTTACAGTCTGTGTGACATATTGCTCGGCAATCTGTGAAGTAAGCAATTTTCATACAATTGCGATTGCTAAAAAGAACTCGTTGTTCTGGATTTTCTGTTGATTGGGTAGCCTCATTCCCCACACGTGATTGTTGGCAAATGAAATTCGTTTACTGAACATACCCTACTACTCCAACAAGGCAAATATATAATTAACAGGACGAAGACAAAAAAAGCAACGTACAAAATAAGAAACAACTCATGTATATTAGTACGAAACTGCGTAAATGAAGCAATAGCACAGATATTCGGAGTAGGGGTTTCATAATTTGAAAAGTAACAGTATTACAATTTTCAAACTCCGAAGCATAAAACCAATTTTATGAAAATGGGATAAGTTATTCTTGACGGATGCTGTAAAAAAATTTGCCAAATGTTGTAAAAATTTAGGAATCTCAGTTTAAAAATGTTCTCATAAACCAAGTATATCGATTTTTCATTGTTCTGTTATTCATAGTGTATGGATTATATTCAAATTTATGTAAAACATGATGTATACAGACTTGCAGTTATACAGGTAAATTTCATGTACAATCATTTTTATACTTTGCACGGTCATTTTTAATGAAGAGCTACTGTTTTTAAAGTTTAAATAATAAAAATAATTACAATCAAATATATGTTAAGCATACATACCACGACATTTGAGCGCCATTTTAGCGAATCGTATCAGTTTTCCACACTAAAATGTCAAGTATGGCAGCATATGATTAAAGACGTAAAAGAAAGAAAGTGTTAATACACACATGCATGTAGCTTTAGTGCATGGTACTAGTCATGCTCAACTCATGTGATATACTTACAGGTTTGCAAGACTCTGGCTTTAAAACTGTTTTCGACACAAAGTCATGGCTCTAAAAAGAATATATTGGCCACAGCCATAAGCATCAGTTAATGCTGATACAAAAAATTAAACACAAAGTCTGCTATACCACAAAGCAAATTATTCTAGATTGACGAAATAATGACCCAAATCCGTGTCAAAATTCGAATTTTACGCACTGGACATGTTAAAAAAAGCACTGAGCCAATGATGTATGAGCGCCATACTGTATATAATAGCTACGTACCTTGGGCTTCTTTCCGCTTGATCTTACATCAGATGGAGTTTGGGAACTATAGAGAGAAAATGTAAAACGTTTGGAAAAAACAAGTCAAATCGAATAACTCAATTGATGGTGGCAAGTGTCAGCATGCTCAACCTACCATACTGGTGATCCAGAGCGCGTATTTGGTGTTCGGTTGTTACCTAAAAATATGCAGACATCAAAGAAATGTGTTACTAACATGACATGTCATAGGTTTTTCAGATCGCAATGGCGGACAGTTCGTTCCGGACTAGGAAACTCTGAAATAGAACCCAGGACCTCTGAAATATTAACACAAAATTTGCTAGCTATAACGCTTTTTCAAAGCTTTGGCGAGATAAAATTATCTGAGATACTTTTCCTATCTAAGACTGAGATGATATTGATTTGAAAAAGCAGAGATAGAGTCAGAGAAAAATTTCGTTATCTCCAGCGGGATTTTAACTCGCATATTTGGCTTTGTGTATTCGCAGACCGCTACTCAGATATGAATTTGATATTTCAGACACGGGGATGGTTCTATAGCCACATGCAATAATACCACAATTTATACTATTTACAACGACTGTTCCAATGCACCATGTAACCTGTGTTATGAGACAGCCTCGTGACTTGCTGGTGTTGTGGTTTGCTCCCGGAAGGCGGTCTCTCCGTTAGCTGGTTTTCCAACGGTTTCAGGTACACGGCGCTCGTCGCCTTGGACATCCCGTTGTTCGGAGCCGGTGGTGTTTTTACTTCGCTGGCTGGCATCATGGCATCTGCTGCCTGGAAGTGGAGACGAAAACAATGCTTTAATTTGTTCTGGTCGTATAGACTTTTCACTTCAGACTTGCGAGAAATAACTTCTATTTAACAATCCGTCGATATTTACTGTATATACTATAGGCCACTTTTTATGGGCGACCTCATCCGCAGGCCCATATTCTGGCTACTTTCATAATACGCGTTTTTCACGCGTAGACGCACCTAAAAATCTAAATCTATATACAGGTATGCAACTTTAAAAAAAGTTGTTGCACGGATATTAAAAAATAAAGATTAAAGGCATTTGAAATTTTTTAATTTTAGTTATAGCCAACTCTATGTCTAAGGTCTCATAATAATGTTACCCAACAATAATTTGGCACGGGGGTTTTTTAATACACTGTAGCCTGCTATCAGAGTTATAAATAAGCGAAAATACAGCAGTCTGAAAATCACAAAAAAACGAGCATATGGCTGTAAATACTTGGCAATGAATAAAACGAAATGATATTATAAACACGTTGGGATCAACTCGACGCAAAGCCGAGGTAAGCAGAGAGGCAAGTGACGATTTTGCGTAAAAATATCTCTCACGCTCTTGGACTTACTGAATAACTTTTTCTTAGCCTCTTTGGCGGAGTCTCCTAAAATGACGCATAGAGGAAACACATGTTAAAGTTTAAGGACGGCATAGACCATAGTGTAATTGGTCTTTAAAGGGACAGCCAATGATTTTTCAAATCTGCACTGTAAGCTTAGGGCAAGCCTTTCGCCTCACCTCTTCTTCTACCTCATGCTCACCAAGTTTATTCATTGTAGTAGTCTAAAAGTGTTGGCAAACAAAAGCTGATATAAATATTAGTTCGTGCATGTACCACGTAGCTAACTATATAATTTGTGCAGAACTAATTTCGGCCCGTTAATCTTGGCCCTGCCCTTAAAACAATTCCAAAAGGCTTCATTACTGTATGTGTTATAAACTCGTCTTTTTATTAATAATTGCCACTTCCATGACTAAAATTGTCAGTGCCGTGGGTTTTAAAAGCTTGATTAGCGGTCAAATCCAGGTGGGTAAACTTGCTCTTTAAAAAAAACGGCTTCTCAAATACACGAGTTCAGTCCATTTCACTTGTAACTGTAGTTACAGTTGGTGTTACAAACATTCTCAAGATCAATGAAATATATGCAGTGAATAAATTTTTACAAGGACTTACCAAATCATCATCTGTGTAATCAATGTCTGAATATGTTGGTGATAAATGAGATGCATCTGGCTCACGAGGTCTAGAAATATCATAATCAGCCTAAATATCATGGCTTAGGTAGTGGACAATTTTACATTTAATTCCAGTGATCTCCTTTTCTATGAAATGTCTAACATAAGCACCATATTGTGATTGCATGCTGCAAATCCAATGACAGAACATTATCCAGACCTAGAGTACATACCTCTTCACAGGGCTGCTTCTTGTAGTTTCATATTGGGAGTGACTAATTTGTGTCAACAGTTTTACTTCATTATCTTTTAGTCGGTTTCTAGCATCTTCATCCTTTAATAACTCTTTAATTAAAGCAACTTGACTTTCCTGAAACACAGGGTATTTTAATCATCCATATCCGAGTTTTATACTGGTAAAATCTTGGTTTAAAAGGCAAATCACTCTCACTTGTAAATTATCTACAAAGTCAATTATGCACCTATTAACCAAAGTATTCTTACCAAATGTTGCTGGGCACTTTCAGCCTTTTGTCGCTTTTTTTGTTCTGTCACTTGTTCATTCCTGGTAAAAATATATATGACAAACAATCTCTAAATACCATCATCTGCATCTAGTTTCTGTAAACTTTATTGCATTTGTGCAAGGTGATTAATGTGTATAAACTTTGGTTAATAAATCCTCTGACAATATGCTTTGACAAAAGACAACTATGAAGATTAAAACAACTAGGTTTTAGCTTATCAATTAGTAACTAATAGCAATCAGTTACCAAATTTATAAGCTTACCACTTGTCTATCCAACATTCCCTACTATATAAACACTTATAAACATGCCACTGCAAATAATTAACTTACCAAAAATCATAAATGCATGCATGCTGTACATTGTGCCAAAAATACTTGACAATATATACGATATAGGTACATAACAAGAAACTAGCCTGTAGATTATATATGGAATAATTAGCAGCCAGTTTTTGTGGGTCAGCTAAATTTGGCTGCATTAAACATGTTATGATGCAAGACACCTTATTGTATTATACCAACAAATGTATGGTACCAGACAAATGGAAAGCACATCTATATATACATACCTTGCATGTTTTAACTTTACTTGCAAAGCTTCATTATCAACCTTTAAAATGAAGTTGAAGTTATGTTTATAAATGTCTGTGAGCAATCTAGAGCTTTGAAATTGTTAGCTGGTATTGGTTTTCTCATCCTATATATGTATATTTAATTGTTTTGTTTGTTTTATGAAGCATTTGCTTATTGTATTTAGAAGGAACTGAAATCATAATGTGCACATTGTTAAAAAAAGTTCTATACATATACTGTATTCAATAATAGATAACATTTAACCACTAGCAGTCTGTTAGGCATAGATATCACAGTGCAACATCATTTGTGATAAAAACAAAAAAGTGGACAAGAGCTGTCGGGGCAAGTTTGGGGCGGACTTTTTCCAATTTTATGATAAAATCAAAAGATTCCCCGAACATTTGAAAAGTAAAAAAGGAAAAATTTTGTAAATATCACTCACAGGTATCCGTGATAATGGCTATATATATATCTAAAATTTTTACAGAATTCAAATCTAGCAACAAAATTGATAACTATTTTAAAATTTTGATATATATTCAAATGTGAACTATGCTAGTCTATTTTGACTTATACTAAATCTGCCCTTGATATCACCATGCTTGTAACAATGATAAAAAAATGGCCAGCCAAAGTTTACACAACCTGCTAAAATCGAAATGTCACATCATATGATTTCCCTATTCCAAACCCTGGCTAGGAGTGAGACTTTGGCAAAAACTGCAGTTAATATCCACCAATCTCAGTTATTCTTTAGACTGGCTGCATTCTAAGTGTTAGTAGTAGAACTCTTAACAGGTCAGTTTAATGGGACGATGAGGTCAAGGTTTATAATTTGTTACAAATCATGCAACTATTGCATGTACATATGAATATCTAAAACGTATGTTTGACTTGAACAAACTTGAACTCGAATGTCAAAAGCTGAGATTTAAGTTGTAGCTAAAACTAGCTGCCTTATGATTGAGATTTAATACGAATCTTTCTTGAACAACATTGGGCAAATCGAATATTTTTGAATGATCTTTCATCTTTGTAATTATATTTTAAGTTTTTAACAGAAGACACTGAAAAATACCCTTAATTTTGCGTTTTCTTTCCTAAGTTTCGTGATTTCATCTTGTTCTAAACACCACTGTTGACGACAATTCTCTTGATGGGAAACGAACGCTATAAATTCTAGAAAAATAAATATAATTTACAACTAAAGGACATACATACACGATGATTAATGATATGAAGCAAAGCAACTGGCCTTTGGTAATTTCTCCAAACATTGTGTATAAAGAAAAGCGATATTTTCAAGACAATGTGTAACCAGAATAGCTTAGAATACTGCAAACGTAATGTATGAAATGCTGTCTTGTAGAAGACACACGTCAAAAATATGGACAATCAACAAGGAAAGGCAGAACATATACCTTTCTCTATACCGGCTGTTAAAACATCTGATGTGCGAACTAAGTCATCAAACATGTTCAGCAAAGAGATCTTAGCCATGTCGATTTTTGCACAAGCTTCTCCTTTATATTTAAGAGTTCCAATTAGATATTTCGCAGCAAAATTTGACGATTCCTCGAGTGTTCTACACCTTTCTATTGTCGTTGTTCCCTCCAAATCTCATTTTGAATATCTCTCAGCCAATCAAATACCGAGAGATTACGGGGAGCCGCTGGACGCAACGTGCGGGCGTCCCCATGAGGGCATAGAACATTAGAACTATAAGTAAACTGGATGGCTAATCAGGGAAATTGGGAACTATTTTAAAAGGCTTAAAAGGGAAGTCCAATTTTTCGTTTGATCGATAAAATTCTGCCATTCTACCTTTATATCGAAAGGAGTTCAGAAGGAAGAAAAAAAATAAACATAGTTTTTTCGATAAAGCAAAGGTACCACAGTGGGAATAGTTGGCATGATATGCTTTACAAGCGTGACAAATTTCGTATGTTCATATTCAATCGTATTACATTTTAATAAGACTTCTTTTTCGGGATCGGACAAAAAGGCCTGGGCATCATGATTGAAAATGTCTCAAAATGCGTGTGCCATTTACATCATGTACTGCGGAGCAGGATTGTAGGGGCCAGCCCGCCTGGTTATAACTTAATCAACGAATCGAATTGAAAATCCATGTCATATAACTATAGTACAGCATATTGCTGTGGCCTTTGCAAACGATACGCGTGCATTCACAATAATTTCTACATGGTGTAAAAAAACTGCAACTTTAATTCTTCCCAGTGGCTACGATCTCGATAATTCCCAGGGGCCTACGATACACCCTGTGTACGGGGTTTCTTAAAAAAAACATAACCACTTAATATGCAAGAATATTAATATTGCTCGGGTTTGCACCATAGTTCAGCTAAAATGACTTTTAGCATTTTAAATGAAGGATTATGAGCCATTTTCAATTCCCAAAGGTGCACTTTAGAGCTGTATTAGTCTTGCATATTTAAGTGGTTGCGTTTTTTTTAGACACCCTGTACACCGTCGATAATTCCCAGGGGGCTACGATACACCCACCAACTTCACGGACTAATTAATAGTCTTTAAAAGAAGTGGAAGAGTAGTCCAGTCGATCCAAGGAGAAGTGAAATCCAGGCCAGTGTCGATGTGAATGTTAGCCTACCGACTTTAAACACGCACTGTCTGTCTTTTGCGTAGGTTGTAAACATCGTCAGTTTGGCACGGTCCCTGAATGGGTGATCTTCGTGCCAGTATTTAGATGTAGTTTTGTTCACACGGGCAGAGATTCCTGCGAAAATTTTGAGACAAATAAAATAGTTAATCATACACATTTGCGGAATGCACTCAGCTTTTGCCGGTCCTAACGACCAAATGACGACGACAATTAAAACGATTACTGTTAGTCAGTAATCAGTGAAAAGCTTAAAAATTAAGCTTTTATGCGAGTGAAAATACCGTCATGGAAGATTGAACCATCTCCCACTCAATGAGTTTGAGCAGTTTTAGAATACAGTATCAAAACCTATTATGAGTATTATCGTCATATTTTCGCAATTTGTTTAGATGATTACCATACCTCCACACATATCTGTTATGCAGGCTGCGCATACACATGGCAGCAGAAACAAATACAAATGCGTAACGAAAAATACGCTGATATAAGCAAGTTTTAAGAGATTACTGGAATACGCTAGTTCTTCGGATATATAAATGACCCCAATGAGGCAGGTTGCTCCGTAACAAAGCCAGTGCATCACAAACCAAAGACAGTACGCTTCGACAGTATCAGATACGATGACACATAGCTCTTCGTGATATTCAAAGGCGATGTCAAAGTCATTTGTAGATTCTGCAACATTTTCAACAATTGCTGGGTCTACAACGACTTTGGTTTTGTCCGCATCGTTCTCTACAGGACTACCAGACCCTCTTGCTTGTTTCTTTTCACTCTCTATTCCTTCGCTTTTAGCCTTTGAATCAATTTTTGTGTCGACTACAACCCCTCTTTTGCTCGCTTCGGATGTTGAAGCCTTTTCAACACTATCAGTTCCATAGTCTGCTCTCGCTTGTTTCTTTTCTTTCCCTATTTCTTTTACCCTCCTCACAGTATCGTTCGCCAACGTTCCTGTGGAACAAAAGTTGAATTCATCAACACCCACACCCTTTCTTTCCGTCAAGTATACTACGAATCTTGCCTACATGTCAAATGTATAGCCGTTTGATATCGATGTGCGATAAGGATGAAGTCCAAGTGACCCAATTAACTTCGTACCTAGAGTTTTTCTCTATAAAGGAACCCTAGGTACGAGTTAACAAGAGATTTGTCGAGGGCATTGAACTGTAAACAAACTGGACTGACGATAACTCGGGGGGGGGGAATTGAAGCTTCAAACTGAATAGGGATGTTTGTCAGAAGTTATCGTTCCAGTTGCACAGAGTTCACTGGTCGAGGCTACTCAATTTACAGCTGAACTGTCTTTAGGGAGATTTAGCACGAGGACGTGAACGTCAAAGACGGCGAGAAAATGGCGAGTAAATGGCGAGTAAATGGCGTGGCATGTCCATATTTGGGCGCATCACGCCATTTTTTCGCCATTTTCACGTCGTCTTTAACGTTCACGTAATCACGTCCTCGTGCTAAATCGCCCTTTTGTGTCCCAGGGCCTTTATTAAGGAACTTCGAAAACTGGCGGAACGAACTGAATTCTTCTTCTTTTATAATAGTATCTTTTAAAAAGGAGATTTTAAAAAGAATTTATATTTTGATAGTTATAGCCTATAGGTATATTTTGATAAATAAAATAAATTGATGGGCAAAAACGATTAACATTTGGCATCCTTGCAGATCGCAATGTCGTAGAATAATGCCGGACAATTTATATGAAACATCATTTTACATATATAATGTTGTCTTATCGTCTTTATCTAATTTAAAATCAATTGTTGTGTAAACTATAATAACTGCATGTTTTTCCCGTAGTTCGTGGTCAAAGGTCAGTCGACGACTCGACGTTCAATAGTCGTTGATATAATTGAAAGTCAATCTACAGTATTTTTAATTTTAACATGAAACCTCAAACCGTTAAATTTAAACAGCAGTTTGCCGATTGAAACTAACATAATCAATAAATTGAAAGAAACGTTTTCGGAGAAAGCAAAGAATAATTCCGACAGAATAAGAATAAGTGCAGAGCAAAAAAGGGGGGGCATCTCCCTTCCCCCAGCAAATCTGCCAAAAGGCCCTGCATTATTACAACCTACCTAAAGCAAGGGATGCAATAGCAAATGCATGACATCCAACAATAGCTGCCCATTGCGCCATGAACTGTGCTGCTACACCGAAGATCATCAAGTAGTAATACCATCCGTCCCTGGGTTGTGTCCGTGTTAAATAGTAAAACATCACTACGGCAGATACGAACAATGACGCCAATGTAATCTGAGAGAGGAAAATATACTTCACTTGAGTGTTAGACAAATCATCAAATAAAGCGTCTGACGGGCTGATTGCTTGTCCGTTGCCTTGCCGTCGTCTGCGATACATGAGCAATAGCGATTTTAATAGCAACGTATACGAAAACGATCCACCAATAGACGCTAGAGTGTATACGGCATTCGATGTCTTTCGATCTGGGGCACCAAGGCTTGCGTTGCTGGATCTGTCGCCTTTAAGTTTCTTTTCAAGAAATCCACAGTCAAAACCTGGGCAACCGCATACCACAACCAAGTCGTAAACGAGTTGAAATATACAAATGGACGCTAGGAGGATACCCAGAATCAAGCCCCATCTAGATGGCTTGTACAAGCACAGTGTCGCACAAATATGTTTTAGAATTTGCTTGAGTAGTTCATGATTTTGATAATCTTCGGCTTTACGTCCACGCCGAAATTCGTTTTGCAGAACATTTAAAACAGGTCTTTCTTCATCGCTATTTGAGCAGCAACCCATTCTTGCATTTTATATTAGTGTTGGTATACGCCGGCTGGGTTCAAAGTACGATGATTGGTCTCGTGACAATCAGTTGACTATATGCATGAATGCATGTAATTCCCAGAAAACGCACAGCGTGGCGGATGTTGCGGGCTGCGACTTTGCGGACACTGCGTGCATGCGTCAACAGTTATTTCAAACAGTAATTATATAATAACTACAGTGCATGAAAGACGCAATTTGATTTAGCCGTGCAGGGTCACACAATCCTGCACGAGGAATTTAAAAGCACTCGCTGGATTTTCGCCGGATTCGCAAAATATCGTTGTAAGTTTCACTGTAGTTATTTTTAAAACAATTACCAAATTTTTTTTCGTACAGGATGCAACTCGTGTTTTTTGACGCTTTCAGAAAGTCTCGCAGATAACATCCCTCGTACATGGATCACGCAATCCTGCAGGGAAAACCATTTGGTAATCGTATTATTATTATTATTATTATAAATCATACTGACTTAATTAGCCCAAACGGTATTATTACACCAGTATTACAACAATTGATAAAAGATTAGAATTATACTTAATTACATACAATCAAATCAACTATCAATCCGGATACAATTGTTGTTGGTATTAGTTCTCTGAGTTTTTCATTTTTAATGTGTGTCGTGTTTCATTTCATCGCAGCGATCCCTCAACGACATGATATTCGTGGTAATCAATGCTTCGTCATACTTATGTGTGGGAAGGATAATTTTAAAAGCGGTTGGATGAATTCAATGTCATCATGATCACTTAAATGCTGTTGAATATTATAATGCAAGATCTGGGACGCGTATTCCATGCAGGACAGGTCTAATTATGGTATAATATAAAGAGTAATCAATGTACTTGTGCTCGCTTTAGACTTTTTCAACAATCTTAATAATTTTATATAGAGCCTTTTATTTGCTTTTTTACCATATTATGGATATGTCCGTTCCACTTCAAGTTATCTTGAACAGTAAGGCCAAGAATGCGAGCAGATTTCACACGTTCAATATAAACTTCCTTAACTGCTAGAGGAACAAAGCGATACTTTTCTCTTGTAAAATTGATGACAAGCTCTTTAGATTTTCCGATGTTCAATTTCAAATTCTTATTACTCGTAATCCAACGGACCTTTTGCATAATAGACCAACTTTTGATATAGTTCCCTGAGGTACTCAACCATTGAGGGTTTGCCATTCCGACACAGAGTAGGGTACCTGACCCGTTGGAAGCGCTTTCTAAGAAAATCTCGTATCCAGGGGCCGGTTGTTCAAAAGCCGGTTTAAGCTAATCCAGGGTTAAAAATGCCTAACTCAGGGTTAAATTTTAAACCTCGGTTGATTTTCGTTGCACAAAGCTCGGTTAGCGTTAACCCTGAGTTAAAATTGATAAAAAAATTAACGCTGCTAGCTAGGTGGGTTAACTTTTCAATCCTGCATGCATGGCCATGGGTTAACTTTAATTCAAAAATAGATGAATAAGGAGCGGAAACACGTACAATTCTTCATGAATTAAGCACTTTTGAAAGGTTTTACGAAGAGTTTCGGACAGCAAAGAATTATCTAAGTTTGACTTTGTTCGGTTTAAAATGATGTATTGATTTATTTATTTTCACTTCAATGCAATACATGATAAATAAATACAACCGTACAAATTGAGACAATGTAATCGAAATATTGTATCGGATGATGATCACATGCATGGCACGGTATGGTACAGGTTAGACCAGTTATAACTCGTATAATGCAGCTTTAGCACCTGCGTTGCTGCATGGGTCTCATCTTTATTTTCTTATATTCATTCGCAGATTTGCATTTTTTGGCAATACATGCATGCATATACGACAGAATTGTGGTCACTAAGTCTAAGACCTATGGGTGCAATCACTTTGGGAAAATCGCATGCTTCTGACATATTAGCAGCTTGTGGCTGGCATATTAGCAGTTTCGGGTGCTTTACGATTTGTTTTAGGGTAAAATGAAATCCCCGAGTAAGAATATACCAGCATTTGGGTACTTGAGGGCAAGATCGAGTGATGTGGTCAGTCGGGTCGGATGCTCAATAAAAGCGTTATTATTGCTGGTTTATAAACGACACAGACGATCAAACAAAAAAATTCTCGTTATAAAGTTTATAAGGTCTGGCGTAAATTCATAAAGTTTCAAAGTTGATATCATTAAATTCAGTAAGAATCTTAAATGGATATTAGATTTTAAAAAAAAAGCAAAATACGCCGCCTAGTTTGTCAACTCGGTCACATCTTACTAATGAAAACTGAACCGTCGATACAAACAGCTGCGTCGTTGATTTTCTCATTTAACCATGCAGGTTTCAGTTATGCAGGCTATTCTCACTACATATTGCTCATGGGTCATAGTTAATCATACACATTTGCGGAATGCACTCAGCTTTTGCCGGTCCTAACGACCAAATGACGACGACAATTAAAACGATTACTGTTAGTCAGTAATCAGTGAAAAGCTTAAAAATTAGCGTTAACCCTGAGTTAAAATTGATAAAAAAATTAACGCTGCTAGCTAGGTGGGTTAACTTTTCAATCCTGCATGCATGGCCATGGGTTAACTTTAATTCAAAAATAGATGAATAAGGAGCGGAAACACGTACAATTCTTCATGAATTAAGCACTTTTGAAAGGTTTTACGAAGAGTTTCGGACAGCAAAGAATTATCTAAGTTTGACTTTGTTCGGTTTAAAATGATGTATTGATTTATTTATTTTCACTTCAATGCAATACATGATAAATAAATACAACCGTACAAATTGAGACAATGTAATCGAAATATTGTATCGGATGATGATCACATGCATGGCACGGTATGGTACAGGTTAGACCAGTTATAACTCGTATAATGCAGCTTTAGCACCTGCGTTGCTGCATGGGTCTCATCTTTATTTTCTTATATTCATTCGCAGATTTGCATTTTTTGGCAATACATGCATGCATATACGACAGAATTGTGGTCACTAAGTCTAAGACCTATGGGTGCAATCACTTTGGGAAAATCGCATGCTTCTGACATATTAGCAGCTTGTGGCTGGCATATTAGCAGTTTCGGGTGCTTTACGATTTGTTTTAGGTAAATGAAATCCCGAGTAAGAATATACCAGCATTTGGGTACTTGAGGGCAAGATCGAGTGATGTGGTCAGTCGGGTCGGATGCTCAATAAAAGCGTTATTATTGCTGGTTTATAAACGACACAGACGATCAAACAAAAAAATTCTCGTTATAAAGTTTATAAGGTCTGGCGTAAATTCATAAAGTTTCAAAGTTGATATCATTAAATTCAGTAAGAATCTTAAATGGATATTAGATTTTAAAAAAAAAGCAAAATACGCCGCCTAGTTTGTCAACTCGGTCACATCTTACTAATGAAAACTGAACCGTCGATACAAACAGCTGCGTCGTTGATTTTCTCATTTAACCATGCAGGTTTCAGTTATGCAGGCTATTCTCACTACATATTGCTCATGGGTCATAAAAAAACGCAACTAGGACTAGGTACATAACTAAAATTTATGATAATCTTTTCGCTGGTCGAAACGTCGAAACGACTTTTCGCTGGATTAAGGCTTGTAAGCGTATTCCATATAACTAAATTGAATGTGGACAAAACAAGAATGAATTGACCTTTATTTATTTAACATGTCGAGACTTTCTGTTCTCAATTTAATTTTTTTATATTTTATAAAATAGAATTATAGATACATCGCAAACCTTTCCGCACGCGGCGAAAGTTTCTCAGATTATACACATGCTTCATATTGTCCAAGGTTTCATCTGTTATTGTCGTGATATCCATTGTTAGGCTTGTAAAATATATTGTTTTCAATGTTTTGCTTGTCCGAACTTTTTCCGCGCTCCAAATTATAGGCAATCAAATCTTTCCACGCAAAACTCACGCGCCGCGTGCGGAAAGGTCTGTTAAATAATTTTTACATTTGGTAAAATATATAGAAAGCTCTTAACGATTATACGCTAATACATTCGTAAAAAAATTATCTTAAAAATTCATTTTCTTGAAACATGCAGGCCACACATGGCCGGTATATTAAAGAGTTTGATGCTCTATTTGAGCTAAAATATTTTACTGTAAATTTACGGTTGTTCTTTAAATCAAGGTTCCCTCATGTCAAGACTCAAGGACAAGATGGCTACAATTTAGCAAGTTTACGGTTCGGATTTGAAACGAAAGATTAGAATAACTGGTCGCATGGGTACATAAGTTTTCAACATCCAATTGATTTTAAAATAGTTCTCTTCATGCATATATACGCAGGAAAAATTATGGTAGAATGACAGTTACTGTGAAATAGGAGCATCGTCCAGGTTGAATCTGCTAGCTGAAATAGTTGGCCCGTGTAATGCATGTGGCGAGTGCTTGCCGGGTGACTTATTCGTATACTTGTGGTTGTCGTTGCCTCGTTGGCATGTAGCCTCAAAGAATATCGCGAACGTTGTCTACTAACTGGACGCCATCGGTGCCGGCGTCTCATGCAGTGGCGCATTGAACTATAGTTCTGTTGTATACAACATATCAGGACAAGAGTGAGAGGAAGAACTGAATTCATGAGCAGAGAACTGACGTAGTAATAAACGTTATAGACTTTTTCGAAAATTCCCGGATTCGATTCGTTCCAAAATAAAGCTTTAAGCGGGCTCGAGCATCAATTTACTACCAGATTTTCACTAAATCAAAATTATGAAATCGTCCGCTATTTTTCCCTGCATGGTAATGGGCTTTAATTGTGACTACAGTGTAAGGCTATATATGTACACATTCACAAACAACTTAACTAAAGAAATGGAAGAGGATTGCAGTCGATCCAAGGAGAAGTGAAATCCATGCCAGTGTCGGTGTGAATGTTATCCTACCGACTTTAAAAACACACTGTCTGTCTTTCGCATAGGTTGTAAACATTATCAATTTAGCACGGTCCCTAAATGGATGATCTTCGTGCCAGTCTTTAAATGTAGTTCCATTGAAACGGGCAGCGATTCCTGATAAGATTTACAAAATATGATAATTATTTACAAGTCAGTTCAGGGTTATGTATTTATTACTGCATGCATAGATGAAGTATTTCAAATTCTATGATCGGATGACAATTTGAATTTGATTTAAAGGTTTGATCTAAATTTGATTTTAAAAAACCACTTTTAAAAATCTTTTGGAATGTCAAGAAGCGAAAAAGCATATTTTTGAGCAAATATTTTCGATAAAAAGTTTTTCCGTCCGATAACATCTATCCAAGACTTTAAGTTTAATATACGTTACAAGTAGTTGCACTAACTAAAGTTTGTAAATCCATTTAGGGAAAAAGCCTTGTAGACTGATCCAGGCGATTACTTTGAATTTATTTGAAAAGGTTTCCGGATTGATAAAGAATATTAGGGACCTTAAGCATGTAGGACGCGAACGCGACGACGACGGCTATCAATACAATGGGTCATTGAAAAGAAATGAATAGTTAAATTAGACCCATGGCGGGTTTTAGACGTCGTCTTCATTATGTTTACAACGGGAAAACGTCGTTTTTTACGTCTTGCCTAGAACGGTTGCATTTCAGGACCCAGCGAGCCCTACCTCTATAGAATTGTCCTTAAACATAAACACAATGTTTTTAACGCCTAATATCTCACTAAATCAGTACAATTAATAATATACAACAACCACTTTGCCATAGCATTTATTTAAAGGAAAATTCCGGCGGCGGCGTCGTCGTCGTGTTGCCGTCCTATATGCTTAAGGTCCCTATTATATACACGGCAAGTCCGTGGATCGGCAGCTTCTTTGATGTAAATGTATATGTATAATTATGGTTACCATACCTCCACACGTATCTGTTATGTAGGTCGCGCATATACATGGGAACATGAACAAATACAAAACCCCAACGAGCGATACAGTGGTGAAAACAAGTTGTAGGGGATTTCTGAAAAACCTTAGTTCTAATTCAGATATAAAGATGATCTCAATTAGGAAGGTTGATCCGTAACAAAGAAAGTGCATCACGAACCATGGACAGTACGCTGAAACAGTCCCAGATACGATGGCGCAAAGTTCTTCATGATATTCAAAAGCGATATCAAGGTCATTTATACAACATACGACATTCTTAGCACTTAGGCCACTTTCCGGGTCTCCTTTTTCCTCAACTTTTTTTGCATTAGATATTGAAGTATTTTCACTTGTAGTTCCGTAGTCCTCCCGCCTTTTTTTCTTCTTTTTCCCTATTTCTTTTATCCTCCTTACGGTATCGTTTGCCAAAGTCCCTATTACACAGAAAATGAAAAAATTACATTTAGCAAAAATTACATGTGCTCAGTTTCGAAGTGAAACCCCAAATTTCCCTATGTTCTCTAAGCAATTCAAATAGATTAATAAGCTGTACTGTGGTTGGAAGTAAAAGTTAAGGGCCGTTAAAAAGTGCGATTTTGCTGCGATTTAATGTGCGATCATCTTCTCTCGAAAGATGTGAATGAGTGGACAGTTATTTTGATTTGTAAGTGCCCCTTCACATGAATAAAAGTAAATAAATTCCCTGTTTCTTGTATATATTCTGCATTATATATTATTTATTATCCTTTAGATGAACTTGACTGAATATATTTCTAAAGAAAGCGCGCAAAAAATCAATAGCGCCCTAGTGAAGATTTTTAAAGTGATTTACCCGCAATACTTTACATTTTTTTTAAACCCACCTAATGCGAGGCACGGAATAGCAAACGCTTGACATCCAATAACAGCTGCCCATTGCGCTACGAGCAGCGAAGTTCCGCCGAAGAATATCCAATAACTATGCCAGCCTAACATGGGCTGCGTTCCTATTACTAGATAATAATATGCCACGGAAGATAGGAAAAATACTATCACTGCAATTTGAGAGAGGAAAATATATTTAACTTGTGTGTTTGATAAATCATTAAATAGAGCATCTGACGGGCTAATTGCTTTTTGCTTTCCTTGTCGTTTTCTGCGATGCATTATCGATAATGATATCAGTAAAAGGTTATACGAAAACAGTCCACTAATCGACAACAGAGCGTTTAAGGTATTCGCTGTCTTTTCAAATTGACCACGGGAACCATTGTCGTAGAAGTCACGAGATCCACAGTGAAAATTCGGGCAAATTCTCCTCTCAATATAGAAAACGACTTGAAATATGCAGATCAACGCCACGAAGACATTCACAATCAAGCCCCATCCAAAAGGTTTGTACAAGCACAGTGTCGCACAAATATGTTTAAGAATTTGTTTGAATAGTTTATGATTTTGGAAATCTTCGGCTTTACGTCCACGCCGAAATTTGTCTTGCAGAACATTTAAAACAGGTCTTTCTTCATCGTTATTTGAGCAGCAACCCATTGCGTGTTAACAAATGATAAAATAAAAACAATGCGCAAATAATGATCAGTCTCAGTCTCGTGATAGTCAGTTGGGTATATGACTTCCTGGTAAATAAACGCATTGCGTGTGTTTCGGATCGCGGAACTGCGGAAATTGTGCTCATCGCATTTGTGTGGCATTGCATGGCAGCATTGCATGTGCATTTTATGTCTGTTAGAAAGCTGACATGCATGGGACATCTGCCCAAACGCACCTAGCTGTATCATTTGCTATATCAGTTGTATGTATGTATACGAAATAAACAATTATCGGATGCTGAGCATGATATCAAGCAATATTCAGACGTCTGGGTCAATGTATGCCGAAGGAAAACTTAGGCGAGTAACACTGGCCGAGATCAGAATGCCATAATTGTTTTACACCGGCCGAAAGGACCTGTATCCTAAATGGACAGGGACGTCACAAAAACGACCTACGTTCAAGGAGTATACGGATTTCCTATGACTATGTGAAATCGCGCGACGAGTATTTTTACGGCGAGCCTAATATCTACGACAGGGTTTTTTTACTCTATTTTCACGTGCCGGTTCAGGTTTGAGTATTTGGTTTGCCGCCGGAAGCCTAGACCCGAAAAAGTCCCAAAAAGAGTCCAATAATTTTTGGAAGTGACTTAATTTTCTATTGGCACAATTATCAGAAACATGGTAGATTTCAGCAATTCATTACCAGGTAACAGCGACAAAAAGAATGTCGCTTGTGTACTACGAGTTTTACTATAAAATGCATTGAATCAATGAAAGTATAAAACGTTGAATCGTCGCAACCACCGACTTCTTCGATTGTTTGCCGACCTCTAGATCAATAGATCAGCGGTTTAGGAACTCGTTTTGGTAAACGAATATTGTGTATTTCAGTCTGGCCGTATTTCAGTCTGGCCGTCAACGAACTTATAAAATCGCTCACATTCATACGAACATTTCGATTCGAATTGTTGATGAATTGAGGTGTATAAACATACCGAGAAACATACCATGAAATGTGAAAAAGTGAAAAATGAATTCCGAATAAACAGGACATATTGAGAGTCAAAATATGAATCAAACAAGACCAAGGTTCACCTTAAAAATATTACTATAAGTTTCATCAGGCAGTTCAACCACACATTTGGACACAATCAGTTGGCCGAACGTAGAAACATCCAAATGTAAGTAATTCAATCATCAAAACGTTGCAATATGGTTGTTCTATTAATCCAGAGATCGGCAAAGTCCAGGGCAACGGCATCTTTAACGTTTGTACTTTTACTATATGTATTTTATGGTAAAAGTTGAAGGCCATTATGTTTAAAAGTAAATTCAAATTAGTAATCACCATGTCGCAAATTTCTGGTAATGTCAAATGAAATGAAGCAATTTTTTATGCGCAGAACCGATGCGCAGACGTCACTGTAAGCTAGCCTTTCTCAGTGTTCAGCTGTCCAATGAGCGCGTGCTTGCAGTATGTTTTATTTGGTCCTATGAAGAAAATTATATCAACGGCGACAATAGTTAGCCCGCGTCGACAGACACGAGGTCATATTTTCAGCTTGGCTGGTCGTTCTGCCAACGTGACATCCGTTCACGTCACAAAAACCCTGGGTACGAGGTTGTTTACGTCACTGGTGCTTCATCGGATCTGTAACGTCACACCCTACTCTTCGCACCGTGCGCATATAGAAATATGGTGTCTTGGTGGAAAATTTATAAAAATATCACGTCGATTGTCGAAGTGCATGGACATTGAATTGCTGTGTTGATTGTTTATTCTACAAACCTCCAGATCTCAGATTTAAATATATAGTATCGTATCCGATTTATTGTCTTTATTCCGACTACAACGACATTGACTACAACGAGGTCAACAATACAACAAGCCGAAGTCTTGTTGTTCAGTTCTAAACTCCTATACCTTGTCGTGCGTCTCGTGTCGTGAATCCCAAGAAAAATAAAAAAAAACATAGCTCGTGGCAAATTCTCAAGCACAGAGGTAAATCAACAGGAAAAGAGCGGGCTTTTTTTAAAGGGAGCTTTTTGGCAACACTCTGCATAGGCTTTTCGCAGGATAGAGCAGAAGAGCATCTAAGCATGCAGTGTTTTATCCAAACATTTTATGCTGTTTACCGGCAGTTTACCAGCTAGCCGGGTCTGTTTCGTAATTTAAATGCTATGCTCCCGACGTGCTGGACATTTAGATGATGGAGATAGATATTTCAGCCCGTTTCAGTAAATCGCTACAAAAGTGACACAGGCTTGCTTTGCCTTACAATTTTGTATATAGGAAAAGGGAATGTTAAATGATAGGTCTTTATCCCTGCATGAAAATCAATAGATGCTAGCCTATATGGCATGCCTATACTGAATTAGTATTATCTCGAACATATAGCTAGAAGCCTAATTGGGGTGTTTATTTTCATGTATTTAAGTTCATGTAAACGTCTTTCTCGGTGATGGTTGTCGCGATATATGGTATAAGGAACTGTTAATCAGCGCATAAAAGAGTTTTTAAATACGTTGGGTGAATCGTTTCGCTAATATGGACGTTTTTATTTTGCCGTTTAATGAATTAACGTTTAAAATACCCAGAGGTGTTGCCCATGCAAGAACTCGTGTTAATTTTTCTGAAAGTCCTACTATAGGGCTGGTTGTATAAAAGACTGTAGAATTGGCAAATCAGAGTCGTGAGTTAACTAGGATTTAACTATGTAAAATGCAGTTAAAGAGTTTTATGCAACCAGTCCAGAGTGACGCGATGACGAAGGTTTTAAATTTCACATTTTTAGTCTAATATGTACCCTATAGGAACACTAGTTGACATATGCCAGGCATCTTTCCGCTAATTTCAGTTAACGGGATTCCTCACCATTGTGCACCTAAGGGCTAAGCCGTTAACCAAGCTTTTAGGAATGGAACAAACATTCTATATAACACACCACATTCTATATAACACACCACTATACTGAATTAAAATCACATCATTGCCCGACAAAGTCCATGTTCGGAAGATCCTGTCATGCAAAAACATTGGGAACTACCATGACGTCATTGAAATAATCCATTTTGTCCACAAAGCACAAGGGTACTAGGTACAAACCCTTGACATTTTAAATAGCTCCTAATTGCATTTACTAGAAGATATGCTGTCAACTGTAAATCGAGTGCGTACCTAGGATTGCGTGATTGAATAGAGATTTATGCATTAACTTGTAACACGACATCAGGAATTTGACATGTATTTATGCGCCTGGCTAAAATTAAAAACTATTGAAAGTTCCGAAATACAAAGATCGTTGTGTTTCGGGAACAAAATAGAAAGTTCCGGGGTTGCGTTTTTAGCCGTGAACGAACAGATCGCGATCGAGTAATCTTCGACAGCATGACTTGCAATTTTGTCTAACTTTAAGTTGGTATTCTCGCACGCAACACTCTTTATATGTTGACCGACATGAAGGTCGCTCTTGAAAATTTCACCTCTTGCTGCTCTTGGCGTTTTGCGGATGGTTCTATTAAATGGTTGCACATGCATTCTTCAGTGCCGCGGATAGTATGTTCGCCTGATCGTTTAAACGTTTCATTTTGCATGCCAGGATTTAGTGAAAATCTTCTGAATGCTATAGTAACATGGTATATTTTTTTTTTCTCAGCAATTGGTAAAGTTGTTTAACTCTAAGTTTTTTTTTCATTTTAATGCTAATACGTTCCTCGCCTACTGTTTGAGCCTCACAAGCAACGTCCTATCAGGAACATCTGTATATTTTTGAAACTATAACTAATGCCGAGGCCCTCTCCCCTATATACTTAAATTTTTAGCCACCTTACAAATATTAAAATGTAGACATTGGCGACGATGTTTTCATCATTCCTAAATCTTATTAGAATTTCATGAATATTACTGAAAATATCCAAAGCATGCATACATAATACTAAATAGCAATGATCCCATGCATCTCAGTCAGAGCAACTTACTAAAAATCAGCCATGCGAGCTTTGAGTACAGGCATAACTGTCAACTCAACCACACACTTTCGTGCATTTACACGGAGTACATTGATGGATATACACGACATCAGGAAATCAATTTGACATGCATAAAATTATATGCTCCTGGATAAAATGGAATTGATTATTCTGAAACACAAAAATCGTTTGTGTTTCGGACGCAGAAAAGGAAATTCCGGAGTTGCGTGTCTAAAAGCATGGTTCGTCAGCGACAGTCGGCGACGTATTGTGTTTGTGGTCGATTACAGAGATGAAAGATGTGCAGGCAGCCATCAGTCCATGCAGTAAGTGTCGTGGCGTGTGCACGCATGACGTGTACATTTTGGGAAAATTTGAGGACAGGAAAATAATCTCTAGTTACACTTCCGATAATATGCATGCATTCAGTGTCAGTTGCGAAGAAAATTTATTAAAAATAAGCACTTAATTCATCAGTGATCACCGACAATAAGCATCGTCAAACGTCAGTGACACTATGAGAACCATGCAGGCTTAATGCAACGCTGAAAATCATACTCGTTGCTGACTGTATAAATGCCTGATAATTTTGACCCTTAATTTTGCAAGGATTTAGTCAAAATCTTTTGACTGCTGCAAAAGGGCTTATGCACTTTTGTTTTGTCAGCAATATCTAAAGTGGTTTTACTCTTGGTTATTTTTTAATACTAATACTTTACCCGCGCTTGATTCTTACAAGTCCTACCTGATAATCTATATCCTGTTAGGAGCCACAAGTTTCTAAATATTTAACATAAACATTTTTACGCACGATGACTGTAAACTTAGTTTTTACGAAAGGATAATTTTTATTAACAATTCACAGACACGTTGATCACAACTCAAGCATATATTGACCTCCGACATGCCCCCCTTCTCTGGCAAATTTCAAATTTTATAAGTTGCGTTATTTCCCACAAGCAAAAATTTGAGAACAAGTCATTTTCATCACGGGTAAAATAAGGCCATGCATGCATGCAAGAGTATATGAGAGAAATGAGATAAGTTCTTACAGTTATATTGACGGCAATCCAGTGCAATGCAAAACACGGATTTTGTAGCTTTAATATTTTACTAATATATTGTAGTATTTTTTCCCTTACTTTCACATGCGTTTGAAAGTGGTAAGATACGAAAAATTATGAACTTAATACGACTATAACCATTAGCAAAACAAACCTTTCAGTTGGCGAATCTCTTTATAGCTTAAGCCCTATTTCCACGGGCTAAATCTTCAAGCGAAATGCGAATTGTTTCCTGGTTCTTTTGAATTGTGAGCAATGAAGCAGAATTAATTCATTCAAGTGGTCAAAATTCAAAAGAAACAGGCGAAATACTTCGCATTTCGCCGAAGGAAAAGCGCCTGTGGAATTAGGCCCTTGGCTTGGGTAGAATTTACATAAGTGGTGTAAGTTGCAACCAGTGGTTGCAACACGGCAAGCAGAAAATTTCCAAAAAGACATGTTGTGTTTATGAAGATAGACATGTTGTATTTTTGATGTACAGATAAAATAGCAGTGATATTTCGTCTTTATTCCAAATATATCATATTCCAAATATGGGAAGGGGGGGGGGGCAATTAGATATTTGTCCCTTCACTTAAAACGCGTCTCCTAATCCCCCAGGATTGACGCCCTTGTTTATAGTGACTTTGGGAGGAGATGAATCCCTGCTCGTAGTTTCGCAATATCTGCATTTTATTCCAATCTCCTGAAAAAAGTTTCACCCTTGTTGATCTCGCCTTAAACGATTGGTTTCGTCTATCCTATATGGTCTATCAAATTGTTGTTTTGTCGTTTTGTTACTGATTGCATACTCGCGGGTTTACATTTTTTGTCATAGACTGAAAAGTGGGAATTACACGACATTAGCAATTTAGCATGCTTTTACCCCCGGTCCTGGATAGAAGTAGACACTATTTTAAATTCCAACAAACTAAAATCTTTTGTGCTTCGAGAACAAAATTGAGAGTGCAAACTTTCATAACTCGCGTAGCTCTCGATTCATTAAAGCTATATAGCTAGGGCTGACAGCCTAACTTAGCTCCTTCAAACTTTCGAATTCCTCCTATATAATTGCTCTTTATGTTATATACATGTAGGTCTATACGATAAAAAGTACCTAATACTTGTTTTGTGACCGCCTGCATATTCGCGAGATCACTTAAGCGTATCTTTTACCTTACGATATGGCATGCTTTGTAAATCTTTTTCGCCCATCAGTTTGTAGTTTATTCCCTAGTTATATTCTCAGTAGTATCAATGTATTTTTAGAAAGTAATGCTAGAATCGCCTCCACCTTCATTTTTCAACACCTCACAGATATGAAGAATCAAGAATGTGAACATATTTTTGGAATAGCATCAAATGTGGTATAACAACTGCCTAAATAGACAAAACACTCCTCGACGTTTCGACCTGGGGGCCTTCGTCAGGAGAGTTAGTATGAAAGGGAGAGTTAGTATAAGGGAGAATACATGTTTTGTATGAGGGTAAAACACGTGATAAAAATGGGCCAATAGAAAACAAAAAATCAAAACAAATTGGAATACATTACATTGCCAAAGAGACGCCTGATTGTGGGCTAAGAATAGCCCGCAATGAGGGAAGCCTGATCAGAGTCCCAAGACTGTGGATGAGTCGCATTTCTTGTCGTTTACGGCTATCGTTAGTACCGGAAATGGGGCAGAGGGCTTTAATTTTCATGTCCGTGACACAATGATTACCAGAGGTAAAGTGTCTGGCAACAGGCTTAGTGTTATCGTGGTTGTTAACCGACCTACGGTGTTCACCAAACCTTACCCTTAAAGATCTTCCAGTTTCGCCGATATATAGTAAACCACATTTGTTGCATGAGATGCAATAAATGAGGTAGGAGGAAAGGCATGTGAAATGGTGCCTGATGAAAAACTGTGAGTTTGGAGCCGAAATAACAGTGCTGGAATCGGTAAATGAGCATGTTTTACATTGGCCAATGCCACATGGGAATGTGCCATTGGGCTCTGAACAGTTTTGCTGTAGAGAGCTGCATGTGAACCAATGTGTCCTGGATATTTTTGTTGTGCCGAAAATAGAGTAGGGGGTTATCGGTGAAAATGGAAGATGTCTCGGGATCATTCTGCAGGATATGAAAATTCCTAAGTAAGACATCCCTAACAGCAAAATTGAAGGGATGGTGTGTTAAAATTAGGCATGCGAGCTTTGAGTAAAGCATAACTCTGGCACTGACCACACGCTTGTGACGCATGTTTATGTCAACGTCGGGGAGGGATGAATCCTTGCACGCAATTTTTTTAACAGGTTGTCAGCCCTATCTAGCTCTTAAAAACTCCACCCCTATGTTGTTGGTCTTCATTAGCGTCAAATAGTTGTTCATATACATGTTGTAAACGTCTTTTTTACATTGTGTCAGCGATTCCATTGAATATATGCGCGAGACCCTAGTTTTATATTCATGGTTGGAACCGTTATATTGCTCTAATATGGCAAACGCACTGCGAAATTCACTGAATTGCTTCGCATGAAGGAAACAAGATGTCAGACATACGAGCTTTAAGCATAACTGACAACTGACCACACACTTGCATGTGGCTTGTCAAATTTATGTGTGGCGTGTTTATGTCAATGTCGGAGGAGATGAATTCTTGCACGCAATTTTTTGCGACATTTGTCAGCCCGATCTCTCGTCAATAATGTTACTAAAGATTCTAGTTTTGACTAGTTCAGTTGATAGTATATTATTATCTGTTATTAAAAAGGACGTAGGTTACATCAAGCATCGGATCAGTTACGCTTTGTTGGTGAAAATAATTTTTTCCGTGAATTCACACCTTGAGATGTTGTTATATTCAATGTGGGTAGATTCAATAAAATATTGGTTTTTCATAGTGTGTCTTCAACGTTTAGTTCTATATGCGTTTCGCAGTGCATAACTAAAGGACAAACATGTTACATGCACGCGGTGCAATTTTTCCTGCAACTTGCCGAATGCAATTCTTCTTTTAATTGAGAGATTTAAATTTTTCAACTACCAAACTTTTGTCTTTAATAAACTCCATAGCGTTTCTTACACTTGCAGTTTGAGGACTCTTCACTAATTTACATCTCTTAAAAGTAGAATTGCATTGCAAGTTGCAAGAAAAATTGCACCGTGTAACATTGCCTTAAACATGCATAATATCTTTAATTAAACACCTTAAATAAATACCTTTGGTTAGATAATAAAAGGACCAGCAGGTAATAAGAAAAACCGTTTCTATGAAACTGTAAAACAATATTCAAACCGAGAGATATAAATCGAACAGAAGCTGAAAAACTTAGAAATTGGCTATTTCCCTAATAAATATCAACACGCGGTGTATACTTATGGTTGGATTATTGCTCTAATATGACTAAATTACCGCGCAAAATTCAGACATATGAGCTTTGATGCATAACTGACTTCTGACCACACACTTGTTACTCTTGAGTTATCAAATTTTTAATTATGTGATGAGGTGTTATAGTGACGTTTAGGGAGTGAATTCTTGCACGCAATTTTTGCCTGATCTGTTACACAGACCTCGATGAAAATCCTTCCTCCCCCATGCGGTTGCTCCTGACATTTTAAGGACGGTTCCCAAACGCTTGGGCGTATTTTTTCTTCAACTGATGCTTTTGTCACCTCTCCAATGTTGAAGTCGCACCGAAAATTCAAGGCTACTTAGCCTTTCTCACGATGACGAATATGCCGCCATTCATGGGGTAGTTACTTTTTTCAAAACGTAAGTGCAAGACCTCGTAACGGCGACTGTCTTTAATTTCGGGCTGAATTTATTCTTCAAATGGTCTCTTGATTCTAAAAATGCTTTTCATATTTTTATAATTTTTTAAATCCATTTGAGAAGATCGAAAGTACCCCGAAAACGTCATAGTGCATGAGAAGGGCTAATTGGTTCGCACTTAGTTTTGGTTGGTTGATCGCATAATTGGTTAACCATCCAAAAATTAGCCATGCGAGATTTGAGTTCAAGCATCGATGACTTTCGAGAGGTTTTTATGTTCAATTTCATAAGTGGAAAAGTGTGTTTACCTTATGGATAGTGTTTATCACATTTCGCAACGTTCCAACCGTGAGTATAAATTTCAACGTTTCCAAAATTAATTTTCAAACGAACTTTAATTTGTTTGGTCGTAGAGTTCTGTAATTCTCATCGTATTCAAGGCGAACACTTTTTGTGGTAAGTTGGTTCAGTATAACCCGCGCAGTTGCGTGCAGCTCTATACAAGTCTTGAATGAAATTTCGCTCCGAAGTAAATGTCATAAAAAACAAACGTCATGATATTTTCCTTAGAAAAGGTGGCCATACCACCTTATTTTTCATTGCCACAGGCTTCCACATGCCTGTTAAACTGTATACATCACTGATCGTAATATTTTTGCCAATAGTGTTATTTTTTAATATTTATATAGTGAAAATGGATTGCACTTTTAAGGCATGTTTCTTTTTGGTGGCCGTTATTTATGGCGTTCAAGCTGGGCTTTTGGGGAAGAGAAGTAAGTTTCGATTTATTGTATATGTAGCTACCTTTACGATTAACTGGTGTATGCGGCCAAAACTCTATTTCCTTTTACCACTACAACTAAATTTGAAGTGCGGGTAAGATGAATCAATCGAATGCGTTAAGTATAGCTTAGATTCCTCAAATTTTATGTGACAAATTTATATCTTGCATGCATGCGTAATGATGCGTTGTTTTCGTACAAACACATTCAGACAATCATGCAATGCCAAGTTTTCTAATAAAGGAAAGTTTGCCAAATACATTTTGACAAAATAAAATTCCTGATTTCTTGTTTCGGCTAAGAACGATTAAACAAATCACATGCATATTACTCTTTTACTAGCATAAAACTTTTTTGTTGTTTTTCGTGTCAATTAATAGAGCATTCCCTGATCACCCCCGTTTAAAAATCTTTGGCGAAACGAAAAAGATTTTTGGAATTTGATTTTATGAGATTACACTTATTAGATTGTACTGATATATATAACTTCTTAATCGCAGGTCCACAGACTGAAACGCTAGAAAGTCATTCCTGCCATCCAGACAACATAATATCCTGCAGTTTCGGAATGACCAAACCGTGTGAAACTTATGGTGGTTTCCCCTGCACATCGCAATGTAACAAATGTCCTTCTTCGCAAACATGTTGTTGGTAAGAATACTCTCTTTTTCACCAACTCTCAATTTGAGCACTGACGGCTTGGGGGTGTATGCATGTGTCGGAAAACCTCCGTTTGTAAGGCTACGAATTCACTTAATCCGCTCAGTTGAGTATATTTATTTCTCCTACTTACTAGTTTCGTGAAGTATTTATTATGGTGATTCACAAATCACAAAGTAATGTTTTAGCTACGAAAACGTTTTCCTTATGTACCCTAAACAGCCACCTAATGCATTGTCCATTTTACTATCACCAGTCCTCTACTGCAACTTTACTTCGTCATGGCAAATTGTGCACACACCAAAACAAGCTAGCCTTTTCTACCTACGCTCCAAGGCCCACGCTTCGGCGACGATATTTTGTAATGAAGTATGATTGTTCATTATAAAATGACCTAGATTGTTCGAGCTACTTGTTGGATAGTTTTACATACAGAAAAGCATTAGCAAAAGTTTGCAAGCATGCAACATGGGAAAAATTTTCATCTTGTTTCTTAATTCAAATCTTGACTTTGCAAGATGATGTTATTTGGAGCTTGTTTCGTTTTATATATCTTCTATATATGCAAGGGTTGGTTGTATATGCATATGTTGGTTTCCCCACCCCCCCCCCCCTCAGGCAGGAGTGAAAGGACGTCTGTCTACTCAGGCTATACATTTTGTTATTACATACTAAATAGTCAGCAAAAAAATATACGATTTTGAAACTTGTAAGGTGTTTTTGAACGGGTAAATGCATGGGTAGATTTTGTATTTTAAAGCATGCAATTTTTTTTGTAATTAGTTGATATGTGGACTTAGCAACAAATGTATGACACCTCCGTTTGAATTTGATGGGGAAAGCATTTATTTTTAAGTTGAAAATTAAAAAAATTTAAAGTAAAAAAATGAATTCTGTTTAAAAAGGAATTGATATTTCGCTAAAAATTGTAGCATTAAAACTATTCGTATATATGTATATATGTTGGTTGTACATTTTAGTACTAGAAATACAAGCATGCAGTTGGCCCTCATCAATTTAATCCAAACCACCAATTTCCTGAGCTAGCGAAATCCAAGCTTATACGATAACTGATTTAGAAAAATATTATAGTTCGCTTGTGAAATAACGATATAAATGTGATAATACACATCTTCTTTCTTCCAGCCATCCTGCCGTATGGTATCCGAACAGCTGTCAAGGACTTACAATTGTGCGAGGAAAATGAATTTAAAAAAGTCTTTTAGAAGACTTTTTAGCAGATTAGAAATTAGTTTTTAAGTGAAATAAAAATAATCTGCTTTCAAAACTGAATGTATCGAGCGATCATTGCGTCTTCATAAAGTTCTTTGTACGGGAAGCCCTAACGTTCGTCTGTTGATTTATTTTACTATCTTACAGTTTTCTGCATTTTAATCAATTATCAATCAATAGTACACATTTCGACGTTTAAGTTTAACATTTACTTTTTTCAAAATGGCTATACCAATCTTAAATTTTAGCCTGCATGGTTTAATACATTTTGCGTCTGTGCTTCCGTTGAATACATTTCGTCATCTAATATTTCAATTAAGGGAAACGTCTCCAACACAGTTCTGTCATACTATGGCAGTGGAATTATCTGCATGCAGCGAATTTGCATGTGCAAATTAGCTTGAAAATTGCCAGCTTCTTACGTTACTAGTCAATGAGACTAGAAATGAACAGATTCGAATTCCTGCTTCGTATTTTGGGTATGTTTCGAGAAGTGTTTATAATTTTGTACTCCATTTTGGAAAAAGGCTAATCGTTATGTAGATTCTCTATAAATGTAAAATGAAAATGAAGAATAATTAAATTAAGTAAATGATAATTAAGTAAATGAAGGATAATTAAGCATTTGAAATAAACTACAAAATTTTTAATAACAAACATGTTTCGACTTTAACAACTATAAGCCATCTTCAGTGCGAATGAATTCGTTATTTACATTGTGAAATATATAAAGTAGAAATATGATACAGGCGAGGTGATACTCAATGAATAACATAATTATTTGCAACAATGATTGACGACATAACAGAATACTAGATATGCATAATAAGTATAACAACACAACAGACAAAAATTATAACTGGAAAATATAAATGCTGAAACTGTTTGTTAAGGTCTGGTTTGTGTTTGCGTATGTACAGAGCCTCCTTGAGTTTGAGAGAGAAGGAGGTGTTAGGGTTTTGTGGAAGAACGGTTGTTGAGGAAAGAACGGTTGTTGAGGAAATATTGTCAATCGAAAAATTATATGCCGTGGGGGCAGTAACGTTATATTGAACTGCAATTTCCGTGCATGGGATTTTGGAAAGTTATTCATCTTATTTATCCATTTTGAATCGAAGTTAACCCAGGATTAAAAAGTTAAACCACCTAGCTAGCAGGGTTATTTTATTAATTTTAACCCAGGGTTAACGCTAACCGGGCTTTGTGCAACGCAAATCAACCGAGGTTTAAAATTTAACCCTGGGTTAGGCATTTTTACTCCTTGGTTAGCGTTAACCCGCATACTTTTGAACAGCCGGTCCAAGGCCTGAAATGTAAACGCGGCTTAGGATCACCAGGGATTGCGTCCTTAAAGCTAAAAATGTTTTTGATTTTGTGGGAATTGAACACTAACTTTATGTTAATATCACTGCAAAATCGTTTGGCAATGTTGAGGAGCTTTTGTTCAGTAATTTGAGAGTAGTGTCCTATGTATGGGAGTTTGAAGTAACGAACGTTGGGTTGTTGCTGCCAGTAGTGTAGCCAGCCTGACGATTTAGTCATGCTATGCAAATTTTATGTTCTTATCATTATTCATTTCTTTAGAAATTTATTGTTTTCACAGTCAATGGACACCAAAATATTAGCATAGCATGACTAAATTGTCGGGCTGGCTACGCCACTGTTATTGACTACTGACTAGGTAAATTTGTGTTCAGAGTGTTTGTTTCAAATGTTTAATTACTCTTGTGCTATTCAGAAAATGAAGGATCGTAGATTTCAGTGTTTCGAGTAGTATACGCGTCTACGCTGGAAGAATTTATATCCGCAAAAGGTAAGGTAATAATAAATATTAATCTATAACATTATTCAGATATACTACAATTCTATACCTGTATAGGTCAACATGGATATTTACCAGCTCTGCGAGGGCGGAAACACGTTAGTAAAAACGCGAACTGTCCCATCTGTGTGGCGTTTAACCCACATAAATAATTCTTTCAAGGTGTGGGAGGCCTGACCTACTGTACCATACTGCCGAACTACATTCGAAACTTGATCAGCACCAGTTAGAAATCCATTCAGTGTCTTAGCAGAATCGTATAGTCGAACCACAGACTGATCTCGTTGTAAAGAAATTTTTACAATAAATCTGCTCGTATTTGGCTGTAAAAAATCCTCTGAATATAATTGTGAATGTGAACATTCTCCATCTGGTGTATAATTTAGAACCATGCTTGACTCAGATAGCAACCGATCGCAAATCTGCATGTGGTCTCCCCAATCATTATTCTTGCAATCTTTCCCACAGTACTGTGCTGTAAAACATTCTTCGCACTTCTCCAAATCAACTCCAGTTTTCTTGCAATAGCAGCACAATTTAATTTCACTTTCCCCTGTGAATTGATTTCCCCTTGCGTTGTTATCATGTATGTTATTTCCTCTCTGTTCAGGCTGTAATTCTCCTTTGCAAATTGCATCTCCTAAGTTTTTTGAAATGTGGTTCTCTTCAACAACAACATCTTTAACATCCAAACAAATTCCCCCGCATTGGTTACGATGGATTTCATTCTTCCTTAAAAATATAGCCTCGCTGTTATCACGTACGCAAATGCCACATTTGCTGTTACCTGAAATCTCGTTCTCCAATATAGATACATTTGAACTTTCTTTCACAATAATGCCAAGTCCCTCATTGTCATAGATATTGTTTCTTTTTATTGTAATATCAGAAGCAATGTTATTGACAACAACCCCATGCGACTTGTTATCATAAATCTCCGAGCCTTCGACAACGCATTTCTTCGCTTCTGGGCCAATAAGTAATCCTTGCTCATTGGCGAGCAATTTAGATCCTTGTACAGATAAACTTCCACCATCTCCCACTTGAATCCCATCCTTTCCATTTTTGTAAAATTTCGAATTTTTAACTTTTACATCACCGAGAACCAGCAACCCGCTATTTGCGGAGTTAAAGAATTTACATGATTCAACTTGCAGTTTGCCCTCAACCTTCAATCCTGAGCCTTGAAAAGAACAATGCCAGAACTTGACTACAGCTGTATCAGGAACAGAACATTCAGCACAACGAAAGTTGATATTGCAAGCTAAAAGATCATTACCGAATCTAAAGTTAACGCTATCATCAGAAGTTACTGAACAATCCTCTCCTTCTCCAGTTAGGATGCACCTTCCAATGCTGAGTTCTTTGCTTTTATCACAGAAAAGGGAGGGGTCAATGGTTTTCGCGGAAATTTCATAATTACCAGGCTCTAGTACGATTACTGGTAAATTGTTGGGTTGGTCAGTGACTGTGCTTCCCATTGCCAACTCTTTGACTTTCTTGAGGGCCGCTGAAAATTCTAATATGTTGGAACAACGCACGACCAGACGCATTTCCTTCGGAGAAGAATTTCGTCCTTTCAAATTGGGTTTAAAATCATTCTCTATGTCGTTTAATTGAATCAGCGCCAATGTTCTCTTCGCATATCCTTCTGAACATTTTGGACGATGTAATATACATTCTTCGACATCTTGCGCGGCTTGATGATATTTCTGAAGCTTCAGATAAAACGATGCTCGCTTGATTAACAACGCGTGCGTAACCTCGAACAGAGGTGTATTCCTGGATGCAAAAATGGCATCGGAGTATACTTTCAGTGCATCATCATAGAAGCCCCTTTCAAACAAATCGTTTGCTTCCGTTTGCATTTCACTTAGCTTTTCCGCTGTGATTTGTTGGACTCCGCATTCATCTTGTTGGCTGGTTGCTGGCATTTCGCACGAATACTGGATATGTCTTCGGACCAACTCGGGCAAAGGTAAAATGTGGAGGAAGGGAAAATTTGTAGAAATTTCCTTAGCAAAATTCTCCATTTTCTTCGCTTCGTCGTGTTTGGAGTTAACACTTAAATGAATTGCGCACTCATGCACAATTCTGGCGGCTTCTGGTTGAAATATCTTTCTATTATCACCATCCGGTTTCTTTACTAAACTCTTTAGATGCTCTACCAGCTCGTAACTATGCGAACAGAGTTTATGCCATTGGTAAAAACGTGACGGATTAACGCTGGAAACAATCGACGGTCGTTCCCTTCCTTCTTCAGAAACAGGAATAAGAAGCTCGTCGGGTGAAGCGCAATTACGGAAAGCATGGTGTAACATACGAATAGCATCAATAACGCTTTGGGACTCGTCTTCCTGAAGACGTTTTATATTCTCCCGTATGGCTTCCTGTACCAAGTGGTGGACACTGAGGCTGTGGCTATTCTCTTTGAAAAGGGAAAATTGCGTCAACACTCTCAAGATTTCCAGACGTCCTTCATCTTCCTCTACATATTTCGTATATTCTTCATCTTCGATGGGAGGTTCACCGATATTGACGATGTCTTTTTGAATTTCATTTGGATTCAAAAACGCAGATGCATAAAGGACTCTTTTCGCAGCCACGCCTAAGTCTTCCCTTTTTATGATGTTTTCAAAATTAAGTTGCCAGGTAGTGCAAACCGCACGTCTTTGAGTTGAATCATATTCTGAAGCACCAGGTGCCGCTTGTCGGTTGAAGACACGAAGTCGATGTTTTTCATATAATTTTGAGTACTTGGGTATTGTACAAGGGAGTGATTTCATATAAGCTCCAGCTTGCTCAAGTGCCAAAGGTAGCCAGCCGAGTTTTTCGATCAATTTCTCGGCCTCCTCATTGTCAACTTCTTCGCCAGATCTGCGAGATAAAAATTCTTTCGCCTCATCCATTTCAAAACATCTAAGACTCAAACAAAATCTTTCGTGAAAATCTCGAATATGACTAACTAAATCAGATGACTCTCTTCTAGTGGTGATTAAAAGATGACCGCACGCGTCATTCTGCCAATGCCCGGAAGCTACCTTCTCGATATTTCGTGAAATAACTCCTTCGTCCATATTATCCAAAATAATTAACCAAGGTTTTCTTATTTGAGATATTTTTGTTAAAGTGGCGGATAAAGTAATGTCAAACCTATCACATATTGTCTCAAAACGAGCAGCAATATCGTGAACACTATTTTCAAAGGCAGTGTTGTTTTCACCTGAGAACCAAAAGACACCTCCGGTATAATAGTGATTTTTCCTTTGATGGGCGTATTCCGTAGCTAAGCTTGTTTTTCCCACTCCACCCAATCCACAGATAGCTGCAATGTTCACTTTAGGTTTACTAGTATCAATTTGTCCAAGTAGGTGTTTCAGCTCTTGTAATTCTGATTGACGTCCTTCAAATAAGGGGTTTTGCTTCGGTGCTTGAAATACGTAGGTGCCACACTGTGCGTTCAAGGAAGTCTTAAGTGACTGGAGACAGGAGAACAGCGTTTTCTGGAAAAATAGTTTTAATAAGCTTTTCTAAAAATTCTAAGCCACATTAGTTAGCGCACTATACTGTCTGTTAACCCTTAATTTTGAACAATCGGCCGCAGAACAGGTGGAAGCAGGGCTCCACGTTTTTCTTAGGTGAAAATCATAAGACAAAATTTTGCGTGGGGTGCGAAACTGCGCTTTTACCTTCGTTCCGAGGATGTCCTTTCTTTAGAGTAATATGTTTTTCATTGTATACTCATAATTGTTAATTCTGATCTTTACACCCGTAATATTGGATATAATGTATTCATCTTTGTGTTAATGATTCATCATATTCGTCACTCTACCTCATCAATCTTCGAATCTTCATCTTCGAAAATTTTTTTCAATTCTGTCCAAATGAGATCAAGAATTTCACAATCCATGTTTGTGCCTTGCAAATAGAGATTAAAGATGGAAAAACGCTACATGAATAAGTAATTAGTAAAAATGTAAAAATATGTGTTAAAGTACCATAATACACGTAAAATGTTTAGTTAACGATAACTCCTGAAAGAGAGGTTTCTAAATCTAGTCCTCAAAAACTAATTTATTTTTTAAACAAAACAGTATTTCGAGAAAAAATTATAAAATTAAATACATACTGTAGCTTTTCCCTTTATCAAGTTCGTCCAAAACAATTCTTTTTTCCTCTGAATTTAAGCTTAGTTTCTCGACTAAAGATATCATGTCGTTTAAAGCAGTTTGAAAATTTATCTCCGTCCAGTGTGAGAAATTGCAATGAGCCCACTTATTTCTGATATCACACCTAACCTTTCTCGCAAAAACCGCAGCACCAGAGCGAATGAAAGGTTCTGCTTCGCTCATCACTGATAAAGCAGCAGAGGGATCCATCGTGTTGTCAAAACCAGTGAAATGTTTTGCCATGAAAGGCCTTACGAGTAGTTTTGCCAGGGACAAAGGATCTTTAACCGCATAATCATAACAGTTCGAGGACTTGCGTGAATCATTGTTGTTAATATTTCTATAGTTCAACTTTATGGTAGATGGTGGCAAGCTTTTCATATGATTTGTGAATGTTTGCTGATGGATTGTCCAAGGAGGCATTATCAAAGACTCGTACCATTCTGTTAATTCATTTCGAAGCACATTTCTGAGAGCAGGTGTTAGTATCTTGGCTACACTTCCACCAATCAATCCCCATCTCCGTTCTTCATCAGCTGCAGCCATTCCTCATTCTTGAAATAAAACAAATCGATCAATTACAAAATATCAGAGTCAATAATTCTGAGTGGTTTATTTCTATTAATCATAACACAATTTTTGACTGATTCCTAAAATTAAAGTCATATTCGCAAACACATAATATTTATTTGCGTGACGCTTTATTCTTAGACTGCAACGTAAGTATGCGCGCGTATGAAAAACGCGTAAGTGGAAAGAAGCCCTTAAAGTCCTTAAACGGAAACAAGCCTTAAGGGGAATCAAACCTTAAGGGGAATAAATAATTCTCGCTGATGCTTATACTGTTAAAGGCCGTAATATAGCTCCGCGGGGTTTTTTATTGTAGGGGGAAACTCGGTAGAAACAATCTATTTAAAAGCCTCAATATCGGCAAGATAAAAGTTGGCAAACATGTCAACCTTGCATGCATGCCCAGAAATTTAATACATGCAGTCAGCGGTTGTTGCAACTGTTATAAGTATGCGGGCGCACACGAGAATGACGTAAACCTGCGATTTCAAGCAGGCTGTTCCATTTACTGTTCGTGGAACAGAACACTCTCCCTTACTTTTAAGTACACCTACTTTTAAGTATGGGCAGCTAGAACACAACAAATCATGACACGTACAATTTTCACGTGTTTAAAAGTGATGGTAACAGATAATGTGTTTAACCTTGATGTTATGTTGGCCTTATTTCGGAAAATACTACAATGGATCCCCGATTCTTAGGACAAGCGTCCGAGAATCTCAGATCATTTGGTTTATAAAAGTAAATTCGCAGGGATGTCACTGAAATATCAATATCAAATCACATTGCACAGTTATCATAATTCATCGCAATTATTGCTACAATGGTTTTATTAATGAAAGTAATCACGAAACAAAGATTACATTTACGACCCAACGTTTCGACACTCTGGTCTAGTATCTTCATCAGGGACGAACTTGAAGTTTACACATCCAAGTTCACACACCAAGGATCAAAGTTTCGACACCCGAGATCACACTTGATGAAGACACTAGACCGGAGTGTCGAAACGTTGGGTCGTGAATGTAATCTTTGTGTGGTGATTAATTTCATTACTCAAACCAGAGAAGGGATAATTGCGATGGATAATACAGCGTGTCCAAAAAAACCAAAACTATTGAAATCACCTAAAACAATGTAATAGTTAAAGTTTGAATGCCTAAGCATCCTGTTGGGACCCACAAGTGTAGAAATGTTCAAAATAAGCACTTTTATCTTAATTTAAAATGGTTCCAAATGCAATTAAAGGCTGGCTATTCTCGAAGACCTATTCCTGGCTATGCTAATGTTTTGCGGTGTTCATTCACTGCGAAAACAATTAATTTTAAAAGAAATGAATAATTATGATAAGAATGAAAGTTAATACGTTCACGGCAACCAACTATACAGGGTGTATAAAAAAAAACGCAACCACTTAATATTCATGAATATCCTCTTTGTTTTACAACACAAAAGACGTTTGGCCCCTGGAATGCGAGAAAGCTTGTACTGATCATATTCTAGCGGCACAATCGTCGGTAAACAAAGTCGGGTGCGTAAACCAACGAGCTGAATTGAAAGTATTTAACGAGTAAAATTTTATTTACAATTTATTTTACAAGGTCGACAGTTAGCATTCAAGTTATCATGCACGACAATAAAAACTCGTTGTTCGGTTGTTAGCTGCACCATTATTAGTTTAGCTGATTTGACTATTAGCAGTTGAAATGTACGATTAGAAGCCATTTTAAAATCCCAGGGGCATAAAATCTATTGAGCTTATGAACAATATGAATTTTAGAATATTAAGTGGTTGCGTTTTTTTTGATACACCCTGTACAGGGTGAGTAAAAAAAACTGACACCTTTGAAATTCAAATTAGCGGCAAACTTATGGCTGGAATATGACAATTCCCATGTACAATCAACAAAAACGATTTGACAAAACTGTTCTTTTGTATTTACAGAGCTTAGAATGCATTTAACTCCCAATGGGAACAAACTTTATGTTTTAGGATTAATATGATATGCTTCGTATACCTATGAAATATTTTAAGCAACTTCTGTCACATTACAGCCGCTATGCGACTAATTTGAATTTCAAAGGTGTCAGTTTTTTTTTACTCACCCTGTACAGGAAGTCCCAAAAAACCCCCAAACTATTGAAATCACCTAATGCTATACTTTGAATGACTTGTTTCGCCAATTTATATGCTCGTGGGGATTAACGCAACTTATAAAATGCGAAATAGGGCTACAAAATTTTAAAATTTACTAGAGAAAAAAAACATATGTCGAAGGTCATGGTGCTTGAGCTACAGAAAAGTGGAATAAATCGGATTGATTATGTGTTGTGACTAATAAGACTTGCGAATAGGAAAACGGTTGTAACATGACGATATTTTGAGAACTTAAACTTGTCATGCGGCTCGCAAAATGTCAATAACTATGGCAGATATCACTATTTGAAGCGGTTTGCCTAATTAAAATACGGCTAATTTCCCCACTTGTGATTGCTTGAACTCTCATCTATAAACTGAGACCTGTGGAAAATATACAAATTTGCTGAGAGAATATTAAAGACGGATGAACAGGTAAGCCACTGTGTGTAGGACCACGATGTGTCACTTTGTGTAAGTCTACTTAAACATTCGCCTTTTGGAGATTTTCTTATCTTTCTTACCATGCGCTTAAATATTCATAGGCATAGCTGGATTATAAACACCCCCTACCCCCTAGCTAGGCTTTTCCAGCCTGTATGGCTTAGGCACTAGATCACCGTGGGGGGTGGAAGGGGCGGGGAGTGGTAGGGGTAGAAAGGCCACTCAGTTAGTTTGCTAAGGCAAAAAATAATTTAGAATAGTGTCTGCCTTTATTCAATTTTCAAATAAATTTAATAAAGAATGGATTCTTATGGAATGAAACGTTGTGCACTTCTGCTTTCTGCAATATACCCATATTGAAGAACGAAAATTACGAAATAAGACATTTAATGTCTATGAGCATATTCAGCGTGATCTTACAGAGCATTTTTAAGCAGGGTACCTTCGCATCTTGTTTTCTAACGAGATGTAATTACAAGCAGGTAAATGTTTTTAATCGAATTCCAACTACGAGCATTACGCCTAAGTCAAGAATTCGTGCAATTGGATATGTTTTAGCTTGCAATACTTCGGGTTAAATATTTTGAAACGTGCACTGTACAGGGTGTCCCAAACAAAATATTGATATTTACAGTGGGCCATGGGGCAGTTTGTATTTGTTACTTGATGAAAATGCAACGTCACATCGGTTATTTTAGATCAAAATGATTGCCTGGTGAAACGGAAATCTCATTATCGTTGACACGTATCATTATACCATGTCTAACATACTAATGACACATATAGAAGCCAGGCCCATGCAATATCATAGTATACGTACTACAATATTGATCATTGAAATTTTCCAAAAAACCTCAATCTTTACCTCAAAGCAAAAAGGCACTTCTTTATGTAATTTTTAAAGTTGGGGGTTTTGCCGGACCGTCTTATCCCCCGGTTCTTTTACACCCCTGTACAAGGTAACGCATAAAGCCTGATTCTCATATGTCACCGACGGTCGGCGATGTATTGTTTGTGGTCGCAGACGAAGAAAATTTATACAGAATAAAAAAGCACTTTATTTTCCGGTGATCACCGACAATAGCCATCGCCGAGCGTCGGTGACATATGAGAATCAGACTTAAGACTGTTTTCCACCTACGCGTTTCTAATACGCACGTACACGCACGTAAAAGTCTAAATCCTTCTACAATGTCAAATTTGAAAAAAATAAGTGAATAAATCGAAGGAACTTAGTTTTCTGCATATTTTAGCATGCATTAGTTGATCTAGATGTTAAATAATAAAAATTTAAAAGCATTTAAAATTTTCCGTACGTGTACGTGTGTATAAAAAACGCGTAAGTGGAAAGCTGCCTTAAGGAACTTTCAGTTTACAACTAGTCGGATTAAAATACAAAGAAATTTGCGGTGTATATCTGTTCGGGATACTAAAAGTAGTATGATATTACGCCAACAAGAACTAAAAAATGTATGGATGTTTATTGTTTGCATGCAGGGCCGTCGCCAGAAGCTTAAATGCATGCATGAGGTATTTATTCATATATTCATGTTCAAGCGCGAGCATAAAAAAAACGCATTATATTTCTAAAGAAACTAGCTTCTAGCGACGAACCATTAATTACTCAGAGTATTAGAATCTCACACAGTAGTTTAAATATATTTGATGCGTAATCAGGGGTAATCATATTGAACTGAAATATAGATATTAAAAATTGAATCAAATCGCTTTGCAATTGTAAACTCCGTATCTTGTAACACTTCCATTTCGACTGTCAAGTCAAAAGCTCGTGAAATGATAAATATTTTAACCAGAGCACGTCTATATTTTTTTATATTTTTCAATATCATGCGCACATTAGTGTTCCGAAAACTGTCCTCGCGTTCGTCCTCCCTAATATCGATAACTATACAGCTAGAAATGTTGGGGACTGAAAATTTTGTTTGTCTTGTCAAAGCTTCTTTTGGGGATCTAGTTATATGCACTTCCGCACAGCTTTCAGGTGTTAGCACAAACTATATAAATTATAAGGCCTTTATCCAGAAAGCAAACGTAATTACTTGGAAACGCGCTGGAACTCTATTAGAGACCTTTACACGAGATTTGCTGGAATAGTGATAACATATTAAGACAAACAACCAATAACCTCTCACAATCATCAAAAATCACAGGTGTCTTAATATAAATTGTATGTATAATCACAAAACCCACAAGCGGTATACAACCGCAAACAAAAGCAAACGATTTTGTTCACATTAGTTGAAGATTAATTCTGAACACTTCAATACAGCAGATTTTCATATCGGGCAAACTGTAAAGTTAGCCTGATCATTCACGGTGGAAATCAAGATTTGCATTTGACAAGACGCGTATATGGAAGAGCATACTGTACGACTTGCAAGTCCGCGGGTGCAATTCTATCCTATTCTATGTCGTGTTGAATGTGGCATGCGTACTTCACATTGGTTGGTAAATCATCACAATCTTAATTCAAATTATATTCAACTGAATCATCACTATATTAAACAATCGTGTCCATTATTTCACGTACACACTTTCAAGTTACAAGAACACATTTCCCTTTCAAATAACAAAGAACAAAGACCAAGTGCATGTGTATTAACTGTGGTAACAACCTAGGCCCACGATATTTTATGTCTGATTCCAACGTCCGCGCATGCCACCGACAAATTAAATCAGGGGATCAGGACCATACTGGCTCGTCTTAATGGATATATCACACACATTATAAACAGTATTATGTAATACATGATGACTGTTTATATACTGAAATGTATGTGATATATCCATTAAGACGAGCTAGTATACATGAATGTATACACGTATATTTTAAACGCACAAGCTTTACAACCACATACAAAAGAAAACCATTTTGTTCACATTAGTTGAAATTCAAATTTGAACACTTCAATCGCAAATTCGTATGCGAGGTCTTCTGCTTAGTTATAAGGTCTGCCGACTGGCATCATTCTTATATATACAGTGAGAAATCTAACCGCCGCGAATTCGACTTACCTTTGTAAGTAATCTCATAGCCTGATATGGCAGCAGTGCAGATGAAGAACTCGCATGACAAATACACTTTGATGAGTAAGGGTTACAATAGTAATTCAAATTTTGTTCAACTCAAAAGAAATATGTTGTGAGTAGATGCACGTTTTTATACAAACTCCTGCACGAAGTAATCGAAGATGGCAGGCTGTGACGTCGGCAACACCGCGGAAAATCGTCTGCGCATGCGTCAACCCAGCCTATCATTTGCATTGAAAAACGGTTCCGAACAATTCATTTGGAATTATTTCAGTTTGATAATAATTAATCCGAATCAATCCAATTTGAATAATTTGAATTCATATCATATCAATTCAATTCGATTCGATTCGATTCGAATGAATCAATATCAATCCTATTTGAACCAATTCAAACGAATTTAATTCAATTCAAATCAATTCTATTTGAATCAATTTAATTTGATATTAATCAATCGGAGACTCGGAGTCAATTGGAATCTTTTGAATCAACCCTTTCAGCTCCGTTCCATTCAGTTTAATTCAATTCAATTCAAGTCAATTCGAGTCAATTCACATCAATCCTATTTAAATCAATTCAAATCAATGCAGTTTAAATAATTTTATATTGATTCTATAAGAATCAGTTGTATATAATATTAATTCAATTGGAATCAATTTAATTCGAATCATTTGAATTCCATTTAGTTCTATTTGATTCAATTCAATTCAGTACAATCGATTCATGTCAATTCAATTTGAATCAATAGAAATCAATTTAGTGTGAATCAATCCAAGTAAATTCAATTCAATTAGAATGAAGTCAACTCATATCAATGGAATTTGAACCAATTCCAATCAATTCAGTTTAAATCAATTCTCTTAGATTCGTAATCATATCAGTTCTATTAGATTCACTTTAACTCGAATAAATTCAATTCAATTAAGTTTGAATCAATTCATATCAATTCGAACGGAAACGAAACATTCAGTTGTTTATTTTTGAAACCCGAATAATTGTTTCGAAAGGGAAAAAGCAACTGGTGGGTGTTTCAGAGGCGCGAAAGCATTGGGAAAAATGCGATTGACTCTCGAGAGGTAAGTCGATGGTTCGAATCCGAGCAGCGATATTTGTTCGTTATGACTTTCCAAAAGAAAAATGAAATGAAATAAATAATAATTTGCGAAACCAGAGCTCATGGCTTAGGATAATTGTTTTGATTATGACCATAAATAATCGCACATGTGTAATTATCGCTTTTCACATAGCGGATTTACCAATCACTGCTAGTATAATAAAGTAAAATGCATAACCAAAGCCCTTCAACACATGATCTACTGGACTAGTGATAGTGACTTAATAATAGGGAATAAGTTGTTTCGTTAATTTTATTGCAAAGTACACCGTACAAGTTGGGACAACTGCATGTTCGCAATAGTCTACGCATAGACGGAATATGGCGGAAATACCGTTTTTCCCCGCCTTTCTATTTCGGGCATGGGTCTGCGGCGCAGGCTAGTTCGCAAGAACTTGTCATTTTTTTACTGATTTTTTTAAGGTCAGAATGAAAAACATTTCTTTTGAGATTCGAACCATCGACTTACCACTCGCTAGTCCATAGCCGTTTAAAGCCATTAAACTTTATACCGCAAACATAAAAGGATATTAGTGATAGACTTGGAGTCTCGGAAGCATAAAGTATGTTTATAGAAAGTATGCATATACATAACACATACAAATCACATAGAATTCGACAGTTGTTTTGTTTATTTTACTGCAAGAACAATGAAATAACTCGAGCAGTCAAATAGGCTCGATGCATGCACCGTGGCCATCAGCTCTACCAAACCCTCTTATGACTGGTTGAAGTGCACCTCCTCCTTTCCTTCCAATCAATAATATAACTGCTATGATAAACGCAGTTCTTCATTCTTCGAAGGACTGTACACCCGTCATAGTTTTTTCGGCCTGTTTTTCTGAAAACCCCGAATAGTTGTTTCGAACTGAGATAAGCCAATAGGCGGGTGTTTGACAGACGTGAAACGTTAGGAAGAATGAATTAGGCCTCTTTGCTGTAGTGGTGGTAAGTTATCTAGTACTGTAGTATCCACTGACCTATACTATATCTAGTATAGGTCAGTGGTGGTATCTATTTGTTCTATTACTTACTCTGTGTTTATATATGTACGCGCAACGCCATTTATTCGCTAGCGCTGTTTTCATGTCGTCTTAGGAGTTCAGCTCTGGGGTTCTGGGTTCAGGCTCTCAAGCTAAATTTCCCACGGAACTTTCTGACGGGGCACTAAGTTCTGTGCTGTGCACACATCACTGAGCTATACTATAATTCGGAATTATATTATAACTCAGTGGCACACACCAGGATCGAAAAGAATGGCGTAAAATGACGTGTCCATTACTCCATTTCTAAAAAAATTCGGACACAAAACATTAGAAAATACGAAAGGTGAGACTCTTCTGTCTATGATTCTGTGGCACAAAAACCGCATTTGGCACTGAGCATGCGCAAATTGCTAAGAACTATGAAGGTTATTGAAAATTTAAAAATGGCGGCGAATAGTGGAGTTGATATTTCTAAGTTGTCAGAAGTATTTCCCTTGACATGGTCTGTTGACACGAAACACGATGTCTTTCAGCGATGGTCACAAGGTAGCTTTTGATGGCATATGTATTAATGTTTGAATTCTTTTCACAAAACGTTTTGAATTGCAATAAATCAATAAAAATGCTTATACATTTTATGTATGAAATTTTATTTACAATTTATTGTATATTCATATATACTAGTTGCAATGTACGTGCTTAATATTATTATTATCATTATTATTATTAGTACATAGATGAAATTCATGAAGTTTAATGCAATAATCACAAAAACAGAAGTTCAATCTTAAAATATTGTATTTTAAAGCACCCCTGAGTCTTGAGTAGCTCAATTTTGAAAGCAATAGGTGTTGTTATCACTTTTAACTATCCAGTTAACCAGGAATTGGCAAGTACAGTATATAAGTAAGGTATAGTAAGGTAAAGTATGGCAGGTAAAATAATATTGGAAGGTCTTGGGCTATGCATGTAGGGAGTGCTTATTTGTAAATTTCCAGCTATTTAAATTGAATTAAAATAACAAAATGGAGATATAATTCCATTGATGCTCTCTGCATTTATAGGGTTTTTCTTCAGCGAAGATGAACCTACAGCTTTGATTCAGAATTATGGTGGGCCATGTTCGGTGATTGCATCTGTACAGGTAATAACCTTTGCAGTCCATGCTTGTAAGAATTCCACATAATGCATTTTCTCTTTTTTGGGTAAAACTGCATGTACAGAGAACATAAATTGCTTTAGTCATGACTACACATACTCAAAATCAACACTTTAGTCTTGTGTTTCATAGTAGGTTATAATTCAATAGAAATGCAACATGCTGATATTCATAAGCACAATATATGTGACATAGTGGTACATTATACTAGTTAATGTAGGTCCATTAAAGTTAGTACCAGTAAAGCAATTCCTATACTCTCCCCGATACAGAATGCAGTCTAACTTTGTTCTAATTATATTTTTCTTGATGATTACAATATAGGCATATTTAGTGCGGCGGTTGATTTTTAAAAAATGTAAAAAAGCAGAAAAAGAGGATTGGCGAACAATTAATGGTAAGAGATTTTTTATCTTGCTCTAAAGTCAGACATATCAACCTCATTACAATTAGGTTTAACCAGGTCCAGGCCGGGAAACAGTAAACTCAGGTGATAACCCTGGTGATAACCCTGGTGATAACCCTGTTGATTAACTCATGTATTTAGGCCAACCTTATTGGTTTTTAAAATAGTTTTTCGTATAGAATGCTGATGAACAATATTGAAATACAATAATAGATTCGCTGACGAACAATAGATTCACTGATGAACAATATTGAAAACTAACAATGTGATTCTCCTTCCACCGGGAATAGATTTTTTTCACCCTGGAGAAACATTATGAATGCTATGCTCAACCTATACTTACCCTTAAGCACTGATTGTTACCATAACTTATTACCTAGTAAGAGAATAAGGACATACTAAAATATCACTGGCTCTTTGAACTGTAGACTATGCAGTAGCACAATTCATCAACCTGTTTGTTTAAAGGAAAAATCTCCAGAGTGTATATAAGTTTAAACTATGCAACTTCTAATACTTATCTATCTTGTAATAATTGGTAGTGTATGTATATCCTTATTGTTATAGACAAAGACAGGCAGCATTTACTATGTCAAACTCTTATTGATATATGGGAATTGGTGACTACAGAAAATTTCCATGTGGTTCTTATGAAAAATCATTACATAAATGAGGGCAGTGAAAACGAAAGATTGGAAACAGTTCAAACTATTGGGGAATCATCTACACAAGGTGTGTATGCCTAATAAGGAAAAATGAAAAACAACCAAAACAACAACTGTATTTCATTTTCCTACAGGCGAAGAGACCTGTGAATGCACATGCAAAGATTATCATAGAAACATATGTTCTCAAACAGAATCTCAGACACAAGACGTTTTTCATTCTGCGTTAAGGTAAATTAACCTGAAGTACAGTACTTATAGCGAATTAAAAGTATACCTTCTATTAACAATGTTTTATTATATCATGTATATATTATGTATATAGTGAAATACCTAAAAATATTCTTGGATTCGTAAAAACCTAATCGAGAAAAAGTTATTCTTATACTGCATGCCAAAATCACTATTTCTATATATTAAGTTTATTATACTTGATTTATATAACGGCTTCGATTGTATCACTATATAAGTAGCTAGATGAACTACCTGAATGTATGAATTAAGAGAAGTGCTGTATGGCTAATTACTATACTCAGACAGGCCCAACAAGGCTGGGCGTGGGTCAATGAAATACTGCGACTATAATAACGTAGCTAGTTTTGCCCGCTGCGGATCGGTAGGGGTGGAGACGGCAACACGGCGAAGCGAACGAGGTTGGCGATACAAAGGAGCTAAGCTCATTAAATATTCTTTACTGTCATTTTCAATCATAAAATACCCCCGAGCCAAATACCCGGCCGGGTAACCAAGCGAGGTCCAACCTTTCGATATTAATTTCCTTTATTATACTAATAAATACATTTAATTCAGTACCAGGGTCCAGGGGCTTATAATAGTGCGAAAAAATATCGTATACGTCAACTAAGCAAACGCCATAAATTCGGAAAAATTCCGTAGATAAGCCATTTGTCAATAATCCCAAGAGATTTTTCAAAGTAACAAATCTTGTTCTTAATCTGAAATTCTGCAAAAACCTTTTCTCTTGAATTTGGTAGGATATCAGCTTAATTAGCTTTTAAATATAGCTACTGCTACATGTAGGTATTCACACGCACCATATCAAAGGTGCACATTTGTATTACCTATGGATGAATATCCTATATTATAGCTGGGCAAAGTTGGTGTGTGGTTTCCAAAACCACTGCTTGTTTATGCGTTTAGACAGTTTTCGTGTCGTAAATCAGAGCATTTGGAGGACTTTATCGTAAAGAATATTCATCAGTTTGAAGGCACGTTTGGTGTGTTATTATTCCTATATTCTATATTGTTAAGCAAGGTAATTTCTGTATTTCAATCTTGATTTCCGTCATTTACTTGCCTGAAAGCAACCAAGTTTACCAGCATTTATATGTATGGTGCGGTCCGAATGATTTATCAGAGACGTATTTTATAGGGAATTGAGAATATCAAGTCAGAAATGGATGAAACTCTCACTAGTCCCCTTATCGACCCTGTTCATGGTCACGGTGGGTAGGTGGAAATTTTTCAGTTTTGTGTGATGTTTCCTCGTTCTTGGAACTCCTCTCTGGATTCTTGAGTATGATTAACTAATGCAAAACATAAACTTCATTCCATGAATTTTTGTGAATTCTTATACTTTGATGATAACTTTGAAGTAACGCATCGAATATAAAATAATGTTGCGGTGACTATGTAATAATTAGAAAAGATGTATAAGGTGACATGACTGCATGTTATAATAAATATGATTTTGTCAATCTCTAATTTTCAGTCAAAGTCTGGTTAATTTAATGCTGACTGGATACGCTGTTTCGCACGTTTGGGACTTGGAACGAGATATTGGTGGACTAAGTAGGTGACATATAAATATAGGGTAATAGCTGTAAAAGTTTTTTTCCTTTTTTCATCTAAAGATGCTGCGCGCCTTACCCTGCTAGGGGGACATTTTTCAATGATAGTGTGCACTTAAAATGTTTGCCTAAAAGCTCCAAGCTCAGAACGTTTGAAATTCGTTGCTACATTTGACGCTTGCTCTTTTAGAATGCAATGTTATGGAGAACTAATATACAACCCCCAAGCTACAACAATTATATAAAAACTCGTGTTTTATTAGTATTAAAAGGAATACCGAAACAATCGAGTATTGGTTTTCTATCGTTACTGGAATCGATGCGTTATTGCGAGGTACATAGCTAAATTATTATATCTTTCCATGTATTGGCGTGTAAACGGAAAGAAAGTTTAGAACCGGCTCTCATTTGTTCATTTTTCTTTTGTTTCACAATATTGTTCGCCTTGCTATTAGGCCATTTTAGTTTCCCATAAAATAGACGTTGCAGTACAATCACGTGATCGATATTTAGTTCTGCCCCCCAGCCCCCAACCCCTACCCCAACCCCGCTCTTTGTACGCCTGTTCTTTTTATGATCAAATGAGTAACGTGATATACATGTCACAATAGTTTATGCACAAAAGTAATAAAATTTTACATAGCTATATTTAAAAAGGTGAAATAATACAATAAGGTCCAGGCTGAATTGCATGACATTTTATAGATTATGATTTCTAGAGCTTTTTTCCACATGCATGATACCAGTATTATATCTTCCAAGGTTGGGAATTTCTTAAAGAGCCCGAAAGAACCAATATGGCTGCTGGCCAGCGAGACACATTTGACTGTCCTGTTCACTAAGGTAGGACCACCGGTGGAAGAATTACGTTAACAATTTCTTAATAGACTACTATATAACCATATTTTAGAATATTATTTTTTTTTTAATTTCTGTCTTCTATTCTTTAACTGTAATCTCTCAACAAAATCGTATTATATCAAACTTGGAGTGTTAGCACGTTTGGGGGAATATTACGATGTCGGGAGGATAACGTAAATGGGTGAATGGCGATTTTAAATTTATCACGATAGTGCTTTTAGTGCTGCTATGAGTGTTACATGTCACCTCGTTTGCACTTAAATAAATAAACTGTGCAACCAATGTAAAACAGGACCACTATTTCTACCGCTTCTATTCTTACTTTGGATAAGTGTTACAGTAAAGAGTAAATAGAATGTGTTTATTGTATAGGAGAATGTTGATGATAAACGACCTGTCGATAACGCAATAAGAATATTTAAGACGTATGATACTCAAGGTAGGAACTGTTGTTTTCCAGATTAAATATAACCATGCAGTAATCAATATATTTCTATGCATGCCTTCGAAATATTCTGGTTTTTATCTTCCCCTTTCTTCTTTTTATGGTATAAAGTATGTTTTTCTAAATAATACCTTTGTAAATAAATTGCGTATTGGCAACAAGATAGAGTTCCATACATTCCAATAATTACAATGGGAAAGTTTCAAAGTTTCTTTAATTTGCTGTGGGCCTATTATGTTCCATGCAGTTTTTATGCTCCATGCACGTAGTATGAATTATTCACTATCAGTTGACAACAGAGAATCGTCGGGCCAACGAAGAAATGAATGCTTTGGGGTGATAGGATGCTTCTTAATACGAGTCTCGCGTCTTTTCAGAAAACGGCTTTATCGAGAGAGCTAAATTAAAAGATGTGTTAGAAGAACTTGAACTTGAGTCAGATCAAGACTAGTAAGTTATAGAAATGTTTGAAAAAATGTTATGCTATTTTTGCAATGCGGTGGTTCAGGTGTCTTAAACCACACTTAACTAAATTCATCCGTTGATAAACTGAATGCATTTTTCCTTTCGAAAATATAGTGTGAGTTTCATGGAGTCTTGCCTGGATCCGGACTCTTCAGGAATTATCCTACTTCACACATTTTTACAAGTGTTTTATCCCGAAGAGGTTTGTATTAGGGCACTTTATAAAGCCATTGTACTGACATCACATAATCCCAACATGTGTGCTCATAATCCCAACATATTGAAAACCTAAAGATGGCTACCTAAACTATTCGAAACATCGCTGAATAAATGTTTCAAATTAAAACCTCTTGTGTTATGCTAATTAGTACAATCAAATTACTGCCATCAAATTATTATAAACGGAGGTGAAAGTTTCAGGCACAAAAAATTGACGAAGTTTTGGTATTTTCTCGCTGTGGAAAAACGTTTTTAGATTTGCAAGAGCTTCTAGAACAACACAACATTTTTTTCGCCATTCTGTCTTCGGCTCTGAATAGTGTCCCTGAAAAATTCTCGTAAAAGTTCTCTCAAATCGTTTTGTGTTGCGTTATCCAATTTGGGATTTTGAAACCGCTGTATACCATTAAATTAAGGGATGAAAAACAATGATAATAAAAAGTTATTCTTACTGTAGAAAAACAGCGTGTCGGAGCAGTCTGACTTTGCGAAATGTTTTCCAGTGTATCATTACAACGGATTAGCAAAGTGTTGTAGCAAGGAAGATAATAGAAAAAAGGTGGGGCATTTCTTTCTCGCTGTTCCCATTCGATCAGCGTAACTGTAAGCATAAAATGTGTAGTTGATGTAAAAATAAAATTTTTAAAATGTCTAAGACACGCTAAGATCGGTGGTTGGAACGAATACGTGATCGCATCATTAAAGTCGGTCGACGTCCTGATTGTAGTCTTTGAACGTCTGTTGATCACGAACGTTGTTATGGTAATCTATTATCTAATCGGTTTTTTAGGTTGTCTATTCTGAGGGAGTATGTACCCTGCTGTCAGGAGATGTAATTTGTTTATCAGATGGACCATTTCTAAACTGTTTAAGAACTAAATGGCCTTATGTTATTATAGACTGGAAAACCGAGCCTAAACCGTCACTTAATTAAAAAGACGTGTTTTGAACATGTATAAATGCGATGCATCTTTTTATTGCCGCGTATTGTATACGCGCAATTCATATTTGTCTTTAACTTGGTATCCAGATTAGAGCGAAGTACTTACACAAAAAAGTATTTAAGGTGATGCGGTACAAATAAATGAACTTTTTCTCTTTTTCGTTGAGTATATGTACAATATAAAAGCTCGTTAATCTTATTGTATTCAGGCAAGTTATATTGTCGGATTAAGAAAGAAGCTGTAGGAATCTGTGATTGCCACATTTACGGAGACCAGGCACTACCGTAAAATAAAAATGGCAGTTTGTTTTAAATACGATGAGCAAAAAATGCTAACAATGTTAGCGATATTACTTTAACTTAACTTGAAATAAGATTACTTTAATTTATGTATAAATATTTTGCTTGCACATAGTAGCGGAACATGAACTTGTAGAATTAATTTTATGAAGATATTTAAAGTTAGGCAAGGCAGGAACAGAAATTTCTGACACCTGTATGTAACGATTAAAATTATCACTATGTTTTTGGAACAGAACGAAATGTTATTATTTTTTGTCATTCCCGTGAAAAATGTGTGAACCGAACGGGTTTTCATAATAAAGTTGTATTTGCGCGTCATTTCAATAAACTAAAAAGAGAGCACATGGCGTCACGGTAACAAACTACATGTTACATGAAGTATTTCCCCGTTGATCAAAATTCAAAACAGAACACTTCAACAGGTTTGTATCAAAAACCTACGGAATGTAACAATATTTTTAATTTTTTGGATACGTTTTATGAAATATGAACGAGAAACAATAAATGAACTCGTTTGCAACAATATAAGCCACTGAAACAGAAATTTGTTCGCGCTGATCATGCGTGCTGCAGAGAAAGGTATGTGTATGTCGATCATGTATATTGAAAAGAAATTGCAAAATCTCTAATTATTTTTTCTGAAAATAACGCGAGGAAACGAAATTTTAGCAAAATTATAAAGTGTGCAATAGTTGCAAGCTGATAATTGAAATAAATCCAAAACTAAACGTATGTGCCAGAATATTCCTCGTCTGTAGACTGTACCGTAATTTGATTTTCATTTTCTATATTGTTATTATACCAGTATTAATGATGTAGGTGTGGGTGCACAACACTGACCATGGTTCACGAGAGAACTCTTTCATGGAATTATTGCGTATATTATCAAAAAAGTTTGGCACACATGAGTATATAGTGCATTTACCTATATTATAGTGCATTTTGTAGTGCATCATACTGCATCCATTTCTGCAGCAGAAAAATGATTTTGCAAACCTGAACCCTGTATATGCAGTCTGTTTCATCTGTATAGGAATTATCACCGCCTATTCAAAATTTTATTTGTTTGTAATAGACAAGAAGAGTGCTCAATACCAAAAAAAGCACAGCGTAAATATTTAACTAATTCTTTAATCTCAAAATAAAGGCGTCGCTACACGGTGTTTCACACTAAGCTATAAAAGCAAAGTCATCAGGCGACTAAACAAAAATTCCAGTTTTGGAATATATATAAATATATATATACATATATGCAAAGTGAAATCTTAATATTGTTGTTAAAGACATATGTACAATGTTGTATACACAATTAAAAGCCAACCGCAATAGTTTTTTGGTATATTGCAGTGTTCTTTTTTGAAATATCATGCTAGGTGGCACTGGCAAGTCCAGTGGGTACAATGTTTTCAATACAGAACCAATAACTGCCATGGACATTTCTACAAAAGAACCATCTTTTATTGCAGTGGCTGGAAGAAAAGGTAGGAGTCTGTCAATTAATAATTAATATTGCATAATAATTAGGTCAAAAACACCGGTGTATGGTATATTTTGAGCCATATGTATGGTATCTATATTTAACTGGGATGACATACGAGGTCGAATATGCTGGTAGCAGGTAGCTGTATGCATGGTATATTCGATCAGTGTAATAAATTGATCAGTGAAGGTGGGTGATACCAGTAGAATAATATTAATTTTATTAATCGGTCTTCAGGTAAAAAGAAATCCATTTACAACAGTTATAAAATATCTGTACAATTTTTATCATGTTAGTTTCTCATTGCGGCTCCAATTGTTACAGTACTGATCTCATCGCATTCACATTTCTCGTTCGCGTTTCCGCATATGCAACGAATTTCGATGATCGGAGTTTCACTGCATAAAAAAGGCTCGGGCAGTAAAATGTTACGTGTCAATGAAAAATATTATTGAAAATTTGGAAGGTGGCAACATGCCCCCCCCCCAACTTCTAAACTAATTTTCCTACATTGGCTTCGACTTCATGAGTAGTTCTCGTTTTAACTTTGCTAGGTTCAATTTCAATAACGAATCTCCTATATTTTTCTTTTTAGTGCTTAAAATCTTGCAAGTTCAGAAGAACGTGTTTAGTGAAGTGGCCAATCTGTGTAGCGCGAATAAGAAATTGGGCCTGGATTACAGCATGACTGATGTGAGATGGGAACCTGCTGGAGGTAGGAAAGTGTGCAAACTTTAATCCTTGATTGAAGGAGTACAAAAAGCGGAGAACTCAGTGATGTGCTTGATATTTATCATAAACCTTTATTAAATGCCACAGCTATATACAGTAAATATTGAGTTGTATCGACGTCGACGACATTAAAAGGGTGTTGTAGACTGAAAAGCACAGAACTCAATCCCTATGAAGTATTTCAGATATTTTATTTTCCTGGGAGTGTACTTTTCAACCCATTTGGAAAAAACGCTGCAGGTTTTTTCCAGTAACGGATTCAGGGTAATGAATTGCATGGCTTAATTATAAATCAAAAATACATTAATAACAATGCTATTGCATGGTTTTTGATTTTTAAAGAATATTTTTTGATAAAAATATACCAATTTGATTACAAAGTTAGAGCTGTGGAAATTTACTTTTCCTTACCCTGGATCCACCACTGTTTGCTTCCACCGTCGGGTTTTGTCCGTGTGAGCTAGGCCTTAATACTGGGGAATACAGCACTGCAGGAATTTTAATGAATCATTGCATAAGATGTTGAATTTTAACGAAACATTGCATTGGTGTAGATGAAAGGCTGGCGACAGCAGCAGGCAATGGAACTATCTTAGTATGGAATGTGAATTTGGCAAAAAACGCGAAGCAAGTGAACTGCGGGAAAAGAGGTACGTGTAAAGCATTTAACCATTTTTGTCCGACATTTTACAGTCATTTTTTTTCTGAGGAAAAAGTGCATGACAAAATTCATAATTAGATGTCGTGCATAGAGGTTTGAAGGTGAATGTCCTGTCAGATATACATTACAAGCAGGGCGAAAATATTAAATTGGAAAGAAAGGCAAACGGATTATCGAGAAAAAGGCTATATATGGAATCATATTCCAACAAACAGTTTCAACCATTGGCAATTCTCGAGCCCACCCGCTCCCTCCCACGTACTTGCATTCAAAGTGTCATTCGAGGAATCTGAAATTTATGAAAATGTTGTTTTACTCTCTTTGCTATTACACATTTCCACGAGTTATTTACTATATTTTTTAATTTCTTTCGTCTGGCTTTTTTAATGGATTTTCAGTAATTTTCTTTCTTCCTGTGATGTTCATTCAGACATAGCAGAACACAGAAGAACTGTGAATAGGATTTCGTTCCATCCTACCGAACGTGATATCTTGATCAGTGGCTCACAAGATGGCACCATGCGTTATTTTGTTAGTGATACTTTGGTATTGTATTTGGAGGGTGGTTTTAAAACCTCGATAACGGCGTGTTATGCATCTTACACACACTGCAACGTTTAAAAACACAGTGCATGTACCACCCGAAGAAAATTTCGCCATGTTGGAAGAGGTTTTAATGTTAAATAGTGGGGCCCATTAAACAGTGAACGTAGGCACTTGCAATTATGTACACTACCAAATCATATACATATATCATCTCCAGCTTAATGATCAGTTTATCAACTTGGATATAGTTCAAAAAGAGATCTTGCTAAATTGTTAATCACAAAAAAGTATCAAAAGTAATGTCATCACATCATTTTTGGGAAGGCCTTCCCTTATCTTTGAATCCTTCCATGTAAAGTTTAAACGCTTGCAGTGATTGATGGTTGCAATTCGGCAGCGTATTCGGGGTTTCTTTCTCTGTTATATATGAGAGGATTCTCTTTTTTAATAGGATCTTCGTAAGGCAGACGCGTGTTTGACATTTAAAGGAAAGTCGCAGAACGCCAGCGTCCGTGACGTGAAGGTACTTGAACGAGCATCATCTTTTACGAAACAATTTCACAAAAAAAGAAAGTGTGCATGTAACTACACCTATTTCCTTTGCTCTACAATTCCGTCAACTCAACTTTCCATAAAATCGGATTGATAACAGCTATACAATATTTTTTGTTAGTTTGTATGGTGTTGAAATATTTCAGTTTTTCACAGATGTTCAGCTTTGCATGTTATCCTTTTTTCGATTAATGGATCCTTTCTTGCTACTTCTTTTTTTTAGTTCAAACCATCTGACGCCAGATATTTTGCTGCCGCAATGGAAAACGGTGAAATTCAGGTGGAGTGTTTTTGAATGTGGCGTTTGTGTTCCATAATCACTACAGGGGTCGGGGCCTGCCGCTAGGCGTGATATTATCTAAGACTGGGTAACAAGTCTACTGTGAATGAATACAGGAAATGCCAGTTAGCCAGGCGCACGTGTACGACGCGATTTTTCTCGTACGATTTTAGTCGGCCGATTTTGAAATCGGCAAATACCAAACTGTTTTGATACATTCCGATTGCTGATTGGAATCGCTTAAAGGGTAATGGCAATAATTTGTCGATGACAAGGATTTAGTCGACCGACTAAAATTGTACGACAAAAATCGCGTCGTGTGCGCCTGGCTTTATCATGGATAACAATATATGCAATGCAATAAACGGGCAATAAATGCAATGCAATAAACAAAAAGAGACGGTAGAACAACTGCAATAAGAAAACGGTTTTTCGGTCCGCTTTTTTCTATTCCTCGTGCCTAATTCTAAATTTATTGTTTTGTGCAGCTATGGGATTCGCGCAAGATCGACAATTATTTGCAAGCGTTTGTCGCACACGTCAGTGGTCCAGTTTTTTCAATCGACTGGCATCCCGAGGACCACGATTGCCTTGGCACTGCTGGAAGAGATAAGTTCATTAAAGTAGGCTGAGGATTTTCTTTCTGTTGTTATATATATTAATTTTGATAATTGCTTTAATATTATACGATAAGATCATGACATGAAATAGTAGCTTACACTGTTAGCTTGCATGATTACAGTAGATATAATATAGCAGAGAATTCTTTTGTTTGCTTTCAAGTATAGACAACGGTCTTTGAGGTCTCTTTTTCACTCATCGAGCGGGCGAATTGCCAGCGGTACCCAACATTTCATGCAATGTAAACCTTTTTTTATTAGGATACATGTATGATACATCCGCGAGTTTTCCAACAGGTTTTTTGATCAGTAAAAATGACGCCAAGTCAGGTTGAGAAGATTTCAAAAGAAAACAAATGTCGTAACGTTTCTTTTCAATTTTTCGTACTAGGTTTGGGACACGCAGCACAAGCCGACGGAGACGCATCAAATTCGAGCTATTGCTGAGGTCGCTCGTATTAAATGGAGACCATTTCGAAAATATCATATCGCGAGGTTTCTTTGTTCTTCTGTTGTTACAGTACCCTTAAGCTTGCATGGTTTCTAATATGACCTGATTGTGTTTTATATAGTTGTGCTTTGTTGGTGGATAACTGTGTTAGCGTGTGGGATATACGTAGACCATATCTTCCGCACGCTCAGTTCACACAACACCAGGACGCTGTTACAGGTACGCGTACAGTACGCAGGCTTACATATATTCGCGCAGAAATCATGAAATATTTAATTAATGGAAATTTAATTTATATAAAGCAGTTGTACAACACGTTGTTAAGGATACAAAACGTAACCCATTTTTTTCGCTTTACAGATACAAGACCACCTTAAATAGAACGAGCATTGTTGGCAATACATTTGTTTGATATTTTCCCGTATAGGAATTGTTTGGGACCACAAGGACCCCAATATATTGTTCTCATGCGGAAAGGATTCGATGATTTATCAAAACTGGTTTGTAGACGCCTACAGACCTGCGGAGCATGCTCCTCCTGTTGCACTTGGTTTTAGCTCTACTGGAGATATTGCATTTGCAAGAAGTGGTCAACTTACTCCTCCTGAACCAAAGCCGAAAATGTATGTAAAATTTGCGCCACTCAATATTATCCCTGAGCCGCCGCGAAACGAAACGATTGGATTCGACTACATTATAATGTTCAAAAGATAACATTTGACGTTTATTTTTTGTACTATTTTGATGTATTGGCGAGGGGATTCTGCATAAATGTATTATTGCTTCTAGTAAAGTTGAGCTTTCATATCAATTTTTTGATCAAAATTGGTTGAAATAGCGCCAAGAGTGCGCATGTTAATTCATGTCAAAACTGCGCTAATTTAGGAAGCACTCTGAATGGCGTTGTAATTTCCTTTATGTTTCTTTGCAGGAAATTTAATGCCCATTTGACCGCTTCACTCGGAGCAATGCGTAATCAGCAGCCAGCTAAGGTCGAGGAAGTCACTGCAGTTACTAGCACGTTGTCGATGTACAATTTTCCTGCTGGTAGTATTGGTGTAAGTCATGTTGAGTAATCTTAATAACGAATATTTTTAAGCAGTAATGACTCCTAGAATGTGTTTCGTAGATGGAATGTTTCTAATGTGGAATTTGGATAAGTGTATGTCATTATCCGTTTGTAATGTTTTTATAGGACTTAAAAAACTTTAAGGTATTGGCCAAGAACTACCTTCTCAGCGGACAGCCTTTTGATGAACTTTGCGACCACAATGCTGAGGTATGCTTGACTGCATTAATTTCTATTTCTTCTTTCTCTCAAACCATAACCAACATATTTATCTTCCAAAAACATATTTGCATATTGGAAAATCGCAGGACTTAAGAAAAACGAATTATCCATGACGTGATTATTAAAGGATTACAGTACCTGATTAATGATTAATATTGTGCGTAAATATAAAGTTTCTGAATTATTGGGAGACAATATTTTTTAGGTGTATAATGGTAATGAAATTAAAAACAACTTAAGCTGCATACAAGATTTATAATCTTTATACATTGTTTTGAAGCAGATGGCCACTTTGCGTTAATTAGTCTGTAACTATAGTCAATGGCTTTTATTCGATTTTGAAATCTATTGAATTTAAATTTAGTGAAAAATCGTCCTTACTATGAACGTGTTAATATAAAATCCCGTCCCGGCTCAAATAGTATTAATTCAAATACCGGTGTCATTTTTTCACCTTTAAGCAATGTAGTAAGCTTGGACTCCGTCATGAGGCGCAGACGTGGAACATAATAAAGGTCATGTATTCGTGTAATTTCTCCGAGCTGCTGCCACCTTCGAGCTTCGCCAAAGCTGTGCAAAATGATTCTTCGTCAGTTGCTCCGGCACAGTTGGCTACAGAAACGAACCAAAATAGTGAGTTGACAGTTCGTAGAGAGGTTTTGGTTATGGTGTTGGATGACGTCTCTATCTCATAATCTGTTTCGGTTCGTTTTTTTGTAAAGGTCAGACTGTCGACACATTCAATGATGAAGACAAAGAAGTTCAGAATATATTAAGTAAAAAGGACATTCAATCTGATGAACAACAAGGTATATCTAATATATATAGCGCAATCGATATTTCTAATCTGGGCTCACTAGTAATTTTGTTTCTTCAATACCATAGAGTGATTAGAGAGACAGCTGAAAAAAACATTAAAAAGACAATAAAACTTACGTGACCTATATAATTTGTTACATGCAGAAATATCTTTAGACGGACTCATTCACTATTGAAAATCCTTTATTACCATTTTTCGTCTGAATGCGGTGACAATTTCCTGTCGTAGTGCAAAACTATACAAATTTGCAAACTTTGCAATGGTATATATTTTCCCCGCATTTTAAAACATTTCGCAACCAAACTTTGCATTCTTACTAGATTTAGTACAATTTTTGTACAAAACTGTTGTGATTTATATTTGCATAAACTTATTTGTATTTATTTTCATAATGGTCATTTTCATAATGGTCATTTTCATAAGTAGTCTATAATGGCAAAGGTCTATTATTATATACACTCTGTCGGCTTTACTCGACGGTTCGGGAAAACTGTTTTTTATTGTTTTACTTCAGACATTTTATTTTTGAAGTTTGTTTACAGAAGATTCGTCAACAAGCGAAGATGATATTACAGAGAGTGACACATTTTTTGGCGATAAAGGTATGCTATAATTAATTGCTCGATTGAAGAGAGAATCATAAAAAAAGAATTCTAAGAACATATGATATAATTTTATTTGCTTTCGTTTAAGATTTTGTATTTAGTGAAGAGCAGGAATTCCAGTTTGATTCTCAGGATATCAGTGGAGAAATGCAATTAGAAGATTACACGTTGGCTAATGTAAGTTTTGCCGCAGGTTCAACCAAATTATTCCCATTCAGGTATAAGAACAGCATAGGGTTAATTTCTTAACAATGAAACGATCAATATTATACGAATAAAAGTACATATGGTTCATTTGTGTAGAATTCAAATGAACAAAAAATGTATAAATTTTGGTGCACGATGTCCATGCACATGCACGCATAGAGCAAACCACGCGTTTCAAATCATATGACAGAAATTTCACATTTTGAAACTTCGGCCACAGATTTATTGAAGATTTCTACACATATGCAGCGTACATGCATGTGCATGGTGTATTTGCACACATACATGCATGCATGTGCGGTTCCGTAATACCAAACATATGACTTTAAAATCACTTTCTTAAAAAGCCGTAGCATAATGAATTTAATGATATAGCTATGCATGCAATTATCACACAACTAAGTTACGTGGTATTGGGTGACTTAACGTTATTGCTTTCTTCATCTTCAGGAGGCATTTGAGCCTAGGCAGAACATTGAAGATAGGTAAGGTTCAAGATAATATATTTGAAAATCATGCATGTTTCTTCCTATTTCTATCAATATTCTGCGATAAAGTTTGTCCAGTAAACATCTTTAATTAACTTTGGCACATTCATTGCATCCTTACTCTGTACTGCATACATGGAGTTATGTTAACTTCTTCACTTTTATAGGTATACGTTCGACTGGTTATAATAGCATGAAAGTGTTTTAGTTATTTAGCTATAGGAGGCCTAGTGCCTAGTGTGTATGTATATATGCGCGAATACTATAGCCTAAACTCGTCCGGCAAATTAGCTATTGCTAAATTAGTATTCTGAAAAACATGGAATTGATAGGGTGCCTTCATCACTGTTTATCACTGTTTTTATAGACCACCATCATTAGAAACAGACCAGGAAAGACCTGATACGCCAATAAGGTATCATATTTATGGCGCTTTCATTTAATTTGACCGGACGGTTCAAACAAATTTGTTGAAACAGCATGCATGACATTGTGTGGTATATTAGGCTGTAGCTTTTAAAATCTCCTTCCTCTCAAAGTAATTGAAATTACGGAATAGGAAGTATGCAATGATTCTTGTAAAACTCTCTATATTCCCTAAGTCCTATCTTTTTTGTTTCCCTTTTTTATTGACGAAGTGCATAAACGATCGCGGTCGTTTACGCCTATATAATATATTAATATAGGTGTTTTTCCACAGCCTTATATTCCCCACTGATTTTTCCTGGTTATGATTTCTCGTCTGTATATATAGTCCCATAGATTCTGATATTGCAAGTGTATATACCCAACAAACGTCGTTTGTGGAATCTTTGCTAACAAATCAGGGAGAGATGAAAAATGTAGTAAGTATGCTATGCTATCATTTAGAACTCTTTCAAACAGTCATTTTAATTTACAACTTGAAACAAATTGTTTCTAATTTATTTCAGTGATATAATGATTATATCTTTGGTGCAAGTTTTACCATATATATATATAGCTATTATTACTTAAGTAAATATTGATAATATATTATAATATTTTTTGCTCAGCTTTTTCCAAAATGGGATTGCTCAGGGGTCGTGAAAGATTGCTTGAAATACTATGCTAACAAGGTATATGTAACAACTGGAAACTGCATGATAATCTTCCATCCGCCATTTTGGATGTGCATACTCTTGCTCTGATATGCGTTACGTCATAAGCTGGGTGAAAATTCGTTTTGTAACTTCAAATTAACGATCCAGCGAAGTGATAGTTCCATGGTATTACAATTACGTATCTCAAATTATAACGTTTGAATTGTAAGAGTTCTAAACTAAAGCGTAAACATGTAATTGTTATTTTTTAAGCGTCAACCCTGCTTTTGACGTCACGTAATTAGATCTCATCATAAAACAAGATGGCGGATATATCTCGATAGTCGATGTTTTTGATCGCCAATATCTTGCGAAGTAAGGAAGATAAACAAATTTTGTAAAATAGTTCTAAAAGAAGTGTAAATTTTCTTTTCTAAAAAACAGAATTCATTTTTATTGCCATATCTCTTTAATTTAAAAAGAGATTAATATATCTCGGCTTTGTATACTATTTACAGTACTATATGCAAGATATGATGATTATAACATTACGGCACAAATTAAGACAGCTGGGAACTTTTGATTTGATCTGCGTTAAATTATTAAGCGTGAACTATTTGACAGTTCTGTTTCGGTTTTAAACGAATTGTTATTCCTTGTTCCAAAGTCATTAGCTTTACCCGACTGTTTATAAGGGGACCAATTAAATTGATATATTTTGTCATTCGTGCTCATTTTTACGACACGAATTACAGAATACCTCAATTTTTTTCCCCGCTGACAGGAACATGTGTATATGACAATTGTCACGAGTGACGTGCATGTGTATGTGCCTAGTTCACCAGTCTGCACCAGGCCTTAGTAAACAAAGAAACGACTGCTTCGATTAGATGTGGTTTCATTCGTAAACTTTTTGTGCATTGTTCGAAGTTTAGATGGATAATGTCTTATAGTATAAGTGAACATATTATGAAAATTTAAAAAAGAAACAAATTCGTAAAATAGTCCATGCTTTGTACTTTAACGCCAAATGCATGGTAGTATTTTTTATGTGCTGAATACTTTATATTAAATTTATATAATAGGGAGATATTCAGATGTGCGTATCAGTTCTGCTTGTTCTTGGTGATAAGATAAGACCCGAGATAGACGAGAAAGTGCAGGAAGAATGGTTTAAGTCATATTTAGGTAATGTTTATTGCGAGATGATGTACAAAGCTTGTAGTTATTTAATTAAAGTCTGTACACGAACTTATTTAATTTACGCGCGGCCTGCCTATATGTCATGTTAATTCACAGCTTAAAGCGTGCTATAATTACGATGCCTGTCCTTCGTATTAAAACTAACCGATATAATATTATTGAGAATGCGTTCTTCCGTGGATCTGCAACCCTTTTTTACATCTGCCGTTGCTGCCCCAAACTGCTTACGGCGCCTTTCGTCTGTGCAAAACGTTGGTGCTCCTTTTTATTTTAGATTTACTTAGCTGTTTACAAATGTGGACAATTTCAGCTGAAATAATTAATATTTCAAATTTGCCTGCCTTAACGGAGCTAAACCAGGTTGGATATTTATTCTGATTTAAGTTCTGATGAAGTAGCACATCTATAACATCAGGGGCCGGTTGTTCAAAAGCAGGTTAAATTTAACCCTGGGTTAGTGCTAAACCTGGGTTAAAATCCTTAACCCTAGGTTAGCTAAACCTGGGTTAAAACTGTGTTGTTCAAAGCAGGGTTAGCGGTAGGGTTAGTTAACCCAGGGTTAAAATATTTAACCTAAGATTAAATGTATTTTAAGGACTAAATTGGATATAAGAACGTTTTGATTGGTCAATAAACGAGCGTCAAAACTTTACCCGACGAGGATATATTGTCAGGCGAAAGATTATATGCCGTGAGGGCAGGGTCGCAGGGACGTTGTTTTGAACAGCAATTTCCGTGCATGGAATTTTGGAAAGATTCAAAATGAAAGGCCATTTTGTATGATAAACAATGTCGATGTGAAATATGTCGATGTGCAAATTATATATAAACAATCTATAATCTATTTTAAAATTTCAGCCATTCTTTGATTATTCAAAATTCAGGAACAAACGTAGCCTTACCACTTGCTGCCAATCAAAAGAATCGAATTTTGGCATCCGAAACAAATACTTCGATTACGATGTTTCAATTTGTACGGTTGTATTCATTTATCGTGTATTGCATTGAAGCGAAGATAAATAAATCAATACGTCAGCCGAAACCGAACGAAGTCAAACTTAAATAATTCTTTGCTGTCGAAATTATTCGTAAAACCTTTCAAAAGTGTTTAATTCATGACGAATTATACGTGTTTACATGTTTCAGCTCCTTATTCATCCATTTTAAATCGAAGTTAACCCAGGATTAAAAAGTTAACCCACCTAGCTAGCAGGGTTAATTTTTTATCAATTTTAACCCAGGGTTAACGCTAACCGAGCTTTGAGCAACGCAAATCAACCAAGGTTTAAAATTTAACCCTGGGTTAGGCATTTTTAACCCTGGGTTAAAGTTAACCGGCTTTTGAACAACCGGCCCCAGAAGCCTGATGTTCCTCGCTTCAAATTTTTCAGGTTCAGAAAATGCATGTAAATGCATTTCAAACCCAAGATATAGCTAAATTACCAAGAAACCAGGCTAGAATGTCATACAAATACATTATGGGTCTTGTTAAAAATCTCGCAAAACTGATAGGATTATCAATCTGTTTTAGCAATGTCACAGTCATTATATTCTTGTGAAAGATTTATTTCTTTCTGATAATTGTAGACGTCCACGACAGTTCACACACTATGTAGTAATGAAAAATGTCGAAAGCCACTTCCGCCAGATAAATGTGGTTGGACTTGTGCCAAGTGCAAGAGCCTTTCTCCGGCCTGCTCTATCTGGTATGTGTCACTAGGAACATCCGTGTGTATATCCGAGTATATATGTATTCTTGTCCATAGGATGTATACAATGTACCATAGGTAAAGAAGTTATGGGGCCGGTTGTTCAAAAGCCGGTTAACGCTAACCCAGGGTTAAAAATGCCTAACCCAGGGTTAAATTTTAAACCTTGGTTGATTTGCGTTGCACAAAGCTCTGTTAGCGTTAACCCTGGGTTAAAATTGATAAAAAAATTAACCCTGCTAGCTAGATGGGTTAACTTTTTAATCCTGGGTTAACTTCAATTCAAATAGGATGAATAAGGAGCTGAAACACGTAAACACGTATAATTCGTCATGAATTAAACACTTTTGAAAGGTTTACGAATAATTTCGACAGCAAATAATTGTTTAAGTTTGACTTCGTTCGGTTTCAGCTGATGTATTGATTTATTTATCTTCGCTTCAATTCAATGCAATACACGATAAATGAATACAACCGTACAAATTGAAACATCGTAATCGAAATATTTGTTTCGGATGCTTAAATTCGATGCTTTTGATTGGCAGCAAGTGGTAAGGCTATGTTTGTTCCTGAATTTTGAATAATAAAAGAATGCCTGAAATTTTAAAATAGATTGTTTATAATTTGCTTAATTTTGTTTCACATCGACATTGTTTATCATAGAAAATGGCCTTTCATTTCGAATCTTTCCAAAATTCCATGCACGGAAATTACTGTTCAAAACAACGTCCCTTCGACCCTGCCCTCACGGCATATAATCTTTCGACTAACAATATATCCTCGTCGGGTAAAGTTTTGACGCTCGTTTATTGACCAATCGAAAACGTTCTTATATCCAATTTAGTCCTTAAAATACATTTAATCTTAGGTTAAATATTTTAACCCTGGGTTAACTAACCCTACCGCTAACCCTGCTTTGAACAACACAGTTTTAACCCAGGTTTAGCTAACCTAGTGTTAAGGATTTTAACCCAGGTTTAGCACTAACCCAGGGTTAAATTTAACCTGCTTTTGAACAACCGGCCCATGGTGTTTACATGCATGCATCTAAATGTTGGCTAAAATGTACCTCTGACACGACACTAGTTTCTAGCATGAATGAGAGTATATATTGCCTTTTTCTAGGATTTGTTTTCCTCTATAATTTCTATTCTCTAAACATTGAAAACAAACATGGAAATTCTACATGAGGTCCGTCAGTTATAAGCAATAATGGCTATAATTGCGAAATAGCCGCCTTTTCATGTATGGTAATATTAATTTTCGATCTCTTACACACAGACATCGTCGGAAGGAAATTCTCTTGACGTTGTTCGTCTAATAACTGCCACGGGCAGATGAATTAACTAATGATAAAATATTTTAAACATATATGCTCATATCCGCTCACGTGCGGACGAAAGACGAATTTTTTAGCTTCTCTTTTTTCTTCATTACCAGCAATACGACGGTACGCGGCCTGTTAGCCTGGTGCCAAGGATGTGGTCACGGCGGTCACCTGCGACATATTAAAGATTGGTTCCAGAAATATCGCAGTTGTCCTACAGGGTGTGGTCATAACTGTGAATATAGATGATAAATGCTAAATATTTGCAAATCCGTGTGCTGTTAAAAACTTTCCGAGATGTTTTCAAACCCAACTCATCTTGGTTTTGCCGAACTGAGGTCTGATTTCAAAACGTTAATGTCCAGGTTTCAAAAACTCTTCCAGTGCACGTGCATGCATGGTTAACGCTGAATTATAAATATTAAGTAATTGTTTATAAAGTGGAAGGTAATACAGGATAATCTAATTTTATTTTAATTGAAGATTGGTTAAACTTCTTACTGATTCCCGAAGCCCTAGTTATACACGATACAGGATTCGTAAAAAGCGTATAGTTAATTGTGATAGTCAGTGCATGTACTCGTAGGGGGGTTGTACGAACACACATAATTGTGCAATTATTAAAAAACCTGATGTCGAAATTATGCCAATCCGGTATCGTGCGTGTGACTGGGCGTGACGATTGAAATTATGCCTGCATGCTTTTATGTATAGAGAAGTAAATTAAAAACCTTCTTAGCATTTTAAAACGAACGAGCGCTTTTGGTCAAATTATAATAGATTAAACAATGTTTAAGTTTTTAAAATTTTTGATCTGCCAAGTAGAAAACTTTGTGCATAATAAAAACCTCCTGATCTTCCAAAAGTTGTTGAAACAGAGTTTTTTTTAACCAAATCGACGCAAATATTAAATCATTAATTATACATCATCAGTAACCGCGAGCGTATATTATACTGCAATTTCATTGGCCACAAGGAATGCGATTTGAGCATTATTAACTTACCCTCTCTCGGCAAGGCGAGTTACTCGGTTATACCATGTAAACACTTTGCAACGAGAAACTCGGCTAGGCGAGTAGAATATTCGCCAAACACGCATGCGCGTTTACGTTTCATTTACCACCATTGTATAAAACGTTTTGAAATTTCGCGTCCTACATAATGAGTACGTCATGTAATTACAATGTACCGTGACAAATACCGAGTTACCCGGTTCCATATAAACACAGTACCGTTTTGTCCCGGCAAGGCGAGTAACTCGGTTAACCGGGTAACTCGGCTCCATGTAAACAGGCCCTAAGTGTTAAGTCAATGGTTCGAATCACGTGCAAGATCAAGTTCCTTCGAAAAAAGGTTTAATGAAATAAAATAATTCGCCACACGTTCTGCTGGTCTTGTGGTGATTCGATGCTCTCCAGGCTTCCAAACTGGGAGTTCGAATCCTACTATAACTGTTGAAATAATTATGAACTTCGTGAAAAAGGTTAAAGTAAATTAAATAAGCATAGCTGTTCACCACAAGATCTTGTAGTCTAGTGGCTAAGACGATGTTCTCCCAAGTGGTAAATCGTTGGTTCGAATCCTACCATAACTGTTTTTCATTATGAACTTCGTGAAAAGGATAAAGTAAATTAAATAACCATAGCCGTTTACCACAAGATCTTGTAGTTTAGTGGCTAAGGCAATGGTCTCCGAAGTGGTAAATCGATGGTTCGAATCCTACCATAACCGTTTTTCATTATGAACTTCGTGAAAAGAATAAAGGAAATTAAATAATTATAACCCTTCAGCAGAAGATCTTGTAGTCTAGTGGTCAAGTTGTTGGCCTTATGTGTCGACAGTCGAAAGTTCGAATCTCGTTTTAGATAAACTAAAATTTTCGTTATTGATATTACATGGTAAAGTTATAGAGATTAAGTTAGCGTAGGCTTCCAACAATCACCAGTTAGCCTTGTGGTAAAGTCATGGACTATCAAGTACAAGATCGAGGCACCAAGAACAAGATGGTACGTTTCTCATGGCGGTAAAAGAAAAAAACAATGGTAGGTATGTTGCTCAGAAGAGGCTTATACTCGGTTAATCTTTGGAAATCAAATTTAATCTTTAGGGTAATTAGGGGATAGATAGGGTGAATGAGGGGTATATGAGTACAAAAAGACTTAGTAATTGGGCGGCGGCCTCGGCTCCCGGGGCAAGGGGGAGGGTGTAGGTGAGAAAACAGTATATAAAAAGTTTAAGTCTTTTTGTACTCATTTAAACCTCTTTACCCCTATTTATCCTCCTATTTACTCCTATCTATCCCTACTTTTTCCTATCCTCACATATCCCCAACTATCCCCTAACACAATTAAATGTTTGAAGAAAGCTTGCTTTGAAAGTCAGGAAAGCCGGGGGAAAGAGAACCCCCCTCAGTCTACTCCTCGCCCAAGGCGAGGGCATATTCGCCCTCTCGCACTACTCCTCTCACACTCACAAATTCTCGCTTTATTACCTTGTTGTTCTTTTTCGGTTTATCCAGGGCTTGAACCATCGACTGTAAACTTGGCAGATCATCCTCTTCACCACTACACCACCAGTTCTTGAGGTGAAAGCTAACAGTTTTTTATTTTACTTAATCCTTTTTGGAAGTATCTTTGATGAAATAGAAGAAAAGAAACATTCCCATCTGGGACTCGAACCTCCGCCTTTAAACTCGGAGAGCACTGCCTTTACCAGTAGACCGCACGATCTTGCGATGAAAGGCTGTACTTTTTTATATTACCGAATACCTTATGGGTAGTATCTTTTTAATTTTCATGATTTATTTTCTCGTCTAAAACACGCACACAATTGTATCTTATTCGTAGCTTGTAACCTAATAGTAGCCATTTGTGTTCTCACTAAAATATCACATGCAAGTATCAAGTGCCTTAAAACAATATGTTTCCATAAGTTAGTTGTTATATGTGGCCCAAGTGAAGCTAATGGTTACGGTGCGATTGTTTTGTATTTTTAATGAAGTAAAAAGTAAATTAGTTCAGTTCAAAAGCGCAATTTCCGCAGTTAACCACGGTAACAAACAAACAAACAAACAGCAGCTCAACAATATTACGGCAACGATTCATAATTATTTCATTTAAAAGTTCTTCGAAGAAACGATTAAGTCAAATAGAGAACAATAGTTTATCGACAAACGATGTGGTCGTCAAGCAGTTGTTAAGACGCTGATCTCTTTTGTATAAAGGTTCAAATATTAGATTAGCGTATTTTATATTCAACGAACCTGCTAGCGATACAAGCTAGTGTTTCGACTCTTTATACAACAAAGTCTTGAAATAAATAGTCAATGTCTGTTTAACTGGATATTTGCGATTTCAGATGCCATTTCAGATGTAATGCTTGTTGCCTCATGACTATACTTTTAGCCGGATTCATATTAGAGACGGGAAACTCATCGAAAGCGGGGGACTCGTCTGATGCATGCATGTGAATCACACACGGGTTTCTCGTCCGAATTTTCCCGTCTAACTTTCCCGTCCGCTAAATTAAGAGACGGGTAAGTTGGACGGGAATCCCGTCTGCAAGAGAAACTCGTCTTAAACTCGCATTTAGACGGATAAATCAGACGAGTTTCAGAAATACCAACACGGTCAAGGACGGAACAAGGCTAAGGAAAATAAACACAATTATTATCCTAATGATAACGCATTACCCAACCCATCCTACGTATAAATTTCCATACCCAATTCACATTCAGACGGGTTTTTACGGCTTTCTTTTAAACCTATTTTGAAATATATTGTTAATTCTTGTACTTTACTTTGACTTCACGTCATTAAAAATACAAAACAATCGCACCGTAACCATTAGCTTCACTTGGGTCGCATATAACCAACTTATGGAATGATGGTGCTATAAGGCGCCGCATATCTGTATGTGATCAGATCAGTTTAGCGACAACACAAATTGTTAATATTACATTACAAGCTACGAATAAGATAGTAAAGATACAGTGTGTGAAATTTGAGAAACTACATTATGAAGATTAATTAAAGTGAATTCATTTAAATTGTTATTTCATTTGAGATCCTACCAAAAGGTATTAAGTTTCGTCAAAGATCCTTCCAAACAAGGATAAAGTAAAATAAAAAACTGTTAGCTTTCACCACAAGAACTGGTGGTGTAGTGGTGAAGACGATGATCTGCCAAGTATACAGTCGATGGTTCAAGCCCTGGATAAACCGAAAAAGAACAACAAGGTAATAAAGTGAGAATTTGCGAGTGTGAGAGGAGTAGCGCGAGAGGGCGAATATGCCCTCGCCTTGGGCGAGGAGTAGACTGAGGGGGGTTCTCTTTCCCCCGGCTTTCCTGACTTTCAAAGCAAGCTTTCTTCAAACATTTAATTGTGTTAGGGGATAGTTGGGGATATGTGAGGATAGGAAAAAGTAGGGATAGATAGGAGTAAATAGGAGGATAAATAGGGGTAAAGAGGTTTAAATGAGTACAAAAAGACTTAAACATTTTATATACTGTTTTCTCACCTACACCCTCCCCCTTGCCCCGGGAGCCGAGGCCGCCGCCCGCCGCCCAATTACTAAGTCTTTTTGTACTCATATACCCCTCATTCACCCTATCTATCCTAAAGATTAACTTTTATTTCCAAAGATTAACCGAGTATAAACCTCTCCCGAGCAACATACCTACCTTTTTTTCTTTTACCGCCATGAGAAATGCACCATCCTGTTCCTGATACCTCGAACTTTTACTTGATAGTCCACGGCTTTACCACTAGGCTAACTGGTGATTGTTGGAAGCCTACACCAACTTATTCTCCATAACCTTACCATGTAATATTAATAACTAAAATTTCCATCTAAAACGAGATGCGAACCTTCGACTGTCGACACATGAGACCAACATCTTGACCACTAGACTACAAGATCTTCTGCTGAAGTTCTATGGTTATTTAATTTACTTCATCCTTTTCACAAAGTTCATAATGAAAAACGGTTATGGTAGGATTCGAACCATCGGCTTACCACCTGGGAAAGCATTGTCGTCGCCATTAGACTACGAGATCTTGTGATGAACGTCTACGATTATTTAATTTGCTTTATCTTTATCACGAAGTTCATAATGAAAAACGATTATGATGGGTTCGAACCATCGATTTACCGCTTGGGATACCATTGACCTCGCCACTAGACTACAAGATCTTGTGCCGAACGGCTACGGTTATTTATTTAATTTACTTTATCCTTTCCACGAAGTTGATAATGAAAAACGGTCATGGTATGATTCGAACCATGCAAGGATTTACAACTTGGGAGACCATTGTCCTCGCCCCTAGACTAGGTAAGGATAATCATTGGGGTTCAAGGCTTCAAGAGTCGTCGCCTTAGTATATAGGACATTGCACAATGTGGCTATTGTGGGGTTATTACTTGTTCACTGCGACTGCGCGGGGTTTATAATTACATAATTTGACATTTTCTCGCTTTGCAATATCGTTTAAGTACGTTTAATCATGTGAATCAAGTGAATTAAGGACATTTAAAATTTTCTTGACATCATGCAATAGTCCACACAATGCACGAATGACCACATGCATACATCATATGCGTAGATAATTAAAGACAGTACACTTACATGCACGACGCATGTCTGTGAGTTGCAATTAGCATAGTAAAAAAAGGCCCAGATAACGTTTCGAACCATGGTCATCTAGATTGCGATACCCTTGTCTTCACCACTAGACCACCAGCGCGTGACGTTCAAGGCTACCTTTATCTCAATCCTTTTTTTGGCTTTCCACGATGTTCGTAATAAAAAACCGGTTACTGTGGGATTCGAACCATCGGTTTACCACTTGGGAGACCATTGTCTTAGCCACTAGACTACAAGATCTTGTGCTAAAAAGCTATGGTTATTTAATTTACTTTATCCTTTTCATGATGTCCATAATGAAAAACGCTAATGGTAGGATTCGAACCATCGATTTAAAATATGGGAGACCACTATCCTCACCATTAGACTACAAGATGTTGTGCTTAAAGGCTAGGGTTATTTAACTTACTTTATCCTTTTAAAGAAGTTCATCAGTAATGATGAACGGTATGGTAGGATTCGAACCATCGCTTTACCACTTTGGAGCCCATTGTCTTCGCCACTAGATTACAAGATCTTGTGCTGAAAGGCTATGGTTATTTAATTTACTTTATCCTTTTCACGAAGTTTATAATGAAAAACTGTTATAGTAGGATTCGAACCTTCGATTTACCACTTGGGAGACCATTGTCTTAGCCACTAGACTTCCACATCTTGTGCTGAAAGGCTATGGTCATTTAATTTACTTTATCCTTTTCACAAAGTTCATAATGAAAAACGGTTATGGTAGGATTCGAACCATCGATTTACCACTTGTGAGACCATCGTCTTAGCCACTAGACTACAAGATCTTGTGGTGAACAGCTATGCTTATTTAATTTACTTTAACCTTTTTCACGAAGTTCATAATGAAAAACAGTTATAAGTAGGATTCGAACTCCCAGTTTGGAAACCTGGAGAGTATTGAATCACCACAAGACCAGCAGAACGTGTGGCGAATCATTTTGTTCTATTAAACTTTTTTTCGAAGGACCTGGATAGTCCACGACTTTACCACAAGGCTAACTGGTGATTGTTGCAAGCCTACACCAACTTATTCGCCATAACCTTACGATGTAACATTAATAACAAAAATTTTCATCTAAAACGTGATTCGAACCTTCGGCTGTCGACACATGAGACCAACATCTTGACCACTAGACTTCTGAACGACCATGGTTATTTGATTTACTTTATCCTTTTCTGGATGGACATAATGAAAAACAGTTATGAGAGGATTCGAACCATCGACTTATCACTTAGGAGACAATTGTCTTCACCACTCGATCTTTTGCTTAACGGGCATGGTTATTCAATTTACTTCAATCTTTTCCCGAAGGTCATAATGAAAAAGCTTGGATTCGAATCATCGACTTAGTACTTACCACTTGGGATACCATTGTCTTGGCCACTACAGTACAAATCTTGTCCTGAACGGCCAGGGTTATTTAATTCACTTCATCCTTTACTCGAAGTTGATAATAAACGAACCACCGACTTACCATGGACTTGAGAGACTATTCTCTTCACCACTAAACCGCGAGATCTTGTGCTGAATGGCTATTTAGTTTACCTCATCCTTTCCTCGAAGGTCATAATGAAGAACAGAAGTTACCACTTGGGAACATTGTCTTCGCCAAAAAAGGCCAAGCTAGGTCTCTGCACCCTTTCGATATAGCTAGACAACCAGACATCTGTCGAAACATGCAGTGTTTTCACTGCTGCCAATAAAGTAGAAGGGGAAACATTACCCCCCAAACATTTCTATTTATCACGTTTTACTCTCACAAGCCACGCGCAAAGATACAAAACATCATTCTTCAGCTGTTCAACACATGCATGAAAAAGAACTTTTAATTTTGACAAATAAGTGTGAAATAAGCCATTACTCGAAAACGAGGCTGCCGTTCGTGGGCCAAAGAATTATTACATAAGACACTGTCAAGTAAAAATGATTAAAAAACCCTTAATCTTCTGACCATGTACAAAAAATGTCACTAACAAGCATGCTGAAAAGTTAGGTGCCAGCAATTTTCTAATTTTTACAGATGCTGGCAGGACTGTAAAATATGCCTCGCTTTTTCATCACTTCTTATAAAATTTTAATTTTACAAGGGGCATTAAAATAGCTCTTGCATGGAAAGAAAAAGATGGCAAAAAGAAGCCTAATAGCAACAAATCTCTTTTCAGAGCCAAATAGAGAGAAGCCAAATTCAAAGTTATTTGGCCTCCAAAAGATCTATTTATAAAATGCAGACCGAGAAAGTAATACAGACGGAATTTCTCTCTGATGGGAAAGAATTGCACAAATAGTACTGTAGGAGGATATAGCTGTAAAATAAACAAATTTATTTTGGGGACAAAGTATAATTACGATAAAATGATTTAATTATGGAAGCATAATATAGGCTACACCCTTAAAAGGTTCACGGAAATGAATCTTCGTCATCGTCCGCCATTTCCTTAGCAAGTTCAAGATCTTGTTTTTCTCGCTCTCTTTGTTCCTAAAGCAAAATAATTGCCTTTTTAGGACATGCGCAAGATTATGTGAAAACAAGAACTAGTCTTTTTGGGACGAAAACAACAACAGATTGACGTAATGGCCAGACGTTTAGTTCAATGCCATTTCACCTAACATAGCCTAAACTACCTTAGTTGATCACACCCGTCAGTACCTAACTTGGCCTTAACCGAAACAACATGACGCCTGTTCCAACCTCGCGTAAATAAACAAAGGATTTGCAGGCACGCTCGTTCAAAAAAGCTCTTATATTTCAACTAAATCAACTGGTATAATTAAGAAAACTAGCATAACGGCTACAAACATGGCGGAGTTGTTCACTCTTACTAAAATCAAGAGGTACTTTCCATATACTATTGATAGATTTCTTGACAGCATGGCCGTGTTGCAACAAGGCATTGTCTTTTCCAGTGTTTTGGGCTTACATGCATATATGCAGGTATTGCACGATCAAGTCAAGATGACTTAATTACCTCTAAAGATTCTAAATCCTTATTGTAAGATTTCGGAGGAAATCGCATAGCCTAAAAAGAAAGTTAGTTAACATCACATTCACATTATACGCATAATAACGAGGTATAAAACATTCCAAGTGGTCGACTCTGAATACCGCATGCATGCATACGTGTACATTGTACTTTCACAAAAAACATGTCAAGAAGTTAATTGCATGCGAAGAGAATTTGAGCTACTGCACGATAACAATGAATTGCTTTGGAACAGCACATCACTTTCTCAAATTCATTCGATATCGGCATTTACTATTCAGAATTGGTTTTGAATTGATTCTTTCTTTCGAGCTAAATTTAACGAATGAACTCACCTTCACAGATTGGTTATGAATATCTAAACAAAATGTAATTCTTTGATGAAAAGCTGCCTGTGGTTCGTTAGTTGAATAAATGTCTGTTATTTCCTAAAAATGGAGAGGCAAAACGAACGAAACACTATTAAGTCGAGGGAAAATATATCGCAACACTTGAGGACTCTTCATCAGTTAAACACTATATATATATCGAATTGGTAATTTCTGTCCTGGTTTTTGCAATAATGAAAGAATATAAAAGAACTATAACATATAATGGCTTCAATATATATAAATTGATGCCCTAAAATGGAATCCCAGCAATATAAAAATATATCTGAAATTGAAATTCGACTTGTATTACGCCTTATAAGTAGGCCAATAATCTATTGCTAGTATTTCATAGACATCCTTACGTAATATTGTTCAAAATAGAGCTTGTACATTAATAAACAAATATGGGAAGTAGAATACTAGGCTATAGCACACAATACACTGTAGCAATTATGGCGTATGCAGTAGATTTCGTCACATATCACGGGGTGCTAGAATAAGAAGGGTTAGTTGTTGAATGTCTGAAATATGTTTAACACAACGATTGCTATACCTTTGACTGAACATATCCTTTTTCGTGGTCGATTGTCGCTTCAATCACACCGTCTCTTATAGCCTGAAAAAAGGTTTATCATGTTTAATAGACCTTTCTACAAACGCGGGAAATCTGACGTTACTGGACATTAAGTTTGATTGGCTCCGTATAAAACTAACGAGCCAATCAAACTTCGTATAACATTAGTTATGACTGACAATTAAGGAACTATGTAGCTAATAATATGCTTAGTATAGCTCCTATGTCATACTTTAGCTACGATAAATTCGGCGTCCTCCGGACTATCCAACTGTAGCTTCGCAGCGATCTCTTCTAAGGAAATCTTAGAGTATGATAAGCTGATCATACGTATACCAGTCTTGATGACGTTGTGATGTAATCTAAGTCATCAAAAATCATAGATTTTAGTGCAAACAAGGACACGAAAAACAAGAACGCGGTCTTAACCGGTCAGTTATTTCAATTTTTAAACAGTTTGATTAAAAAAAAAATGCAGGCAAAAGGCTTACTCCATGACGTACCTGATAATTAGCGTATACGTTTTCTCTGCAATAAATTTATCTTTATAATTCATTATAACATCGTTGAATTGGCCAAGATCTCCGGCTAGTACAGCTAACAGAGAATTGCAGAAAAACAGTTTGGAAACAACGTAACACGTTAAGAAACCATGCAATGCACAAAAAACTGGACGAATCTAAGTCTATATATAGATAAGGACGAATTAGAATTCGTTGCTTGCGACATGGTTTTCGTGGCGTTTTTTACTTGCTTGTACACAAAAACGAAAACATGCATAAGTTGGTACAAACTTACATTTATTGCAAATATACTTGTCTAGAAAACCACTGCGAAGTTATTAAAGTGTATGACAAAGACATGTATGAGAACCGTTGAAATGACACCGTGCGCACGTTTAGCCAGAAAGTGTTTACATTATGTATATGACCTTCGGCGCGAAGCGAGAAACATTTTAAATGTATGTAAATAAATTGGTGGACAAATTAAACGGTAACCTACCCCAACCTATTGCGATGTTTATGTACACATTGCATTTTCGCAAATCGATTCAAATTATTACTAATTCTAACCTTTGGTCAATTGAAAGTATGGAAGCAAGGTCTTTTTCAGTGCAGGATCTCTGAACGTTGCCCTGTCGGGAATTTCACCAAGAAGCAATTCAACAATGATTGCAAACTTTTGTGCCTGTGAAGAGAGCAATTTGGTCACGACTTTAAAATAGCTATTCAGTTATAGTTCAGACTCTTCAGCGTTTCTTTTTAAATTGTGTCGACCTGTAAAGTAATTGGGAACTAGAAAACTTTGAAACGCTTGGCTTAGATACTTTAGAGCGGTTAAAAGCCCGAAAATCTATTTTGGACCCAGTTTGGATCCTTTAGGTACACCGCATTTCAGAAAGAGTTTACTTCTAAGAGGCCATGATCCACACAATCAAATCATCTTTTTTTTCACTTATAAGGAAATTTCCGTTCAGTTCTTCCTTCTACCAAACTACCCTTGGCAGAGACGTGCCGGGCGGGAAGCGTATTCGTAATATAAATATTAAAGCCCAACATAGTGCTTTTAGTGAAGCCATAAAAGACAATTTCCACAATTTGAGTGTAATAAGAATATATTTGAAAGTAACGTTTCGTCTTAACTTCAGACATCTTCAGAGTAGGGGGCCAGTGGCGTAGCCAGCCCGACAATTTAATCATGCTATGCTAATATTTTGGTGTTCATTGACTGTGAAAACAATGAATTTGTAAAGAAATGAATAATGATAATAACATGAAATTTGGATAGCATGACTAAATCGTCAGGCTGGCTACGCCACTGCTAAGTGCTAAATTACAGTAGATGCAAATTTGAATATGTAGACTAGTAATTATATATTTACAAGGTATCAATTTACAAAGGGTGATAACAAGGACAAAGTAAGGAGTTGTCCTCTCATGTACTGTTTGTCCTTACTTTGTACTTACTATCAGCCTATCACCCTTTATAAATTGATACCTTGTAAATATATTACTAGTCTACATCAGCAGTCTACATATTCAAATTTGCATGTCATTTATCACTTAGTCTTAAGATGTCTTAAGTACGGAATGTTACTTTCAAATATATTCTTATTACACTCAAATTGTTTAAATTGCCTTTTATGACTTTAATAAAAGCACTATGTTGGGCTTTAATATCTATATTCTGAATACCAAACTACCGTTTTGCAATAATAGGGTCAGAGGTTCGCGCACGAACCTTTATGTATGTTTCCGAGAATACGTCATTTACCACATGTCAAAACTTACAATTTGCCTGAATCCAACAGCAGAAAATTGTGGGGCCTTCCGGATAGCTTGGATTAAATTCTTATGAGCTTCTGTATACTCAAGTTGCTTTGCCTTTATTATCCCTAAAAGAAGAAAAAGTCCAGTAAAGATGCCCTGGTCCAAATCAAGCTCAAAAAGAAACACGATTCCTTTCAACAGAGAGATTTAATAGTAACAGTGCATACTGTAAGACTCAGGTGTATATATTGTGCTACTCCGAGTCACCTACACCAAGTAAGCTGAAAAATTACCTTGACTGCGGAGGAGCATTATTGGATTAGCAAACCAAAGGTCGTAGGTTCGATTCCCACCGTGGTCAAGCTAATTTTTCAGTTTACCCGGTTGGTGACTCAGAGTAGCACAATCACAATATTCATTTCAGAGAAATTTAATACTGTATGTAAGTAAAAATTAAAATTCATTAAATATTGGAAACCTAACATGTATAGCTTCTATAGTATAGAGAGAATACGGTATTCAATCGCACTGGGATATGCTAGAGTGAAAAACCTACCAGTATAGTACAAGTATCTCGCCCATTCATTGTTTGACGCCGTGTCGGGGAAGGATGATTTTGTAACCAGTTTATCAGCCTATCAAATACATCGTAAAATATGAGTTATTCCACGTTTTAGTGCCAAATGTTTTGTACTGTACCGATAACTGTATCGGAAATATAATGGAAATATCGGTATCGGTAAATATTACGGATATCTGTACACCTTAATTGCTATTATTAAAGTTCCTAACTTGCATGTGCTGAAATCAGAAGACACGATTATTGGCTTCTATACTGCACCTGGTCATATAAATTGTAGTGGAGATAATTTCGTAACAACAAATTCAGCAGCGTTGCCTGTAGGGAATAATTATTTGAGTTTAGGTAAAAAACAAACCAAAATTCATTCAACAGAAAACATGCCCTTTTTACCCACATTTCTAATATAGGATTAACTAAAGGAACAGTTGGATGCACCATTATTCAGGAGCTAGAATAAAGCACAAAATAACCACCTTACCTGTCCTTCTATGTTGTGTCTTAGTGTTGCCGTTCTTAATTTTGTGTGGAAAAAGCTGTAAAAAACGAAACAGCAATGTAAATTTAAAGCCCTTCAGATATTTGTCCAGTGCCCGACTGATTTCCTTCGACATTCCCTAGCTCTCCTGGTAATGATGGAAGAACCTAATGGGTATGCATGGTTGAAGTTTTTCATTCAATTTCAAGAAGTAGTCAATTCTAGTTGCATGCAAGGCTACAACTACAAATACCTCCACATTCCTCATGGCGTGATTTTTTTAGTACAACGCACCTTCTTACTTGGTCTAAACGGTCAAGTAACTCATACGTTCGCGAGTGGTAGAAAAAGCATTTAGCCAAAATCAGATCCAAAGTCCGTCTGTTGTGTAGCTCGGACTTTTTTAAGAGGAGCGTCGAACACTTTAATGCCTGAAAAAACGAGGTTCAGCGTAAATGACATACATATGTTTACGAATGATCATGTAGGGTACGTACGATGAGACGTGCGGAAGAAAAAAATAGGGGTAAAACTGCTGGAATGGAAGTAAAATTGCTAGTCGGGCGTAGCAAATACGGATGAAAATGGCAAACGAAAATAAATCCCAAAAAACTGATTTAAAGTAAGTTTTTGGGTTTTATTCTTTTTATATAGCGGCTAGGAAAATAAATTTATGTTTCATTTTATACATTAATCACTATGCATCATGCATATATGTTTTTACACTCTCGTTTCAGTATTCTGCTGTAAATTACCCGAAACCGGTTCGCTTTTTTCGCAAATCCAGCAAACCGCGATAGAAGTCGAATAATGCTAAACCTTCTGTCGAATGACTGCGCGTGGGTTTAAAGTGAATCAAACGAAGAATGTAGTCATCCATTAAGAAAACACAAACTAATAGTAATAACGTTAATGTAATAATGATATTTGTGAATACGTGGGGACTGAAAGAAAATCGGAACAAATTCACAGCAATCGAGGTTTCGTTCTTTTAATACAACAAATCTCTAATTCTAATTCTAAGACTATAAGTAAGTGGACTACGAAATGTAGGCTAATGATGATTACGATTTGTAGGCTGAAATTCAACGAACGGTTTTTTGCATCTGGTTTTAAAAACGGCGCAGTTCGGAAATAATCGCTGCAAGCTAAAATTTTTCGAGTTTTACAATTAATGATACATTTCTGAAGAACTTTTAATTTATGCTTTAGAGGAATTAATTTAAGTTAATTTAAATTTATTAGGAGACCGCGTTTTAGTTGTTATGGAATATCTAGGGAGGGAACAGTCAAATTTTTTCATGAAAAAAACATGTGTGTCTGTATGTTTTAAATAATTTAATACTTAAAAGTAATTCTAAAGGTGCATGCGTGCCCCTATAAGTACTGTAATTAACAATTTACCTGTTCATAAGCCTCGGTATCAATAAGATGAATAACAACCAGGAGATGAAAGTAAAACTCGACTTCTGGTAATACAGGAGTGGTCGCAGCTTTTCCAGTTCTTGGTCGATATGTGCTCGACACATCAGTTTCCATAGGCTATGATATTGGGTAGAAATTCAATTCGTTGGTAGAACTTTATTGAATAAGACCTATAGTTATCTTGACCAGAGACTTAAAGGTTGCTACGTAGGTGTATTTAGTTTTCAAATTATATGTATGTAAATTTGTATTTCCACTAGCACTTTCTTGTATTCAATTTTATTTATCATTTTTTTTGTTATTTTGCAGTATGCTGTCTGAACAGTGATATATACTTTTGTTTTCTAAAGTTACAAATCTGAAATAGAGAAAGATTCATGCAACCTACTATAGAGGTTACACAGAGGACAAAAAATGTTGGGTAAGATTATATTTAGTATGTACTACATGGATAAATTTCTTTTCATATGGGAAACTATACTGTCTGTACAAAAATATTTTTAGTTTAATGATGTGTGGGACAGTTCAAGCAGAGGAATTCACAATATAACATTGGCAACCCTCTATTTCCAAGGTTTCTTTACAATTCCAAATAGCCTAATTTCAGCTAAAATACAGTTGTAAACAGTTCTAATTAGTAATTGCATTACCTCATCCAAGAATTTCAGCAGCTCATTTTTTGCTTGTGATGCTGTAAATAAATATCTTCAGAACTATAGTTTCAAGTCACTAAAAATTCAGCATATATATATATATATATATATATACATATATTATAATATATAATATATATATATACACCCGTTTGCAAAAACGTTGGCCGCAGATAGATATATAGATAGATACCCGAAATCTAATTAGAATTGCATATGTTGTGTAATATGATTGAAATCCCATGCAAATGTAATCATATGCAATTCTAATTAGAGTTCGAGTATCCATCTATCTATCTATCTGCGGCCAACGTTTTTGCAAATGGGTGTATATATATATATATATATATATATATATATATATATATATATATATATATATATATATATATATATATTGACATTGGTGGTAGAGCTTTGGTATATACTAAAAGTGCCTATTTAATACATTTTGAGACTGAACATAATTTTTTCAGTAGAGTACTGCACCTTGAATAAAATATCCAGTGATGAGCTTTCTTAGTAAAGGATGGTTAAGTTTCTTTCTTGTTGATGGAAGAGATCTCAGAACTCTCAAAACAAAATGTGGCTCTTTGCTGTTTACTCCCTTTTCGACATGTTTAACATGTTCTTTGAAATCTGAAAAAAAATAAAAAGCTCATTGTATATATTAACTACATTTACTAGTCAACATAGACTATGATAGACTGTGAGTATAATACTCACTGGTTTATGCACAAGAACTTGATTAGTTATATTATAAACATATTGGCTTTGTTTCAGAATCCTGTCTAGCCTTGAATTAGCACACAGAAATTTAAAAAAAAATAAACATTTCTTTAGGTTTCATAAAGTTCTGAAAGACAATCCTAATCATCAGCTATTTAAAAGAAATGATGATAAAAGGCATCTAAATTCAATTATTTTGATGATCGTCTGCAACCAACTTGAGATCTGAACAGGGCATCCCTGATCACTTTCCATATATATTATGTTGAAAATTAACTCAACAGAATTGTATGATCTGTTGCATTACATTATGCCAGCGGAAAGTGCCTATTAGAAGACATTTTGATTCATAAAAGATATGAGTTTAAATTTGTAAGCAAATAACAAATTGGATGTATATTAAAATCTTTCAGCAAACCATAATAATTACAATTTGATCGGTTTGTACTGCCAGTTTGTGCCATAAATAGCTAAAAGCAATCTGTGGATCATAACTGCAATATTATGGTGGGATGACAATGCATTTTTACAAGAAATCAAACACCAAGTATATATGCAGTATCACATGTGGAAAGTGCCTCAACCTAAGGTACTTTATGGCAAAACCATAATCATAATTAAAACTTTTGGTAAATAATCATGATTAAACTTTTTGGTTTTGATTTAACTGATAAATCACAAGTCGACTATAAATTGGAAAAATGTACGGTATGAGTATTGTTCATAGTTTGTGGTACCAGTATTTGCGTGATATCACAAACCAAGAAATAATGTATCAACTTTGAAGTATTACATTATATGTCCGATCAACCTCTACCTTCAAGTGTCAATTTTTCGAGTTCGGCTTTAGAAAGCTCTTCATTTGCCGCCTCCTTCTTTTCCTCATTATTTTCCTGAGCGTCCTTCATTTCAGCATCTTTAACCATGATTATTGGTGGCTATTATTTAACTAAACTTTCAATACTTTAAAATACAACAACTGATCTCAGTGATTACAACAAACAGCAAGAAATTTTTCAATTTTCAACCATGTGCAAAGTGAATTGCGCATAATTTTCGCGTATGTCCACTGGCATGTCATACCGTGGTTTAAAAGGCGCAAATTTTGAAATAATTTTTTATTTTGAAAAGTTTTTTTGATATTTAAATGCCGTTTTTTAAACTGCTTTTTTTAAATTACAACTGATTACAATTGAATTTTTAGCGATGGAAGGCCATGGGGGCATATTTGGTAAGTAGTTTGGCCTATGTGAATATTAGTTTAAGGAGTCCCGGATGAATTTATTCATGAAAGCTTTTGGTCTGTTATTACGGACAACATATGCAAACACTTTAATACAATCCTAAAAAATCTTAATACTATGCCTTTTAAAAAATGACATAAACCCTCAAATTACTTGAAAACCGGATTCATAAATACTAAAAACATACGTTCCAATATACCCAAGAAACAGCGCAGGGCCTTTTTTAAGAAATTTCGAGTGGGTGGGCCATTGGCAAAAAAGGGCTTCCCCACTAGCGAAAAGAAGTAGAAATGTCGATCATGGCCGAAAGCTAGGGGGCACCCGGGAGATTTTTGAAATCAGTATAGTCAAGAAACGCCATTTCCTATATTCTGAGCCTTCAAATTTATTCTAAAAACTGTATTTGTATCTCAGATAAAAATATGGAAAACGCACAAAAAATACAAAGTTAACTTACGTCTTACCAAAAATAATATCAAAGGTACAACATGTGTGTCAATATCAACAGGGAGTAATGGAGTGTATATTTGACAGTTTAGTGTATTTTCCAGTCTGAAGAATATTTTCTTTAAACTGGATAATCTCTGTACACTCAAATATCCATGTATATTTGTAAAGGTAAAGATGCATTTGAAATATTGTACATTACAACAGAAAAATGATTGATCATTGATGAATCTATTTGTCTATTTAAGCCGTTTTCGTGCTCGACTGTCTCGACAAATAACATTCGTCGAATTACATTCAACAAAGGTTGGGTTACAGAATACAAGAGTGCTAATAGTAATACACTGTCGCAGAGCTAAATTATTCAATATTCTTCATTTTTTGTTAATATCTTTTAAAAAGGGGATTTTCATTAGAGGGGCCAAAATAGTGAACTGGTGGGGCCAACATTGAGGGTGGGGGGCCTTGGCCCCCCCAGTATATATGTTAAAAAAGGCCCTGAAACAGCGTGATGAGAGCCGGTCTTCGAATGTAATTTCTCGTGAATAATGATTTCCACGTTTAAACCTAAGGCTAAGCCACAGAATAAGCAAATAGGATTCTGTTTCAGCTATGCTGATATAGCTGCATGTATATCAGTGACAGTGTTATATGGAAGAAAGTCAAAGCATTTTTAAATACATATGCCATATTTGAGCACTAGAATTTACCAATTACTAACTTCTTATTAACCGAGCGCGGGGTCTTTTTCGAGAAATATCGGACTAAGACCGAGCTCGAAAAGAGAGGTTTGTACAAAAAGGTCGAGGTCCGATATTTGTCGGTACAGGCCCAGCAAGCGAGGTTAATAAAAAGTTTGTTATATGGCATTAGCCGTAAGGCATGTACTTGCACTTGAAACAAACAAGAAATGCACGAATTCGTATTAGTAGCCTGGTACGCATTTGATAAAAGAACAAAATATTGAATTGTTTACTTTATCTAAATTGTCTGGAGTGGAGACGTCTTGTTAATTCCAAAAGCAATTAAATTTTCTCTTGAGCGTTTATTTGTGCCTTTTTTACTCAGAATTTCTCTGTTTTTCACCTCGTAATAAGGGATCGCCTGTAACGCCGGTCAATTACGGGAAAGTGCCGATCCAACAGACAGCTGAAAATTCTTATCAGCCTATCACTGAGTTCCATTTCGCGCTTGCCATATAATAAAGTAACGTTAACGAAGGCCAATTGCAGGAAAATGCAACATACATGCATGAATAAAGTGGCTTGATTCCCATATCAAGTAGTTACACCCCCGTTCATGCATATAGAAAAAGAGAAATTTGGGGGGAAATATTATGAATTAGTGCTCATTTTGTAGTTTACAATTTCATCTAAACATGGAAATTCGTCTATGTTCACATGAGCAAGTAAATTGGGAAAAGTTGATGAAATTGAATGAGAGTCATGAAGAGTTGTTAATCCAACTCAGTTCTTTTAATTTGAAGGAGATTTGCATGCATCTCTTTTCAATTAAACTTTTTTTGGCTAAATTGATCGATTTTTAACATTTTCATTGTGCTTATATTCAAAAGTTTTTTTATAGATGCATCAATAATGACTAAAATACTCTTGTAATGTTCCAATAAAACTAATAACGATTGATACCATTAGCGATTTATTTGTGTTAAATATTAGTTAAATCATAATACATGCTACGGCCTGCGCGACTGATAGCGGGCTACCTGTGGTTAAATATGACTTTATGAGGTATACATAAGAAACAAATTATTATTTGAAGGAGATGGTGGTGAAGCTGAGGCAAATCCAACGTTGTTACTGGAGGATAGGGATGATGCTTTTCTGAAACAAAGCGCTAACCTTCCTGTAAGTGTAAACCGCCCTAGGCACTCACTCTAGCATACAGGGATTTTTCCCACGGCCGGAACTAGAACGATAATTGAGGGGTGTTTATTCATATATTCAGTTATGCCTAACGCATTGCTTTTGTAAGCTATTGCAATTACAAAAGGAATCCGTCGGGCAAAACTGAATATATGTGGGTAAACACTCTCCGCCTGTTATCGTTTTAGTTTCAGTCCTGATTTTTCCATGGTGTTACACCATTCCATTATATTACCACAGGCCTTACTTTCGTCGTTATCACTAGTTTAGGTACTTGCAGTAACTGACATTAGCGCCTCAATGGCACCAATAACATAAACATTGCAAGTAATAATTGTTAATACTATCATTTTTAATGGTTGCTTATTCATGAAAAAGTTTTATAACAGCCACTTTCCCATGCTGACGACCCGTTATTGTTGCAAATGTTATAAGTGTTGTTTATAACACGAGCGGTCGTGTTGTTTGAATATCACAAGCGGGCAATAAACAACTTGTGAAATGAATTTGAATTAAATAAGATTGTAATAATTCCGATAACTGATGTAATAGACCTTTTTCATAATGAAAAGTCTGATGTTACACGAAGTTTGATTGGCTCGATAGTTTTGCAGAGCCAATCAAATTTCGTATTAAATCAGACTTTCCGCGTTTGACGTCATTATAAGAAAGGTCTATTGATTTGCTTATTCATCAATCTTATTTGTATGGTGTAACAGGGTGTGCATGTGACCTTTTTAATTGGGTATAAACCTCATTAATTATTCATGAATTTCACAAGCCGAAAATTAGCATATTACTCTTTACTGCTTTTATGCAAATATTAGCAAAACAATATCAATTTAAGACCTTCTTGTAATTTGAACTGTTTTTCTTTCATCCGATCAAAGTTGAAACGACAACACGCCACTAGCAACATAAAATTCCAAGCTAATGTTTTCATGTCCATCAATTCCTTCTTAGCATGATTACGGTACTACCAGATTGTACTGGATTCATACTGGATTTGTCAGGATTTTGGAACAGAATAACAAGTATTTGTACTATCTCCATAGAAAACGCAAGTCGCAGAAACATGCATGCTATAAGTAGTTTCCTTATTTAAAGGCTGGCGTCTTGTCCGTACATGTATTTGGTTGTCAGCATTTGATAATGGATGGAGACTCTATTCCTGATAGCTACCAACTTTACGGTAAAGTATCCGTTGGGACGTTAGTGAAGAGCACTTCGGTTACAACACAGGCGAAAAAAGGAAAAATCATCTGGAACGAAGTCTTAAATTTTCCTATTACAGTGAGTCGAGTGGCCTGAGAGCTTTTATAAAATAACTATACCTCATTATAAGGCGCCTGTAGGTAGCCCAGAAGTAGCTATGTGTGTCCAGTTTCATGTATCGAAGTCAGCGACGCATGTTTGCAATTTGAGTGTATGTAGTACAATTAGTAAACTGACTGCAATGTATGAAACTTGAAACATATTTTCGGGCTACTATAGCTTACGAGTGAGAGGAAAGGAGTGCAAAAACAATGGAAAATCCATTGAGAGGCGGATTGATTAATGGAATACAGCATATGAGGTTATTATATAAGTCGGGGTTTTTGAGTGGACAGTGAACGTTATTGAAATTAAGGTACACCAAGGGGGGGGGATATAATATATACACGGCACACACATTTTGCATGTGTCTACAGAACATTTCGCAAACATCAAGAGATGCATCCTCATTAATAGAAGACGAACCAAACGGAAAACAAACATATGTTTTAGATTGTTTCCCAAATGAAGGATTGGTCGAATCAGGCAGTTTTCTCCCTACTTGGGTACAACGATGAAAATCAGAACAAGCACAGACTCATTGGAAAAGTAGCCTTTCATGTGCACAAATTAGTAAAGGTAAGGTTTCTCGATTTCGTTGTTACACCTCCCCCCCTGAAAATATCAAGGTCTAAGATATTTGTATAATGATTTTGCCGAAGACTACTGTCAGTCGTGAAGAGAATCAAACTTCTGAAGTACGTGCATTAGAGATATGTGAATAAGCCCATACCACGAAGTCGCTGTACTAGATCGAATGTTATTTTATCATACTGCTTTGTTGTTAACAGATAGGCTGGTCAATGGATAAATACGAATTGACGAACAGGAAGAAACAGGTAGACATGCAACCCTAACCCTGGATTACCAAATTGATAGATAAACATTTTACTGGGTGGGTTAAACTTTACCAGATGATAATGGGAATACTGATACAGTAATTGTTCTCTAAAATTAACAAAGAGAAATAAGAAAGGTTTGCGAAATGAAACTTCTTGATACAACTTATAGAACGTTGGGGCTGTAGAACTCGAGTTTGCATTCTCTTATGGAGTATTTGGATATGGTTTTTCAGATCAGGTAGGATTGTTATTGAGAATTTTTTGTTTCGCAGCATAACCTCACACACGAAAAAAAATGGACAGTATTTCACACATGCAATTATTAGAAATGCATGCATCCGTCCATCCATCCAAGTGCTTACTTTTTATATTGCTCAAAATATGGCTTCGCAGAATATGCATACGTGTGCATGAACGGTAGTTACATTATACGAAACATCTCTTTATTGCGCACTGCCTTTCCCATTTCTACCTTACGGTGATGTGAGATAGATCATTGGTATAATAACTGCTATTTTTTTAATAACATAAAAAGGTTTCTGAAAATGCACGTATAATATCACTCGATTTAATTTATCACCTATATAATTTTAAATTCTATTTCAGCTTGAAAATCTTGTGCATTTACCAGAGGAGGTATTAAGACAATCTATGTTTCCCCGTGTGCACCCACCAGAAGATAATATGTTCTCAAAATGGTGAGACACCTTAGCAAATAAGCATACAGTCAAATACTTGTAGTTTAGAAGAATGTATAGCTTTTACCTTTAGCCCTATATTAGCTGCGTATAGTTTTCTGGATAAATCTGGTATAGCTGGAAAGTGGCAATGTCATTACGGTGCACGTTCCAAAACTCACTCTACTGTTTTGAGAATTAAAATTAACCCTGTTAATTATATCTAATCCTTTTAAAGAACAATTGTTTCCTTGTTAACTTGTGTTATCACGATATGATTCCATTTTAGGTGTCTACTGAAACCAAAAACAGTCGCACATCCGAATTATATTCCATTCTCGGAAACGGTGACTGACTTGAAACCAGATATTTATGCTGGTCAGTATACTGCATTTCTTGATATATCATAAATCTCTTTCGATTCTAAAATTTAATTGCTTATATACTTCGTGCTCATCATACAAAATTCCAGATAATTTCTAACATTTCAAACAAGTCGTCGTTAATGACTTCAAGTGTCCAGATGCTAAGCCAAGCGCCTATTGGCTGCATCCATGCCTGCTTAGCAACCACGTTAGCAACTAAAATCTATATATAAAAAAATCTATTCGTTGTTTGGGTCGCTTTCCCGGTTTTCGAGGAAAAACAGCGTTTTTTGAACTGGTTTTACTACCTTAACATCCTGAAATGATATTTTATGGCAAAAATGTCGAATTAGAAATATAAAGAATCGCGTTTAAAACAACTTTTTTTGGCCTCGGACATCGTGAATGAGTGGACATCCGGGACGTGGATTTGACCCCATTAGCGCGTTCCCCAACTTCTCTCTCGAGCGTTATTTACAATCTCTATGTTGATGCCATCATATTTATAAGAATTAATAAACAAGTCGCGGGCCGTTATGGTGTAATAATGCACGATGGAGAATGTTGAGAGGATAAGGCCATAAAAGGCCTTACCTTGCATGCACGTTATCCAATCAAATAGCTATACAAATTGCGCTGTTCTATGCACTATACTTCTCAATCAAGCGAAATTTCTCGTTTGATTTTAAGAATTCAACCGCAATCCACTACCACCATAAAACTCTTACAGCAATGGATAAAAAAATGTCGGGTATTTTTAGAGGATGGAGAGATATCTGTTTCTATTGATATCGGAGAAAGACAGTTAATAAAGGAATCTTTGCCAAGGTATGTACATTTCTACTCAACACCGACAGAGAAAGGTACTAGGAGATTTTTGGTAGATTAATTCTTTGATAGTTTACACTACTGCGAAGCTATGAGTATATATATTCTAATTTTTGTTCACAAATAATTTACGTTGCGATTACTTCACACGCTTCTTTACTTTTTTTCCGGGAAACGGAAAAGTCTTTCGCTTAGGAATGTACAGTAAGGCTTTTTCGCGCGTAATGGTAATTTAAAAAATTGCCAACTTCGCAGAACTCTATTTTTTACATTTTTCAATGATATACGCAACCAAACTTTCCGATCTTACTAATTTTAAGATGCTCTAGGCGCACGAAACCAGCGTGGCAATATGCATGGCGTAAAACCCAAATAAAGGCACCGTTATTTTTAGTCTTTCTCGCAATGGCAAAATTCTCAAATTTGGGAATAATACATTTTAATGCGAACCATGAAAAATAATACATTTTAATGTAAACCATACATATGTGCAAAAATTCATGCATGCATCATGCATGTGCTTGTGTAAATTAAGTAATCATGATTATTTTCCTTATAAGCTTCCTTTCAGAGTACTAAGATTAATTCTTAAAAGCTATACGTGTTTGTGAGCAATATGCACGTGTGAATTCTGTTTGTATAAAGTGTCCTTGTACCGTATTATTGTTGTATTGTATTGTATTACAGGCTGTCCCAAATGTTAACAATCAAAGCTTTCATAATTGGCCATTATTTTCTGAAATGTCTAACGATATTCGTCCCATCAGGCAAAAAAGTTCCATGAATCAGTTCACTCTTTTTTTAGTGGGATCCACTCCAAAAATCGCTCACTGCCCATCATAAAATTAACCCTTCTCCTGTTTATTGCCGGCTTATAAAATACGATTCTGTTTTCGTTCCGAATGCCATCTCGGAGTTGCAACTTAAATTCATTTGCCAATTCTTTAATACCAGGAATCGTAGATTTCGTAGCGGTGGATTTACTCTCTGCCACTTTATGTAAACGATATGCGTAAAACATCGCTCTGAGATAGTTGAGGAATTCACGAGAGTTATCCAGATATTCTCTGACGCTTATGCCCCCGTCGTTCGCAAAAAATGATCGCTTGGTATCTTCCGAAGCAAATTTTGTTAACTTTGCGAGTCGCGTCATATTCGGTGGCCACGAGACGTCTCCTTCGGGCATTATACTATCCGACCACAATATAGTTTCCGTTATGATGGTCGCTTGGTCGTTGTCGTGGTTCAACATCTCGGAACAAAGCTTCAGCAAATTTGGTAAAAATAGGTAGTCCATCAGGTTCGACGTAAGAATTCGGTCGTACAGTGTGTTCACTTCGAGATGCTGTTGAATGTCCATGCAATCGCTCAGTATAACCTGGACGCTGATTTGTTTCTTGGAGAACATCTTCAGGGTGTTTCGTAGAATGCATTCAATGTAATCGCCGTACATCGTCACGAGGCAGTTGCAACTCTTGAACTTTTTCACTTGCTGATAGTCCCAGCCTGAAAAAGGAAAGACGCTTTCCGGCACGCTGTAGGAATAAGGTGCATATCTTGCTTTTGAATCAACGCCAGTCATTGTCGGGTTCTCGGCAAACGTTGGCCCTGGTGTTCGTTTGAAAACACCCTGCTCTATCCATCTCTTCGCCGAAGCGGCGTGTTGTGCTGGTACGTTCTCAGTGTATGGAGAATACAATTGGTTTTTCATCAATTCTTCGCGTTGCTTCCGAATCCACTTTGTTCCTGTCACACGCAGACCAAGCCAGGTTTTCCAGACATCTTGCAGTTGTTGAAACTGCAATTCTTCAACCCTTATCAAACCAGCGGTGTTTGACAGTAGGTTTTCTGCGGACGTCAAGCCAGTGAGCTCTAGAAGCGATGCGCGAAGACATTGATATGTTCCCTCGCTGAGTAATGTTGAATACCAAATTTCTGTGACGGTTTTCTCAACGTCTGATTCACCTAAAGTGGAAAGTGATTTTCAAAGGAGAGATTCGTGTTTTGTTAGATTTGAATACCATCTACCATCAAAGAGCATTTGTCCAGATCTATTTGCATTGAAAGAAGCGGTTTTTAGCAAATGTTATATATTTGCTTTTCACTAATTATACAGAATTTGCTTGGGCAAAAAAACGAAAGTGTCGGCGATGTTAACTTTGTATCGATAGAGATATAGTGTCAGAGTAATATTAGTTATGTTAAAATTACATGAAGTATTAGTACAAGGGGGCGCGAAAAAGGACTGAACTGATGGAACTGGCTTGAGAACAGAGCGGGCGTAAAAATGTAGAATGTAAGATGTAGACATGTAGAGCATTAATCTTTTGAAAAGATCACATTAAATATTCTTTTTATAACAATAGTCATCTCGTTGAAGGCATCGCAGCATAACCTCTTTGTATAATTGCATTTAATTTTCAATAAACATGTCGTAAAACTAGTGCAAGCTCTGACATGTTCTTCCCTCGGTTTTTCCTTTGTTCTGTTATGTGATTCTGACCAACATTATATTGGCCTCGTATTTTCTCATTTGAAGTCGAAGTACATTTTCTATACACCCTGGCTGTAGAGAATGTACTATAGAATGTCGGTGATATTGAATTTATTTATCAATATTGATTAGAGTTAGGCGAAGGAATGACCCTAACATCTTTCAAAGCAGAGCTACGTATATACATACTATTGAATTTTCAAATCTTAGACATAACCAACCTTGACTTCCGAGTGTGAATACCGGCATATTTTTATTCATGTTTGCATTTGTGCATTTCAATCTATGTTTCAAACTATGTCTCCCCCTATATATTAACTATGGTCTTCTTACAGTTCCTAAACTGTTGTCTTTTAATTGGAGTTGCCGCGCATGCAAAGGTGGGCTTGACTCCCTTTCGCATTCTTACCGCTTATACTTATAGTAAAATAAATCAAACGTTAATTGGTAACACTGCCCGATTTTGAAACCAAAACGATTTCCCGCGGGGAAACGTTTCTAATTTTATATCGCCCTAGCTATAATCGTTTTAGTAAGGCACACCAGCACCACTGTGGTGCAAGTCTATACGTTTGCTCACCTCCGTTCATGATATAAAGCAACAGTACAATTCTTGCCAAAACGCAGCTCTCTTTGTCGTTCAAGGTAAACAATACCTTGTGGCTGTATGAATCTGGCAAAGAAGCACACGTTAACGCCAGGTTTCGTAAGTCGCCGACACCAAGAAGAAGAACTTTCAACGCAAAACCGTACGCTGCGCTCTCGTTCTCGATCAAATTCAGGCAATCAATGGCCGGTACGTTACCCCAATAGAAATAATGCAGGACGCCATGGTCTCCTCAGAACGTACGACATAATTTGCCAAAATAAGTTTGGCTGTCGCTTCTACCGACTCCTTGACTTCCAAACAATCGATCTTGTGTCTTTCCCAATTGTTTCTCTGGCAGTTTGCATTACAGTAGTGAGTTTGGTAGCATCCAGTGCATGCTTTAAGATTTGGACCACTTTTCTACAGGCCGTACATGTTCTGAGGATCGACGCCGGTAGGCATTCAGCTTCGTGTCGGAATATGTCATACTTTTGACATTTTTCACTGCAGTATTTGGCAATACCACACAGGTTACAATTAATACCAACACTCATAGAATTGCCACAGCGCCAGCATTCAGAAAATCGGGGCATCTTTCTGAGTAATTTGATTGATGTTACTACATAGACTCATTCATTTACAAACGTTAATAGACGAATAATAAGACCTTAGCAACTGCCGCACCTGCAATAAACCCGCAACCCCGCAAATTTCCAAGTTCTGGGAAGAGCGATTCTTGGAATTGAGAAATAATTTACAACAAAAATTTATTGTAGTAATTAATTGATATAGTGCTGTTATCAATTAATTACTTCAAAAGTGATGGTGATTTCGATTTGGCTTAAGCATGAGGGCAATATTCGACATAGTAAATTTGATATTAAAACGAAAAAAGCTGCATTTATATAGCAAATTAGAATCCTGCCCATGAGTCTCATCGTGGTCTTTCCACTCTGCAGGGATTTCGTTAAGCACTAAACCGGTTAATAGCTAATTCCAATCGGGCTAGTCATTTAGAAAAAACAGGATAATTTTTGCTATATTAAATGGAATTAAGCTGTGGTATACAAATCAAGAACTGCATTAAAAGTCGTTTTTATGCAGGTGTATGGTTATTTTCGCTTCGCACTAGCCTCCTACGATTTTTTCATATACTTGGTCATGATGTGTTGGTGGTGCCGTGGTGGGAAAGTACGCAGTGTATATTCCGTAGCCTAGTGCAGCATTGTTGGTTTGCTACAGAATCACCGAGACGATGGGATCTTCAACTATAGTAATCATTAACCTTTGCTCCATACACGTTTTTGCTGTACAATCACCCACCAATGCTCACTGTTATATGTTTCAGTGTATAGTGTATATTTTTCATGTTTCAGTATATAGTGTATATTTTCACTATATTAGGGTGTAATCACGTTTTTATCGTTTATTGGTATTCGTTTCTAGAATGATAAAACTACGAAATGAATATCTGGAACAGGTTGGAAGAACACAAAAAATAAAATATCTTCGAAATCTTATTCATGGTCAAGTAGGTGCTTCATGTTTATAAGTTAAACCTCAACAGAAATAAAGTTACCCAATTAAGATACCAGTTGTTATGAAATGCATGTGGATGCATGTGGCCCAGAACTATACAAGGAACCTTTCAAAAATGTTTCGGGAAAGTTGTGTGCTGAACACGTTTGGAAAGGGCACTTATGAAAGCAGTCTATATAGTTGAACATTTTCGGTGTAGCTAAGGAATTTGTTAAGCTAGCATCATAGCAAAGGTATTAAGCTAGCATCGTTTTTCAGGTAGCGCACAGTGTTGAAGGTGATAGTGGGTCAAGTGATGACGAGGAGGGCGGATCGTACATTCCGGCTGGATTAGCAGCCATGTTGTCCGGAGTAGCAAGAGCGACCATAAAACAGACCATTCCAGGTTCATGTTCACAACAATAGCGCGTTATTATCACTTTCTAAATTTCCTTAATAAGAGGATTGGTTTACACATTCCTAAACTAAAATTCCAATAGATTAATTGTGTCCGCGATTTCTACAGAGGATAATTCGGGAACAATATTTACTCTACCAATATACACTATGTATATATATAAGAAATCTATCATGCATATATGCCATTCCGAGCATGATTGAAAAACTCACTTTTAGCTATTTGAAACATCCCCTCTATCTGTTCACATTGCAAAAGTCGATCTGTTTCATCGTATTGAAAAATTAAGAAACTAGCATATATATATACATCCTTTATACTTCAGGAGTGACAGTACGAAATCGTGCAGATTATAAGAATTTAAAAGTTGCTGTTTCAGTGGAGTCCATGACAGATGTAAGTCCTCGCTTAATAAATTGTGCTGATGATAAGTATAGTTTAGAACCCAGCGACAGCACTCTATGCCTACTTTTCATACATACATACATAATATTTTGTCGTTATTCTCCAATTTTTTGTCGACTTTTTGCATACATGATAATAGTCCACTGAAAGTTTATACTGTAATGAACTTAATTACTAATACTCTGTTACTTGGCTATATAGGATTGTGCGTCAGCAGCAACAAGTAATACAGGAATGAACGGTATACATAATTTTGGCTCATGCAATTATATGAAATAATGTATATATAATTTTCTTGTATGATTGCATGGCGACTTTAGTAATTATAATAACTTGTAGGTACACCACGTAAGTATTAAATACTGCAAAGCTTTCGGTCCGTTAACCCGGACCTTCATCAGTGCAATTACTTGAATACACGTTTGCGCGTCACTTAAATATCATGTTAGTCGTGATTAGTTTGCTCGCGCTATTAATTAAACGGTTTCATTTAATTAAGTTCTAATTAATGCGCGCGCCCTAGACAAGTATTTGACTAAGAGACACCGAAAAGAGCACGCCACGTACTATTAAGTGGCTTTCCCTCTTGGACGATAGTTTGATGTTTATAAATTTCAATAGATTCTCTCATTTTACGAGAGACAGTAAACTTATCGTTTGCTAAAATGGTAGCATCGTTCCATTTAATGCGATGATCATAAGTCCACGCATGGTGAGCTACTGCAGACTTATCCAGTTTACCTTTCTCGCAGTTCGTCTTATGTTCTTTAAGACGTATTGAGAGATTTCTACCGGTTTCTCCAATGTAAACCAAACCACATTCACATGGAATGCGGTACACACCAGGTTTCTGTTGTTCATCGACGCCATCCTTGAAGGTCCGGGTTAACGGACCGAAAGCTTTGCAGTATTTAATACTTACGTGGTGTACCTACAAGTTATTATAATGTATATATAATTGGCAATCCCATGCATGGAAACATTAATTGCTGAATCTGAAAGCATAATGTAAACTGTAAAGGCTGGTGTATGCCCATTATTTTGCATTTTTGCTATTTGATATTTGTTAACATTATCAAAACCTCGAAAATTTCTTATATCAATACATATTGCATGTATAATATTTAGAATTTTTTTATACCAACATTGTTTACTATATGCAGTCTTCAAACATGCATTACGTTGAAAATTTTTGAATATATTTTAAACAAAAGGCAATTTTTCTGCACGAACCCTGCAGCGGGCAGGGGTCGGTGGGCGCAGGTTTTTCTTTTGATGCCTTTAGATTTACTTTGTTGTTTTTTGCTTGGGTAGAGCTGCCTAGTACGTCATTTGCCAAACATTTGGAATATCAAAGTGGTTTATCAGAACGTCAAAAACAGGTTTGTTATTGCTGCTTGAATATTATTAGAGAGATTTGATTTCTTAATTGTTATTAACTGGGCCGCACAGATAATTTGAGTCACGGGGCAAATTTCTCTTTAAAACACCCTAAATCCTAGGCAAAAAACGCGAGAAAGAATAGTAAATGTAGTTATAGTTTATGTATTTTTTTCACGTACCGCTGTATGATGCAATAATGCATCGAAGAAAACTAATTTTGAAATTAAGAGTAGATTAGAGTGGAGCAGATGCGAGTTCGTTTCCTTTTGAGTATGAGATTTTTCATAGTATAAATTATAGCTAATAATTATACCGAAATACTTCTACCATAAAACTTATCTTTTTGGAAAGAAGACTATTTGTTTCCAACAATAGTTTAATAATATATTGCTGTAGTATTTTGGGTCGCCTGCGAATTTGGGGTCTGGATCAAATTGACCCTTTCGCTCCCCTCCCTCTGGGTGCGCAAATTTTCACAAACATTACGAAATCTTTCTTTCAATAATTAGAGTACGCAAAAGACTGTTTTAGATTATATTTCAGCGAACAACATGTTGTGTAAAGATATTATTATAACAGGATATTTTGAACTTCACAAAATATAGATATATATTATGTGAAAGATTAATCAGTTGTCAATATTACAGTTTTACCTGCTGGATTATTACACGGCATTGGAAGACTAGTTTTGGCCACCAAATCATTTCGATTGGAAGTTGTATCTCAATTTTAGATTGCAGAGAAAGTCCCACAGGTGAAAATCGTCACCCCATCGGCATCGGCATCGCTCGAGTCGAGCGAAGAGGGTCTGCAGATTGGAAAGGAACCATCGCCTAAAGAAGACAAAAATATTATGCAACGTTTACGTGATAAATTCAGGGAAATGGTACGCAATCCGTGTGTTTAAAAATAAGGTCTTGAGTTTGCAAGACTTTTTACTTCCCATTCTTACTTTTTTGTAGGGTCACGTGTCGCACAGTGAGAAAAAGTGAAACTTTAAAATGCAGGTTTTTTAAAGTTGAAAATGCACTGGTCGTCGTTCAAAACAACTATTATTCACAATTGTTATTATTCATGTTTCACAAATCTTTAATTGGTGTCATCTACATATCATTGTTCAAATATAATTTTCTTTCCAAACCATGGTTTCCCTCTTCGTCTCAATCGTTTGTACACTTTAAACTATTACCCAAAAAGCAGCGGTTTATTTCCGCAATTTTGATTGACATATTTCACAAGGACAAATTTGCAATGCGTATCTGAAAATAACGAGAAATTCTACTTTATAAAAACTGTTTTAAACTCGACCTTCCTGTGTGCTTTAGCCAATCCTAGCCTCCCTGTAGTCTGTCGGCTGTAGCAACGGGCGAAATTTCACAATATAATGATATATCTCAGCAAAAGGTTGTTTTTTAATTTGATTTGCAGGCTTTCAATTCCTGAATTTGAAAATATGTGCTGAAATTAACCGAAAATTTTGATGAGTAAAGTTATCGGAAAGCTTTGATTGTTTCGTTTCGTTTCGTTTCGTTTTTTTTGTCACCGTGACAAGTCTAGGGCCTTTTTGACACCTCTGCCATAAATTTTTCAATTCGGGGTATCCAGCCAGTGAACAATATATTTTTAGTTTTTTGATAGGAAACACTTGGAAAGCAGAAACTTTCCTGTCTCGGGCGTCAGGAAATTAAAAGAATGAAAACCAGAACACCAGAACAATCTTTTTACTGATATCGTAAACAATGATTTTAATTCAAATCAATCTGTATAAAGTTTCAAAAAGTATTATATACGCGTTAATTTATAGGAATTACTATCTACATACACTTAAAAATAATTCTAAAAATTGTAGCCTACTCTTTTGAGGGGGCGCGCCGGGTCAAATGGAAGATAATTGTAAATTAACACCTTATCAGCTAGTGAAGTCCTTTTAGAAACTGCTTGATGGTTTAAATGCAGTTCGCGTGGGTTGACATTTTCATAAACTTTTCTCGAAATAGTAAGAGGTCATTCCTCCATTAAACCCGCGGTTTCGGTTTGCCCCACCTAAACTAAAAACCTAAATAATGAATTTATGACAATTAACAGATTCGATAACATGCATTCTGCTATATTACATATAATAATCACGCGTTGTATTTACCCGTTTGCAATTTAGTTATTTTACAAATTCCATGTTTGACTGCAGCGGCTGATCCAGAGACTGATTACTACGTACAGCTCTTACTTAATTGCAATTATATTAGTAGGTTTTTTATGTGAAAATATTCCGACCTTAGAAATGAATAACCGTTTACTATGGTATAGCATTACAATATTATATTTAGGTATTTAAATTTTAAATTAGACGGTGCAATTTTTTCTGAGTTCTGACTTAGCCTACCCTGAATCCGCTACTTTTGACGATACATGAAACTATTTTATCTGTTAGATATACATAGTGGGACCACAGGCCTAAATTTCTCGACAGATACTGCCATGTAGCTACGTCGTATACGTTATTAGATTGTACATGTACTAAATATTAATGTAGTTTAAATCATACTTTATGAAACAAATGCTGGGGGGCCAGTTATAGCCGGAACAAAACAGTTATAATCAGTATTGCTAGGGAAATAAACTCATTATGCATATTGCTCTATAAATGTTTATAAACATTTTCAAACTTCGTATCAGTGTTGTTTTAAGTATAAACATGCAACCTAAATGATACCGCGTGCATGTATAATCAGAAATTTTAAGTTTAATTCGCGTAACTTACTTGATCATAAGCATAATTTTCAGATACTAGGAAAGAACAAGCTTTCATTTGTGGAATGACATGTTTTTCGTTCGGTATCAGTGAAGAATAATCGATCAATATACGAGTGGTGAAAATGATCTCTTTTGACAAACTTTTGTCGATTCTATTATCGTACGCATAATGATATATGTTCATGTGCAGGGTGTATCAAAGGACCTTTAGAAATTAAACTATTGTTATAATTTAAATGCCCATGATCAGTTTTCTAAGCCCATGCACGTGTGCACAAACATGCAAATCTAATAAAATCTAATGCATGGCATGCTAATTAATTTCGCACCGACATTGTTCATGCAAGGTTGTGCTTTTCACCGGTGGATTTCAATCATGAACCTTTCTCAAAACGTGTTTTGCACGGACGTATTTTTTACGTCTGGACATAAGTCTAGACGATAAAAACTTTTGTTTGCCATGCATTAATATGCAGAATTTTGCCTTTAGAAGCTATGTCAAATTCCCAGGAGCAGAAAGGCTTTTGTGCTTGTGAAAAATATATGTAATATATGTACAAAGCTGACAATATTTTACGCATCCAAGGGCTTAGCGTAGTGTTTAAATTATAACAATAGTTTAATTTCTAAAGGTCTTCTTTTTTTTATATACACCCTGTATAACAAAAGGTGGGCTTGATAAATGCATGCATGGTTGAATTCTCTTTGTTTTGTTTAACGTGGTGCAGACGTGAAAATATTCTTATAAGGACCCCCTATTCGTTCATTGTTCGATCTTTTTAAACCTTGTTTCGCTTTTTATCTGTGGTTTAGCTTCCCCAACAGTGATGTTTCTTAACAGCATGTTTATTGTGTAAAAGTAAATTATTTTTCTCACGTTTTAAAACAAACAGCCATGCAGAATTACATAACCCAAAATATTGGCTTATAAATTAGTCTGAATATGAATGTTGAATATACGTAGACCTTTTTGCAATCGGTAGAGTTAATTGGCTGTTCGTTTCTCAATTTATCTACAATTTAATGATTTACACGAAATTAAGTCCTCTTAATTAACATATTAAATCTAGAAATAATTAAGCCATGAAAAACCTTCCGCCATGAAATTACAAAGGTTAGTATTAGTATATATTTATATTCTATACCATGCGATAGTGATACTGATATTCACGCATGGTTTCTTCAAATATAACATGCAAGGTTATATGTATAATTTGACGGAGAGCTTTAGATCTTGTTAGAGTTATTTAGAAATATGATAATCATATTGATGGCAGGCCTTATAGCTAATTATCGTCTAAAATAAATCATGCAGGGAATAATTGCGTTTAATTTAAAGGCAACAATGGAACGAGTTTCTGCATGTACATATTTATCTCTATTTATATTTTAAAAGACTTGTAGGTAATTATATAAGTTGTATCTATAAGTCGCATGTTAGTTAACTCTAAATAAGAATATTTACACATCCAGTTGCACGAGATCCAAGGCCTTTTCTGGAACATCGTCCCCTAACTTTTTATCATCCCAAGATTTCGTGTTGTTCATCATGACCATGTTGTTCATTTTGTGCTTATCCACTGAAAAACAATCATATGTTCAATTAAGTCAGACATGCAGTAACTGATGATCAATTTTTCGCAAACATTTCCTTCAGGTAAACATCTTTTAAGTTTGCCTTCTCAAATGATTACACAATTTCACTTGACACTTCACGAGAATTTACGATGAAGCAAAACTTTGCGCTTTATTTTTGGTAATTGTTAGAACTCGACTGTGCAGGGTGTATAAAAAAAAAACTGCAACCTTAATAATTCCCAGGCGCCTACGATCTTTTGTTATTGAATAGGAGGGAACATATTTATACACCCAGTATAATGGATTCACTTGACCGATGCCCTAATATCAACAAGAACTTACAGCATCTACTATACATTGTGCTGATGCACTAAGTGGTCAAAGACGTTGAAATTAATTAAAAACTGAATTCAACAACCTCGAAATTCACAATACGAAATTGGAGGTGCAAAGAAAATTGCCTCGTTTTGACCGGGAAATAACTGAATTACACGAAATGGACACTTTAACATGCCCTCGGCTAAATATTGAGTTCATAGGTTTAATTTTTACATAACAAGCCATAATGACCAGAAATCAATATTTTTAAATTTTATCCGGCATTTAATTCTTGCTGCATGTTATGAACTGAAGAAAGGTATCATTGGGAAGCTTAATAACGGCTCTTCCTGTCTCCCATACTGAAGAATTAAATCATTAAATTTAATACATCTTTTTGCAAACATCTGTTAATTCCGTTTCGTTTTTTTTAAGAAACCTTGCATAGCTGAATTCTCTACTTACGAGATTTAAACCAAGGCTGGTCTCTGGGTACGTCGTTATTCATTTTCCTCACCATCAAATTCTCAACATCCTCATCGGACTCGCTTGATGAACTGTAATGCCTCGGTTTCTTGCCCTCTTTCCCCTGCAATGTTCCTCTCTTCAACGAGTTCACGATGCGGTTAACATTCCTTATCGGATATTCACCGTCTTCGCCTTCTTGGTGCACTCTCGTCAGCCATATTATGAATAGCACGGTGAGTAGTAACAGTGCTGCGCCCACCGCAGCCATTGCAATAATACCCTGCAGACTCAAGAATTTGTTCGTTTCCTTCAGTTCACGTTCCGTTTTTCTTACAGACGGAGTATTTTCTGAAAATATGATAAATACGGTAAATATTGTTGAAGCGATAAATTCTAAAAATTTGAAATACAAAAAGGAGAACTTTGAAAGGAAATGCTAGTAACAAGAAAAAGCATAAGAATAACAGAGAATAACATTTTGTAAACTCAAGATATGGGCTATTGACAACAAGACAAGAACTGTACGGTGATATTTCAACCTCATTTTAAAGTCAAACTAGAATATCACAGTAAAATTCTTCTTTTGTCCCCCATAGCTCATATCTTGCGTTTACAAGATGTTATTCTACGGAGTATTTTTTCTTGTATTTCATTGAAATTGTCTGCTTGCATTAAAAACCCCATTTTTTTAATGCTGATAAGTTTTAGAGACCCAGATGGAATATCAGACTTGTCCGTGTATAATGACCAAACTCGTCCCCAGGGCCTTTTGGGCCTCTTGGGATCGGTCGTTAAAAATACCCACAACTCGTGAGTATTTTGAATAAGCATAAATGAACAGAATCAAGGTAAAATGCCCTGGGAACGAGTTTATAATGGAGACGAATGTCCCTCTTTAGAGAATGCCCCCCCCCCCCTCTCTCCCCGCAAAAAATCTTAAAAGAGGCCGTGACGAGTGATGATATAGCCAATTTAAATGAGGAATTAAAACAATCTTTATGAATATGATCAGTTCATGCATTATCAAAGTCAAGGAAAAATTGTTTGCCTCTGTTATGAAAATTCTTTATTTAAGCATTCGCATTGAGGTTGGTATGTTACAAAGGGGATCAACGCGTCCTTTGCTGGATGATGGCATTCTCCTCATTTAAAGACACTTGGAGAACCTGATACACATCTCCCGAGGCATATAACAGAAGACAAAATCAAGCTAAATGGTATAGCATCCGCCTAACTTAGGTTTACCTCTTCCTTTCGTGGGTGTCTCTTTATTGGTATTGCTTTCACCTTTGTATTCCTCTATAGACAAAAATATAACGTTTTTACTTTAGGCAAAGGAGATAATTTTATGAGATTGGTATGACTTCTTTATTGATATAAAAGCTTAATCTTTCACTTTTCCAAAACATCTTTCGACACGAAAATAGAGGGCTAATTAAACAAAGAATATAGAGATAAATTAATAAAGCCGTGTTCGGAATGGTTGTACATAAGGTAATCATGACGGAATGGTTTTAGGCAAAAGTTCCCTTTTTCCCATTATTAAAGAGGTCATCGTTTGGTTGATTTAAAGACAAATAAACAATATAATTTTATCAATAACATCAGTGAGTCATATGGCGCTAAAATGTTCAAGGTAATGATTCGTGGGGAAAAATACCTCAAGGCGAACATTTAAAAGAGCTGTACACTTCAGACTATAATAAAGTTTACCTACCAGTCGCGAACCTAATCTCACTTAGCACGATCCATTTTCCCTCGTAAGAGAACTCGCAGTTTAAATACTTTCCAATATGTCCGTGTAAATCTACTTCAATCCACATACTCTGATTTCTTTTCATTTTTATACCATTACTTGGATAGAATACAAATTTCCTTGAGAAGTACGAACCATCCATGCTGAAGGCCACGAGCAAGTTTTTAAAAACCCTCACGTTGCCTGGTCTATTGTTGCCATGAAATAAGATCTTATGGAATCGTCGTGGATGCTCAAATTCGAACAATATGGACGGCTTCAAGTTGACGAGATCGTACCAACCAACCCATTCGAAGCTCTTGCCGTTGCCATTATCCAGCCAGAAGGCGTCGCCGCCAACATCACCGTCTGTAAGTTGCCCTAATCCCCCCTGTAGAACTCCAAATCGTCGCCCATAATGCTCCACAGTACCGTCGTATGTTACATCGTTCATTGTCACCGCTGTATCGTTGAAACCACGAATGTTGCCTTGAGCTGATTGATAGGAAACCAGACCGTCTTCAATTAGAAGAAGAGGAAAGTGAAATGTTACTGAATGGAAATACAAAGGTTGACATTACATACCGTTTGACCAACACGCGCATAGTAAAGTCGTTTAGCTTAATGCTTGAATTCTCATTCTGAACCATATGAACTTGAAAATGTAAACAAACCGCTAGCATTGCATTATCTGCGGTCGGTATACTTAATTACCTATATATGAACAAGCTTTGCTATTGGTTGATAATAACAATAAAACACAGTGAACTATAGAAATTGATATTACAAAACTCGTTCATATTAGGTAGATACTTACTCATTATTTGCCAGCTCAATTTGATCTTAAAGTTCGTAGCATTCTACTCAGTACCTTTGTTTTCCCAATCGCATCCATATAATTCTAGCCTTGTGCACCACCTTTCGCCCACGCCTCCAAGGACAACAAATCGGAGATACCGAAGAATGCGAGATCCTTTAAATCTTTTGTGTACGATGGAAATGTTATCGCTGTTACCCTCGAATGTCTATAGTGATGTGAAAGAAATAATACTTCAGTGAGGTATTGCAGTGCAGCATAAATACCCCAAAGAATTATTCGCGCACAACGGAGAAAGCTCTTTGCAAGTTCATTAATCTCAGCCGCGTGGACAATCATAATCTTTGCATAACCTCAAGATTGTCAAATCACTCAGTCACTCATACAAACGCTGCTTGATGCGGCTCTCTCGGTAAATTACGCTTGCTTCACTTTTGAGGTGTTCAATCGTGCTTTGGGTCGTCAAAAGAATAAGCCCTACCTATAGGAGGCAACTCTATATTCTTTTTTTTGGCAAATAATTAATTTAAGATATTTTTCTTTTCAACCGAATCAGAAAGGAATTATTGTTTTATATATTGTTGTTGACCGCAATTTTCTTTGAAAATTCCAACCAGATGAGATAAATTTAACTGTATACATAGAAACCATTTTCTAATAGAAGAATTCATTGAAAATGTAGGGAGGTTAAACCTTTTCTTAACTAGCGCTAGCTTACATCAGAAGGTTGGCTAGGCCTCAAAGATTGTCGCAGGGATCGCCTTTGATAGAAACCGCTTTCATTTTTCCGTTTCTTATTTTTCAATAGTATTTGCTGAAGTCTATAAATGGATAGTAAAATTTTTAGAAAACCACCTACCACAATGTGACTGGTGTTAAATGGTAGTCTCTTCACAAAATTTCGCCAGTGTTTTTCTGCTTCTCTTCTCTTGTACTGTATGGTAAAATTTGAAACGTATCCACCGCCAAAACCTTGAATGCCTATCCAAGTTACTTTTTGATTTCCCCCAAGTCAACCTCGAGAAAGGCCCCAGAACCATTTCGCGATGCGACGCACCATGCCGAATTTCCTCCAAAACGTGCTTGTTTTGGCTTATAAGAACCATCAAACGTAGAAGCAGATATCTGTTCGTCTTTATGTCACGCGAGGCCATACCCAAATTGTGATCACATTCTAAAGACATTTTGAACTATAGATTACCTAAAGTAACAAACGTAATTTTAAATTTGAGTTTACGGAGTAAATTTGAGGCCGATAAAGAATATTAAATAGCTTAAGCAAGTGACGAGCTCAAGTTTCGGTCAACCTGTACGTTGACCGGAAGAAAGTTTTTGTTTTTCACCAATCATAATCCTTGACCCTGTCTTTTAACGTTACTCGTGCCAACCAAGCTCACTAATATCTCGTAAGTCCCTCACACATTAGTACATTTTGTAATAAAATGACTAAATTAGTGTCTCTCTGGCTATACTAAAACTTGCTAGTAAAACATTAATTGGCACATTTCGCAAGTCTAATTTTAACAAAAAGGGGACAAAAACTGCGTAAAATACAATTGCTATAACTGTGTTGAATACAATTTTATACGATACGAAGCTCTCAATATTCTATACTTCGCTGCGTCAATTGACCTTTTGCATTATAGACTACTTTTTAACCTATGCAAATGAATGCAATCAAATCACCACAGATGAAAAGAGCGTACTAAAATTAGTAGAAGTGCAAAGTTTGGTTGCATTTGGTTGCCAAAGATTTGGTCATATTCGGGCAAAAATGGTAACAATTTCCGTTTGTAGTAAAAATGTATGCAAATTTGTAAACGTTGGAAGGCTATATTTTCCGAATTTTACAACTCGCAATCAGACTTTGCATTTCTACTAATTTCACTACGCTCTCTTGCATAGACAGAAAAGTAGTCAATGATGCAAAAGGTCTATATTTCATCGTTTGCAGACAATGCGTGTTGCATTGTATTTTTTTAAGTCAACAAACATTGAATTGTGGCTGTGAGAGATCAACATGCATGTTCTCCAGCTGGAACAAATTTGTCTGCTGCTCGTTGCGATAGCATTTAGCAAACTTTCAATAACATTTATTTTTCACTAATTATAATGGCTAAAAATGAATAGATCAGCTATTCACTTGCAATTGGCTGCAATTTTGGATGTTTTTGTAACGCATTATCGTAACCCGCGCACTACGCAGAAAATTCCAAATTGCTTTAACTTTTTCACCCCGTCTAAAGTCGTAACACGCAAAATGATATATCAGCACGTGCTTGACGTAAGACAACCAGCCCTCCCCCACTCGAGGACGCATGCGTTATACCTCCTGAAAGGTGTTGAGTGAGAGAATGTAGCTTGACTATCTATACACAAGCAGATTGAAGTAATAAAGCGAATATCTCGCTGATTATACCAGATCGTAATGTTAGACACCAGCGCCACGCTTCCGCACTACTCGTTAATTGCCGTCGGAATTGCGTATCGACTTTCATGTGGGTTTTTTGTCATACAAAAAAACACATGTTGACAGTATTAATGGAAAAGCAACATGTTCCGCAGGAGCGATTCTTAATTTGTTTGCCAAGATGTTTTTGGGGTCAAATTCTACAGTCATCATCTGTCATTTGTCATTTGTTTTTACTTTCACGATTTTCGTTCATTATATGGGACGTGCTGGTTGCTTTAATGCTTATTTTGCAAGAACATTTGGAGATCAAATCTGATTACGCTGTTTTTACTTATGTAGTTAGGCATAGCATTTTTTTCTTGAGAATAATGAAGTTTCCATTCACGTAGAAAAATGTTTTAAAAACCTAATTCGACATACGCAACATGCAATTGCAAGGTTTTGAAAAGCCATAAAATAACACCCATTAAACTGCTTTTTGAAAAGCCGGTACCTGAGCGGCACAAGATCTTGCAGGAAAGATGCGCCGCATGAAAACGACATGATAATACCGGTGCTTTACTTGAGGGGAGGTTTGTTCGTTTAAATTGTCATTTAGCGTGCTTGAGTATTTTCGGAAGTGGAATTGTAACCGACACACCGTGTAACTGCGGTAAGCTTTTTTTATCTTTTTCTATACTTTTTGATTGATTACAAGCCGACTAAAGGTCAAATTTGCTTGTGTTTTAGATACATTAGCATGCAGTTAGCTACATGTTATAACTATTTATCTAAGAATGCATTGGAATGTTCATCTTTTTCAATAAAGTCTTGAATATGCTGGGCTTAAGGGATTTTCCGTTCTCGCAAATTTTCTTTACAAGTAGAAATGTTAGGTCTCTAAATCAGCTTCGCGATTAAGTTTCTCGCAGTTCTTCAAGTTTCACACTAGTAATTTGGAATTGCGAGTAGAGAATTTCCTCTGCGCCTCGCGTGAGCCGCTCGCTAGCAATTAAACGCCGCTCAAAATCCATTTCGTGCAATAGCACGTGCGAAAATGGGTATTTACGACTCTCGAGATTTTACTCTCAAATTTCGAAAATTCACCAAGGCTCCGACGCTTCGGTTCTCGCAATACAACGCGGTTTACTGTCGCTAATTTAGAAATTGCCTAAATTTAAAAATTTGACCTAATTACTCCGGAAGCAATCCAGTATAGTGTAAACGGGCCAATATATACATATATATTAATGTAATCTGGTCGTCAACGTTAAAATTTAATCCCTGCGGTTCACCGCAAAATAACGACGACAAACCAACGTACGAAAATCCTAAAAAACTAAACGATAACACTATATATATGTTTCTTTTTATCACCTGGATCATATATAATATCAAGCTGAAAGGAGTGCGATAGATCTTTCCCATTCAGGAATGGGGATATTTTGCAACGTATGATGTACACATACCTTCGGTTTGAGATGCTGAGATCACATTTGCCCAAAGAACGACCAACCGTAACAGAATGGATGCTTGAAATTTGCCCATCGCTTCGCTAAACCAAATAGAGGTGCGATTAGGCTAGTTAGCGCATACATGCAGCACGAGTTAATAAAGAACTTGTTTTCGTTTTTAGCTAAAAATTCAATTCGACTAACATTTCTATATAAAAGCCTGCAAACTAAGTTGGTATACTTGGTTAAAACCCCAAATTATATATAACGAAGTATTTTGATACAAAGAGATTATTATAGCTATGAATGTGTTCGCTGCCTGCGGCGGGAAGTCGGTGCGAATAAAATAGGCATTGACAAGCGTGCCATAAAAAGCCACTCATTGATTAACAAACTGGAAATACAGAAATATATTTTCAAATGGCTCAAAATTGCTTCAACGTCTGCATAATAACTCGATAAATTCATGACGCCTTACCATTTAAAATTATAGGCTGTTGACTTCATCATCATAACCGCTATTGCATGGATGTCCTCAATCTATATTACTCTTGTTATTTACCCTGGTCTCGTTAAAATCGCTGTTTTATATTAAATTGATATACCCCCAGCTTGGAATAAACCTAACATCATGCATCCTCAGCTCGACCGTCAACATTCAATTAGCGTATATTAAAATAATAAAGGAATATTTTTTGCTAAACTATGTAAACTTCTTAACGAGAATACCTGTTGCAGCCTTCCGAAAATTGTGGATTACTTTCAAATTGAGTGAGCTCATTTGTGACGACAGAAGTCATCACGTCCGAGGAAATGTGTCGTATAATTCCTGTTGTGATTGAACTGGCGCCAAAAATATTTTGGTGAAGCAATTTGAATTTACATCGCAATTATGCCAGCACTATTTCGTTTTTCATTCCATCTCTCTATATCTTTGGCATTTTACGGTATTAAATCTTGGGCCCCTACGGCTTCAGCGTTGCTGAAAAACAGCAACGATTTTGTCCACCAATTTTTTTTTTCAAAACAATGTAAACGTCTTAACTAGAATACTTGTCGCAACCTTCGACATATAAGCTGCATGCATGTAGATAACTCATGAATTAAGTAAACTCGTTTATTACGATAGAGATAGTCGTATGTTATTACTTAGCTAAATTTTGTCTTTACATCCGCTAGGTGAGTATGCATGGTTCCTGTCTAGTAATACTGAATAAATGGATGTGACTCATGCAAAATGTGATTTTCACTGATTTGAGTCACCATGCAACACGTACTATACGACTTGTTTTCTTATCTGAAAGTCCGGAATTATAGACGCTTCTCTAATAGTACACCTATTTTGAGGCTAGTTTAGTTGAACACCCAAAGTCATTTTACATATCTTGACTTCGCGTCTGCAACCATATAATACCCGTAAAAACTCGGGACGAAATTATTGTTAATTGCCTAAGTTCTTTGTTTGAGTTCATTTGCATGAGCTTCGGCTCATAGTTCCAGTCCCCGCACAAAGCTCATCGCTGCGAGTAATTGCATCTAATTATAATTTACCGCGTAGTATTGTGGTTGGATTAATGAACCCGCGGCATGAAGCTTTGTGTAAGGTTTCAAATTCGGCCCCAAACTGTTGTTTCCTTGCCAATAGGATAAAAATAAATGCTAGGACTTCACCTGTGGCTAAATCTTTAAACTCTTATGACTTGATATCAGAAGAGAAAGAGAAAGGGATAATTTCAGACGGTTGTATTGGTATTGAAAAGCAGAACGTACACATGCGCGCTTTAATGATATTAATCAATGCTCTATTTTTTCGGGAAATGCTTAACTACGGCAAAGAGCGATTAGATCTTAGATTTATCTTTATCCTCGAACTAATCCAATTGCGGCGTAGAAAAGTCGCGTGTAGACAATCACGCAAATGAGACTTTCAGTGCAGTCAGCAGTGACATCGGGTTGCTTCGAGAATCGGGGACAGAACAACTGTACAAACTTACAAGCGGCAGAATGATATAACTATAACAAGAAAAATCGACAAATGTTGACTTCTTATTGAAACGCGCACACCAAGGTCAAAGCCAAGCATGTGGAGAATGCGCTATTAGTTATTTGGGTACTTTCCAAAAGCTACACTCTTAAATACCTGAGAACAATACTCTGCACCATGTGATTTAATCGATCATCCTTGATCTTCCTTTACTTTTTAATTAAAGCAAAAAGCACATTGCGGCCCAGCATGGCATGTATTCGAGAAGCTGGGCTTAATCGCGCATAATTTATATTGGCTATTTATGAAAGACTGCTTGCAGCATGCTGGAATAACAAAATGTTATCGCGGCGCGCGATATATAGATGACAGACCCTGCCGGTATAATATTGTGAAAACGTACGCCGTACGCAAAGCGCAAAGCGCAAAGCGCAAAATTAGCACATGTAACTAGTTTTCTTCAAAAAAGCGTGGGGATTAGATAGACTACACATGAAAATCAAAACTTCACAAAAACTCGTCATTTGCAGTCAATATTCTACCCACGCAGCGCACGCAGGTAACATATTAGGTTACACGCGGGTTTATACCGTCACCGACATAATCTTTCTTCTAGATTACCCACAAGCACAATTCACAATAGTAATCGCCGGCGACATAATTTGGGCGATTGATTTCAAAATGATCATTCCGACTGCGAGATTATATGTAAATGCGACATCTATTTCGGGTTGGTACATGCTGTGATTTCCTGATTGCCATTTTTTTCGTTGAAATGACGCACGTAGCCCAGCATGTGAATGTCATAGAAAATAGGCAATAGCCAGAGTTTGCGTCATCGAGCAGTTTTTACACTCAATTAATTCAAACCAAGGAACAGACTGCTGGGCGAAATGTTATCTTTCCCTGCATTTGGCATCCATCGATCAAATAATTCCTTATATATAAAGACGTCGAAAAGTCAAGACCTTTGGGTTTAAAGAACAAACAAATTCTAGCATTAGACGAAACAGAAATGCCGCAATATAGCGATTGAATCCATATTGTAGTTTGATAAAAACACGTTCTCTTTTTCAACTTTTACTGTTTTCGCTTGCTAAAGTTTTTAATATCGTCTACGCTGGATGTAATAGGAAGGAACCAGTAAGGAAACCATTTGTTATTTGTAAACAATATTCTTCCTACTGCGAGTACTGAGAGAGACCCCTGCATGAGGTTGGTGACTTATATTTCAGAATTTCAGTAAAACACAACTGGTGATAAAATGAATGATGAAATCGACAGTTATCTGAGTATACGTAAAATTTTAGCCGAGAGTGGACAAAATATGACTGGTTACAGTAAATATAGACCACAGTCTTGAGAAAATTACGTATACGGACAACAATTGGTGCAATAGCTAGCGACCAAATGTTATACTAATTTCCTTTTATAAATAAATGCATGTTTGCATTTTCTGATACGAAGGGTAAATCGATTTTTTACACTATGCCTGAATGAGCTGAATTAAAACTGAAAAAAAGTTTTTCTCGTATACCCACAAGACATATAGATCAGAGTAACAACATAGAACAGCCCTATATTATTATTACACAGCTTAATAAGCGGGTTTGATTAGACCGTACTGCTATCAGCGGTTCAGGTTTTTTTTTCAATCAGTCACAAACACAATAGTTCAACGAGATAACGAGATTTAGAGATATTGAATGGCAAATCCAAGCCGGTAGGTATTATGTAGTTTTAAATAGACAATATAATCCACAAGGCATTGCGCGCTTTTTGTTTACACTGTCCACTATTTTCTGGCTCATTGACAATCTTAGATACGCTATCCTACAAGAGGTATATTGGATAACATCATAACAGAAACATCAATGGCGACATGCATGAATGGTAAAATGTCACTCGTGGACACTCACGATTGGATCTTTTACTGCGCTTGCACCCCTTAAACGATGGCGCGTCTCTTACCTTAAACAATGACAGTTACAACCAAAAGTTAAAAGCTAAAGTTGGAGTTTTTTATTGGCCTAAAGCCCATGCACTCAAACTCACACTCTTTGAGTGTGACGGCATATGAATTTTGTTTTCAGTACTGATAAGTGAGAAAATATTTTCTTAATCAATGCAAAGATTGAATCAAGCTCTTATTCGAGTGAAATTTCCTCGATGGAAACGTTATGAGAAGATTGAGATTTCCCACCCAATATAGGCTTGAGTTTGAGTGAGCTTTTAGAACACAGGCGAAATTTGTAAAAAAAGTCTAAATCACTGTGGCATGAAAAAGCTGGAATAAAATTTAAGAGTAAGAAGAGATGCAGAATTTATCAATCATGTAAAATATATTAGGAGTCAGATATTGCCTATATGATTTTCTATATGATTAAACATGATTATTTTCATCTGAACGTTTTCAACAGATTTGGTTGTCTTCAGAAATTTATTTTGTAAACAGTTGTTTTAAATATATTGTCATAAGCACTTTCAAAGCCAGATAAGATTCTAATTGTTACAATTGGCATGGATAATTATGTGGGTAATAACCCCGCAAGGGGATCTGCATGTTTACATAGCTTCGCGTTAATGTGTTAACCAGACTATGGGACTTCGTCTTAGTTTTAATAAAAACAAACCATCGCCTTTGTGGCAAATGTTCCCAGACCTATTTCTTATAATATCCTTTAACTTAAAACGTCTAAAAAGGTTTAATTTGATTATTCTACGTACGCCTAGCCCCTAGATGACACAACTGTTTTTACGGTAATAGTTATAGGCTATAGGCAAATGTTTTTACGCATGCAGCAAATGTTCAAGACGTTTGTGAGTTTTAAAGCTTGTGTACAACGAAATACCCAGTTCAACAAAGTGCGTACATGAGTTTTAAACTTATGTTTTGTTTTAGTTTCGGCGGTCTTGATTGTCATCCGAATAATGAAATGTTATTATATCTTTTAATACATCCGTATTGTTCTGTAACCGTTTAATAATATAATAACTTATCTCTTGTAGCCTTGATATCAAATAGCACGTATGCACCGTTCTTACTTCTGTACAGTTATTAATTAAGCTGGCTATAATCGTTTCCTAGAATCCTCTCGCTAGTTGACGAATTATAGATGTTCTCCAAAAAGGCAAAGAAAGTTATCAAAGTTTCTATGAAGTTTAATATGCCATAACTGGTACAAAAGTGCAGTAACAAATTTATGCTCCCAGTGTAAGCTTTAATCAATAAGTTATCTGCATATTTTCTCAAAAGGTTCCATGGTCAGTTTGCAATATAGAGAATACCTTGACTTACCTTGATTCAATTAATTGTCTTTGCTTTAAACTGCTCTGACTTTCGTATTATTTTGAGTACTTTCAGTGACCATTCACAACAACGCTACGCATCTATTGCGCACTTTTAAATCTCGAACACACGTGGAAGCCTGCCAATACGCTTTATTGACTTAACATTTGTCTTGCCTAAACAAGTTCAAGTGCTTGTCCGTTGATGAGTCGAGTGGTCTTTTGTCCTTAATTACTTCTTACTTCCTAAACCTTAACCTCGTGCGAGGTTTAGGCCCGAAATACACACGAATGCGCGGAACTAGTTACGGAGAATCCACCGCGGCAAAACATGCGTTTTTATACAAACATAAAAGTGAACCCAACTGCAAGGTCAATGATCGGTCTGGCAGCGTTCTGGATTTGCGCCAGATCGATTGAATCGATCCACTTTTTATTAGCTTAGATGTGCGTATCTCATTCATTACTGCTGAGTTCTGATTTGCGCGCTCGTGTATAGGAATGCGGACATAATGCTGTTTAATGTCAAGTTAAACCAATTTCTTGACAAGCATGTGTATAGCAAATTTTTGTAAGTTCGGCGTTGTGAGAGGACGAAACTCTAAAGTAGCTAGTTATATGTATATCGGCGTTAGGTTGAGATAACAGAATGTAAAAAAACAGTCAAAGCTGCGCGTGTGTTTTGATTGCTCTCAAGACATGTTATACCAGTTAAAATGCGATTTACTATTTATAGCATGCACTACTGTTGTTCTGCACATCAAATATAGTTAATCTGAGAATACATCCTTGAACATGGCGAGTTTTTTTTCATGTATAACTGGCGCTTTCCATGGCAGCTTGACTGGCGTTATATATATATAGGTACAGTAAAGTGTGCTTTTCAGTGCACTATTTCTATATACTTACGCAGTTGACAGTTGTTAAGTCGGGGATAAACTATATGGTTGCTAGGTTGCTGAAAGATAAGAGCTACTAGCTATGCGTTTTTTCATCCACGAGTGGTATGTAAACAAAGCCGGGAACATCTTGCTCAAAGACAAATATTGATGTTCTTCTTATATATATGATATATAATTCCTGAACGTTTCCCGAATTTCCATGCCTTCATGGCTTAAGTGCTAAGAAGCTAGAATAGTTTTTTTATACTATCACAAAATTGTCAACTGAGAACATGTTGCCAGTAATACAATAATGGAACAATACTTCTGTGAATTGAAACTGTCGGAAGTACTAAATCACGAGATCATTCGTACTATAAAGCTATAAAAGGCGGGAAAAGGCGGGAAAAGTTGAAAGAAAAAATACATTAAAGGAATGAAAAGGCACAAAACAGCCATAAAATGGTCAAGTAATATACACAAAGGCATACAAAACGCACTCAGACTCCTTTTTTCTCCTTTTCCGTCACATTTCCAGCCATATTCTTTTGGTATATTAAGCATATTATCCGCGGCTTTATTAACCCAACACTAATGCATGTGTATATTAACGGAAAATCCAAACCGATCTATATAGTCACAAAATTGATAGCAAATGTTCAGTATATAACCAAGTGTGCACAGCTTGAATCGTAGAAAGTAGGAAAATAGTTTTAAAGCTAAAAAGCCATTGTTGATTGAAATTAATGTACTTCTATACTATTTAACTTGGCGAATGTTCAAGTGATCCTTTGGCTCTAATCCCCAACCGCTTTATTAGCTTTCAAGCGAGGAATTTAGTCAGAGAGTATATTTACAGACATCAAAATCACATGAATCGTGTAATAAAGTTATTTACAGTTTAGTAAATGATACAAAATCAGTTAAGCAATGAACACATTGTACATTTTACGCTTATTGTTTCCTCAGTGCGAATAATCCAATCAAATGTCAGTTGCCATGTACCTGGGCATCGTTCATGTTTTAGCCCAATACAGGTATCTGATTAGCTTTTTCTCCATTTTAAACTTATATTTATAAAAATTAATATGTACTGCTTTGAATTTCTTTAAGATTAATATTCTAAGAATAGAATATTATAGGACGAGAATTCTAGGAACGCTTTCATGAGTAGTAATTTCGTTACACTTGCATCGCACTCCTAGTATGTCCGTCCATTCTGGCGTCATCGTTGTCGCACGGTATTCTGGCATTTTCATAACTTAGTGAGAGCCTATGTAAGAAAAAAAATGCCAGAATTTAGAACGACATTCATCATGATATATACCCTGGGTCGGTACCAAAGACAATCACTGAACGCTCGAGAATACTGGCTAATATAAAAATCATTGGTTTGATGATTGACAATGCTCTGACAATTTGTATAGACTCTACTGGAAACCAATTTAATGGATTGCACTCGAAATTTAACTTAGCGAGCCAAAAACTCATTTGCCTCGGTGACAACACCAGGTATATTTAATAAACGCCCTCTAATGACATCAGACCTGTCTCCCCTACTTTATTATCCGCTAATTTACACATAAAAAAGTCCGATGTTGACTTATCCACTAACTCGATTGTCTTAGTGCCGTTTCAAATCTCCGGCTTCTTGCTCGAGCTTATATAACGCGGGGGGCGAGAGTTCACTAGCATGGAATGCCTGCGGTATGGCAGATCGACGTGCACCCCCTGGCCCGCAGCAATTGTGCGGACATTCGGGCGCGCAGTACACAGCGCACACTCCTGGGCATTTCACATGCTTGTTATGCGAGTCGTCACCTGATTCTGGCTTCACAGCGGATTTGGTGCAACACGCACGCGGGCAGCTAACCATACATCTCTTGTTGCAAAATCGTGGACACATTGGTTGCTGCATCGGCATCATTGGTTGCATCATTGGCTGCTGCATTCCCCCACAACCGGCTTGCATTTGTGGCATGCATGGTTGCTGCTGCATTGGGTTCATGACCATTCTTGGTGGTGGAGCGATAACACTGGCGGGATCTTCTTTGCTTATACTGAACGATCCGCATACAGTGGCTGTACCACAACCCCCACCAGCACCGCCCTGTGCGGGAGGTGGGCCGCCTGCGGCTGGACCTTTTCCTTTGTGTCCACCAGGCATTTGGCCGAAGCCTGGTTGGTGACCGAAACCTGGTCGTTGACCAAAACCTGGCTGCTGACCAAAACCTGGACGTTGACCAAAACCTGGCTGCTGACCAAAACCTGGATGTTGACCAAAACCTGGCTGCTGACCATAACCTGGATGTTGACCAAAACCTGGCTGCTGGCCAAAACCTGGGCGCTGACCATACTGACCAAAGCCTGGCTGTTGTCCAAATCCTTGTTGCATACCATAGGGAGATGCTTGGCCATACGGTTGTGACTGGAATGGTTGTCCCGTAGGACCAGTTGCTCCCCCTGTGGGGCCTCCTCCAGCGGCTTGTGTGGCACCTCCAGGTGCGGGTGTTGTTCCATCATTTTGGTTGGGAGCTAATTGGTTGTTTGTGGGTGGAGGACTTTCGTCTTTGCGAAGTTCTATATTACATCATGAAACCAAGACAAACAGGTGAGAATCAGCCGATATCAGAAACCCTACTTACTTCGTGCGGTAAAATCTGCGCTGTGAATAGGTTTGTTTGTACTCGATACGGTGGAAAATTTTAAAAGTTATGGATTTCTGGAACTTATTCTGTGCATTTTCTGACCTATTCTGATCTAATTATATAAAATGCGTTTAAGTGATGGTGTGCTTTATTTATTAAGAAAAACACTACGCAATTGTGATGTTCGCTAGGATGTGATCCTGATTTGTGTGATTTGTGAGATTTGTGTGTGGTCTTCCGATGAAAATATTGTTCACGCAAATAAATATACGTTCAAAAGGATTTCAGTTGATTCATTTCTAGTTTCATATTTCTTGAACTCACTTGAATACATTTTTCCTTTCCATCTTCTTTTTACTGCTACAGCACTACTATCCCTTGAGTTTATAAAATTCACTATTGTTTTTTGCGTATTGGTCAACTCTAGGCAAGAAAGGAATCTGTATTAGAATTTAGAAAGCAAATTCACGCACGTGACAAATTTATTCATGCTTGGTATATTATCAATTGAAATAAGGGGAATAAGTATACCTGTCTCACTGAGAGCAAATGCAAACAGGAGAGGAAGAAGAATTATTGCCGGCGTTGTCTTCATCCTGAAAAGCAATGAAAATTGATTCACACTAATGTTAATTGTGATGCTGCTGCTCTGAGTAAAGAAACACTCGGTGTCCAAATGCACTATAATAATTATTAACAGATGAACTTGAACCTTGAACTTAAAACAAAGATAGACAGAACCGTATGTAAAACCTGGCTTACACAAAGACAAAACCTGGCTTACACATAGACAGAACCGTATGTAAACCTGGCTTACACAAATCATTTGTAGAAAGAAAAGAAAAGGATGCGTGCTATGCTTGTTCTTTTATTACATTGTGCGAGCAAGGTCTGCAGGATTCGTGAACATAATTTCGATGGTTAAGAAGAAGCATTTTTTACAATAAATTATCATTGTTCATTTTGAACTGTGACATTTCCTTCTAAAACACATCGCGTAAGCGAACAAAATGTTTTGGGTGCATTGATGCTGATTCAAACTTTGTTTCGAAGTTTTTTTCTATAATTTTTACCAGAGATATTGATTATAACCAGCATTTATGGCAATTATTCCAACAAAGTGCGCAGATTCCTGACTTACTAAATTTCTGCATTTGTGCATGGGAATGGCCTGTCGATCTTACTTCTAAACAAGCAGGTACTACCTAGAGCGCTGAATTCCGTAATATTTTATGTTCACTATGTTAACATATACGGTAACCATATATTATCGATAATGAAATATAACATTGTATGCTTCACATCCAATTATCTTTTTTCTGTAAATTACAATCTGTATCACTCTTTGTATATACTGTGTTTTCAATCCCGTGTCCCACAAGTAATCTTAGGACTATCACACCTTGAATATTAGTACAACTAGATTATTATCAAGCAAGCGAAGCGATTACGAATAAACTTACCAATATCACCTTACCAATCGTTTAACGCTAATAAAATATATCATTTCGCTTACCTGTGAGAGTGCCGCGTTCCGTCGAAAAGAAGCTAATACTCGATCGAATCGTGTTCGTCCTTCCGTGTCGATAATGCAGGTTGTTGTTTAAAAACAAAAGTCACGTCATCCTCTCTTGAAGGAAAGAGTTTCGGATGAGCTCGCTTCTGACGCAATTCGTTCACTTGCTTATTTTTCAAAATAACACTGGTGATTACTTTTGTACATAAGGATATATACACTATCTTCTAGTTCAGTTCTTTTCTAGATTCAAAATTCAAATATATAGTATCGTGTGCGCTACGTGCTTCTTTGTGTTAACTCGGGACACGAAGGGGAACCGAGGGTTAATCAGCGTTTAAATAATAAAGTTTACTGTCGTTGCAGTCGCCTTATGATGTGAGAGAAGGGCGATCCCTCTTCAGCAATATAAAATTATCTTTTTTGCCAGTAGCTAAATCACTTGTACTGTGAGTTGTAGTGTTAAAGTTGTTATTGCATGTAGATTATACCAGCCGCCTGGTTTAGACACCAGGCCCGCAGAGAACGTATTTCACAACAGTTGGATTATTGAACTGCAATCTCTAATCACACACGCAGTGTAAAACTACAAAATAAAGGTTAGAAGTCTTAGGTTGAAAGTCCAATATAGGATTTCCTAAGTTCCTAGCCCATTATATACCATCATTATTACATTCATTTATTTTTCTGCAAATATTTTTGAGGCAAATATTATTTATCTACGCGCTCTGAAAGGAACATGATGACTTTTGATCCTATTTAATCAAGACCCGAAGAATAATCTTAACGATCGTCGTTCAGGCTCTGGCACAGCATGCACCCCTTGCATTTCACTAGCGCCGAACGCTTTATTAAAAGAAGACATCAGTCCATTATCTGATGACATGCACCATCATCTGATGACATCAGATAATGGTGCATTTCAGTAAATTATCCACAGTTTCAGAAGGCTGTCTTGATTTCTATGGCGATGACTTACATAGCTGCGCTTAAGCGCGCGAAAATTTTATTTCTACAAGGTGACGAACTTTTCAGCCTGCAAAAATAGCCCTGTCTGCTTAACTCGTAGGTGCCTGAACTTAATGTGCCGAATAATTACTTAAAAACAAAATGCTATGATTTGGTATGACTGTGCGCGTTAATATGAGTGTGCGAAGTTAGTACCGAGTATGACTGTGCGCGATACCGAAGTCATGACTATTATCAAATAGGCAATAGGCACAATAAGAAATCTCCCAAAGATTTAACAAATTTCAACAAAGAGATTTACTTGCAAACGCTGTGCAAAACAGGCTTTTTGACTGGACGGATGTAAAGACCCACCAGTCAAAACTTTTGATAAAGCTAGTGCCAGCGCATAAAAAATCAACACAAACAGCTTTTTATACAATCGTTTTTGGATAACTCGAAGCTCACAAAAAGTAGATACTACATAATGTTACCTTGTAAGTGCCTTACTCATTTTGGGTTGACTTTCCACCACATTTTTACAACATATATATGATTGCCTTCTAGTCCTACTCTACAATTTTATACCTATGAGGCTAACATAAACCACAAATTTCCTTGTGAGAGTAGGTAACCCGCAAGGTATTTCTTTCGGTAGAAGATTCATGTATGGTTTTGAATATTTCTGTTAATCTTTTTTCATTCATTTTTTCTTCCCAGGCACACAACAACGAGCGTGACAAGCTGCCGAACAATTACTCAAACAAGACATGGGACATCCAGCATTAGCTTGACCAGGAGGTACGATTTGACCTCTTTGCGCACAGCATGACGGACTGCACGACGGCGCGCAAGACTGGGCCGAGCATTGCGCACCACACTGCTGGCCACCAACTTGCATTTGAGGTTGATAGTTCGCTTGACCGCCACCAAGTTGAGTATTTGGCGGGTAAGCGTTAACCAAGCCTTGTTGGTAGGAACCACGAGCTTGGACGGGAGTGAATTATATCCGCCCAAACTTGGAGGGAAACGACAGCATGGGTCTCTGCATGCCGGAGCACAAAGGTTGCTACATTGACCGGAACATTGACCGGTTGCTTGATATGGGGATGGTTGTTGTTGGGGGTATCCTCCATAGCCCTGCTGGGGGTAGCCTGAAATATGAAGTTAACGAATGTGACAGTGTTTTTGATCATGAATGAGATAAAACTTGATGAAGAGATCTAACTTAGAAAAATTTGGTCTAATGTTAGTTTGATCCCTTATTTTCACTTTTGCGGTGCATGCGGTCAGCTTACGTTTTATGAGATCAGCTGAAGGTTTTAAAAAAAATTCCAGAATATATAAAATGCTCGCTTACATCTCCTTTCGCCAGGATTGTGTGGTACAAATGCAAAAAGTGAATTATTAAGTAATTATATGTTTCGCAACACTGATAGCAAGCAAAACATTTTCTTCAATAAGTTAATTTAATATCCTACCGTATTCAAACACATTTTTTTCCAAGTCAGAAATATAATGAAAATTATTTATAGCCATGCCTTCTGAATTAAACATAATGGGCATATTCTCACCTCGGTATGGTTGTGGTGTTCCTTGCCTGTTCCTGCTGTGCAACCCTGAAATTTATATAATGGAATTAAGTTATACTGCAGTTTACGCCAAATTTGAGAAAATCGCTTGGAACTGGATGTTCAAAACCTGGTAAACTCGATCCAGAGTAACGAAAATCGGCAAATAAAAATTTCCAAATGCTGCAGTTTTACCATGCGTAGTAACGAAAAATTATACGATACATGTGGATTTTTTCTTAAATACCTAGATTATGAAAAATCTTGATCTGTTAATTATGGTAGTGTAGGCAATAAAATTGGTAACAGCGATACTGATTGAATGACATTGAACAAGCTTTTAACTGTTTGTGTTGCTCTGATAACCTAGCTTAGCAAAAGTTGTACTGAACAGCCAGTAAGCAAGCACGCCATGGCGTATAGTTATCTCGTGATGCATGCTTTCTTGCCAAAAAACAATACTGCATGCGTTTCCTGCAAAGCAATATTCTGTTTCTCCTGAATCTCTTTCTCATTCTTCTATACTTAACAAAGTATACTTATGCAGATTGTAGTGATAACCTTTAAGATAATATATTTCTACTTCGTCATCTCTATAGGGAGCAGCACATTTTAAACTGTGTAGGATAATATCAGTAAGTAGCAAGTACTCACTTTTTCGCTGATCATATTGAAGTAGATTTTGGATGGCTCTGCCAGCTTTGTCTAGATTTTCTGAAAAGTGCATGATAGCGATTATCACATGCTGATTTGTGACTTAATATTTGATATATGTAAGCTCGTAGGTTTTTTTCTAATAAATTTCCGGTGTCTAAATATGGATTTCGACAAAAGTAGATGTTTGATGACTGATGATTCTATCAGATTAGCAAAGTTAATGTAAAAATATTCATCATATGCGACTATCATGCGAGCGTTCTAGGTTAACCCTTTCGGGTCGATTTGTGTTTTCCACCATGCCATGTAGTTCGGTTAAAAGATATTGCTATCACATGTATTCTTACCTACACTTGTTTGTAACAATTTCTTCAACTGTCCAACATTGACTGCTTTAAGATCTGAAATGTTTTTCAAACTGTTTTTAAGTTTCCAAACTATTAATCATTAGCTATTATCCCTATCATCATCCAGGGATGATATCCCTCACATTCGCTCAACCGTTCATTTTTGAGGAAAGCATATTATTCATACTGGCGATAGCATTGATAACACATATAATTGAAACTGATACCTTTATCTTTGAGTTTTTTGCAGTTTCTTTTATTTCTTCAGCTGTATTCTTTACTTTTTTCCTGGTGTCTTTACCTTAAGACAAAATACATTTTCTGTGACGTCCTAGTTACGCCACTGAACTGCACATTCATCCAACTATTTTTTGAATTATATAATTTGCTTAATAGTAAAGCAAGGATAAATTTCAATGTTGTCTGCAGTTTAAGAAAACAATTATGACTACTGCACGCCTTTAAAGTAGTTTCTATTGATATTGTAAGTTTTATTCTCCTGATCTTGCCTTAATATATTGGGTTTTGTTCTCCTGGTGAAAGACGAAATTTTGATGATCCACATTAAAGGCTAATTAGGCTATCGCATTACCGTACCTGAATCTTTGCTGGTTTCACTTTCCTTATCAGTATCAACGTCTGCCCCATCGTCACCGTCTTTACCTTCATCTTCATCCTCAGCTTCATCTTCTTTCTCGCTTTCTTTTCTATCATTACTTTCATCCTTGTTTCCTTCATCTTCATCTTTGATATCTTCCTGTTCCTTCTTCTTGTTTTCTGTTTCCTTTGAGTCTCCCGCCACGAGCTTCCCTTTATCATCTTGCTTTGGCTTCAGCTCACTTTTATCTTGTTTTTTATTCGACAATTCAACGTTAATACTGTCTACATTATTATCTTCCGGCATCTCATCATCATCTTCGTTATTTTCTGTGGTTTTATCTAATGTTATAAAAAGTTGGCTGTGCTTCATGGTTTAAGAAATATATTTTTATATCTTGTGACGAATTTTCACCATGCTTATTTGTTTTAATGTTCAGTTTTCAGACAAAAGTTTACCATTATTATTCGGCAGTTAAAAATGAAATATATGAAATACGGTTTTTCATAATTTCATGGCTTACATGTATATCTATTACTTTTAGTTTTCTATATTGCTATACCTCACTATAATTATAAAATGTAAAATTATACTTTACACTTATCCAAACTTATAATGAATGCATGATTTATATCCACAGCTCAAGTCACCTGTTTTCTTTTCTTCTTTTGCTTTTGGCTTGGCGGATACGTCTAATAAGGCTAACCCAATTGCACCAGCAGCTTTATCGTGCTGTTTTTGTTCCGAGGTTGCAGGAGCTGGAGGAGGAAGATCATCTGTTTTCTTGCTCTCTAAACAAAGTGTTTTAAATATCGATTCCTCATCTCGGATTGGAATTACCAGCAAAGAATAAGAAGTCATGCTTACCAGATAACTTTTCCTTCTTATACTGGTTGAATTTTTCCTTTAAAGCTTCGGAAAGAAGACAAAAGTGTATTAATTTTTCCTTCCGACAAAAAAATATTACACAATTATGATCTTGAGTCTTCTAACAAGATTCGTTATAGTCACCTTTAATTAAGGTGTCCTTATCTCTTTTTAACGACGATTCAGCGAATACGATCGTGATAACCCCCAGGAAGAATATTACAACCAATTTGTTCATTGTTTTGCTGAGCAAAAAAACAACATAAAATTATAATGTACATTTTCGTTTGTATAAAAATATTTTAAACTGAAAGAATTGACAGTATCAACAACCCATATCTGCCAACTTTTGTAAACAGGTAATTGCTTCATCCCCTAAATTGAGAGGCCCCAGCCTCTATGCCAGAAACTCACATGTTATTTTATCGACTAAAAGGCGATTACTGTTATTTTTGTAAATAGGAAGAATTGTCTGCGTGTCTCACACATTGGTTCGCTGTGTGAGAAAATCTAGAAACGTTAGGCACTTTCAAATTTGCGGGGCCTGTCGACCTTATCTTAAGGTGGCGCTTGGACGTTAATTTCAAATTCTAAATGAAACTGTTTAGCAGCGAAAGCATTGAATGGAAAACTTTTGCACTGAAATTTTATAATTATGGCCTTCATGTATGTGATTGTAAAATTGAAAGACATGCACGAGATTTTTCACTAAGGGTGCCGTATATCCACCATTTTAACACGGTTTTTAAAAAGAAATATTATTTAGCGCAACAAATCTTGAGGTGTATACGGGGGTAATGCGTATAAGTATGAAGCAATGTACAGTGAATGGTTATCATCTCCCATTCTTCTGCATGGCTCTTGTATGTAATAAGTGTTAGTTGTGCTTGGCTCTCCTCTTTAGTACACCAGACATATAGACCAGACATGTATGTCTAATATTTTACGAGTTTTGATGCTACTAATCAGCGGAGGCCTGTAATACTTTCGTACATGTATTACGAGACCTGTTTCAAACGTCTTGTTTTCTTGTGTGATGAAAGCAACAGCAATAGGAGGTATTTCGACTGATTACCCTGCGTTTTCAATGCGCCTGGCACATTTGAACAACGACGTATGAAACTAGCCTATGGTTATAGGCAGTATTTCAAGAGTTATTTCACAATGTGTATGCGTGTTTCATCATTCATTGCGACTAAAATTGGTAAATTAACCTTGTAAAAAAGATCTATTTGTAAATGCGAAATTTCATGTCCCTAAAGAAACTATATCTTCATAATCGCCAGTACATGCACTAAACATTTTCACACTCAATATCAACATCGTCGCCCGTCGGACGGCCTAAACTAGGATAACGCAATGGTTATAAATTATTGTCTACTATATTTATTGTGCTCTCTGGTGGTAACTGCCATAGAAATATCTTTTACAACTCAAAAAGCTTGTTTGATATAGCAGGCTTTTGGGGTGCCTGTTTTGTCGTTGCAGTAATGACTTATATAAGGTTTCTAAACTTCAACCGAAAACAGCCACAGGTCTGCAATACATGTTAAACAATCGACGTCTATACAAACCACCATGTGTAATGTGTCAAATACATTGAAGTGATTATTTATTATAATCTCATATTTCAAAATCACTCTCGAGAAATAAACCCTGAAGTATATAGATATAAACAACGGATTCGGACACCAACCTTGCAGCTTTCTGTGTTTTCGTGAAGAATATCAAAAATATTTGCTGATCAATATTATAGAAAGCCCCGTTAGCAAGTACTTATAACGGAACAAAGAACATATTGAAACGGTCAAAATGTTACCAGCCAATACAAACCGGTGCTCGGGAGTTTATCAATATTTTCCTTATAAATGAATAATGATTTACATATATTACTTTTCTTCATTTTAAACGCAAATGTTTTCTTTGGATGAAATGTTATGATATTTTAAGTAAATATACTCAATGCAGAATTGTCTTTCTTGAAGACATATTACGGAGAAAATTTGTTTGAGACATTTTATGTAGTTCAGGAAATTGCAGGAAAATCATCATTTAAAGTTATTACACTTCTCAAACAACCAAAAAACCGGCTGAAAAAAAAGTTTCCACCAGTGTATTAGGATCAGTCATGAGTTTCGACAGGAAGCCAAAGAGGTAATCCAAAGTAGAAGTAGTCAGCCATTTTTGGTGGCAATAGTCTTCTCTTCAACTGAGTTGTATACAAATCCTTGGAAATAAGGAGTTTTTTGAAATAGGACGTAAATGTAAGCCGTATACTACAATCTCGCTTGCATTATATGTTTGTTTGCTTTAATTAACTAACGTTTTTCAATTTGCCACCCAAAATTTCGGAAGGCAAGCGAACTAGAACAACAATACACGCATTCTGCCACTTTACCCTACATGTGACGGCCACGGAGGAGCAAATATTGCAAGGAGAGTTTTATGCACCCAAACGCATTCTTCTTCTTTGAATCGTGCATATATGCAAACGCATGGCGTTTTTATGAGCATTCGGCTGAACAAAGAAAAAGCTTCAAAAGTTTTTATATATATTTGTTCTACTTTATCGTAAAACTCGCTTAGAAACAATCCGTCTCTTTTGAAGCGATGGGGATACGAATCAAACCTTCCATTCTTTCCGTTCATATAGGATTTCTTTTTCAAAACGTGTTATCATTGGCATTGGAAGACTGATAACAGCTGTATCAGTTGGTACGAAAGAATCGCGCTAAAACGCGGACGGGTTCTCTACACATAAACCTTCAATTTACCGGAGAACCTTTGAAAAGGAGTTGACATATCACCTGAATTTTGTGTCATGTCTTTTTAAGAACTACAGTTTACATCTTAAGTTTACAGGATGTTTTATATTTTCGGAGTATGTTTTTATTTATTATATCGTTTACACAGCTTGGTGTGTTATATGCATGAGCCTTGTCATAAGTTCATATGATTATTTTTTCTTAGAAAACCGATCAATATTAATAGTGAACGGAGTTAGAATTTCGGATAAAAAGTTATTTAAGTATAACTTTCAAACTTGCAATAGGCGATAATCCTACATGATTCGACGCAACCCACAAATTAAACAACAATCTATTCAGTAGCGAGGTTGAATCTTCCCAAAAGTAAGTTCCTTTTTATGGTAAAGAGAGTTTTATAGTCTTAATCGAGCTTCAACTGAGCATGCCCCGAACGTTGTTATTGGAATTGCAGCAATTCAACTTCAATCAATACTGTGCTATAATTGTTAGGGTACAGATTGAAACCTAAACACGTTTGATTTATCTACAATTTTTAACATAGTTTAATATCTGAGTCACACTCCTCAAATTATGTTACTTATTGTCTCTCGGCGTCGCATGACATGCAGCCAACTAATCCAAATCACAGCAATCAGACCGTACGCACTCAGGGCTGCAGTGTGTCAGACAAGATGACGGGCAATGTTTTGGCGCGAAAAGAGCGGTTGAATCTCCTTGGTTTTGATTGACAGCGTTGGCGTTCACTGATTGGCTGTCCGCACTTGCGGAATTTGTATTCTTGGCTGTTAGTTGTTCCTCCGCACTGTACATAGCTTGAGCTTGTTCTTGCGGATTCATCTGAGGCTGTTCGATATACGGCGAAATAAATGGCTGCGGAAATGAAATCATAACCGGAGCAGGATCGGGAGTTTCTGGCTCGGGTTGTTTATATGTATATCTTGAAACCTCAGGTGCACCAAGGGACTTCGTGCAGCATGCTGGGGGACATCCAGGGATACATTCGTAAACGCAGTTCGCTGTACAACCTGAGGGGACCGAGTGTACCAGCGGTTTACTGCGAGACAAGGTCATTTTCTTTGAGCTACAACAACCGTCATGGCAGGCCGGAGCACAAGACTAAAATTAAAACATAAGTTCAAGCACCTCCTATAACGCTAAATGCAATAAGTTATTATATTACTATTATTGCCTTGATATGCGTAAAACACAAAACCTTTGCAATGATTAAAGAACGAGTACATATAAACCTTTCAATTATGGAATAAATTTATAAAAGATTTAATAACAACATTTACCAAATGAAAAAATATTTAGCACCGACATTCCAAGTACAGTTGCTTTACTCTACTCTAATGCACAAAATCAAAGAATAGATTTAAGCTAAATACTTACATCTGGACACAATCCAGGGCAAGTTTTCCTTGTCGCGACCTTTGCAACAGCTTTCGTTTTTTGGTCACTACTTTTCATGATCATTCTGTGTCCCTTTGCATCCTTCGCACAACATTCACCCGGACACGCCGGCAGACATGTTTTGCGACATAATGGATGGCATTTCTCCTTCAATCGGTCCTTACGGCTGCAGCAACTTAGAGGGCAAGAAGAAAGACAATTCGTCTTGCATAGTGGATGGCAGTGAGATTTGCGCACTTGAGTTTTGGGTGCACAGCATGCCTTGGGACAGGAAGGAACGCAGTTCTTCTTGCACAACGGATGACATCCGGGTTTGATGTGATGAACGTGCGGGTGCTTCCACGTCTTGGAGACGGTTTCCGTTTCTGCGCAGCAGGTGAGTGGACAGGAGGAGATGCAGTGCTTCTTGCAGTACGGATGGCAGTGACTGGATTTTCTGTGGTACAGTGGAAACGACTTATGGTGTTCACCAGCACAACATCCAGGTGCACAAGACGAAATGCAAGTCTTCTTACACATGGGATGACAAATGTGTTTCAAGTACTCTTCTAATAATGAAGAATGTGAAAAGTTCATTAAAGTACATTATCTAATTAACGAGATGGGATAACAGACACGATCTAATTTTGTCACCGGCATCATTACGGAGTTCTGTTGTTGTAAACATATAACATATTAATATATCTAATTAATTAAATTCATGTTTATTATTTTGAGAAAAGTTCAATAACTGCAGTTCATGTTTATGTAGTTGGCGTGGTTTGTTCTAACAGGTACGCCAGCAACAGCTGCTAAGGTTCATCATATACATGCAAAGCACTTAATTAGTCGGAAAATTTTTCTCGGAAAAATTTTGAAAAAGAAAAAAATATTAGTTAACCTGATTTAGATTTTGTTGCATGATGCACAGCGAACGAATCCGATGGTCCGTCCTTGTATACATGAACAGCCTTCGCCATCGAACCTGGCTTGTCTTTTGCAATGGTAGAGAGATCGAAATGTATCATTGGCCCTTTAGCTTTTGGATGTTTAGGCATAAAGTCAATCTTCTCGTTTTTGTCTTCTTTCATTCTCCAGTAGTTGTCAGGATGAATTTCTTCCTTGGGTTTGGTCTTTTCTGGTGCATCTTTCTGTTTCTCGACTTTCTTAGGTTTATCCTTTTGTGGTTTTAGTGTGATTTTATGAGGTGTTGGTCGCTTCTTATCCGGTATTTTTATCAGCTTCAGTACGCCTGGTTTGACTTTCTCGAGTTTCAAATGCGGTGCATTGTGCTTAACATAATCCAAGAGGCGTTCGACTTGCGCTGAAGTGATCGAGGCTTTCCGTGTACCACTTTCGATGTCTTTGATTGATGTCGTGAACCTCTCACCATTAGCACCAATGATGGTCCACGTGTCGCTATTTGCAGATTGCCCATGTGCTGGTGAAGCCGGTGGAAGGTCTGCGCCTTCATCTTAAATTGAATACACTCATTTGGTAAGGAGGATAATTTTTGCAGAACTGACGTGTTAGTGAAATATGCTCTTTTACGTGACGGCTCTATCAAACAGGCGACACGTTGCAAAACACGTCCCGAGAGTTAAGGTCTAGTGTAGGTTGGCGTATGGTGGTGTAATGTCGCGTTGTGTGTAGTGCAATTTGTGGTATATTCTATTGTAGTGTAGTGTGGTTTGGTGTCGTGTGGTGCGGCTTCGTGCTATATAAAGGGTGGAGTAGAGCAGTCTAGTGTGGTGTGGTGTGGTCTTGAGTGGTGTAGCCGAGGTAGAACAGGGTAGAATCATGAAGTGGTGGGATGGCGTATTGCGATGTTGCGAGGTTTGGTGTGGTTTCGTGTAGTATAGTGACCTTTCAAAATTCACATTGATTCTTACCGTCACACAGTTCACATGTTCGTGCACAATGCTTCTTCATTGCTGCTCTCGACGTGTCACACACGCCGGAGGCAGCTAAGGCAGCACAGTTTTCAATCTCGTCTTGACAGGCACGTGAACCTACAAAGCAACCCAGATCGTCCTAAGGGAAATTCTAGTGCAGAAATCATTCCAAACTTCGAGTAAATGTCACACACACTGACAGGGTGTCATGATAAACATAATAGTATACCTTCAACGAACTCGGTAGTTGGTTCCAACTCATCATTTTGTGACAGCCTGCTGTGCATGACTTGTCTGCTTGCTTCATGCAAATGTTTGGCTTTAAGAAAGATCAGTTCACAGTACGTTAAACACGTTAGCCTTCATGCGTGCCTATCTCGTATGTGAAAATATATATATTACCCGAACGTTTTTGATCAATTCGGTGACATTTCTGACGACAAGATTGAATTAAAAAAATTGTAGAGAACTATAAACCTAGGAGGGCATGTATTTGGAAATTTACTGAATATTTTGCAAGGTAACTATGACGATCTGTCATTAGAGATTAAAATACCATCATTTTCAAACTTTTATGTTTTGTTTGGAGCACTTGCCGACTTGCATTTGATGCAGTCGATGCCACAAATTTTTAGCAAAAGAAATCACGAAGCTACACTAATTTTTTATCCAAAGCGTTGTCAAATTACGTTCAGCTAAGTCAGTAATTAACTGCTTGCCTATATTTTTCTCCAACAACGCTTTAACTTCCATCTTTGCTTTGGCTACTTCGTTTGCTATAAAAAGAAAATTGTGATGTTTTTATTTAAATATATCATAATATAAAAAGGCGGAGAGAAATTTTGTTGAAAAAAGCGTGTACTTACATATGCTTTCGTCAATGAGACTGTTTATTGCGTTTTGAGCTTCTCTCCATTTGCTTGCTAAAAGAGAAAGAAATGAGGTGACGTTTTTGCTGAATATTAGGTTACATTTGACGAATAGATTCCAGTGGTGCTCAATTCGAAATAGAAACTCAGTGATCGACGTGTGTGAGTTCGTTATTGCATCGTTATTGTAGCTTTGTTCTTGGTTGCAAAAAATGTATGATTTTGTATGAACGCATGGCTCACGCTTGTTCTGCATTAGCGTCAAACCATTTCATTTGACTTCCACCTAAATCAGTCACTGAAAAAACCGCTTAGCGAAACCAACCAATGTACGTGTTGCATGATAATTGTGTGCAACATATACCTCGAAAGTCATGGCAAAGGGCGTTTGAGATCAGGAAATCATATAGTGTAAAAACAGTGAAATCAGAGGAGAAAGTTGGACTGTGTCCGTAAATCGTTAATACCCTTAGTAGGGATAGTACCCGACGGCAATTAATTCCGTTCGTCCCCCTCCTCCCAAGCCCATGTATGCCCTATTCAAGACATCAGTTAGGATTTTGGAAGAGATAGCGGGGAATCTCGATCCTTAGAAGAACTTTGAATTTGCCAATTTCAACAAAGCGAACTCGCGACTGGAAAGCAGCCTCTTTTTGTCACAACTTCATTTGTCGCACATTTTTTTACAATCTGGAGCGCAAGAAATGCGAAGAATCTCCGACTATTTTTAACGAAACCCACAGGTATGTTCATACACGATAATTTAGCCCAAAAATTGCCGCGTCTCAATAACCGTTGCTGTACCTGCTTGCATGTAAATTTCAGACTCAATACTTCTTTTATTAATCGATATATAACTACTTCATATTTTCCTATCAGGCAAGCGATGTTGTCAGATAATGCTTTGAAATATCGCAAATAAATTAACAGACGTTCCCAAGCTTACTGTTGCGGCGACTAAGCTAGACCACGCTAGATCTAGCAAGATTACATATATTCGCGTTTCCAAATGACTGTTAATGTAGTCCAGTTTAAATCAAAGATCATATAATGTACGCATTTGGCAGCAATCAAATCCTCATGAACTATGATGATTTGTGCTATAGCTTCGAGTAGTCGACTTATCAGCTATAGGACTATGTATTTATAGCTAAAGACGTTTCCTTCTGCTTCAAGAGTAACATTTGATCGCACTTATCAAATACATACCATGTATATCGAGGCGCTTTTGGCCATTCTTTGAAACTTCTTGCTTTGCTTTCGGGTCGACATTTGCGAGAGCTGAGCAGGTATATAGGACTAGTAGTAACAGAATCGAAAACAGATATCTTGGCCAGATCATCGTTATATCCTACAAGATAAGTTGACGCGACAATTTTCCAAATTTTAATGAAAATTCCAAGCCATTTGTTTATTTACAACAAGGAGCTTCTCTCGCCTATCATTTCATTTGATCGCCGCCCGCCATTATCCTTCGATGAAGTATAAATAATAAATTGATATTTGGTGGAAGTACACGTTGCCACCATACCGGCTGACAGCTTTGCGTTAACGAAAAAGCAAAAAACACCAAGCATTCAACAAACGTCTATGCTCTATCATATAAAGTAAAATGGGAGGATTTACCTGAGAATTAGGTTTGCGTTGTTTTACGGAGCCTCGGTTGCAATTTCTTGTCTTTCATCGAAGCTCTATTTACATTAAGCTAACAGAGCGTACATCGTTCAATTGAAGCGTTGTATACGATTCGGTAAAGCGTATAATAGGATAAATGAATTCAGCGTGGCATGGGTTCTGCTGTTTTCGCCAGTCAGCTATATGAGATAATCAAAAATATGCTGTTCAATCGCGCCTTTCGACTTGTGCTTCAGCCCTTTATAATTATGTGGAGTATCTTGAATTATTTTCTCTTAATTAAAGCGAGATGTATTTTTTACTATATAATCATATGCTTGTAGCTTTCCTTGCATGGCAAGAGTCTTGTAATGACTTTCTAGTCGATTTGTTTAAAAATTGGAAAGCAGCGCTATTGGCGTGCAATTGAAATGTGTTCTGATAAGCTGAAAGATTCGTGCCGTGTCTAAATTCCAACGTTAAGGAGCATTGTACGCGAGCATACAATCTGTTTTCTATGCATCAACTTTCTTCTGCTAGCGAAGTATTCCGCTATAGTGCCATGCAGTAACGATGAAAAATCAACAACCTCACAACAACCTTAGAACTCATTGTAAAATTAAGATTGTTAACTCATGAACTGTCAAAATTGTTAACATCGTTGCCGAGAAGCGAAACAGTATAGAAAGCTAACTATACTACTTGCGATAGTAGCTTTAAATATGCCGTCAGATTATAGGATTCCCCTTGCTGAGTTATCGCATAGCGTTATGTATTGATGTAGTGTGGTATAGTATATCCCTGATGATCGAGTGATCAGTTCAATCCTCACTATACAGGGTGAGTCAGAAAAAAGTCCCCTCTATTGAAATCAAGCCTTTGTTAGAATCTGATTGCCTTAATATTATGATAAACCCAATTGAAAGCAAGACGCTTTATTTGAATGCCTCAACCTAATAACTATGCTATTTACACACTACTGCGTTGATCATGCATTCAAATCAACAAAGGCTTCATTTCAATAGGGGGGACTTTTTTTTGACTCACCCTGTATATATATATATATAGCTTTCGAGCAAACTCTATATACATGTTAGACCATCTCTCATATGACATTGCTTTAAGTAACAGCGACCCAGCTTAGGTCAATGGCTTTAGATCGACGCTTGTAACTATGAAATTCAATTTAATTGATGAAAAAACTCAATTGATGCACCTATACAACTTTTCCACGAGTTTCGATTCAATTAAATTTAATGAGTTCGAGTATATACATAAGCTGGTGATGGTATGCTGAATTCGGCCAGTTATTTGAGAATGCGACATTTCGCCATCACATGGGCCTTTTTAAAGTGATGCACATGCAAAGGAAGGCCGCTGACAAGCAACATTAAGAGTAGCTAAGACAAAGATTTGGTATTTATATACCTATAAGCAGTCATTTCGTTGTATTCTGTTAAGAAAAGAATTCTGATTTTATTTTGATCCAGTTCATCGTTTATCAGCTTAGGGAGACACCCAAAGAACGAAGAACAAAAAATATTTGTTGCAACGATAGTCATTTTCATTTTATGCAAGATGAAGTATGATCTTTTAGGTAATATTTTACAGCGAAATATAGCAAAGTACCATTACGAGTAAACGTGGACACTGGATATCTTCATTTGATTCGGACCCCTATATCTTCTTCATATACAGGTTGCATGCATGCATGCAATATTGTAAGTACAAATATTATTACTGTTTCGCCGAACACGCAGGTTACTTTCATTGGTATGTCTGTTCCAAATACTGCCTGTGCGTTTAACAACTATTACATCAGGCATTATAATACAGTTTATAACAAATAGGTACTTCGAGTACTCCATTGGATTAGATGTACAGCAATTGCCTGTACAAATGTAAAAGTCATGGAAAATGTTTTTAATTGTGTATTTTACAGCATAGTTTAGCCGGTCAGCGTTCGTCCGGGCCCACAACAACGTCTTGGACACGTGCTATCACATTTCTCCTCGCAAATCGCAGGGCAATCCGGGAATGCCTGGCGATAGTACACCTTACAACAGAAATGCGGTTTGTGTCCGGGAATCGTACATAATCGGCAACACGTGGCGCTGCACTGAGAATTACAACTTGCTGGACAACTCTTATTCTGCTGTTCCTCCAACCTCGCCTTGGCAATAGCAAGCTTATCGGCTGCTTCTTGTGCCAAACGCTCTCTTTCACGTTGCCTCAGTTCTTTCATTTTGTTCAAAACTAGATCGTTATGATGCTGTTCTTCACTCTCATCCATATCTTCGTCTTCATAGTCGTCATCGTCTGCTTCCATCTCGTCGTCATCCGAGCTTTCTCCTCCAACCTTTTTAGCTTTCTCCTCCGGCTTTTCCACAGGACAGCAATATTTTGGGCACTCGCTGGCGCACACAATTCGACAGACGGAAGGACAGCCGGTGAACGTACGTCGCCCGACCGTTAAAGCCCGAGTCGAAGGAGTTACTTCGGCTGAGCAGCAACGCGGAGGACAGTCGGTCGTGCAGGACTTTTTACAAGTCATATCGCATGTGTCGGAGGGATGGTAGCTGGGCTTATGGTGAATTTCGAGAAACGAGACTTTGTCTTCCAGCGCGTTGCAGCATTCTCTAGGACAACCAATTGTGCATCCCTGAAAATTGAATGGAAAAGGCAAAGAGCATTAGAGACATGGTAGCGGCTAATACGCAAATAGAAACGTCATAGCAAGATTGCTATCTTTTAAACTAAAATGCATAAATTGACATTTAAGTTCGCCTGAAGGGAAATTGACCATTTTTATGGATTAAACCCGCCAATCGTCAAAATGCTTGAGGCTGTTATATAGCTAGCAACACCGCAGAAATTGGTGTTTAGGACGCTTCAGCCCGAAATTCAAATCGCTTGCTCACAATTGTGCATTTCTGTACCGCTATCAAAGAGAGACCTCTTAAATATTTTAAAAAAAGTTCAATTTTTCTTATGAATAAGCATTCTGCAATATTTTGACACCTCATCATACACATCTGATAGCTGTGAAATGGCCATTTTCAGGTTTAAAGTATGCACAAGATTAATAATTTAGACGATTCGTTTTTACCGTGTGCAAGCTTCAAATCTTTTGTGCATGACATATTTTCTTGAGCCTTTATAAATCTTTTTTCTCAGCAAGTTTAAAGTCTAAGTATTGAAAACTGCGGCTAAGTCTATACCAATTTCCACGGCATCTACCATCTACTAAAATCAAATTTGCTGTTTAGGACATATCCAAAGTGTCCCTCTATCCCAGATGATCATTGTCGACATTAACAATCTCCGGACTATTGTAAAGTTTGTCTGAGCATAACCAACAGATCTCCCTACAGTATATAATAATGAAGTCCAAATAATGCTTCTCATAATTTTATAACGATCGATCCCGCAAAACTAACGAGCCAATCAAAATTTGTGTAATAATAGGCTTTCCGATTTGACGTTTTTATGAGAGAGGTTTATTAAAGGCCATTCAACATGGCAGCATTATGCCACTTTTTTTTACACCGTGTATCCACAAATTTTTAAAATTGACACCAAGAAATGTGCACTGCACTAGAGTACTTAAGCCCCTACCTTTAGACAAACAGATGGACATTTTGTCGTTTGATCAGGAATTACACTCTTTGAACAACAGGCTTGGGGGCAGTCAGTGGAGCATTTGTTCCCGCAATGATTTGGGCAGATAGCAGCCGATAGCTTCAGCGGGGGAAGAGCAAGAGGTGGCAAAAACTCTTTAAGTAGAAGGCAACATCTCTTCGGGCAGCTGGATAAGCACGACTTGCGGCACACGAAAGGACAGAAGTTTAAACCACAACATTTCTGTGGACAATGAATGCCACACTTGACCTTACACTCGGCCGGACAGTCACTAATAAAGGAACTTGGCCCCGATTCTTTATCGTTAACTTTTTCGAAATGCTTTGCGCAGCATTCTTCGGGACATTCCGTCGTGCATTTACGACTGCAGGTTGCAGGGCACGTGGTTGGCGGCTGAAGATTTTGGGTTGGAGCTTGGCCCGCTCCAAAGCCTGTGGAAAATTGCCCAACTGCAGGTGATTGTTGAGCAACAGGGGTTTGTACCTGTTGTAGCTGTTGGCCTTGATCGGCGGTGTTTTGACTTTGGAAGTTTGTTGGTTGTGGATTCTGAGAGTAAGATGTTGGCTGTTGGAAACCATTTAAGCTTTGGGCTTGGTAAGGATTCGGTTGTTGAGCTTGGTAGCTACTTGGCTGTTGTGGTGCGTAGATATTTGGTTGCTGTGGCTGATAACCATCCCATAAAGATTGTGCTAGCAGCTGTTGCTGGAACCGCTGTTGTGCCCAGTATGGATTTCGTTGTCCACCAGGTTGTGGATAGCGTGGGTTATATCGGTTCGCACCGGCGGCCCTCGCACCATAAGGTTGGATATTTGGTCTTTTTCGCCCTTGGGCAGCAGGATGAATGAACCATGGTTTTACTTGCTTCGAGTCTGAATATTGAGTGCCGATCCACGGATGTGCATTGGGGTCGAACTTCTTCCAGTCGTGTTTCTTCGGAGGAAATAGTTTGTTGATATTAAATGCATCGTCATCATCGTCTTTTTGCACTTCTGCGTTTGTCAAAAAGAGAATAATTATATGAAAAAAGACACGAATGTAAAGCAAGTGTAGAAGTACATGTTTTGACCTTGTGTTTTGATCTTGCATGCTCGGCCATGAAAGCCAGCATGCATGCGTTGGTGTTTTATTGAAACATTCCACCACTGTAATTATACACACTAAATAATTATAATGAACAAATTTGTAGTATTTTGTGAATATATCCATAGCTACCTCTTACTAACATCTATACTGTTTTTGACCTTATTCAGTATTTTTCAAATTGATATTAAAATTATCATTTATAAAATTTATAAAGGTATGGGTGTATTGTGCCCGTCAGTTCCGGTTAAACGTTTGACTGACATACTTACTTTTGCCTTTCTGCTTGCGTTGATGCTGAAGCTTTTCATGTCTTTCTGTTTTGTCTCTCTGCTTATGTTTGCTGGTTTTAGTATTTTTGGTTTTCAGTTTCGAGTCTTGGACTTTCTTGGTCTTCACATCCTTTTCCTTTTTCGTGTTTTTTTCTTTGTTAGCCTTTTTTGCTTTGGCATCTTTTTCTTTATTTTCCTTATGTTTCTTTAACGTTTTATGTGGAGGTTCTGGCTTTGTGTGCTTGGTTACATGCTTCGAAGCTTTCTTTCCCTCCACGGATATGGAAGACACATCCATTGGTAGTAAGGTTTCTCCTACTTCATCACTTACGTTTTCCTCGTCGTCGTCGTCATCGTCATCGTCATCGTCATCTTTGCCTTTCTTTTCCTGGCTATCGTCGAAGGCCGAAGTATCATCTTCATTGCTTTTGAACTCTTCTACCGCATCTGGGTATTGCCCAAACTCGAGCTCTAAATGTATGCGTTGAAAAACAGAAATCAATATCATGAAATCTTCAGGTCATTTTTATAGGCGCCCAAGCTGAACGTAGCTACCCAACCAACTACGAATACCTTCTCCAATTAAAGGGTTCTTTCGAAGTCGGAAGGAATCAAACATGCATTTACACACGATTAAAGAAATGTTACAGAATGCATCGCAATATAGACTAGAATAAGGGTGTCGTTGATATTTTCCAATCATATTGTTCAAGTTTAACCTGAAAACCCGAATGCAAAGCTTATAATAAATGCATTTCCATCAGAGGGGCGAAAAATTTATTTACGACATACGAACAATCATACAATGTTAAGAGCATTGGAAGTTAATTCTATGGAAATTAATTTTTTGTGTGAATGTTGTTTTTTTACTTACAAATATCAAGCAATTAATACTGACAGTTAATGATAATATTCTTAACAAAAATTTTACAAACATTTATCACATTATAATCATGCATTGCTTTTAACAGCGAGTATATCTCATATAGGGAAAGTTCCGCGCGAAAGGACGTATGTTTTTTAGAGAGCTTTTTTAGAGAGCGGCATTCTTAATCATCTCATTCAAGTCAATATCAACTTAACGCTATTGCCAGACTTTGCCTCGCGCAAATTGTAATCGCATCAAGAAATAATCCTTCAGTCTTAAACTTTGCAGGATGCAATTTAGATCTCGTTCACACTAAACACGTGCTAGTACGAAACTTTGTCGCCGGAAAATCGGTTTGTATAGTTTTTCACGACGCCTCCAAGTCACGGTTTCGACGGTTTGTTTGTTTTTCATATTTGATGATTATAGTTTTGCACATTTTTTAGTCAGATTTTGCAGTCAAATCAAACTCTCACGATTTAGTGTTCACACGCTGACGAGAGAGGTAGCTAGAATTTCGTTTTGTTAAAACAGTAGTGAAGCGATCATATAAACTTCCACTTCTACATCGTATGTATGTAACACAACTAAACGATGATCATCAACTTTTTCATCATTAATGATCCGAGCCACGTTTAAAATGTGACAATATATCTCTTAGCAAACAGAACATAATACTGTAGGCAATTTTGATAACTATGATAACATATATTATACGTTTTGTTTTGTGGGAGAAGCAGGTAGTTCAAGAATCCACTCCGTTTAATCCTACCTTGTATATCGGCTGGTTCAAATTCGTAAACTCCCTTCGTAAAGCCACATAAAAGAACAACAGCTAACAAAATCTCTTTAAATAACATCGTTAACTATCATTGAAATGGTTTTTAAAAAATATTTATTCATAACATGACTTTTAAAAAAACAGTAGTGCAACTTCGAAGCCGCGAAGCTAAACCGTGAAATCAATCAAGGGCATCAAAAGTGAATCAAACACCCGGGTTTATTTGTGAATACCCTATGAAGCGTATACGCGGCGTTCGCCCATCTTGAATTGCCGCGTTAGACCGTTTTTGTGACTACGTCTTTCAACAGTTTCACTCGTTGATTGTATTTATATTTTCCTTCTTGATGATATTAATTTTTTTTTTCAATTTTTTCTTCGGACGTTTATGATATTGATTATCATAGAATGTATGATATCATTCACAGCGAGGTAATTGTAGTAATTTCCGAGCCCAGGTATAGCTGTCAATGATTTGCTTCTTGACCTTTTCCTATCGATATTCCTTAATCTAATTCTGCGTGTAACTTGCCCTAACATAAAAAAATATTAACATAAAGTTATGTTACACAAAATAATCACATGGTGTTGTATAAATTCGAAACTTTTTATAGTTATAGAGTTTACAAGTAATTTCCTTTATTTCCTTGTGAGGACTTTTAGGCAACATGCATGCACAACGGATTCGAATCTACTTTTAATCCAACTAGGTGTCTAACTTGCAAGGTGTATTTAAAGGTTTTGGTCAATCTTAATTGGAGTGAATGGATAAGATTATACAAAGTCAATAAATATATTTAATTTTCCACTTATTTTCCTTAAGCTGTGATTTTGCTAAGGGACACAAAATTCATCTGCACGCGGTCCTATTACATATAAGAAAGTTAAACGCTGCGCATGTGCAATTCTAAAAACTACTACCTAAAAGGTTTGATTTGGAACGCGAAATATATTGCTGACTTTTTTGGGTTAAAAATGGTCCTTTTTGATGTCAGGGACTTTTAATGTGGCTTGCATCATAAGCGTCTTAATGCATGAGTAATTTATAATTTCTATATAGCTTCTTTGGAATTGCTTTATCATGCTTTTATCATGGTTAATCCTTGAAAACAAATGCACAACTCAGGTATTATCTTTGATGTAAACAAAAACGTTACGTAGTAAATAAGGAAAAATTGAAACATTCAGCTTTATATAGTTTCCTCTCTTAAAGAGGAGAAACAAGATTTGTAGTGTCAGCTAAAATAGTGTCTAATCTAATAGAGATTATAACGACATATGAGAACCAAGAATACTTACTTCCTATCACCACACTAACTTCAAGAGGGTGTAGAAGGTCTTTGGAAAGCCTAAGAAATATGGCTAAATAGTTACACGTAAAGTTTAAAGAATTTAATTTTTTTCTCAGTGATTACAAAATTATAGCCTCCATTTCTTCTCTTCTTATACACCTTGCAACAATCGCATACGTCAGTGAAGGGAGTGTTTTCTGGGATATCAGTGGTCGTCTCAATGACTCAATAGACGCTAGCCACGGTTTTGAGGCAAAACAATAAGCATGTTCTTCAGTGACATTAACTTACTTCCAAACCACTCCGGCACTAAATCATGAAGCTATACTCAATTGATGTGTTTGCGTGATATGGAAGAATGAAATTATTATACAAATGATATATAATTGAATCTCTTTGTCTTTTTAAGGTAACGTTCTTGATTATTCGTGCTTCTTGTGCTCTTTTTTCAAATGATGTTTTGCATGCTTCGAGTGATGTACTTTATGTTTTTTGTCGTCTGGCACATGATGTACTTTTGATTTCTTGTGGTGGGCCATAGCACTCTTTTTGTCACTGCAACACTTCCTCGGACACATTAGGTAACAGTTTTGTTGACAGGATTGAGAGCATCCATTTGGCATGTATTGCGATTGCTGCGCACCGTACGCTTGGCCTGGGACGCCAGTCATCCCCTGCGTAGGGTAGCCCTGGCTAGCATGATAACCTTGGGTAGCAGGATAACCTTGGGTAGGAGGGTTCCCGGTGTATCCAGGCGTGCCAGGATAAGTACCTTGTTGCGCTTGGCCTCCAGGGTATTGCGGATATCCTGTGTATCCTTGATTAGCTTGATATCCTGAAGGTGACTGCATGTTGTTGTATCCTTGCCTCTGTGGGTATCCCTGCCTCTGCGGGTATCCCTGCCTTTGCGGGTATCCTTGCATCTGCGGATATCCCTGTCCCTGCTGGTAACGAGGTTGTGCACCAAATCCTTGATTGTATTGATTCCTGCCATATTGATTGAAGCCCATAGGTCTGCGTTGGGCTCCATGAAAACCAGCTCGTAAATGATGAGAATCTTGAAAAACATTAAATCATCCTGTTCATTGCCGTATCATTTTACAGTGTAAACAAAATATCAATTAAGTATCGTCAAATATGACCAAGCAACTATGAATGACCAATTTTTTTTGAAGAAATAAATATAATACTAATATAGTGTTTTCTTCTGTTCTGTGCTATAATATTTTTGTACCATATTTCATTGTGAGCTACTGCATTATTGTATTATTTATTTTATTGAACAAAATTGCTGTACTGAATGTAAATATACTGATGTTTTCTGTACTTATGTATTCACCATATTTCAGTGTTAGGTAATGTTAGTAGTGTATTTTCATCTGTTGTATTGTACTTTTATTTCTTGCGTGATCATGATGCCTGTGTTCCAAATCGTTTAGGCAATAGATTGTATGGATTATGTGACATGAGATGTGTAATGAGTGTGACTAGTGACATGACACGATATGTTTTCTTTTGTATATTAGCCATTTCCCAATCGAGTAGGGCACTGGGTCTAGTCGTGAACCGCAAAGTATCTATTGGCTGTTTTGAGGGACAGGAAATATAAGTCTGAAATCGTTTGTCCCTCCAAACAGTCCATATCGATGCTTTGTGGTTCGCGACTAGGCCTAGTACTCTGCTCGATTGGGAAATAGCTAACTGTAATTAATAAACTAAAGTATTTTTTTACATGAAATTAACTGAATTTTACCGTGAGCTTTGTGAGCTTTGGCCCTAAGCTTTTCTTTCTTTCCTACTTTGACAGCATTTTTCACAAGTTTACTGAGTTTTGGATCCATGACAATAACATCAGCTAAAACGCATAGGTTATTAATGAATAGGAAACCTTTTATTGTTTTAAATGTGCACTGATGTATTTTACAGTATTTCATATTCTAGTACCGTTTTTGTTCTTGAGTATGTGATGAGCATTGTCAAGATGTTTTCCTGCAAAAATTAGGTGCAAATCAATCCCTTACATCATCTTAGTTCTACATGCTCAATCTAATTATATATGTTTGTAAATATGAACTTTTCCGTGCAAAAAGCTTTACTGTTCATAAAAATGAACCACCCCACTCTAACTGGCGATTCTATCGAATTCATTCACCGCCTATAAACAATTCTGGACGAGAGTCGCCAATGGATCCAAAAGACCATAATTGCTTATATAATCAGCAAATACAATGTGTGGTAGTAACTGGGGCTTTTGACTTATCCCATGTTGTGAGGCGGGTATTAAATCAATTCATCAGTTTTAAATAAGGCGGATCATGTGAAAAAGTTACATAAAAAGCAAAAATATTCTATGTACCTAAGGCATGGTCGACAGCATGCTTTACTTCGTCCGCAGCTTCTTTTAATTTCTTACCTTGAAAAAAAGAAAAATACATTTTTTCAATCATCTCATATCCCGCAAACATATCCCGCAAATATATTCATGTCTATTCAAGGCGGAGGGGGGGGGGATGGGGGGTTTCGAGCAAATAAAAACTTTCGCACAGTTTCCTTTCAGTTGTGAGAAATCGAGCCTTACGATCCAGTCAGGGGCGTAGGATGCATCCAGAGATTGCGGGGGCACCTGTTCTAGGGGCACTTTTGGTTAATAAAAAGGGCAGCTGAAAACATGTATAGGGACGGTTTGATTGCCAAAGGACAGCAGTAGTGTGGTTTATATTTATGCTCTACAAAAAGATTTGGGCACAGAACATCCCGCCTTCCCCCTACTGGAATATTAATAATTATAACCCCTTTGGGTCTACTTTTAATTGCATACCAATTTTATGTTGCAGTAATTTGGACACAGCATTGTGTACGTCTTCCGCTTTTTGCGAATCGAGATTACCAAGGTCCCCCTTGACTAGAGCAAACAGAAAATATCAATTTAATAATGAATAATTTTTTTGAAAACACACTATTCGGTGCCTGTCGCTTCACGTGGCTCTAAAATATTGCAAATCAACCCGTAGAGGGGATTTGTCATATATTTTTATTCTCGATACTTCGCTCATCCCAAAATCCAGCCAAAATGTGTTTTCTTCAAAGCAGGTATAAAGTCCATAATGATGAGAGTTGGCAAATCGGGGAGTAAAGAATTGTTGTTTGCTTAAAAATAAAAAATAATACTCATGGTCTCTTGCTTACTTTCGGTTCTCTTGGCGTAATTTCGATGAATACAAACGAGAAAAGCAACCAAAACAAACCTTCGCAATGGCGAAAATGCAGCCATGTTTATCTCTAGGTAAAGATATGGATGTAAATAGGTGTCTGAATGTACAAGCTTTATCTTTAAAATCAAACTTTGATAATAAACTAGCTATTATAACTATAGAGTTATAGTTATAGGTAAGACAAAAGATTTAAACTATCTGTAATAAATGTTGTAGAATAATGGAGTCAAGTGTTTAAGAATTTCAGGCAATATACAATGTGTTTTGTTAGAAATGAATATCTCTTTCTCGAGATTTTCCAAACGAGTGAAATTCGGTTAGGCTAAAACAGCTATTTTTTTCGGCTTAGCATATGACGTACCAAGGCCATTAGAAATATTTCAAAACAGAATTCGAAGTGATGAAGATATTTTTACGTTTAGTGAATGAAAGCTTGTTTCGACTGATTAGCCCCGAGAAAAACATCGTTAACGCTATAACAGTTCACCTAAACAGATCAGATTAAACTAACAGTTTACTTTATATATCGCGGTAATTTATCCAGTTGCATACAAATTTTAAGGATGAAATAAACGTATTGTCATACCTGAAGAAATTCTATTTATTTTCTTCTACACCGTGACTGTTAATTCCATCCAAAATAACTCAGGTGTAAAATGATGTTATCAAACACCAGGAACGTTTTACTGGTGTCGTTCCTCCAAATGCATTGCACTAAAATACTACATATCCTAGCTTTTACAACGTTTTTCTACATTTCTGTTTTTTGTCTCCATAACTGACGGGCAGTTAAGCTAGCTATATATATGCGTGAACCTGTGTGGAGTAAATTTACGAATACTATATTACTTAGTATAAGATCCTCCAAAAAAAACTAAATGATATCATGCAATATTTCATTTTTTCATTGTAAACATTTCTAAAAAAAACAATAGATTTGATAGGAAAAAATCAGTTACGCAATATACTGACTAAGTGGAGCAGCGTAGCCAGCCCGATGAATTAACAACTAACAAGTCTCGCTATGCAAATTTCAATTTATAATTATTCAAGTCATAATCATTTCTTAACGCAAATTTTATTATGAATTGATCAAGAATAAGCAAGTACAAACTGCCCGATTATTTTCGCCGTCTATGAAACATCAAAATATTAGGGCAGTGGGAATAAATCGTGAGGCAGGTTATGCTTTTGAATACACGTCTATCATTTTCTTTTAATTTTTTAACGAATTATAGATTTCAATAATAGAGCATTAATTGTTTTTACTAAGTCGCTGATTGTTTTTTTTATTTAAAACATAGTCTATTGTGAACACGCGAACAGTTTTCAGCTTCTTTGTTGGCAGTAAACAGTGGTAATCATAGTTATAGCTTGTATTAATGAACACGCTTCATGCATGTACACTAATTTTTTACATGCATCTGAATGTCATTTTACCCAGAGAATTTCGTGCGCGAATGTCGAGATAAGTGGAATGGATGTGAACGAAGAAGTGGAAATGAAGAACATCAATGATGGTAATGAGCATTCAAAAAATGTTTCTTTTCTTTTCTTTTGCGGTCAGGTTGAGTGTTTGAACGGCGCTGCTGGCTCTCTTTGAGACTTCGTGACGCATAGGAACCCCGAGACAGGGGAATGACAATACAGCACTTTTTGATAATCGTCATTTTTTATAACAATCGCTTATTGTTAGTTATTGATTTTAGTAACCTTGTTACTTTCTAAGATATTCCGAAAAAAAAGGATCCAAAGGCAAAATCCTCTCCGCCTGGATACGCATAATATCTTTGGTGCGATATGAAATAGGCTAGCGTGCAAAAAATTAAGGAGACGACAAATAGACAATACCCTGACTGGGGTGCATGTTCATATACTCATTATGCCCCACGGAATTCTTTTGAAGATACGCGAAATGCCTAGAAGAATATGCCCATTCCATAACTATTGCATCTACTTTCGGCTCTGAATTGAAGTTGAAGTTCTCTACACGTCTTATAATAAAAATAAGTTAAAATTTCATGGGACTCAAACGCGGCTCATACAAGAGCTAAAATATGCGACTTACACAAAGTTATGTATTAAATGTACATTATACATTGCTTGTATATTTGACATACGACTGACTTCACATCCATTCAAAGAAAAACGGGTAAAATCAAGAAGGGTAAAATCAAAATGAAATTCTTTCAGCTTGTGGAACACAGACGTATAAATGTGCTTCTGCTGCAATTTTTGAACGTCCAATTTTTGCACAGGCCATATAAAATGTAGAGGTTATAATTTTGACAGAAAAATTCACTTTAATGTTATCGCAAAATATTGACTATATATTTTCTACACAATTACATACATGGAGTTTAAAAAAAACACATCATGCAATATTGCGCTAACCTGTGAAGGATGCTTAAAACTCAAAAGTCACCTCCGGAACCATGTTAATTAAGATAATCACGGAACTGGATGGACTGTACAGTTTATGAATTACACACTTCCTCATCAAATCTGGTTAAATATTACACAGTAGACATACAGTCAATGTCCACTTGTAAGAACAAATATCATGTGTCCAGAATATTTATTCGTCCTTGTGGTGGCGGTGTGCCTTGCTCTTCTTGTTGTGCTTCTTGTGTTGCTTCTTGTGTTGCTTCTTGTGGTGTTTTTTGTGCGATTTCTTGCCTTTTTTCTTTTCTTTGCGTTCCTCATCTTTGAGTTTCTTCTCCTTCTTGTCATCACATCCCATTCCACATCCGCCGCCACCCATTGGCATTGGCATAGGCATTTGCATTGGCATTTGCATAGGCATAGGCATGCCCATTCCTCCTTGTGGTTGACAGCATTGGTTACCACCTGGCGGTGGGCACATTGGTTGTTGTTGACCACCGCATGGGTTGGCCGGTGGACACTGTGGCATGGGCATTTGACATCCACCCATACCCATCCCCATACCTGGGAATCCCATTCCTCCTACGGGCGGAGCAGCAGCGCCACCACCACCTAAAATAGAATTATATTCTTGGTTATACTTGCCGTGCTATGACAACATTTTCCATCATGCTGTACCAGTCAGAAAGATATACGATTGCTTATCTTAATGCTGTCGAGCTTTCACCTAACTGATCGTGCAGATATCAACACGGAATGTATAAAAAAATGGTAGCTAAAATAATTTTATCGTCCTACTGTGCTGAATTCACTACAAACCTAATGTCCAAATGTCAACATAGGCCAGGCGTTTAAATGTAAGAGAGCCATGTTTTTAATACCGAAAAAAACAAAAGATGATTACTTACTTCCACTACCGCTTCCACTTCCACTGCCTAATTAAACAAGAAGAGAAATAGATTAAAATTTTGCCATGCAATTATGACGACATAACCTAAGTGTTATCTTAAGATCTGGATAGGATTAGAAATCGGGGAATAGACAACTACTTGCATAGTTTGTGTACGGGCCAATTGTTTTTCGTAAGCAGAGTTGCATATTTTGAGCAAAATATTGCCTGACTCTCCACAAAAGTTCCTTGAATTATATCACTCTTTTTTGCCGTAAATCGAATTTTGTCCCTAAATACTGCTGAGCAATTCATTGCATTCTAACATGGTGTTTTTCAGAATGGAATGGACTCACAATTTACACGAATTTATACAATTGGTCGGTGATCGTTGCCTTACCTGCCGCTCTCTTCACTTTGAAATCTGTAAGATAAATGAAATTGCTGCCTCAGTTTGTTAGTTATGGTGGAAAAGTTGTGTATTTTTTTCTTTATATTCATGTTACCCACCCTACCAAATCAGTAAACTGATGTCGATAGAATATCTTGATGTCGATAGACATACAAACTGTATGTACCAACCCATGCAAGTACCAACCTTCACGTATGTCTCATTCGATCTATTTTTCGAAAAATGTTTACAATATATACCCCCGAATGGCCAGAGTTAGAAATTGACATAAAAATATAAGTCTATCTTTCGGTGATTTGGACGGGTATTTTCGTACTATATAGTTTAATAGGGTAGTTTCTGGCCGATACCCAAAATTCGTAGCGATATTGATATAATACACGAAGCACTTTCACATTATTATACAACAGTTGCGTTATTGTCCTATTTTTATTTTGGAAGCCTGCACCTTACAAGTATATTATACAAATTGATTTTTATATGCTTTTATAGAATAGATTTCATTTTCAAACTGTTTATTTTAGACGAAAAGAAAACGAGGTAACTTTTAATTTTAACTTACCGGTTGGCATGGCCTGGATCACTCCAATGGTAAAAACTGCGACAAGAAACGATTTCATCATCTTGCCGTCCTCTAGTGAGAAAGAAAACGAAATAAGCCTTGGTTTCGATGTGATACTTCAACAAATAGCTGAATGAAAACAAAGCAAAAATAAAACAACACATACTTTGACTATATTAGAGCTTCTTCGACGATATAAAGACAAACAAGTACTAACAAATTCACGAGAAGAATTGATTTGGTTTCAACTACCAGCAATGATCATCAAACCGTGTCAGGTACCTAAACTTTGTGCCTTCTCATTGGCTTAGATTATCTTTGATCTTTGGGAAATCATTCAAGCGTTTCATTAACCTGTAAGACTTTCAGATGTCACAAAGGGGTGACAAAAGAGTTTTCATCTTCGCGCCTAGACCGATTGATTGAGAAACATTTATTTGCGTCACACCAGAGTTCACAAATTTTCAAAATAGTTTTATTAGGAAAATCTTCTTATATAAAGGGATTGCCTCAAAACCAATTTAAAGCATCAGTTTAGGATAATCCAAATTAAGAAGTTAATCCCCTATAAATACCAGCATTGTCTAGAAAAATACTTTACAATTTCAATATTTATTGCGTGCAAAAATAATAGTCTTGATGACGAAGAGTAGGCATTCGGTGCAACGGAAAATTCATACATGCAGTTGAAGCGCAATCCTATAATATCTGAACGTAATTAACTTTGATATAATTAGCCTTGCACACATGGTGTGGAAGCAGTGCCCAAACACCAATACCTTTTTCTTAGCCACTGGGCTCTTTGTATCGATTACACAGTGCTCTGAGACATTGAATCCAGTAGATCTCAGTGTGAAACGTGCGTGCATGAACGCACGGAAAAGATGAAATAAGCAAAGTTTGCCGACGACCGAGTAACAAATAGAATAAAATTACAGAGTTTATAGTTTGTGGACAATGTAATATGTGTAAGTTAGTTTTATTGGTTTATTTGAAAACTTCGTGAGCAACAAAGTTTTAGTCTATGACAGAATTTTCTATATTTAAATTCCTATGACACCCGTAGAGGGGAAAAAAGACGCTAATGCACAATGGTATTTAGTGAAATAACAATACTTTTTCCAGCTTTGTCTATAAATTTTAAAATGACACAGACAGAGAAAAGCACTTTGACGTTTTTGCCCGGTGAACAAAAGAAAACCACTTTAACTCATTAGCGGCACCCCGTTAATGGCGAAAAGTCCTTCGCAACAAAGTTCTGACCAAAGCGGCCTAAAGTGTACATAAATGAACTAATTATACCTACTGAACTGCCATATTTTAAGATCGAGATTATGAATTAGTGCGCCAATGTACCTTAAGTCCCGTGAGATAAACCCAAGAAGGTGGATTGTTAGTCACGCCTCTCTTTTAAAGGTATAATTAGGTAGGTATAATTTCACTCTAGTGATCTTCCATACAAGGGTTGCCATGCAGTCGTGTTCAATAAGTGAACATAGATTGAACTATCTCTACACCAATATATCCATAATCCATTTATGACACAAAATGTCGCTCTGTATGTTCATGCATGCTTCGCAAACTTTCAACGAATTTATTTCAACATTTCCTTCCTTTCATCGACGCGATTTTACTAGTCAGATTGCACGCATTGGCGGCCTAAACAATTTACAGCTATATGTGCATGCATTTCTTATAGTCGGGTCAGCACTGTCTAATTTAGACCGTGCGTACTCCACATCACATGCCTCGGAGAAGACTTCGCAGAGCTCAGATCAGAATTCAGCTGGATCGAATATTTGTTTTAATTCAGTCGTCGCAACACGATTCTTTGCACTACAGCAATTTTTCGAATGAAAAAACACCGGATAACAGCGCAAAACTTGATCTCTAAAGAGATCATTTTCAGTTCAGAAATTCCAAGTGAAAAATATCCATGGTTAGTCAAAAAAGGTCAGATCTCAGGTCGTAAAATCACTGAAGTATTCACCACGGATTAGCCATGCATCAGCCACGAAAGCCAAATCATGGCGCGTGCCGCTGTTGGTGCTTTGATGAATTGAAGTGTGGTAAAATGTCACTTACTTTTATTCCATAATATAGGAAATCACAGAAATTTAGCTGTGACCTTAACTCCAAAACCCGCTTCTAACATTCCTTCAGAATTTTGCACATTTCGTCCGCAAACGTCCACCTAAAAGAAACTGAGACACGGAAAGTATCAGTATGTGTTTCACCAAAGTTATAACTGTAAACCTTATCGAATCATTATAAGATTTAGCAGAAATAACGCGAGCAGAACTGTCTGAATATAGCAGCAACCGCCAACAATGCCTACGCGTTTGTCGACAAGAAGCGCTGCTCCGTACAGCGGGTTAAATTTAGAAGTCACTACTTTTAAATACCTGAATAGACGTAGAGGCTTTCAAGAGAAGCGTCGTCTTTTTTAGCTAATCATGAAAAGTTTTCTTCTTTTAGACTTCGAATGGTTTTACACGTAACGTTACAGCAAAACAATGCTCAAGCATGCATGAATTACAGCTAGCATGCTTCGTTTGATCGGAATGACTGTTTCTTCAAACTGGCCTCCGATTGCCTCCGATCAAATTCGCTTGCTATGATTGGCTGCAGAGAACAGGGAATCCACGTTATTGTTTGTAAATGAACAAGAGTTCAAACAATTGTGCATGCTTTACAAAGAATAGTAGACACTGTGATTGAAAGTAATATAGTTATACTGTACAAGGTGTCTCAAAAAAAACGCAACCACTTAATATTCTAAAATTCATATTGTTCATAAGCTCAATAGATTTTATGCCCCTGGGATTTTAAAATGGCTTCTATAATCGTACAGTTCAACTGCTAATAGTCAAATCAGCTAAACTGATAATGGTGCAGCTAACAACCGAACAACGAGTTTTTATTGTCGTGCATGATAACTTGAATGCTAACTGTCGACCTTGTAAAATAAATTTTACTCATTAAATACTTTCAATTCAGCTCGTTGGTTTACGCACCCGACTTTGTTTACCGACGATTGTGCCGCTAGAATATGATTACAAGCCTTCTCGCAATCCAGAGACCAAACGTCTTTTGTGTTGTAGAACAAAGAGGACATTCATGAATATTGCGGGGTTTTTTATACACCCTGTACAGTACATCGATATATACTTATAGGATAGTTCTCTCGGCCCGGTATGTTGATAGTTATTTTGTCCGTGCGCGGAAAAATTGATAGCAGACAGAGAAAAAATCTATAGACGTCTGTTCGGCATGCATTGTTCCCACAGATATATATGCATGCAATAGAAAAACACTTGTTAAACAGCGCGTCAAAAAGCAACCACTTAAATATGCAAGAATATTAATATTGTTCGGGTTTGCACCATAGTTCAGCTAATTTTAGCTGACTTTTAGCTAACTTTTAGCATTTTAAATGAAGGATTATGAGCCATTTTCAATGCCCAGAGGTGCTTATCTATTGCGTTTTTTTTGAGACACCCTGTATAAGACTTGCTATGAGTCACTCAATCTTCTCATAGTTCACGAGGCGGTTTTGAAGCTTAATTTTCAGTGTTTTACCTTAAGATGCTTACATCTTTTCTTTTAACAAAATTTGTTTGTCACAATTAATGAGCGAGAGCAGAACCGTAGCTTTATTGCGGGGGGGGGGGGGGGGGGTGTACATTGATATATTCATGCATGTATAAATCATAGGAACAATAGTGTACAAAAGACATCACTCATGCAGAATATATGAATATATAGTTTGAATTTCGAGGTACTATTGATTTTGCTGCATTCTGATTGGTCATACTCACTGTCTCTGAAGTGATAGTCAGTGGTCATGCATACAGGGTGTCCCAAAAAAATGTCCCCTCTATTGAAATCAAGCCTTTGTTCGAATCTGATTGCCTTAATATTATGATAAACCCAATTGAAAGCAAGTCGCTTTATTTGAATGCCTCAACCTAATAAATATGCTATTTAAACACTACTGCGTTGATCATGCATTCAAATTCCAACAAAAGCTTCATTTCAATAGCGGGGACTTTTTTTTGGGACACCCTGCATGTATAGCCATTACTGATAGTCATTACTATAGCTTTTTGATGCTCTTTTTCAAATAAGAAATTTGAAGTAATTATAATGTTTTATGAAATTGTGTTGATTCTTTTTTGTAAACACTTCGAAATTTATACTAAAACAATTATTCGCCTCTGGCTCGGTGATTACAAGCCTATATTCTTATATTATTGTTAAATTCACCCCCCCCCAATTAAGCTTCTATCGTTACGACCCGGAGTGTGAGTGAGCTTTTTGCGTCCCTTGCTCCGAATGACCTGGAAAACTTTAGAATGTTCCAAAGCTTTGCCTTGGGGCTTTTGCAGTTTTACTCGGTTCCTCGGTTTTGTGGGACATTTATCACTATAATATCGCCTAAGGCATGTGCTTACGAATAAAAATGGCGTATGAATATTTCTGAACTTTTGGGGGAGGCTAAAAGTATAAATACTCTGCTAGGTAAATACTCCGGTTATTTAAGCAGGAAGGCTTCCCATGCACGGAGCAAAAATATTAGTCCAATAGCAGCCATCAAAGTTGCTAAAAAATGACATTTTGACACCTTTTCACAAATCGGAAAAAAAATTACTTTACCGCATTACATGCCTATAAAATTTTCTCTTTCATGAAGGAGTATATATAGCTATATGTATGTATAGGCATTTTCAAACCCATTAGACTGTGATTCCCGGTGACTTTGCAGAACAAATAATTACTATAGTAGCTGGAAAGTTTTGAACCCGCAAAATAAATATCTAGCATAATGAAACGAAAACAGGTTGGCAGATTGTTTAAAGATTGGGAACAAGGCATTGTTTGACGTGAAAGTAGAAGGAAAGTAGCTGGAATTTTAAAAAACGCTCGGCCGAGATAAACAAAAGGTTGGTAAATATCTTCGTTTTTTATCGCTATTCCATTACAAGTTCAGTTCGTTTTTAGCGAATTTATATATAACCTTGAAAACTGCATGTGTTATACTCCTGACATGTGCTAAAATTCGTGTTATTCGTTAAAAGATCAATTCGCTTTTATTAAAAAAAATAGTTTTAATGGTGATAGCTTTCAGTTAAATCTTTATTCATAAATTTTGTTAGCAGGAAATTCCATCCGGGTAGGATACTCTTAGTAATAGGCTGTACTGTTATTAGAATTAGTATGATTAAGTGCATGTTGTTTACATGAATGACGACCTGTCCCCGTTGTAGGTGATATCCTACATCGCCATAGCCTACTACTTCTGTTAAATGGAAACAAATATACGCGACAGAATAAATTAGTCATTTTTACTATTGCTATATACTGCGGCGATGAATAATGCCGGGGCGATTAGTAGTGCCCTATCTCAGTGTATAGCGGCGTTTCATGTTTCATTTTATAGTATTTAGGGCAAATACTATGTATGATTCAAGCGCGAATGATCTATATACCCCTTCAATGTATAAACTTGTTATTTTTTCAATTTCAAAAATTTTAGATTAATAGTATATTCGCTTGTTTTTAACACAGTACATGGGAAACAAATATAAATACAAAATGCAATTCATTAACTTCTCTTTCCAGGATGAAAATTGTCGTACCTTTCATTATTTTGCTACCGTTGGTTCGCAGCAATAAAACGCACGAATCATCCCAACAGATAGGTTAGTCAATCGTTTTTAAGTTTTTATCGTAAAACAAATTTTTAAAAGGCTTTCACTTTTTATTGAAATCGTATGCTGAAATTTATTTCAACAGGAGCGAAAAGGAACTATTGTGGAGAAGGATGTCCATCCTCATGTTCCCCAACGTGTACTTCAGATTGTTGTACCCCACTACTGATAGCACCTCCAGTCCCAATCTGCCCTGATCCCTGTCCACAGTCTTGCGCACCTGCGTGCACCCCAAGTTGTTGTGCTGGTCCGCCAGGTATGCCTGGCCCTCCAGGATGCCCTGGTGAACCCGGATGTCCGGGTCCTCTTGGCCCGCCTGGTCCACCTGGATGCTTAGGTCCACCCGGTCAGCCGGGGTGTCCAGGATTGCCGGCACCACCAGCACCATGCGCACCAGTGTGCATTCACCACTGTATGAAAATATGTCCATTGCCATGCTGTAGCCCCCAACAACCTCCTTGCCCGTGTCCTGCACCGTTGCCAGTATGCCATGCCTGCCCTCTACCGCCACCACAACCTCCTAACCCAGCATGCTGTCCCGTTATACAAACCCCCTGTCCATGTCCAGTTCCACCACAACCCGTATGCCAACCATCGTCCCCATGTCCTCCTCCCATACCCGCTCCACCTCCTGCAATCGCTTGCTGTGGATGAAAGTAAAATGGCAAAGTTCTTAAAGACGAATGAATGATAACATTGAACTACGCTTTTTAAAAACGCTAGTTCAAAATATACATGTGTTTAAACATGTACATGTATTTATTTATTTATTTTAAGACAATCAAGGCAGTAACTTATGCAATAGGGGAAGCCAGCCTGACGATTTTGTCCCGCTATGTAAATTTCGAGTTATTACAATTATTCATGTCTTTAGAAATCGATTGTTTTCACAGTCAGTGAACACCAAAATATTAGCATAGCAGGACAGATCGACAGGCTGGCTACGCTACTGAACTTATGCTTGCAAGCTTCTTAAAATGTGCTTATCTCGATTTCCTAACAAAAGAGTGGAGAATAAGATTCAATTTGATGTGTACTTACTTTGTTGCCGGAGTGCGCCCGATAACGGCAAGTAATTGCTAAACGAAAATTTTCCTGTTACCATGCCCATAGTGCTCCGCAACCGATCTGGGGCCGGTTGTTCGAAAGGCGTTTAGTTTAAACGGTGGATAAGTTCAAAATGGAAAGCAAAACTATATATTTATTGAACAATGAGCTGAAATATATCGATGTAAATAGTTTAATTGTCAATGGAAGTACATATTTAATGCATAAGATGCAGATTTAGTCATTCACAAGATGCATGAGAGTAATTTTAAACTTTGGCTTATCCACCGTTTAAGCTAAACGCCTTTCGAACAACCGGCCCCTGATATTTTGAAATCTTGAAACCTAAGCTCTTATAGACACCTCAGAAAAACGTCGGACTACACATCCAACCGACCAATACACTAAATTGCCACTGGCCGTTTCACTTGAAATAAAATGAAATTGAATGAAGCGTAGAATGTGTTGAAATAAATATTCATATAACGCAACGATTGATATGAAAATAAATCTTAGTCCCGAATTGCACTGGCTGCTTTCTTAGTGCTCAGATTGATTGGATGGTTCACTGATCTATATAAGAATTCAGTGAACTTCGGAAAGGATCGCAGATCATCGACGGGGACGGCAAACGGGCCGTGTTGAGATAAGGGATACGATAGGAACATGTTTGATCAAGCGGCACTTTTCACCTGCTTATCATATCTATTTGCATAATCTTACCATAAACACATACCAAAAATAGCCAATCACATGGCTGATATTCTTCCTGAACTTACTGAAGCGCAATGATTTCATTCCATGCTAATGTCAAACCGGTTCGGTTCGATCACGGATTATAAATTGGACAAATCAAGTGTGTAAAGTTCGACTAAAGGTAAGAATTCCAAATCCTATTGCACTGTAAGTTGATTCGTACAGTCTAGAAATTTTCTAGAAACAATCTAGAAAAACTGAGTTAAAACCTCGTTGATCATTCGAGAGACTTTGAAGCTTTAGGTCTATCTGTTACGCCATGCATGTTTAAAATGCGTCGAAGCATTCAAGCGAATGACCGAATTGTTCTTTTATATATTTATTTCTCTGAGCTCGATAATGTGGGCAATTATCGGCAGATTTATGTAATTATACGATAGGTGAATATTCTTAAATAATGCTTATGTTGCAGTCGATAATATATCTGTCTTGGTGGAAAATCAAAAGATTCAAAGAAAATAACTATAGTTATGTTTTATAATAGGTGTAATATAATAGAACCTCCTATATGTGTATGTGCCTTCCTCGAAATTCGAGTACACGATACAATACTAACAAGATAAAAATCAATAAATGTCCATGCATGCATGATTATAGTAATCATCTAGTAATCATTGATAGACTGTTTATATGAGCATGGTTACCCCAAATTCAACGAAGCGTGAGATGATTTTGGGGTATTGGCATAAGCCTTTTACGATAAACCAAGAAAGCACATGCTATTTTGATCACGGCCAACATGTTCATGCAAACAGCCCCTTAGGCCCTTTTTTAGATAAAAAGTCGTCTAGTTCCATGCAAATTTTTACACATTTATTATTTCTTGCAAGATTAGTTTAAATAACTTCTACCAAGTGAAACCGTGAAACAAATTCGTCCGGTCCGGTGTGAACGTAGCCCGGTTCTCAATGCATGGGTGGAGTATTCAAAGTCCAATGTTATCTAGTCCAATATATATCCAATATTACCAAGCATTTTGATAGTTAAGAAAACCCGCTCAGGTTCTGAATTAAGTTTTAAATTAAGAGTGTAGAGGTTTAATACAGATTTCATTCTTAACTTTTACTACCGATACATATTATGTTATTTTTTAGATTTTTCCTATGGATTCTAAAGTCCTCATTTTACTTGTTGCCACTATCATAGTGGTTGCGGAAGCCAGATGTAAGTGTAAAATAATAGTGCGCATTAGGCCCGAATCAAAGTGACTAACAAAACTTATCCCAAGTAACAAAGAATTATATTTATACGAAATAATGAGAACTGGCAATTTTTTGTAAGGACTTCGCGCTCGGTTATATTAACTATTGATTGAGGTTGGTGCAATTTTAAAGTTTCGGAAGGCCACAAAAAACGTAGAACTGCATTTATTTAACAAAGCCAGTAAACCAGGCTTTTGCTCAAGGCTATAATCATACATTCTCAATTTCATCAGTAATTTTATTTTATTTTTAAATATTTCCAGATTACAAAAGAGAAGCCAACCCATGTGGGTATGGATGCCCTGCTTCGTGTGCACCGTCTTGTTCAAGTGTCTGTTGCTTACGACCTCCACCTCCACCCCCACCGCCACCACCGCCACCACCACCTCCCCACCACCACCACCAGGACCACCTGGAATGGTAGGACATGATGGTCCACCAGGAATCCCGGGACCGATGGGCATGCGTGGACCACCGGGTGACCGTGGTCCAATAGGCCAACCAGGCCTCCCTGGACCTCCTGGCGAACCAGGCTTGCCTACCTTTGGCTAATCACGAACTGTAATAGTGCAAACAATGTTTGTATTTAAATTCACTTTCGACAATTTCAAAGGAAATAAAATATCCAGGAATGGTTGCGTGTATTTAGTTTAACGCTATATATACATAGATTTAGTAAAGAATTTCAACTCAAAGAATTTCGACTACCTACATTTAATTTATCGTGGTCATGCAGCTTCCCTGTTGACTTTTTGTGACCTGCATGCGGATATTGATCAAATAACCGAAAGAATGACTATAAATGGAGTCGAACGAAAAATTCTTTAGTCATTGTTACCTCCCAATGAACCTGGATATATAAAGGAGAAAAAACATGCATGAAGTTCTCAATTTAAATAAAAATGCACGACCTTGATCGTTTAGTCTTAAACCTGATGCAGCCATTGATCTTTTGTCCTTGTTGCGTGATGTCCTTTGCTGGGGAAAGTTCAGAACAAGGATGGGTTGGGCCCATTGGCCATGCACAAAGAGATATTCATGATTTTCTCGAACGGTCTATGTGTCTAAATACGGAATTGAACGAAACTGGATGAACAAGCATCATATCACGTGATAAATAAATAAATAAATAAAACACTGCACTAAAAGAAAGAGCTTAATGTAAGTTAGATGGATAAGCCAAACTGAAAGAGCCACCAAGAAGCAAACGAATACAACAAAGTTGGCCTGTTTGTTGGAAAGTTGCGATCACTGGGGTGTCGTTTGTTAACAATGTCCTAACTGTCATCATATAAACAAACATGCAATAATAATTATTATAAAGATGTTTTATACACAACTTTGATTGTCAATTTTAAAAAAAATGTTAAAAATTTTGCATTAAATGAGCTACACATCGCATGACGCCGTATTTTACAAGTGTTATTCGTTTTGTGTTAATTATATGGACGCTTTCCTTTATACGGTAAAAACAGTAAAGAACGGTCCTGTTGAATTTCAGTACTGGATGACAGCAAGATCACTGCATGTATTTTAGAGTGATTCCGCACGAACACTGCATTCAAGTATATCGTTATTTACATCTGTCCAGCACGGGAAATGCAGTTTCACTTTTATATTCTTAACGCACTACTTTATTTCAATTCCGATTCAAGATATGACCGGTTGATTCTAATGTCGTTGTGGGTTTTTATGTCGGGTATCGATATTGCATGCATGCATGTCCGTTAGTCATATGCGATTATCAGTGGGGTTGCAATAATTTCGATATGAGATTATTTACATCCTCCTGGTTATTTTTTGAAACATTAAATCGGAAAAAATGCTGTTTATTTTGTTCATGTAAAACCTTGAACAGCGGCCTTCAAACAACGTTGCAAATTGACATCATTTTGTTGATAAATATAGTAACTGCATGGCTATAATAGTTATACTAAATGTAGGCCTGATTCTAAGTTCGTGTTACTAAATTTTATAATACATTTTATTATATCTTATTATTTTATTAAAGATATTAGATTAAATTGAATTAAAAATATATGATGTAAAAAATCTCCGTATATCCAATATATGACCGCAAACTCGATGCATACGTTAATCGTGGGAGCTGTGCGTGTTCTTATATACTACAATTGTGTTGCCAGATACTCCAGTTGTTATATTAATGACATATTGTAGTTAATTTATGACTTGTAAGTTTGATTATATTATTAACATATTGTAGTAAATTACAGCTAGTGCATACATTTATATAACTTATGATGCAGGGATTCTTATATGAGCTGATAAGATTGTAAGATAATGCACGCGCACCTATATATGGCTATATATGGCGTCACTGCTCCTTTACCACCAAACGTATTAAGCTAATACTTTCGAACTATTTGCATTGAGGGGAATGTCGCTTTACACTTCTACATTTCCCACTTTGTTTACCACCTTACAAAATATTGATGTTATTTTGTTTACATCTGTTAGAATCAGCTTTAATTAAATTGTGTGCTGGCAAATTAGCTAGGCTTTCAGCTTTAATCTCGTTAGGTTATTTCCAAACAAAAAAAATTGCACCTAACAAACGTGTTTCCTGACTACAAGTTCAAATTCAATCATCTAATCAAACCATTTTCCATCAGAGTGAAATTTTGTTCACATTTGTATGTAATATTTTACCAAAATAGCCTATTTAAGTGCCTATATCGATTCAAAAATGTCGCAGGTACCAACAATAACAAACCAGGCTATCACAATAAAGGTCACGGGTGGTTAACTTAGCCTTTGTCAAACTAACCTTTCGAATATAAGATTTTAATCATATCCGACAAATTTTTAACGAACTTTTACATTCACTTTAAAA